TCCCCCCACATCGTTCATTTGAGCAAATAATGGTGAGCACTGCCAAATGTCCTCACAAGTCGCCACCCGTGTCTCCCATTCCATCACTTGCCAACCTTTCGGAGCCTGCACTTTGATACGCCCTGCTCGCCCCAAGCTAGCAGAGAGCGTTCACAGCTAGCAAAACCTCCGACAGGCACCCTCTTTCACATAGAACACTCCCTTGTGTTTCTCTGTGTTGTGTGTGCTTGCTCTTTCCCTGGTGTTGTGTTCTTTCCTCTGACCTGGGCCCTTCCCTACCCCCCCCAAGCTTGTTCCGCATTCGTGTCTGCGCTTTTCCCTTTCAGCAGCTTCGTTTCGCGACTCGCTCCCCCCCCCCTCCTCCCCCTGGAAGACCCTCCCTGTACCTCCTCAGCACAGCTACTCCTTCCCGAGTACTTGCTTGACCTACACGGGTACCCTCTTTCCCCTCCACAGCCCCTCCAAAGTACGTCACACCCCCCATGCTCCCTCCTTCCACACCCCCTTCCCCGCCCCCTCCCATACCGAACCGCTTCCCACGCGGATCTCGTCTGATCCTTCCTTATCCGCATTATTGCATGACTGTATCATTGCTGTCATTGCTGTTTATCAATATCTCCCGCAAGCGCCACCACCACAGGCGCCAACCGTTAGATTCTTCGTCTCTCCAGTCCCCCCCCCCCCCCCCCCCCCTTCCCCACACACTCACCCACCGCCCCTTCCCCTACCTCGGTACGCATGCATGCACTTCAGGGCTCCTTCCCCCCGTTCCTCCTTTCCCGGAGAACACCTGTGCTTCTCTCTGAGTGCGCCCGATTCCGTGCGTCCACTGGTTGGCTAGGTACTCTCCCACCCTCTCCCCCCCCCCCCCCCTTCCCCCGAGTTGCCCTTCTTTCCCTCTCAAACCGACGATGCGCGTTTCGCTGACTTCGGTCGGGCTCTCGCTCCTCGCCCTAATGCTTGTTCTTTCGGTGTTCACCCCCCAGGTGGAGGCCGGCAAGAAGAAGAAAAAGGGCTCGTCGTCGGCGTCGCAGCCAGGCTCGTGCACCACATGCCCTGCGCTCCCTGGCTCGACGTCGAATGACTACCCTACTGTGCCGACGGCCGAGTACGTCGAGCACCTCAAATCGCTCTTCCCTGAGCGGTCGTCTCCGGACCCTGCGCTCATTGCGCCGGGCACAGACCCCAACCTCTACCTTACCTCGGCTGGTACGGTCTCGATCACGTTCCTCCACGAGGGCGCTGGGTACCACAACCAGCTGGGGTACTACCTGTTCGACTCTGCGACGCCGGCCAACATTGTGCCGGGCTCAGAGCGGCTTGTCTGGGCCGACGCCTCGATGCACAAGTGCATCCAGGTAGGGACCAAGACGGTGCTGAACAACGGCAACCCGTTTCCGGCGGGCACGCGCCTCGGCTTTTTCCTCGTCGCCGACGGCCACTGCACCACCGGCGGCAAGGCCACTTTCTACACCCACGACCACCTCAACCCGGACGGCAAACGCCACATCGGCATTGTGACCAACCGGGCCGGGACGTTCTCGTCGTCGACCACCTACACCGTCGGCTTTGAGGATCTGGTCAACCTTGGTGATCGCGACTACAACGACCTCATGTTCTACATCACCACGACGGCTACCGTCGACGAGTCGAACCTGCCGGTCGAGTGCTCGCCGGACTGTGTGCACGGGACGTGCAACTACGAGACCGGCGTGTGCGAGTGTGAGCCCGGTTTCTCGGGCACAACGTGCGAGGTCAAGGGCTGCGTTGACGAGCCATGCGCCGCCGGCGCCGCCTGCTCGGCGGTGACTGGCCGCTGCGAGTGCGTCAACGGCAAGTACGGCCCCGCGTGCGACCAGACCGACAAGTTCTTCTCGTGCTCGTACTCGGACGACCCCAACTCATCTGGGTCGTACAAGTACCCTGTTTGTCACGCCACCAACTCGCTCACTAATCCCTACAATCTGCTCCGGCTGCCCAAGTCGGGCTACCTCAACCACCTTACCAACAAGGCCCACAATGGCAAGCGCTTCCCGGACATCCAGCCGTTCCAGCTCGGCCGGGACTGCTTTGTCTACGACTGCGAGTGCAACCGCATCGCAAAGAGTCAGCTGAAGCTCGGCTCGCTCGCTTACCACACCTGGAACAATGTGCCCGGCAACAACGTGGCGGACCTCACTGCGCTCGCCACCTTCCCGGCCTCGCCCGACGCCGCTTCGTCTCTTTCTTCCTTTGACATCCCGCGCTCGGGCTCGTCGTTTGGCGGCAAGCTTGCCGGCTACCTCGTTCCCAAGCGCTCCGGCACCTACACCTTTTACATCTCGACCGACGACGCCGGTGAGCTCTACCTCTCGCCGTCGCCGCTCGCCCAGGACGCGGTCCTCATCGCATCCAACCCAGGCTGGACCTCGGCCAACCAGTGGAACCGCTACGCTTCGCAAAAGTCGGCTGCGGTCTCTCTGGTTGCCGGCAAGGCATACTACATCGAGTCGCGCTTCAAGCAGGGCTACGGCGGTGTCTCGCACCGGGTCGCCTGGACTGGGCCCGGCTTTAGGTCCATCACCGTCATTTCTGGGGCGTACCTTGCCCCGCTTGTGGTCGGCGAGGAGAACTACCCCATGGCCCCGTGCTCCGGCCACGGCTCGTGCACCGAGGCTTCGGACGACGGCCACGCCATGTGCGCTTGCGAGCCGGGCTTCAACGGCGAGGCCTGTACCGAGATCGGCCCTATCGACTCGTGCCCGGCCTGCCTCAACGGCGGCGAGTGCAAGAACAACGCGTGCGAGTGCCCGCCGGGCTTCTCGGGCGACAGTTGCGAGTGCGACACGGCGTGCACCGGCAACTCGGGCTGCTCTGGCCACGGCGAGTGCAACTGCGACGGCTCGTGCACCTGTGAGCCCGGCTGGTCCGGCGCCGACTGCGCTTGCGCAACCTCGACCGACGCTTGCTCCACTTCGCCCCGCGGTGCCATCACCTTTGAACGCTGGAACAACGTCGGCTCATCCCGCTCGGTCTACGCCCTCCTCCGCAACTCGCGGTACCCGGACTCGCCCGACTTTACGGGCACGCTCTCGCTCTTTGAAGTCCCGCACAACGTTGGTAACTACTATGGCGCCCGCGTCATTGGCTACCTCCACCCCCGACCTCGGGCAAGTACGTCTTCCGCATCGCCGGTAACGACGGTCATGCGCTGTACCTCTCCTCAGATGCCAGCGATGTCAACCTTGCCCTTCTCGCTGGCAACTGGCGCTACACGCCGCGCCGCAACTACGAGGCAAGGTCGTCGTCGACCTCGCGATCGGTCAACCTTGTTGCCGGCCGTACGTACAGGATCATGGCGCTGCTCAAGGAGAGCACCGGCTCGGACCACCTCTCGGTCCAGTGGACCCACCCGCTGCTCGACGGTGAGTATGAGATCATTCCTGGCGCGTACCTCTCGCCCGACTCGAACGACGCCGCGCCCGGCGCCGCCATCTGCTCCGGTCGTGGCTCGTGCTCGTGCGGGATTTGCGCGTGTACCGGCGGCTACACCGGCGAACACTGCGAGTGCGCCCCGTGCGCGCCTGGGTCGTTCAACCCGTCGACACAGGTGTGTGACTGCGGCGAGATCAAGTGCAAGCCCGGGTTTACCGGGCCCGACTGCGGCTGCGCCTCCTGCGAAGATGTGACGTGCCAGTACGACAACCAGTTCTGCCAGTGCGGGACGTGCGCGTGCCTGCCCGGCTACTCGGGCCCGGACTGCTCGTGCGCCTCGTGCGACGACGTCGAGTTTGATCCGGCAACCGCGACCTGCTCGTGCGGCGAGGTCAGTTGCATCAACGGCTACTACGGCGACGACTGCTCCTGCCCGCCGTGCTCGTCGGTCACCTGTGACGCCGGCTTTACCTGCGACACCTCGTCGTGCTCGCAATGTGTGTGTGCATCGGCCATCGACGCCTGTGGTGTGTGCGGCGGCGACGGCTCGTCGTGCTCGGACGTCAACCGGTGCGCCTCGTTTGTTGACTGCGCCCAGTGCTCCGAAATCGCGTCGTGCGGCTGGTGCCCCGAGCTCAACAAGTGTCTCTTCACCGGCGCAGGCACCCGCCCCTCGGACGTGGTCTGCTCCGACTGCCCCAACGAGTGCCAGGTCGGTACCTGCGCGCCACGCAATGCCCCGCCCACCTGCACCGACTCGACCTTTGTCATCGCCGAGGACAATGTCCTCTCCGGCGCGCTCCTCGCCTCGGACCGCGACGGCGATGCCCTGACCCTCACGCTTACGACGCCGCCGTCCTCGGGCACCGTCGTCATCGCGCCCTCGGGCACGACGTTCACCTACACCCCGGCGCTCAACTTTAACGGCGTCGTCACTTTTGAGTACACCGTCTCGGATGGGACAGCGACGGCGCTCGACGGCGCCTGCACGGCTACCATCACCGTCGACCCGGTCAACGACCCGCCGATTGCTGTCTCGCCGTCTCCGTGCCTCGCCGGCGCTGAGGACTTTGCCATCACCGGCACTCTCACGGCCTCGGACCCCGACCTCGTGTGCGCCGGCGGTTCGTACGCCCTCGGCGACTCGATCACCATCACGGGCACTGTCCACGACATGCGGTCGATCCACCCCGACTTTGAGGGCGCTATCGCCTTTGAGCGGAACATCGTCAAGTCGCTCCTCGGCGCTGACAAGAAGCCGGTCTACGGCAACCATCCCGACGGGACCAAGACAACCAAGTCCAAGGCCTTTTTCGACATGTGGTTCAACGACCACGACGAGTACAACATGGCCGGCCCCATCTCGATCACCCTCAGCAACGACAACTCGGGCTCGGCGCGCAAGTTTGGCTTCTGTGACACCTCGTTCTTCCCCATCGACGGCGCCATGCTTGGCAACGAGGGCAACAAGCACAACTACCACTTTTGCGCCGAGTGGCACCTCCAGTTCCAGCACACCGGCGACGCCGACTCGGTCTTCAAGTTCCGCGGCGACGACGACGTCTGGGTCTTTGTCAACAACCGCCTCGCCATCGACCTCGGTGGCGTCCACGGCGCTCGTTCGGCCTCGTTTGACCTCAACGAGATCGCCGACGAGTACGGCCTCGAGGTTGGCGGCGTCTACGACTTTGACTTTTCTTCTGCGAGCGTCACAAGTCGGCCTCGCAGCTTTGCATCCAGAACACCTTCCCCATTGTTGACTGTGCCCTCGCCTACCGCATCGTCTCGCCGCCGTCGCACGGTACCGTCACCGTCGCCGGCAACTCATTCACCTACGTCCCCGACGCCAACTTTGCCGGCGAGGACTCGTTTACCTACGTCGCCTCGGACGGCTCGCTCGACTCGAACATTGCTCGCGTCTGCCTCAACGTCCAGGGCTCGGCCGACCCGCCAACTGCCTACGACCAGGTCTTTACCCTCCAGGAGAACGCTGTCCTCGACAATCACGCTCTGCTTGCCACCGACCCGGACGGCGCTGCCGACGCGCTCACCTACGAGCTGGTCGACCTGCCGGCCCACGGTGACGTGACGGCGCTCAACGCCGCCACCGGTGCTATTGTCTACAAGCCTGACCTCGACTACTTTGGCAAGGACTCGTTCACCTGGCGTGTGACCGACTCGACCGGTCTCGTCTCGCGGCTCGGCACCGCCTCGCTCAACATCATCGGCGTGCCGAACCACGTTCCGCGCGCCCGTGACGCCATCCACACCATCCGCGAGGACACTGTCCTCCGCGCCACCATGTATGGCTTTGACTCGGATGCCGGTGACCAGTTGTACTTTGACGTTGTCGAGCTCCCAACCCGCGGCAAGCTCGCGTATGACGGCCTCAAGGGCACCTTTACGTACACACCCAAGGCCAATGACGACACCTCGGACGCCTTTGTCTACACCGTCTCGGACGGCAAGGCCACGTCGAACCGTGCCACCGTCGAGATCGTGCTCTCTGCCGTCAACGACGCCCCGGTTCCAGCGCCGCTGGCCTTTTCCACCAAGCAGAACACTGCGTACTCGGGCACGCTCTCTGCACGCGACGTCGACGTTCCGCTCGACGACCTCACCTTTTCGCTGGCGGCTTCGCCGCGGTCGGGCTCGGTCTCGATCGATCCGTCCGGCGACTTTGTTTACACGCCGCGGACTGGCTTCTCGGGCCGCGACGCGTTTACCTTTAACGTCTACGACGGCTTTGCCAACTCGGCCTCGCCCGGTCGGGTCACCATCTCGGTCGTCGACGTCAACGACCCGCCGACGGCCTCAGGCCTCGCCGCCGACACCAAAGAGAACATCCCGGTCTCGTTTGCGCTGCAGTGCGGCGACCCCGATGTCGGCGACACCGTAACCGGCCGCCTCGTCTCGTCACCGCCGTCCGGCTCGACCGCCACCCTTCGTAGCGGCGGCCTCTCGGTCCGGTACGTGCCCAAGGCCGGCTTTGTCGGCACCGACAACTTTGAGTACGAGTGCATCGATGCTGCTGGTGCCACCTCGGCGTCGGCACCGATCAAGGTCATTGTGGCAAACGTCAACCACGTGCCGACCACGTCGAACGCCGCGTTCTCGGTTCTGGAGAACGCGCCTGTTGCTACCTTTGCTCTCGAGGCTGCCGACGTCGACGTCGGCGAGTCGCTCACCTTCCGCCTCGCCCCGTCGACTCCGAACGGCCCGCGCAACGCCAAATCGTTTGCCCTCGACGCCACCGCCGGCACCTTTACGTACGCCCCGCGGACCGACTACTTTGGCACCGACTCGTTCTCGTTTGTTGTCACCGACTCGACTGGTCTCACCTCGCGGACTGCCGGCCGTGTGACCATCACCGTCGTCCCACCGGCCAACCACCTCCCGCGGACTGCGCCGGCCACAGGCACCACCGCCGAGGATACTGAGCTCGTGCTCACTCTTGTCGGCACCGACCAGGACGCCGACGACACCCTCGTCTTTTCGATCGTCCGCGAGCCAGTCCATGCCGCCGCGGTCTCGCTCGACAAGGCCAGTGGCCGTTTGTACTACCTCCCGTCACCCGGCTTTGCCGGCGACGACTCGCTCGCCTACACCGTCACCGACTCGGCGTCGGCGTCGGCAACACCTGCCACCGTTACCATCACGGTGAGCCCGGTCAACGACCCGCCGGTTGTCGCCGACTCGCGCGTCGAGACCGCCGAGGACACCCCGGTCTCGGCGGCGCTCTCGGGCTCGGACGAAGACTCGGCGGCGCTTACCTTTTCGATCCTCGCGCAGCCGACCCATGGTGCCGTCGTCCTTGACTCGGCCGCCACTGGCGCGTTCACCTACACCCCAAGTGCGCAGTACTATGGTCCGGACTCGTTCACCTTTACCGTGGTCGACAGCGACGGCGCCCGCGCGCTTGCACCGGCCAAGGTCTACATCGCCATCACCGCCGCCAACGACCCGCCAGTCGCCATCGACGGCTCTCTGGAGTGTGCCGAAAACTCGCCTGGCTGCTCTTACACTATGGCTGTCGAGGACGTCGACTCAAAGGTTGTCTCGTGCGTTGTGACCTCGCGCCCGGCCAACGGCCAGCTCCTCGTCAAGTACGATCCAGCGCTCTTCCGCGCCTCGCGTGACGAGGACATTGCCGCTTTCACTTCAGCACCCAAGGCCGGCTCCGCCAAGGCCTCCAAGGGCTCCAAGGCCTCCAAGGGCTCCAAGGCCTCCAAGGGCTCCAAGGCCAAGACGGGCTCCAAGGGCTCGGGCTCGCGCGCCAAAAACTCGGCGGCCTCCAAGGCCAAGTTCTCGTCGCGCAAAAACTCAAAGCGGGCGGGCGACCAGGCCCCGATCTGCCCGACCAACCTCGCATCGATGACCGACGCGCAAATTCTGGCTTACTTTGCTGACAAGGGCTCGCGCAAGGGTAACTCGGCCGGCTCGTCGTCCAAGAACTCGCGCCAGGCCTCGTACTCGTCGTCCAACTCGGCGCCAATCCAGTGCAGCAACCCGCCTCAGGCGCACAAGGTCTACGTCTGCCACGCCACGTCGTCGACCAAGAACCCGTACGTCCGGCTCTCGGTCGCGCGCTCGTCTCTCGAGGCGGGTCACGTCATTGGCGAGTCCCATTCGGGCTCGGGCAACGTCGACCTCCTTCCTGGTGGCGACTCGGGTCTCGACTGCAACTGTAATGTTGTTGACTCGCCCAAGGCCAAGTCCTCGGAAAAGGCCAAGTCGAAGCTCAAGGCCAGCAAGGCGGCCAAGGCTGCGCTGCTGGCCTGCCGTGCCGCCGCGCTCCCGACCCCGACCACGGTCGCGCCGCGGTGCGCGCTCCCTTCGCTCATCTCGAACCGGTTCATCTGCATCGGCACCAACTCGGCGTCGAACCCTTACACCAAGGTTGAGGTCTCGATCGACGAGCGCAACGAGCTCCTCGTCGGTTCCGGTGCTGGCTCCGACAAGGGCTCCAACAAGGGCTCCAAGAAGAGCTCCAAGTCGAAGAAGCCCAAGGGCTCTGGCTCGAAGAAGTCATCACGCGACCGCGACGCCGACGAGGTCGACGCCTCCAAAAAGGCCAAGCGGTCGTCGGACAAGACCAAGTCCGAGAAGGAAAACTCCAAGTGGTTCAACTCGAACGACAAGAGCTCCAAGCAGAAGAAGAGCGCCAAGTCCTCGGGCTCACGCTCGCGCAAGGCCAAGTCGAACAAGTCGAACAAGGTCTCATCGGCCAAGACTTCCGGTGAGAAGCGCAAGGCTCAGACTCCGCGGAGCACCCGGTACCCGCCGGTCCGCCCGGGCACGGCCGGCCTCGACTGCAACTGTAAGCCCATTGCCTGCACCGTCACTTATGTGCCGGACAGCGAGTTCTGCGGCTCTGACGCGTGGCAGTTTGTTGGCTCGGACGGCGCCGCGTCGTCGCCGTCGGCGGCGACTGTCTCGGTTTCAGTCCCGTGCCCGTCGAACCGGGCGCCGCGCGCACACTCGGCCTCGTTCTCTACCGCAGAAGACACGCCGCTCGCGGGCGCGGTCGCTTCGGCCACCGACAACGACGGTGATGCTCTCACCTTTGTGGTCGTCTCGCCGCCGCGCCACGCCGCCGTCTTTAACCTCGCCGCTGACGGCACCATCACCTACACACCGGCTGCCGACTACCACGGCGCCGACTCGTTCCTGTTCAAGGCCAACGACGGCTCGGTCGACTCGTCGGTTGCCAAGATCTCACTCACCGTGACGCCGGTCAACGACCCGCCAGTGGCGGCCTCGAACGCGCTCTCCACGCTCGAGGATACTCCGATCTCGTCGTCGCTCCGTGCCACCGACGCCGACGGCGACACGCCGCTGGTCTACACCATTGTCACGCCGCCGACCTCTGGTCGTGTCACCATGGGCTCGCGCCCCGGCGCTTTCACCTACACCCCGTCGGCCGACTACAACGGTGACGACTCGTTCACCTTTACTGCCTCGGACGGGAGTGCGGACTCGGGCACCGCCACCGTTACCATCACAGTGGGCCCGGTCAACGACCCGCCCACCGCCGCCGACGCTACGGTCAACATCGACGAGCTCCCGCGAGTCGCGCATGCGCTCGCGCTCACCGCCGCTGACGTCGACGGCGATGCCCTCACTTTCACCGTTGTCTCGGGCCCGTCGTCTGGCGTCATCGCGTCCTTCGACGCCGCGTCCGGCACCTTTGACTACACACCCAACGTGGACTTTTTCGGCAAGGACGCGATCCGGTTCCTGGTCACCGACGCCGACGGCGCGTCGTCGTCTCGCGCAACGCTCACCGTCAACGTTGTTCCGCCGGACAACCACATTCCGCGCACCGCCGACGCCTCGTACACCATCGACGAGGACCAGGTGCTCGACGCCAAGCTTGTGGGCACCGACCAGGACGCGTTTGATCGCGCCAAGCTCACCTTTGCCAAGACGAGCGGCCCGGCCTTTGCCGTTGTCGACTCGGCGACTGGAAAGCTCACCTTTACTCCGCCAGCCCACGTCAACGGCGCCTTTGTGGTCAGCTACGCGGTGACCGACCCACAGGGCGCGACGTCGACAACCGACGGCAACATCGCAATCACGGTCAAGCCGGTCAACGACCGCCCGACCGCCACACCGGGCTCCGACTCGACCGACGAGGACACGCCCGCTCTTCTCACGCTGGCTTGCACCGACGTCGACGGCGACGCCATCGCTGCGTACACCATCACACGCGTTCCGGCGCACGGCTCCATCGTCCGCACTCCGGCAGGCTCCATCGCCGAGTTTACTTACACCCCGGACGCCGACTACAACGGGGCAGACACGTTCTACTTCCGCTGCTCCGACGGTTCGCTCGCGTCAGAGCCGGCTGCATTTGCCCTTACCGTCACCGCCGTCAACGACAAGCCGGTCGCCACGCCGGCGACCATGACCTGTGACCAGGGCTCAAACAACACTCTCCAGCTCCTGGCCACTGACCCCGAGGGCTCGGTCCTCACGTACACGCTCACCTCGCTTGCGATGATTCCTGACGTCGGCATCGGCTCACTCGACTCGAGCTCTGGTGTGTTCACCTTTAGCTCGGCTGGTGCCAACGCAGACCCCGCGTCGTTCACCTACACAGTCTCGGATGGCGTCCTTGTCTCGGACCCGGCGACTATCGACGTGACCATCACCAACGGGTTCTCGGCGCCAGTCGGCGCCGACGCCTCGGTCTCGACGCCCGAGGACACGCTGCTCAAGACGCAGCTGTCTGGCACCGACGATGATGGCGACAAGCTCTCATTCTACCTGGTTGGTGCGCCGCGGCACGCTGCCCGCGTCATGGTCAACCGCGACACGGGCGTGCTCTCGTACCTTCCGACAGCCAACTACGTCGGCAGTGACTCGCTCTCATACAAGATTGTCGATCGCAAAGCAACTTCGGACATCCATGTCGTCTCCATCACCGTCACTGCTGTCAACGACCCGCCGGTCCTCGCCGGTGACGCCTTTGCTACGCCCGAGGACACGCCGGTCACGCTCGACTTTATTGCCTCGGACATTGACGGCGACGACCTCACCTTTACGCTGGTCACCCCGCCGTCCCACGGTGGAGTCAGCATTGACGACGCTGCCGACTCGTACACCTACACACCGGATGCCGACTACGCCGGCACCGACTCCTTTGTGGTCTCGGCCTCGGACGGGAGCGCGACGTCGGGCAACGCCCGCATTCGCGTCAGGGTCGAGCCGCGCAACGACATCCCGGTCTGCGCCAACGCACACTTTGTGGTGCCCGAAGGCGCGTCCCGTGCCAAGCTTACCATGGCGGCGACCGACGTCGATGCTGGCGACCGGCTCACTTACACCATTGTGGCCGGGCCGAACTTTGGCACTCTTACTGGTGTCAACTCAGGCTCGGCAAACGTCCGCTACACTCCGAACCGCGACTACTTTGGCGCCGACAAGTTCTCGTTCTTTGTCACCGACTCGGACGGCGCGGTCTGCTCGGTCTCAAACGTCACTATCGACGTCGACCCGCCGGCCAACCATCTCCCGCGCTGCCTCCCGGCCCAGCTCACTCTGGACGAGGACGAGGACTTTGTCGCCAAGGCCTTTGTCCTCTCGGGCACCGACCAAGACACCGACCAGACGCTCACCTTTACGCTGACCTCGGCGCCGCCGGCCGGTGTTTCCGGCTTTGCCATCGACTCGGCTGCCGGCGCGCTCTCTGGCTCGCTGGATGCTGACTACGCCGGCAAGTCGTCGTTCACCTTTAAGGTCTGCGACTCGTTCGCTCCGTCGGCCTGCTCGGCGAGAGAGTGCAGCGGTGTGCTGCTCGTGACGCCGGTCAACGACGCGCCGGTCGCGGCCGACGACTCGCTCGTGACCAACGAGGACACTGCCGCCCGCGGCGTGCTCTCGTGCTCGGACGCAGAGGACGGGGACAAGCTTTCCAAGTTCTCGGTTACTGCGGCCGGCTCGGGGACTGTGGTCCTCGGCTCGCGCGGCGGGTACACCTACACGCCGAACGCAAACGTCTTTGGCACCGATGCGTTTACCTTTAAGTGCACCGACTCGGCAGGCGTCGCCTCCAACTCGGGCACCATCTCGGTGACGATCAACTCGGTCAACGACGTGCCTGTTGCGCTTGCCGACACGCTCACGGTGGACGAGAATGCGCCGCCGACGCAGATCACGCTCCTCGGGCGCGACGCGGACGTGGACGACTCGCTCACCTTTGCCATTGCCTCGCCGCCGGCCAAGGGCACAGCGACAATCGATGCGGCGACCGGCATCCTCACGTACACGCCCAAGGTCGACACGTGGGGCGCCGACTCGCTCACCTTTACGGTCTTCGACGGGACGGCCACGTCGGCGCCGGCCAAGTTGGCGATCACCATCGTGCCGCCGGCGAACCACATTCCGCGGTCGGCCAACGCGACGCTTGTTGTCGACGAGGACACGACCGGACGGGTCGGCCTCGTCGGCACAGACCTCGACCGTGGCGACTCGCTCACCTTTGTCCTCCGCGCCAAGCCGGCGCACGCCTCGCGCGTCGCGCTCAACTCGCGCAACGGCATGCTCCAGTACCGGGCCGCGGCCAACTTCCACGGCTCGGACTCGCTGACGTACGTCGTCTTTGACGGCACCGCCTACTCGACCGAGGCCTTTGTCACCATCACGGTGCTCCCGGTCAACGACCGTCCGGTGGCGTCGAGTGACTCGGCCGCGGTCGATGAGGATGGCGTCCTCTCGGACGAGCTGACCGGCAACGATGTCGACGACCTTCCGTCGGCGCTGACATACACCATCACCAGCGGCCCGCGCTTTGGCGCGGTGGCGCTCATCGGCTCCGGCCCGGCGTTCAGCTACACGCCCGAAGCCAACTTCCACGGCTCGGACCGCTTCACCTTTAGCGTCACCGACGCTGCAGGCTCGGTCTCGCAGCCGGCGACGTTCTCGATCACAGTGGTGCCGGTCAACGACCCGCCGACCACGAGCAGTTGCGCGTTCAAGGTCAACGAGAACTCGGGCTTCTTTGGCCGCGGTAACCGGCTCGTCCTCCCGGCGACCGACATCGATACCGCCCCGCGCGACACGCTCACCTTTGAGCTCCTCGACACCTCGGGTGTCGGCGAGGGCGAGCTTGGCTTTGCCGACGAGGTCCGTGGCCGCATCTTTGCAGCGCGCTCGTCGTGCGGCAAGCCGGCCGACGGCAGCCGCAAGCTCTTTGTCTGCCGCCCGGTCGACGACGCTGGCTCGGCCTTTACCCGGGTCGCGGTCACTCGCCGCGAAGCGCGCGACTACCAGCGGCTGCTCAGCACGCCGCCCAAGGTGGCGGAAATTGGTGCGCTGCTCGACCCGTCGGCGACCGACGAGTTTGTGCTCGCCACCGCCGACTCGGACGACGACACCGACGCTGCCACCTTTGCGTCGCAAGTCGCCTCGCAGGTTGCGCCAGGTACCAACGGCCTCGACTGCAACTGTGACCCGCTGCCTGCCGACGAGGTCGAGACCACCGAGCCGAGCAACGCCCGCGCCGGTACGACCTCTCGCAACCGCGGCGTGCTCCGCTTCCGCCCGGTGCGCGAGTTCTTCTCGCCGCCGACGCTCTCGTTTGTGTACCGGGTGTGCGACGGCTCTGCCTGCTCGCAGGCCACGACCTGTACCATCGAGGTGGTCTCGCGCGGCAACCACCGCCCGCGCGGTGCCAACGCGCTGGTGTGGACCGATGAGGACACCGCGATTGCGCCGCTGCAGCTGGTTGGGACCGACGCTGATGGCGACGACCTGACCTTTGCGCTCCACCGCGCCGCGCGCTCCGGCTCCGCTGTCGTGTCATCCAGCGGTGTCCTCACTTACACGCCTGCCGCCGACTTTAATGGTCGTGATCGGGTGTGGTATACGGTGAGTGACGGCAAAAGACGTCGCGGCCAAAGAAGGTGCTCATCCTTGTGCGCCCAGTCAACGACCCGCCCGTGGCGGTCGACGGCTCGGCGACTCTGGACGAGGATACTGTCCTCCGCGCTGCCTTTGTGTGCAACGACATCGAGTCGCGCGGCAACCCATGCCGCTGGTGGCGGACTCGCCTCTCCAAGTGGGTCAACGTCACCAACAGCGCGGGCGTGCCCGAGTGGCGCCGCGTCCGCGCCGAGGCACGCATCGCGCTCTCGGCCTACTTCCGCGCCGCCGACTGCGGCCGCCGCCTCGAGGTCACTGTCCTCGACGCCCCGAAGAACGGTACCGTCGCTCCGCGGTGGTACGCCGACTGGCTGTGGGAGGGCGACTCGGTGTGGACCAAGTGGGGTTGGGAGAAGAAGGAGGGCAAGTACTGGCGCGGCCGCTTCCGCTACACGCCGCAGCCACACTTTGCCGGCATCGACACGGTCACCTTCCAGTGCACCGACGGCGATGCCGTCTCCAACACCGCCACATTTACCTTTAACGTGGCGCCCGTCAACGACCGCCCGGTCGGCGTTCCCTCGCGATTCACCGTGCCCGAGAACTCGGGCCCGGTCGTCTTCCAGCTCGAGGGCAACGACGTCGACGGCGACGTGCTTAGCTACGCGCTTGTCGCCGGCCCGTCCAAGGCTGCCACCCCGCCGATCCTCGACACGGCCACTGGCGCACTGACCTACACGCCGGCGACGGACGTGTGGGGCGATGATGGAATCACATTTACCGTCTCGGACGGCGTCCTCACCTCGCGGGTGGTCAAGGCGCAGATCACCATTGTGCCGCCCGACAACCACCTGCCGCGGACAGCTGACGGTAACTTTACCACATTTGAGGACACCCGCCTTCGCGGTGGCCTCGTCGGCACCGACCAGGACTCGCAGGACGAGCTCGCGTTTACCGTCGACACGCCACCGAGCCACGCCGCCGAGTTCCAACTCATTCGCGACCGCAAGCAGGGTCAGACCTTTATGTACAAGCCGAAGCCCGACTACAACGGCGTCGACTCGTTCACTTACCACGTCAACGACGGGACTGCCGACTCGGCGCCCGCCACCGTCACCATTCACATCCTGCCTGTCAACGACGCACCGACTGCTTCGCCGGCTTCGGGCTCGACGCCCGAGGACACCCCGCTCTCGGCTTCACTCTCCGGCTCGGACCCCGAGGCCGACACGCTCTCGTTCCGGCTCGCGCGCGGCATCCGCCCGGCCGCTGCCGGTTCGGTCAGCATCGACGCGGCAACCGGGCTCTACACCTTTGTGCCGGCTGCCGACTACGTCGGGAGCGCCACGTTTTACTTTACCGTCTTTGACGGTGCTCTCAACTCGGCCCGCGCGCTCGTGACGCTTGAGGTGAGCCCGGTCAACGACGCTCCGGTGGCTGCCGACTCGACGCTCTCGGTCGATGAGAACGGGCCCATCTCGCGCAGCCGTGTGCTCGCGACGGACGTTGATGCTGGTGACTTGCTCACCTACACCGTGGTTGCTGGGCCGAGCTCGGCGGCCTCGTTTGAGCTCAACGTGGCCAACGGCGCGTTTGCCTACAAGCCTGCGGTCGACACCTGGGGCACCGACTCGTTCACCTTTACCGCCACCGACGCTGACGGCGCCGTTTCCAACGTCGGCACGGTCACAGTCTACATTGTGCCACCGGACAACCACATTCCGCGCACGCTCTCTGGCCGCCTCCTCCTCGACGAGGACACGACTGCGAGCAAGCAGCTTGTCGGGACCGACTTTGATGAGGACGACGTGCTCTCGTTCCACATTCAGGAGCCGCCACGCCACGCCAAGGCCTTCCATCTCGACGAGGCCACCGGTGCTTTTCCTACTCGCCGATGGTCAACTACAACGGCGACGACAGCGTGACGTACTACGTCAACGACGGGCAGGCCAACTCGCTTGTCTCGACCATCACCATTGCCGTCGAGCCGGTCAACGACGCGCCGGTTCCCGCCGACGCCTCCTTCCGAACTGCCGAGGATACACCCGTGACCGGGACTCTGGTCTGCGCCGACGTCGAAGGCGAGGCGCTGACCTTTGCCGTCGTGGATGAGCCGGCCGCCGGCACCGCGTCGGTCGAGACGGCGCCGCAGGAGGATGGCGCTGTGGTCTTTACCTACTCGCCGGCGCCCAACGCCCACGGCCGCGACACGTTCACCTTTTCGTGCACCGACGGCTCGGGTGCCGTCTCGGCCTCGGTCGGATCCGTCGTCATCCGCGTCACGCCGGCCAACGACGTGCCGACCGCCGACAACGTCGAGCTAGTCTTTGACGAGCTTCCTCGCAAGGCCCACGAGTTCCAGCTCGCCGGCAGCGACGTCGACGGCAACGCGCTGACCTACACGGTTGCGGTCGCTCCGGGCCGCGGCACAGTCTCGTCGTTTGACCCGCGCTCCGGCTCGGGTGTCTACCTCGCCGACGTCGACGTCTGGGGCACCGACACGCTTGTGTACTCGGTGACCGATACCGAGGGTGCCACCTCGTCGCTCGCCACGCTCACCATCACCATCGTTCCGCCGGCCAACCACCTCCCGCGGTCGGCCTCGGCTGCGTTTGAGACGACCGAAACGTGCCGCTCGCCGCAGGCGCAGCCCTCTACGGCTTTGACGTCGACGCTGACGACACGCTCACTTGGGCCTTTGTCACGCCGCCCTCGCTCGCGGCGTCGGCCGTGGTCGACCCGGCCACCGGTGCGCTCTCGTACACGCCGGCTGCCGATGCCTTTGGTGTCGACACCTTTAGCTACAAGGTGACCGACTCGGCCGGCGGCGAGTCGCGCGTGGCGATCGTCACGCTCACCATCAAGCCGGTCAACGACGCGCCAGTGGCGTCCGACGACGCCTTTACCCTCGCTGAGGACGCTGTCGGCTTCTCTGCTGGCCTCACCGCCTCGGACGTCGACTCGCCGCGGTCGGACCTCGTCTATCGAGTCCGTAACGCGCCGCAGTTTGGCTCGGTCGTTCTTCGCGGTGCCAACTTTGTGTACTCGCCTGACGGCGACTACCATGGCGCCGACTCGTTCACCTTTGCCGTCTCCGACGGCATCGCCACCTCGACGCCGGCCACGATCTCGCTCACCATCACGCCGGTCAACGACGCTCCGGTCGCGACCGACGGCGAGTTCTCGGTTGCCGAGAACGGCGCGCCGGTCGTGTTCACCCTGACCGGCACCGACGCCGACTCGGACCCGCTCATCTTTGCGCTCTCCGGTGCGACGCCGATGCGCGGCTCGGTCGTTCTCCTTGATGCTGGTGCCGGTATCGTCGAGTACACGCCGAGCACCGACGTGTGGGGCAGCGACTCGTTCGAATTCTCGGTCTCGGACGGCAGCGCCGTGTCGGCCAAGCTCGGCTCGGTTGCGGTCACCATTGTGCCGCCGGCAAACCACATCCCGCGGTCGCGCCCGGCTGTGGTCTACACTAACGAAGACACTCCAGTCTCGCTCGTTCTCTACGGCACCGACCAGGACGTCGACGACGACCTCCAGTTTGTGCTGCAGGACACAGCGTCGCCGCTTGCCGGCGTTGTCTCGCTCGAGGCCTACAACGGTAGGCTCCGGTTTGTGCCTGACGCCCACTTCCACGGCAACACCTCTATCCTCTACACTGTCGCCGACTCGGCCGGTGGCGTCTCGGGCGCTGCCGAGGTCGTCTTTGTCGTCGCGCCGGTCAACGACGCGCCGACGGCTACGCCGGGCAGTGCCACCATCGACGAGGACACTCCGCACTCGGACGTGGTGCTCGGCAATGATGTCGACGGCGAGGCGCCGTCGTATGTCGTCACCGGCGCGCCGCTGTACGGCTCGCTCACCGCGTTTGACGCCGCCACCGGTGCATTCACCTACGTGCCGAACGCGCACTTCCACGGCCGCGACGCGTTTGCCTTTGTCGCCCGCGACGCTGCTGGTGCCTTCAGCTCGGCCACCCACTACAGCCTCACGGTGGTGCCGGTCAACGACGTGCCAGTCGCGTCGCCGCTGGAGATCTCGGTGCCTGAGGACTCGGAGCCGGTCCCTGTCGTCCACTCGGTGGTCGACGCCGACGGCGACGCGCTCTTCCTTGTCGTCGAGCAGCCGCCGGCCTTTGGTCGCGTCAAGCTCTTCAACACCAACGGCCCGCTCTCGTCGGCACCCAACTGCGCCGCGCCGCCGGCCGCCGACTCGGTCTACATGTGTGTGGCCAAGACGGCGTCGACGTCGCGCGAGGCGGTGGCCATCTCGCAGGAGCCGGCGTCGAGCCAGCAGGGCACGGCCTCGCCGACCTCGCCGTTCAAGAAGCGGCTCATCCGCAAGTCGGAGCTCGAGTCCGACCGTGCCGCCCGCCGCGAGCGCGACGGCGACACAGGCCTGCCTGACATTGTGCCGGGCACACTGGGCCTCAACTGCGCTTGCCAGCCAGTCCCGCTCGTCGGCTTCTACAAGCCCAACACCGACTTCTTTGGCACCGACGCGTACTCGGTCAAGGCCTTTGATGGCACCGCCTGGTCCAACGTGGCCACCGTTACCATCACTGTCGTCCCGCCGGCCAACCACATTCCGCGGACCGCCCCGCTCCGCATCGGCACGTCCGAAGACACCCCGACCGGCGGCGCGCTTGTCGGCACCGACCAGGACGTCGACGATACGCTCACCTGGAACGTTGCCACCCCCGGCTCGCTTGGCTCGCTCGCCCTCGACTCGGCAACCGGCTCGTTTGTGTACACCCCGAACTCGAATGCGTGCGGCACCGACAGCCTCAGTTACACTGTCACCGATGGCATTGCCACCTCGGAGCCGTCGCCTCTGATTGTTGACATTGCGTGCGTCAACGATGCGCCGACTGCCGCACCCGTCGCCGACTCGACGCCCGAGGACACCCCGCTTACTGGGATGCTCAGCTGCGCCGACATCGACTCGCAAGCCGTCGTTCACACTATCGTCGGCCTCCCGGTCTCGGGCTCGGTCGTGCTCTCGTCGGCCGACGGCTCGTCGCCGGCCTTTGTCTACACCCCGACGGCCAACTTTAACGGCGCCGACTCGTTTACCTACAAGTGCTTTGACGGTGAGCGCTACTCGAGCGAGGCCACCGTCTCGCTCACAGTGACACCGGTCAACGATGCTCCGGTGGCGTCTTACTCGACTCTCTCGCTCCCGGAGAATGGCCCAGTCACCCTCGGCCAGCTCGTGGCGTCGGACGTCGACGGCGACGCGCTCACCTACGTCATCTTTGCCGCCAAGGGCGAGCCAGCAAAGGCCAAGGTCTTCACCCTTGTCTCGGCCTCGTCGGGTACCTTTAACTACCAGCCGGTGGTTGATGTTTGGGGCGCAGACGTGTTCCGCTTCTACGTCGTTGACGCCAGCGGCGCGCAGTCCAACGTTGCCACCTGTGCCATCACCATCGTGCCGCCGGTGAACCACCTGCCACGGACCGCCAATGCCACGTTCTCGGTGCCCGAGGAAGAGACCCTGGTCGCCCCGCTTGTCGGCACCGACCTCGACAACGAGCCGCTCACCTTTCGGTCGTTTCTGCTCCGGCGAACGGCGTTGCCGTCATCGACCCGGTCACCGGCAAGCTGACCTACACCCCGAGCGACAACTTCCACGGCAGTGTCGAGCTGGCGTACACCGTCAACGACGGCATCGACAACGCGGGCATGCCCGGGTACGTCACCATCGCCGTGACTCCGGTCAACGACGCCCCGGTCGCTTCTCCCGCCGCCCTCACCACCGACGAGGACACTCCGCTGACTGCTGCCTTTGTCGCATCTGACATCGACCTCGGCGTCTCTGACTCGGGCGCGCTCTCGTACGCGATTGTGGCGCAGGGCTCGTTCGGTGTTGTCACACTGCCGGCTGGCCCCAACTCGCCGTCGTTTACTTACACGCCGGCAGTCGACTTCCACGGCGCCGACACCTTTACCTACGTTGTCTCGGACGGCGTGGGCTCGTCCAACGTGGCGACGATCTCGGTCACGGTGGTGCCGGTCAACGACCCGCCGGTCGCCTTTGACGGCATCTTGCTCGTCGGTGAGAACACGGAGTTCCGTCCGGCCAAGGGCAACATGACCCTGGCTGGCCGCGACGTCGACGGTGATGCGCTTTTCTTTGCCATTGTCACCCCGCCGGCTTCGGGCACCATCTACGGCCTCGACTCGGAGACCGGCTACGTCATGTACGAGCCGAACCCCGACCAGACCGCCGCCGACTCGTTCACCTTTACTGTCAGCGACGGCGTCGCCACCTCGGCGGCAGCCACCGTCTCGATTACCATCGTCCCGGTTGCTAACCATGGCCCGGTCTCGGCACCGGCCAACCTCACCGTGGCCGAGGACACCGTCCTTGTCTCGGCGCTCTACGGCTTTGACCTCGACACCAAGGACGTGCTCGTCTTTGCCGTCGTCGACGCCCCGACACATGCTGCCGAGCTCTCGGTCTCAACGTCGGGCCAGATGACGTACTCCCCGGCTGCCAACTATGTGGGACCCGACTCGTTCACCTACACTGTCACCGATGGCGAGTACACATCGTCGCTCGCCCTCGTCTCCATCAGTGTCACACCAGTCAACGACCCGCCGGTTGTCAACGACATTGCGCTCACCATCCAGGAGGACACTGCTGTGACGGCTGCTGCGCTCTCGGGTACCGACGTCGAGGGCTCGTTCCTCACCTTTGCGCTGCTCGACACCTCGGGCGCCAACGGCGTGGTGAGCCTCTCGCTCAATGCCGACGAGACGCAGAATGATGTGCTGAGCTACATGCCCGACGCCCACTTTAACGGCGTTGCCGTCTTCACCTACAACGCCACCGATGACGAGGGCGCCGCCGCTCTTGTCCCGGCCACCGTCACCATCACCGTGGTCCCGGTCAACGACGTGCCGGTTGCGCTCGACTCGGCGCTCGTCGCTTACGAGCTCGACCGCTCTCCGGTCTCGCACAGCTTCACCGCAACCGATGCTGATCTTACCCGCGAGGGCGACGTCCTCACTTTTGCGCTTGTGAGCAAGCCGAGCCACGGCTCCGTCTCCAACTTTGACGCTGCTGCCGGTACCTTTGACTACCTGGCGGCCCGCGACTACTTTGGCAACGACACCCTGACCTTCCGGGTCACCGACGCGGCCGGCGCCATCTCCAACGTCGGCACCGTCGTCATCGACGTCATCCCGCCGGCGAACCATGTTCCGCGCGCAGTGCCCGAGTCGTTCACCGTCGCCGAAGACACCCAGCTCTCCGAGCCGCTCCGGGGCACTGACCAGGACGCCGCCGACAGCCTCACCTTTACCCTCGCTGATTCTCCCGCGCACGGCGCCGCCGCCATCAGCGCGTCTGGGCTCCTGACCTACACACCCGACGCTGACTATGTCGGCGACGACGTGCTCACCTTTACCGTGAGCGACGGTTCGGCCACATCGTCGGCCGCAACCGTGGCCATCGTCGTGACGCCGGTCAACGACGCGCCGGTCGCGTTCTCGGGCTCGGGCTCGCTCGCCGAGGACACGCTCTTCTCGGGCGCGCTTCTTGCCACCGACATCGACTCGCCGGACGCGAGCCTCGTCTACAGCCTTGTCTCGGCACCGTCGGCGGGCACCGTCTCGCTCGCAGCCTCGGCTTCCAGCGGCGGCCTGCCGTTCACCTACACCCCGCCGGTTGACTTCCACGGCCGTGTGGTCTTTGGCTTTGTGGCCTTTGACGGCGACGCCACCTCGGCGCCGGCCAACGTCACCCTCGACGTGCTGCCGGTCAACGACGTGCCGGTCGCGCATGCCGCCTCGCTCTCGCTCAACGAGAACGATCCGGCGACAAGGGTCACGCTCTCGGGCTTCGATGTCGACGGCGACACGCTCACCTTTGAGCTCGACGGCGTCCGCTCGCCTCGCAAGGGTTCGGTCACGCTCGTCGACGCCGCCGCCGGCATTGTTGAGTACACGCCGGCGACTGACGTTTGGACTGCACCGTCGACGCCGGACCTCATCTCGTTTGTTGTTTATGACGGCACCGCCCGCTCGGCTTCGGCCAACCTTGCGGTCACCATTGTGCCGCCGGCGAACCACCGCCCGCGCGCCGGCGACCAGGCCTTTGCCCTCTCGGAGGATGACGGCCCGCTGAGCTTCAAGCTCGTTGCTACCGACCAGGACGTCAACGACATCCTCACCATCCGCATCGACCAGGCGCCGACCAAGGGCACTGTCATCCGCTCCGGCCTCGACGTTGTCTACACGCTCGCAGAGGATGCCAACGGCGCCGACGCGCTCGTGTACTCGGTCTACGACGGCGAGCACTTTTCGGTCACCTCGGGCACCATCTCATTCACCATCGCGCCGGTCAACGACGCGCCGGTCCCGGTCTCGGTCTCGGACGAGACGCTCGAGGACACGCCGCTGGCCATCACTCTCGAATGCACCGACGTCGACTCGACCGATGCCCAGGTGAGCTACTCGCTCGTCTCAACGCCGCCGGCGTCTGTTGGCTCAGTCGCCCTCGACTCGCCCGCCACGGGCGCTGCCGTCTTTACGCCTGCCGCCAACTACAACGGCCCGGTCGCCTTTGACTTTACCTGCACCGACGGCGCGGCATCCGCCGCTCAGCCGGGCTCGGTCGATCTCAACGTGCTCCCGGTCAACGACGCGCCGGTCGCGTCGCACGACGCGGTCTCTGTGCCTGAGAACGGGCAGGGTGTCGAGATTGTGCTCGAGTGCGCTGATGTCGACGGCGACGCGCTCTCGTTTGCGCTCGTCTCGCCGCCGCGCCTTGGCGCCCTCTCCGGCTTCTCGGCCCGCCGCGGTGTCGTCACCTACACCCCGCTGGTCGATGTGTGGGGTGCCGATGCCTTTGGCTTTGTCTGCTCCGACGGGCTCGCCAGCTCGAACGCTGGCAACATCTCGGTCACTGTTGTTCCGCCGGCCAACCACATTCCGCGCACGACCTCGGTCGCGGTCACCATCGATGAGGAGGCCACGCTCAACTACGACCGCCTCACCGCCACGGACCAGGACGTCGGCGACTCGCTCGCCTTTGTCCTCAAGTCTGGCCCGGGGTCGGCGGCTTCGTTCAGCCTCGCTTCCGACGGCACCTTTGCCTACACCCCAGTCGCCGAGTTTAACGGCGTTGACTCGTTCACTTTTGTCGCTTCCGACACCATCGACGAGTCGGCTCCTGCCACCGTCACCATCACCGTCGTCCCGGTTAACGACGCCCCGGTCCCGACTCCGGGTGCGTTCATCACCAACGAGGACGAGGCGTACACCGGCGCCCTCGAGGCTGTCGACGTCGACTCGGACGCCAGCTCTCTCTCGTATGCGGTCGTCACCGGCCCGAGCTCCGGCTCGGTCGTCCTTGTCGGCGGCAGCTCGTCGGGCGTCTCGGGCCCGGTCTTCACCTACGTCCCGACTCCGGACTTCCACGGCACCGACTCGTTCACCTTTGACGTCACTGATGGCGCCGCGAGCTCGTCGACGCCGGCCACCGTCTCCATCACCGTCCTCCCGGTCAACGACGCGCCGACTGCCGAGCATGCCGCGTTCTCCGTGGCCGAGAACGCCGGCCCGGCCGTCTTTGGCCTTGTCGCTGACGACGTCGACGGCGACGCCCTCACCTGGACCGTTGTCTCGCCGCCGGCCCGCGCCAGCTCGTTTGTCTTTACCGGCCCGTCGTTCAGCTACGCGCCGGCAACCGATGTGTGGGGCGACGACTCGTTCACCTTTGAGGTCACCGATGCCTCTGGCGAGTCGTCGGGCGTCAAGACCGCGCGGGTCACCATTGTGCCGCCGGCCAACCACGTGCCGCGCGGCAACGCCGCGGCCTTTAGCATGTACGAAGACACCGCCCTCGTCTTCCGGCTCAACGGCACCGACCAGGACACCGCCGACACCCTCACCTTTGCCATTGTTGACTTTCCGTCGGCCGTCGGCGCTCCGGGTGAGCTTCTCTCGCTCGTCACCGGTGACGTCCGCTACGTCCCGCGCGCCAACTACTTTGGATCGGACTCGTTCACCTACACCGTCACCGACGGAACCGACACTTCGGCAGCCTACGCCGTCGACATTGTCATCCTTCCGGTCAACGACCCGCCGACGGCCGAGTCGGACGAGTTTACCCTCGCCGAGGACTCGGTCCTCGTCGACGTCCTCGTCGGCGCTGACGTCGATGACTCGCTCGCGTCGCTCACCTTTGTCCTTGTTGCGCTCCCGACCTCCGGAAACGTGACTGTCGACGCCGCCACCGGTGCCTTTGTCTACACCCCGCGCGCCAACTTCCATGGCGCCGACGGGTTCTCGTTCAAGGTGATCGACCCGGCCGGCGCCGAGTCGGCGCTTGCCTCTGTTGCCCTCACCGTCGCCTCGGTCAACGACGCGCCGGTCGCCTACAACGGTGGCCTCTCCGTCGACGAGGAGTCGCCGGCGACCGCCGGCTCGACGCCGCCGACGCCGTTTGCGCTCCGCGCCACCGACGCCGATGGCGACGACCTCGTCTTTGAGCTCCTCTCGTCACCGACCCTCGGTGTGGTCTCCAACTTCAACCCGTACACCGGGACCGGCTCGTTCAAGCCGACCGTCGACGTGTGGGGTGAGGACGTGCTGACCTTCCGGGTCACCGACGCCCACGGCAGCGTCTCCAATGTTGCCTCGTTTACCATCCTTGTTGTTGCCGGAGTTCACGCGCCGCGCTCAGCCGACGCCGTCCTGCTCGTCGACGAGGAGATGCTCGGGTCTGTCAGCCTTGTCGGTACCGACCAGGACGCCGCCGACATCCTTGCCTGGCGCATTGTCGACATGCCGGATCACGCCTCGTCGGTCAGCCTCGACGCCGCGTCTGGCGTGCTCAGCTACACCGGCGCAGTCGACTTCCACGGCGCCGACGCATTGACCTACGTCGTCAACGACGGCACTTACAACTCGACAGTTGCCACTGTTGCCATCACTGTCCGTCCGGTCAACGATGCACCGGTCGCGTACCCGGGCTCGCTTGCCACCACCGAGGACACGCCGGTCTCGTCGGTCCTTGTCGGCTCTGACGTCGATGGCGACAACCTCGCGTTCTTTATCTCCCGGTCTCCGGCCTCGGGCGCCATCTCGCGCGACTCGGAGCTTGCGCGCGAGTTTGTCTTTACGCCTTCGCTCAACTTTAACGGCTTTGACTCGTTTGAGTACTACGTCTCCGACGGCGAGGCCAACTCGCAGGCCGTCACCGTCAACATCACGGTCGCGCCGGCCAATGACGCGCCGACCTGCGCACCGGCCACGTACACGGTTCCCGAGTACAACGCGCTGTACTTTACCGACGACCCGCGGACACCGCGGACGCCGCTCCTGGTCACGCTTCCGGGCTCAGACCTCGACGGCGACGCCCTCGTCTACTCGCTGCGGACCTCGCCGGTCCACGGCCAGGTCAAGGCCTTTGACGCCTCGGCGGGTACCCTCGAGTACTGGCCGGCCGTCGACTACTTTGGCGCCGACGAGCTGACCTACGCCACCTCTGACGGCTCGGCCGCCTGCGACTACGCCACTGTCTCCATCACCGTCGTTCCGCCGGCCAACCACGTCCCGCGCTCGGCTCCGGCCACCTTTACCACGCTCGAGGACACGCCGCTAGCCGAGAGTCTCGTCGGCACCGACCAGGACGTCGCCGATGTCCTGACCTTTGCGCTTGTCGGCCCGTCACCGCCGCCCTCGGTCGGCTCGGCGGTTGTTGACGCTGCCTCGGGTGTGTTCACCTTTGCGCCTGCCGCGAACTTCAACGGTGAGGTCAGCTACAGCTACACTGTTTCCGACGGGACGGCCACCTCGCGGACTGCCGCCATCTCGGTCGTCGTCCAGCCGGTCAACGACCCGCCCACTGCCGACTCGTTCACCTTTGCTGTCGACGAGGACGCCGAGTACTTTGGCCAGCTCTCTGGTTCGGACCTCGACGTGCCGGCCGACGCCCTCAGCTACGCCATCGCCCGCCCGCCGGCTGCCGGAGCCCTCACGCTGCCGTTTGCCGGCTCGCCGGCCTTTGCCTACCGCCCTTCGCCAAACTACAACGGCCCCGACTCGTTCACCTACTACGTCGACGACGGCACCGACGTCTCGGCCACCGTCGAGGTTGCCATCACCGTCAACCCAGTCAACGACGTCCCGGTCGCCCGCGACATTTCATTTGCCGTCGACGAGAACGCGCCTGGCAAGGTCTTCCTCCTCGCCTGCATCGACATCGACGCCAACGACGGAGCCTTCACCTTTGCGGTCGGCTCCCCGAGCCGCGGCACTGTCGTCGGCCTCGACGCCTCGACCGGCTCGGCCACCTTTGTCCCTACCACCGACGTCTGGGGCGCTGACTCGTTCACCTACACCTGCACCGACGCCGCTGGCGCAACCTCGGCGCCGGCTACTGTCCGGGTCACCATCGTTCCGCCGGCCAACCACGTTCCGCGCTCGGCTGCCGCCGCCTTTACCGTCGCCGAAGACACCCCGCTCTCGCCCAAGCTCGCTCTGGTCGGCACCGACCAGGACGCCGGCGACAGCCTGACCTTCCGCATCTCGGCCGCGCCCGCCCATGCTGCAGCGTTTGCCCTCGACCCTGCCACCGGCATGCTGAGCTACACTCCGGCCGCCAACTACGCTGGCTCGGACTCGCTCTCTTACGTCGTCACCGACGGCACCGACACCTCGTCGCCGTCGATCGTCTCCATCACCGTGAACCCCGTCAACGATGCCCCGGTCGCCCGCGACTCGGCCGCTGCTGGCGCAGAGGACTCCCCAATCTCCTCGGTTATGCTCGGCTCCGACGTCGAGACGCCAGAGTCGGACCTGGTCTTCACCGTCAGCCTGGCTCCGGCCAACGGCGTCCTTGTCCAGGACGCGCCTGGCTCGGCGGGCTTCACCTTTACTCCCGACCCGAGCTGGTTCGGCACCACCTCGTTCACCTTTACCGTCTCGGACGGCGTCGCATCCTCGGCCACGCCGGGCGAGGTGACCCTCACCATCGAGGCCGTCAACGACGTGCCGACCTGCAGCGACTCGGCCGTCTCGGTCAACGAGCTCCCGCGGTCGGCTGCCGTCGTCTCGACCACGCTCGTTGCCGCCGATCCGGATCTCGCCACTGGTGACATCCTCACCTACATCATCGACTCGGCGCCGGCCTCGGGCGCAGTCACGTCCTTCGACGCCGCCACCGGCCAGATCACCTACGTGCCTGCTGTCGACTTTTTCGGCACCGACTCGCTCACGTTCTACGTCCACGACAAGGACGGCGCGAACCCCAACTCGAACGCGCCTGACACCTGCCCGACGCCCAAGTCGTCCAAGAAGACGTACCTCTGCCACGGCACGTCATCGGACAAGAACCCGTACAACCGCATCCAGGTGGCCAAGGCCTCGCTCAGTGGCCATGTCATCGGCTCGGCGGACTCGCCCAACGGTAAGTACCCCGACTACTTCCCGGGCACCAACGGCCTCGACTGCGAGTGCAACGCCTACGTCCCACGCCGGTCCAAGACCTGCACGCTCACCGTCACCGTTGTTCCGCCGGTCAACCACGTCCCGCGCGCCGCGCCGGCGAGCCTCACCACCAACGAGGACACCCCGGTCTCGGCGCCGCTCGTCGGCACCGACCAGGACGCTGCGGACGTCGCCGGCCTCGTCTTTGCCGTCGAGTCGGGCCCGTCCAACGGCACGGCAGCCTTTGACGGCAAGACTCTGACCTACACCCCTGCAGCGGACTTCTTTGGCTCGGACACCCTCGCCTACACTGTCTCGGACGGAACCGACACCTCGGCCCCGGCTGAAGTCACTCTCCGCGTCAACCCAGTCAACGACGTTCCGGTCGCATCGCCAGCCTCGCTCGTCACCAACGAGGACACGCCGCTCCGCGGCGTCCTCGTCGCTTCCGACGTCGAGACCCCGGTCGCCGCCCTCGTCTACACCATCACCGCTGCACCGGTCTCGGGCACCGTCACTGTCGAGGGCAACGCCTTTGTCTACACGCCAGCGGCCAACTACAACGGGCCGGACGCCTTTGCATTTGTCGCCACCGACGATGCAGGCGTAGACTCGGTCCCGGCCACGATTACCATCGCTGTCTCGCCCGTTAACGACCCGCCGCGCGCCGCCAACCTCGCCTTCTCGCACCCGGAGCTCCCGCGGTCGACAAAGTCGTACTTCCTCGTCGGCTCCGACATCGAGGCCTCGCCGCTCGCCTTTTCCCTTGTGGCGTCGCCCTCGCTTGGCTCGCTGGTCCTGGTCTCGGCCGCCACCGGCGAGGTCTCGTACCTCCCGCCGGTCGACTTCTTTGGCTCGGTCACCTTTACCTACCAGGTCTCGGACGGTGCGCTCTTTGCGCTGGTCCCGGGCTCGGTCACCATCGACGTCGTCCCGCCGGCCAACCACCAGCCGCGTGCCAACTCGACGACCTACGCGCTCGAGGAAGACTCGAGCCTCACTGTGACCCTGGTCGGTACCGACCAGGACTCGGGCGATGTGCTGAGCTTTGAGCTTGCTCCCGGCGCCGGCGCCTCCAACGGCGCGTGCGCCGTCGACGCCGCCGCTCGCACCCTCACCTACACTCCGGCCGCAAACTACAACGGGGCTGACGCGTGTACATACGTCGTCGTCGACGACTCGGGCGAGACCGTCGACATGCCGGCTACCTCGGAGCCTGGCCTCCTCACCTTTAACGTCCTCCCGGTCAACGACCCGCCGCGCGCTCAGCCGCTCACGGTCGCCACCAACGAGGACTCTCCTGCCGCCGGCCTCTTTGTCGGCACCGACATTGACTCGTCCTCGGCCTCGTTTGTGTACTCGGTGGTCACCCCGCCGGCTCACGGCAACGTGGTGGTCTCAGGCCCCGGCCCTGCGTTTACCTACACGCCGGCCGCAAACTACAACGGACTCGACTCGTTCACCTACAAGGTCAACGACGGCATGCTCTGTTCCAACACTGCCGCTGTCGCCATCTCGGTCGCGCCGGTTAACGACCCGCCGATCGCTGTCTCGGGCACGCTCGCCGTCAACGAGAACTCGGCTGACAACACCACCCTCATCGGAACCGACGTCGACTCGGCCCAGCTGTACTACACCATCACGTCGGTGCCGACCAAGGGCACCATCACCGCCTTTGATCCGGCGACTGGCTTTGTCGAGTACACCACCAAGACCAACGTCTGCACCTTCCTCTGCTGGGACTCGTTCACCTTTACCGTCTATGACGGCCAGGACACGTCCAACACCGCGACCGTCAACGTCACCATCGTCCCGCCGTCCAACCGCCTGCCCTACGGCGAGCCGGCGGCATACACACTTGCCGAGGACTCGTTCACCGTCCAGGCTCTCGCTGGCTCGGACCGCGACCCGCTCGACGTCCTCACCTTTGCCATCAAGACCGACGGTCCTGCCGCCGGCCCCTTCCATGGCTCTGTTGTGCTCGAGACGCCGACCTCGTTCCGCTACACTCCGGACGCAGACTACAACGGGCCAGACTCGTTCTACTACATTGTGTCGGACGGTAAGGCCGAGTCGTCGCCGGTCGCCATCTCGCTCACCGTCACTCCAGTCAACGACCCACCGGCCGGCGCCGACGCCACATACAACCTGGCCGAGGACTCGCTCCTCGCAGGCGTCGCCCTCGTTGGCACAGACATTGACGACGAGACCTCGGTCCTCCGCTACTTCCTTGACTCTTCTGCGTCCCCGTCGGGCACCGTCAGCCTGCCGTCGGCAACCTCGCCGGCCTTTTCGTTTGCCCCGGACAAGGACTTTAACGGCGTCGTCACCTTTACCTACCACGTCAAGGACGATGACCTTGCCTCGTCGTCTATCCACACCGTGACCCTCAATGTGGGCCCGGTCAACGACCCGCCCGTCGCCTTCAACTCGGCGTTTACCGCCGACGAGATTGTCGCTGGCGAGGCCGTGCCGGCCACGGCCTCGTCGTCGTTTGTCGCCACCGATGTCGACGCCGGTGAGACCGCCACCCTGACCTACACCCTTGTCGCCGGCCCGCGCCACGGCGTGCTCGTCGGCAACTTTGCCTCCACCGGTGCCTTTGACTACGTGCCCGAGACCGACTACGCGGGCGAGGACTCGATGGCCTTCTTTGCCACTGACGTCAACGGCGCCGTCTCGAACGTCGCCAACGTCTCCATCACCGTCGTCCCGCCGCTCAACCACCGCCCGCGCGTTGCCGACGCCACCCTCGCCACCATGGAAGACATCGTGCTCACCTCGACCCTTGTCGGCACCGACAAGGACGTCGGTGACACGCTCACCTTCTCCATCGTGGCCGATGGCTCGCTTGGCTCGGCCACCTTTACCAACGCCTCCACCGGAGTCGTGGAGTACACCCCGAACCCGAACCTCTCCGGCTCGGACTCGTTCACTTACCGCGTCACCGACTCAAAGGCCATGGTCAACTCGGCCTCGTTCATCGCCACCGTCACCGTCAACATCGCTCCGGTCAACGACGCTCCGGTCGCCACCTCGCAGCACTTCAACTTCGTCGAGGACGCCGTCCTCGTTGGCACCCTCATTGCGTCAGACGTCGAGACGGCCTCCTCCGCGCTAACCTACACCGTTGTTGCGCCGCCAGCGCACGGATCGATCGTCGTCACCTCGCCGGGTGGCGGCTTTGAGTACCGGCCGAATGAGCACTACAACGGCGCCGACGCATTTGCCTTCCGTGCTTCGGACGGCTTGGCTTCGTCGAACGTCGCCAACGTGACCATTACCGTGACGCCGATCAACGACGCCCCGGTCGCCATCTCGGACACCCTCTTTGTTGACGAGAACTCGGGCGTGACCTCCTTTGCCCTCGCCGGTTTGGATGTCGAGGACGACTTGGCCATGCTCACCTTTGCCGTCGGCGGCACCTCGCCGTCGCGCGCCTCGGTCTTTACCCTGCATGCCAACGGCTCTGTCGCCTACGCGCCGGCCGTCGACGTCTGGGGCGCTGACTCGTTCACCTTTACCGTCACCGACTCGACCGGCGTGACATCGGCCCCGGCCACTCTCGCCATCACCATCGTGCCGCCGGCGAACCACGTCCCGCGCTGTGTCGACCGCGAGCTCACCACGGCCGAGGACACCCTCGCTTCGATCACCCTCACCGGCACCGACCAGGACGCCGCCGATGCCGGCTCGCTCACCTTTGCCCTCGTCGAACCGCCGCGCCACGCTGTGACGTACGTCCTCGATCCGGCCACTGGTGTCCTCGAATACGCCCCGGCACCCAACTTTGTCGGCTCCGACTCGGCCCGCTACACCGTCACCGACGGGACCGACGTCTCGCGCCCGGCCGTCATCGCTATCACGGTGACGCCGGTCAACGACGCGCCGGTCGCCTACGACGACACCCTCACCACCGCCGAGGACTCGCCGCTTGCCGCCTCGCTCGTCGCCACTGACATCGACACTCCTGCGGCCGACCTCTCGTACACTCTACTCTCGACGCCGTCGGCCACCCTCGGCTCGGTCGCCCTTGTCGGCTCCGGCCCGGGCATCGTCTTTACGCCGGCCGCCGATGCCTCGGGCTCGGACACGTTCACCTTCCGTGTCTCGGACGGCACGCTCGACTCGGGCGTCGCCACCGTCACGCTCGTCGTCGTGCCAGCCAACGACGCACCGACTTGCACCGACGGCGCCGCCAGTGTGGACGAGGACGCCGCCGCGACGAGCCTCACCCTCGCCTGCGCTGACGTCGACATCGGCACCTCGGGCGACGTCCTCGAGTGGGTTCTTGCGCCCAACGCGTCGCCGTCGCTCGGCTCGCTCTCGAGCTTTAACCCGGCCACCGGTGCAGTGGACTACACCCCTCGCGCCGACGTCTGGGGCGTCGACTCGTTCAAGTTCTACGCCCGCGACGCCGACGGCGTCCAGTCCAACGTCGCCGTCTTTGTGGTCACCATCAACCCGCCGGCCAACCATCAGCCGCGCGGCGCCCCGGTCGTCTTTACCATTGCCGAGGACGCCGCCGTCACTTCGTCGACCCTCGTTGCCACTGACCAGGATGCTGCCGACAGCCTCTCGCTGCAGCTCGGTGCCACCGCTCCCTCGTTCGGCACTGTCTCGTTTGACGGCCTCACCGTGAGCTACGTGCCGAACAGCAACGCCAACGGCGTCGACACCTTTAGCTACGTTGTCAACGATGGAACCGGCGCGTTGGTCGAACCGGCCCTCTCCGCCGACGCTCTCATCACCGTCAACGTCGTTCCGGTCAACGATCCGCCGACCGCGGTGCCGTCGGCATTCACCGTCGCTGAGGACGCCCAGCACTTTGGCACAGTCTCGGGCGCCGATATCGACTCGTCGCTCGCCTCGCTCCGCTACTCGATTGTTCTCGACTCTGAGAACGGCACCGTCCTGCTTGACGCCGACGGCTCGTTTGTCTACACCCCGCGGCCCGACTACAACGGCCCCGATGCCTTTGTGTTCAAGGCCAACGACGGCGATCTTGACTCGGAGCCGGTCGCGGTCTCGATTACCGTCACCCCGACCAACGACGCGCCCATTGCCGACGACATCTCGGTCGCGGTCGACGAGAACGGTGGTGCTATCACCATCACGCTCTTTGCCACCGACATCGACGCCGGTGACTCGCTCACGTACTCGCTCGCTGGAGCGGCACCGGCGCTCGGCGTCACCTCGGGCCTCGACACCGCCGCGGGTACCGTCACCTACACGCCGAACACCGATGTGTGGGGCATCGATGCCTTTAACTACCGCGTCTCGGACGGTTCGACCTTCTCCAACACTGCAACCGTCACCGTCTCGATCGTGCCGCCGTCCAACCACGCGCCGCGCTCCGCGCCCGCCGCCTTTGTCACCCGCGAGGACAGGACTCTCCGCAACGTCCGCCTTGTCGGTACCGATCAGGACGCCGACGACGAGCTCACCTGGTCGCTCGTCTCGCGCCCGTCGGTGAGGGGCTCGCGCTACTCGCTCGACCCGGGCTCGGGCCGCTTCACCTACCGGCCGAAGCGCAACTACCACGGCGATGACTACGTCACCTACCGCGTTTCGGACGGCGAGGCCTTCTCGGCCACCGCCCGCGTCAACATCACCGTGCTCTCAGTCAACGATCGCCCGCGCTGCTTCAACGCTCGCACCCGGACCTACGAGGACTCGCCCGGCCTTCGCTACTACCTCTGCGTCGCCGACGTCGAGACCCGCGGTGCTGACCTTGTCTACACCGTCGTCGTCCCGCCCGCCCACGGCAACGTCACCATCGACGCCAACTACATGTTCTACGTCCCCGACCCGGACTTTAACGGCATCGACTCGTTCCGCTTTGAGGCTACCGACGAGGGCGGCCTCACTTGCGCCGCCCGCACCGTCACCATCACTGTCGCGCCCGTCAACGACGCGCCCGTCGCCCACGATGGCGCCGGCTCGGTCGCTGAGAACGCGCCGCAGCCTGTTGCCTTCCGCCTCTCAGCCTCTGACATTGACTCGGACGTCGCAGACCTAACCTTTGCTCTTGACTCGGCCCCGACTCGTGGCACCGTCACCCGCTTTGACGCCACCGCCGGCATTGTCTACTACAAGCCGAACACCGATGTATGGGGCGCCGACGCGCTGACCTTTACCGTCTCGGACGGCAAGGCCTCGTCCAACGTCGCCACCTTTGCCATCACCATCGTGCCGCCGGCCAACCATGTCCCGCGCGCCTACCCCGACGAGTTCTCGCTCCTCGAGGAGGCCACCGGTGCCTTTGCGCTCACCGCCACCGACCAGGACGCCGCCGACACTCTCACCTTTGTCCTCGTCTCGGGTCCGGCCCACGGCTCTGCGTCCATTGACGGCTCCTCGGGTGTCCTCACCTACACCGGTGAGACCGACTTTAACGGGCTCGACGCGCTCACCTTTGCCGTCGTCGACTCGGGCGTCCCGCAGGCCGAGTCGGCCACCGCCCGCGTCGTCCTCCGCGTCCTTCCGGTCAACGACCCGCCGGTCGCCGTCGACTCGGCCTTTGCCCTCTCCGAGGACACCCGGATCACCGGCCCTCTTGGCTGCTCTGACGTCGACTCGACCTCGTTCTCCTTCCTCAAGGCCGCCGAGACACTCCACGGTGCCGTAGAGATCACCGGCGCTTCGTTTGCCTACACGCCGTTTGTCAACTACCACGGCGACGACGTCTTTACCTTCCGGTGCAACGACGGCGAGCTCGACTCGAACAACGCGACCGTGACCCTTACCATCACTAACGTCAACGACCCGCCGACCGCCGCCGACACCTCGGCCTCGGTCGCCGAAAACTCGCCGACTGGCGTCGTCGTCACCCTCCTCGGCGCCGACGTCGACGACGGCGACGTCCTCACCTATCTCCTGCCCTCGCTCACTTCAGCCCGCGGTGGTAGCCTCGTCGACTTTGATTCGGCCTCGGGCAACGTCACCTACATTCCGCCCACCGACCTCTGGGGCGCCGACGTGTTCGAGTACTCGGTCACCGACGCCGCGGGCGCCTCGTCGCGCCCGGCCACCGTCACCGTCACTATCGTCCCGCCGGTCAACCACATTCCGCGGACGCAGCCCAAGACGGTCAATCTTGCTGAGGACGAGCGGGTCACCGTCCAGCTCGTCGGCACCGACCAGGACGTCAACGACGTTCTCACCTACGCCATCGTCTCGCCGCCGGTCGCTGCCTCGTTCTACGAGCTCGATGCCGCTACCGGCAAGCTCACTTACCAGCCGACCAAGGACTTTAACGGTGTCGACGCCCTCGTCTTTGCCGTCTCGGACGGCACCGCCGACTCGGCCTCATCCACCGTCACCCTCCTGGTCGCGCCGGTCAACGATGCTCCTGTCGCCGCTGCACTCACCATCTCCACCGAAGAGGAGCTGCCTGTCAGCGGCATCCTCCTGGGATCGGACATCGACAACGTTCTCGCCAACCTCACTTTTGCCTACGCCTCGTCGGTCCCGGCGTCGGTCGGCTCGCTCTCGGCCCTCGTCGACGGCGCTCCGGCGTTTACCTTTGCGCCCGCCAAGGACTTTGTCGGCACGGCCTCATTCGAGTTTGTCGTCTCGGACGGCTCGCTCGTCTCGGCCAAGGCCGTCGTCACCGTCATCGTCGCGCCCATCAACGACGCTCCGGTCGCGCTCGCCTCGTCGTTCTCGGTTCCCGAGGACGCCCCGGCCACCGGCGCCCAGCTCATGGCCTCGGACGTCGACTCGCTCGACCTCACCTACACCATCGTCACCTTCCCGGCCCACGGCACAGTCTCGCAGCTCGACGCAGCCTCGGGGGCATTTGCCTACAAGCCCGAGGTCGACTACTTTGGCGCCGACGCGCTCACCTTCCGGGTCTCGGACGGCGAGCTCGACTCGGCCGTCGCCACCGTCACCATCGACGTCGTCCCGCCGTGCAACCACGTGCCGCGTGGTGCGCCGGTCGCACTCACCACCAACGAGGACGTCGCCGTCTCGACTACCCTCGTCGGCACCGACCAGGACGCCGGTGACGTGCTTACCTGGGCTCTTGTGTCACCGCTGCCTGCCGGCGCGCGCGCTGACCTCGATGCCGCCACCGGTCAGATCACCCTCACCCCGCCGGCCGACTTTGTGGGCTCGTTCTCGCTCCAGTACACTGTCACCGACGATGTCCAGGGCAACTGTGGGCCGCTCACCTCGCGCCCGCGGACCATCACCGTCGCCGTCGCCCCGGTCAACGACCCGCCGCTCGCCACAGACCTGACCTTTGCCACTCGCGAGGACACGCCGCTCTCGCGTGCCCTCGCCGGCTCGGACGTCGATGCCGGTGACTCGCTCACCTATGCCATCGTCACCCAGCCAACCTACGGCGGAGTCGTCCTCGCTGCGCCGGGCTCGGCCGGCTTTACCTACACCCCGGCCGCCAACTTCCACGGCAACGACAGGTTCACCTACAAGGTCACCGACGCGTCGGGCGCCACCTCGGATACGGCCTCGGTCGCCATTACGGTCTCGCCCGTCAACGACGCCCCGGTCTGCACCCCGGCCGCCTTTGCTCTCCCGGAGAACGCCAAGAACGTCCCGCTTGTCCTTCCAGCCTCCGACATTGACGCCGATCCGCTCACCTTTGCGCTCTGCTCCTTCCCGGAGCATGGCAAGCTCAAGCTCGACTGCGCCAAGGGCTCCGGCTCCAAGGGCTCACGCTCGTCCAAGGACTCGTCCAAGGACCAGGCCCGCACCGCCTCGCAATCGGCGTGCCCGGTGCCGAGTGCCTCGGCTTCCAAGGTCGCCATTTGCCACGGCACCTCCTCGTCCAAGAACCCGTGGGTCCGCATCAAGGTCTCGCGCAAGCGTGACGGCTCGCTCCAGAACGGCCACGTCATCGGGAGGTTCACGCCTCGTCCGCCAAGTCTGCCACTGGCCCCGTCTACCCAGACTACTGGCCGGGCACCAACGGCCTCGACTGCAACTGCGTCCGCACTACGCCGTCGACCGCCTCTGGCGCAAAGCCTGCCGCCTGTCGCGCGGAGCTCGTCCGCTACACCCCCGACCGCCGCTACTTTGGCCCGGACACCTTCTCCTTCCGCGCTCTTGACCCGGCCTCGGCGTCGTGCGGCTGCACCGCCGTCAACATTACGGTTGTCGGCCCGCCGAACCACCTGCCCGAGGGCGCCGACGCTACCTACACCCTGCCTGAGGACACCGTCCTGGAGGCCACGCTCTTTGGTACCGACCAGGACAAGGCTGACACCCTCACCTTTGCCATCGCCTCGCCCCGGCCCACGCCGCGGGCCCGATCGTCCTCAACCCCGCCACTGGTGAGTTTGCCTACACCCCTGCCGCCGACTACAACGGGCCCGACGCCTTCACCTACACCGTCTACGATGGGACCAACTCATCGGCTCCGGCGACCGTGTACATCAACCTCACTCCGGTCAACGACGTGCCGCGCGCGTCCAACTCGAACGACTCGCTCTGCGAGGACGGCTCGGTCACTGGCGTCCTCCACTGGCTCGACGTCGATGGCTGCGCGCCGTCGACCTCGGTCCGCTCCGACGGCCGCGAGGTTGTCATCGTCGATGCAGTTGCCCGCGACTTCCGCAAGTCCCACCCCGACATGCAGGCCCGCATCAAGTTCGAGACCGGCATTGTTGAGGAGGAGCTCGGTGCGGATGGCAAGCCTGTCTACGCCCACCCTGGCTCGTCCACCCGCACCACCTCGGGCAAGGCTGCCTTTGACCAGTGGTACAACGACGTGCCCGGTGTCAACACCCGCATCTCCATTCAGCTCGAGCTCGTTGCAGACGCCAGGGACCCTTCGGTCTACACCTACTGCACCTCTAAGTTCTTCCCGCTCGACGGTGCAGGCTTTGGCAACGAGGGCCGCAGGCACAACTACCACTTTACCGTGGAGATGCACCTCTCGTTTGTCTACACCGGCGTCGGCTTCCAGGACTTCAGCTTCCGCGGCGACGACGACGTCTGGGTCTTCATCAACAACCGCCTCGTCATCGACCTCGGCGGCATCCATGGGCCCAAGTCGGCCAAGATCGACTTGCCCACCGTCGCTGCAGAGACCGGCATGGTCGTCGGCGGCACTTACCCCATGGCCATCTTCTTTGCCGAGCGCCACACTTCGGGCTCGAACATCTGCATCCGCCAGACCTTCAAGCTCTTCACCTGCGACCAGTCGGTCTCGCTCGTCGCGCCACCGGCCCATGGCACCGTCACCCTTGCCGACACTACCTACACGTACACGCCGAACCCGCACTACACTGGTCCGGACGCCTTTTCGTTTGTCGCCAACGATGGCTCGGGCGACTCGAACATCGCTACCGTCTCACTCGACGTCTGCTCCATCAACGACGCCCCTGTCGTCTACGACGCAGAGCTCGAGGTCGACGAGGACGCCGCCGACACCCCGGTCACCCTCCTCGTCACCGACGTCGATGCCGCCACCGCTCCGGGTGGTGACTCGTACCTCTGCTCCGTCGTCACTGCCCCGGCCCACGGCACCTTTGTCTTTTCAGACCCGTCGTCGTGCTCCGGTACCTACAAGCCCGACGTCGACTACTTTGGCCCCGACTCGGTCGCCTTTGTCGCCACCGACGCCGCCGGCGCTGTCTCGAACATTGGCACGCTCTTTGTCTCGGTCGTTCCGCCGCCGAACCACATCCCACGCAACGCGCCTGCGTCGTTTGCCACAGACGAGGACTCCCCGGTCTCGGGCACCCTCGTCGGTACCGACCAGGACCTCCCCGCCGGCCAGGTTCTCGCCTTTACGGTGACGACTCCGCCGACGTTCGGCTCGGTCTCGCTCGACAGTCTCACTGGCGTCTTTACCTACACGCCGGCGAGCAACGCTAACGGGCCTGACGCTTTTGCCTACATTGTCACCGACTCGTACTCGCCGCCGGCCTCCTCGCCGCCGGCGGTTGTCTCCATCAATGTCGCTCCCGTCAACGACCCGCCGACCTGCTCTCCGCTGGATCTCGTTGTGGCCGAGGACTCCGTCCTCAACGTCGTCCTCGCCACTGCCGACATCGACACTCTTCCGCACGGCCTCGCCCATGCGCTCGTTTCGCTGCCGGCTGCCGGCAACGTCTCGCTCACTGGCGGTGCCAACGCGAGCTTCACTCCGGCCCACAACTTTAACGGCATCGTCTCGTTTGCCTACACCGTCCACGACGGTGAGTACAACTGCGAGACCGCACTCGTCACCGTCACCGTCACCCCGGTCAACGACGAGCCGGTCGCGCTCGACGCTGCCTACTCGGTCGCCGAGTCGTCGCCGGCCGTCGTCCTTGACCTGCCGGCCACCGACATTGACACCGGTGACTCGCTCACCTGGTCCATCGAGTCGCCGCCGGACGCCCGCTTTGCCCGTGTCTTTGGCCTCGACGTCGACGCCGGCACCATCTCGTTCGAGCCGGTCACCGACGTCTGGGGTCCCACTTCGTTCACCTTCCGTGTCGCAGACGACTCGGGTGCAACCTCGAACGTCGCCACCGTCTCAGTCGAGATCATCCCGCCGGTCAACCACATTCCGCGGACCGCCCCGGCTAGCATCGCCACGCCCGAGGACACCCCTGCCGTCATTGCCCTCGTCGGTACAGACCAGGACGTCGAAGACGTTCTCCGCTACATCGTCGTCTCGCCGCCGTCGCACGCCGCCTCATACACCCTGCATCCCGCCACCGGTGAGCTCTCGTACACCCCGGCTGCAGACTACCACGGCCTCGACGCCCTCACTTACAAGGTCAACGACGGCGCCGACGACTCGATCGTCGCCACTGTCTCCATCGTCGTCGCCCCGGTCAACGACGCTCCGCTCGCCGCCGACGCCTCCTTTGACCTTGTCGAGGACACCCTCCTCGACGGCGTCCTCTTTGGCGCAGACGTTGACTGCTGCCCGGCCGACAACCTGACCTTTGCCCTCACCGCCACCTCGCCCTCGGGCGTCGTCGCCCTCACCGCTCCGGGCTCGGCTTCGTTCACCTTTGCGCCTGCTCCCAACTTTGACGGCTCGACCTCGTTTGAGTACGTCGTCTCGGACGGCGCCCTCTTCTCCTCTCCAGGCGTCATCACCATCAACATGCTCCCCGTCAACGATCGGCCCGTCGCCTTTGCCGACGCCGTCGCTGTCTCGGAGAACTCAGTCGACAACGCCATCGCCCTCGATGGCGCTGACGTCGAGGGCACGGCTCTTGTCTTTGCCCTCGCCTCGGCCACGACCCACGGTTCCATCACTCTCGATCCGGTCTCTGGCGTCGCCTCGTACACGCCGGACGTTGACTACTTTACTGTGGCAGCCGATCCGGCCCGTCCCGACGACGTCTTCACCTTTACCGTCTCGGACGGCGAGCTCGTCTCGCCGCCTGCAACCGTCACCATCACCGTCGTCCCGCCGGCCAACCACGTCCCGCGCTCCGCCCCGGCCTCGGTCACCACCTTTGAGGACACCTCGGCGTCGCCGCTCGCCCTCGTTGGCACCGACCAGGACGACGCCGACGTCCTCACCTGGTCGATCGTGTCCGGCCCGGCCGTCGCAGGGGCCTCGTTTGACCTCGACCCGGCCTCGGGCGCCTTTGTCTACTTCCCGGCCGCCGACTACTTTGGCTCGGACGCTCTCGAGTACGTCGTCACCGACTCGCGCGGTAACGTCTCGCTCTCTGCCGCCATCTCGGTCACCGTAGTCCCGGTCAACGACCCGCCGGTCGGTGCCCCGGCCGCCTTCCTCGTCTCCGAAGACGTCGTCCTCGCCGGGGAGGCCCTCTTCGCTGCCGACATCGACGACGCCACCTCGAACCTTGTCTTCAACGTCGAGCGCGACGGTGTCCTCGGCGACGTGGACCTCGACGCCGCCTCAGGCCTCTTCTCCTACTACCCGCTCCCGAATGCCAACGGCGGCGACTACTTTACCTACAAGGTCACCGACCCGTCCGGCGCTACCTCGCCCGCCTACCGCGTCAACGTCACCGTCGTCCCGGTCAACGACGTCCCGGTCGCCGACCCGGCCGTCGTCTCGGTTGCCGAGAACGCCGCCGTCGCCGCAGCAATCACCCTCACCGGCTCAGACGTCGACATTGCCCGCGAGGGTGACGTCCTCACATTCTCGCTCACCGTCGTCCCGACCCACGGCAACATCACCCTCGACCCTGCCACCGGTGCCTTTACCTACCTGCCGCACGTCGACTACTTTGGTCCCGACACCGGGTACTTTGTCGTCACCGACGCCGCAGGCGCTGTCTCGGAGCCGGCCCGCATCCGCATCTTTGTCCGCCCGCCGCCGAACCACATTCCGCGCGTCGGCGACTATGCCTTTGCCCTCGACGAGGATACCCCGCTCACCCCGGTCTACCTCCTCGGCACCGACCAGGACACCGACCAGTCGCTCACCTTTGAACTCGTCAACGTTCCGGAGCACGCCGCAAGCTACGCCCTCGACCCGGCCACCGGCCTCTTCTCCTACACTCCGGCGCTCAACTACAACGGGCCCGATGCCGCTACCTACCGCGTTGTCGACTCGTTCTCGTCGTCGCCGGCTGCCTCGCGCGAGGGCTCCATCGTCTTTACCATCAACCCGGTCAACGACGCCCCGGTCGCGGCTCCGCTGGCCATCACCCTTCCCGAGGACTCGTCGCTCGTTGGCGAGCTTGACTGCTCCGACGTTGACCTTCCGGCCCAGGGCCTGAGCTACGCCCTCGCCGCCGCGCCCGGTGGCGCCGCTACCCGTGGAGCTGTTGTGCTCTCCGGCACTGACCCGTCGTTCAACTACACCTCGCCGCCCAACTTCGTCGGCTCGGACCTGTTCTACTGGTCCTGCGCCGACGACGGCACTGGCTCGCTGACTTCGAACGTCGCCCTCGTCTCTGTCACCATCACTCCGGTCAACGACGCTCCGGTCGCCGCCGACATCTCGGTCTCGGTCGACGAGCGCTCGCTGGAGGAGCCCGGCTCCGGGCCCTTCACCATTGCCCTCCTCTGCTCCGACATCGATTTGCCCGGCGACGTCCTCTCGTTTGCGCTCACCTCGGCCCCGACCCATGGCACACTCTCTGCTCTGGACTCGGCCGCAGGCACCGTCGACTACCTCTCGGACATCGACTACTTTGGCGCAGACTCGTTCACCTACACCTGCTTTGACGGCGCCGCCACCTCGAACACCGCCCGCGTCACCATCGCCGTCACCCCGCCGGACAACCATCCGCCGCGGTGCGCCGACGCTGCCTTTACCGTCGACGAGGACGGCTCGCTTGCTGTCAAGCTCGTCGCCACCGACCAGGACGCCGACGACGCCGACAAGCTCACCTACACGCTGGTCGGCGAGCCGGCGTTCGCCGCCTCGGCCTCCCTCGGCTACACGTCGGGCGTCTTTGCCTACGCTCCGGTCGCCGATCACGACTCGACCTCCGAGTCGCTCGCCTACGTCGTCTCTGACGGCGACAAGTCCTCGCGCGCATGCGCCGTCACCGTCGCCTTCCGCCCGGTCAACGACGCCCCGGTGGCCTCGCCGGCTGCGTACACCACGCTCGAGGACATTCCGCTCGAGATCACCCTCGTCTGTGCCGACATCGACTCGGCCCAGTCGGAGCTCTCGTTCACTGTTGTCCAGGCACCGGCCTTTGGCTCGGTCACCCACGCCGCACCGGGCTCAGCAGCCCTAACCTACGCCCCGGCCGCCAACTACAACGGTTCGGACGCCTTTGCGTTCACCTGCTCTGACGGTAACCTGACCTCCAACGTCGCGGCTATCTCGCTGAGCGTGACTCCGGTCAACGACGCCCCGGTCGCCGCAGACCTCGTCTTCTACGTCGACGAGAACTCGGTCGCCAACGCCTGCTCCTCTCGGCCTCAGACCTCGATATCGAGGCCGGCGAGCAGCAGTCGCTTCGTTTCACCATCGAGTCGACCGCGCGCCTTGGCTCGCTCGCCAACTTTAACCGTGACGCCGGCTCGCTCACCTACACCCCGAACGTCGACGTGTGGACCGTCAACAACTCCCTCCCAGACTCGTTCACCTACTCTGTCGCCGACTCGGCCGGCGGTATCTCCAACGTCGCCACCGTCACCGTCCACATTGTCCCGCCGACCAACCACATCCCGCGCTCGGCGCCGGCCACCCGGACCCTGTCTGAGGATACTACCGTCACCATTCCGCTCGTCGGAACCGACCAGGACGTCGCCGACCTGCCGGCGCTGGTCTTCTCAGTCGTTGACGCCCCGTCGCACTCGGATGGCTCGTTCGCTGTCGACCCCGCCACAGGCGTCGCCACCTACACCCCGGCCCTCAACTACCACGGCGCCGACACCTTTACCTATCGCGTCAGCGATGGCAAGGACTTCTCGGCCTCGTCGGTTGTCGCGCTCACCATCACGCCCGTCAACGACCCGCCGCTCGCCCTCCCGGCCACCTTTACCGGCCCCGAGGATGCGCCCCTCCTGGGTTTCTTCACCGGCTCGGACATCGAAGGCTCGCCGCTCTCGTTCTCGCTCGTCGGCTCGGGCCCGGCCCTTGGATCGCTCGTCCGCGACGGTGCAGACTTTGTCTACCAGCCACCGGCAGACTTCTTTGGCAATGTCACCTTTGACGTTCTCGCCTTTGACGGCGCTGCCTACTCGCTGGCCCCGGCTACCATCACCCTCGTCATCACCCCGGTCAACGACGCTCCGCTCGCCCTCAACACCACCCTCTCCGTTCCGGAGAACGCCGGGCCGACCACCGTCCAGCTTCCGGCGTCCGACGTCGACGTCCCGGTCCAGGCCCTTATCGCCTCGCTCGAGTCGGCGCCGGCTCTCGGCAACCTGACCAACTTTGATCCGCTGGCTCGCACCGTCGACTTTACCCGACCCGCGACGTGTGGACCGACCCGGGTCTCACCGACTCGTTCACCTTTGCCGTCAACGACGGTCTTGCCAGCTCGGTCACCCTCGGTACTGTCACTATCACCATCGTCCCGCCGGCCAACCACGTTCCGATCGCCTATGACGCTGCCTTTACCATTGCCGAAGACGGCGCTGTCCCGGCAGCCGCACGCCTCTCAGCCTCGGACCTTGACATCGACCGCTCACGCGCGAACTTTGCCCAGGTCCTCGCCTTTGAGGTCGTCACGCCCCGGAGCACGCCGAGCTCTTCCGTCTCGACGCCGATGGCGCCTTTGCCTACGCGCCCGAGGACAACTACAACTCGGTCGACTCGTTCGCCTTCCGCGTCTTTGACGGCGTCGACTACTCGAACATCGCCACCGTCGTCATCACCATCACCCCGGTCAACGACGCCCCGGTCGCCGAGCCCGACGCAGTCGCCACTCCCGAGGACACCCCGCTCGTCGAGCAGTTTGTCGCTTCGGACGTTGAGGACGACCCGCTCACCTATGTCGTTGTCTCGCCGCCGGCCCACGGCTCTGTCGCCGTCGTCAACGGCTCGTTCTACCTCTACACCCGGCCGCAGACTACAACGGGCCGGACACCTTTGCCTTTGAGGTCCTCGACACTGCAGGCGCCGTCTCGGCCCCTGCCACCATCGACATCACCGTCTCGCCGGTCAACGACCCGCCGCTCGCCCACGACGTTGCCTTCTCCATTCCCGAGGACGCCGACTTTGACAATGTCCAGCTCCTCGGCTCGGACGTCGACGCTGGCGCCGTCCTCACCTACTTTGTGCTCACCACGCCCAACCACGGCTCCCTCGGTGAGCTCAATCGCGACACCGGTGTCGTCGGCTACAAGCCGGCCCGCGAGTACTTTGGATCGGACTCGTTCACCTTCCGTGTCTCGGACGGCGAGGCCTTCTCCGAGCCCGCCACCGTCACCATTACTGTCGTTCCGCCGGCCAACCACCGCCCAAGTCGGCTCCGGCCAACGCTACCACCCTCGAGGACACCCCGGTCACCCTCCAGCTCTTTGGCTACGACGTCGACGTCGGCCGCGTCGACCACGACGACGTTCTCACTTGGCACGTCGTGACGCAGCCGGCCCACGCCGCGAACCTCGCCCTTGACCCGGACACCGGCGTTCTCACCTACACCCCGGTCCTCAACTACAACGGGCCCGACTTCCTCGACTACGTCGTCAACGACAACTTTGACCGCCTCGACAACGGCCAGGCCGCCACCGGTGCCCTCTCGCCCGTCGCTCGCGTCTACTTTGACGTTTCTCCCGTCAACGACGCCCCGGTCGCTCGTCCCTCGACGGAAACCATTCCCGAGGACTCGGTACTCTCCGCCGCCTTTGACGTCGCTGACGTCGAGTCAGGCCGTGCCGGTCTCGCCATCACCGTCACCAGCTCGCCCTCTGCTGGCGGCCTCGTCTCGGTCGAAGGTACCGGCTACACCTACACTCCGGCTCGCGACTTTAACGGCGCAGAGACATTCTCATTCACCGCCACCGACCCGGAGGGTGCCGTCTCCAACGTGGCCACCGTCACCGTCACCGTCACCCCGGTCAACGACGCACCAGTCCCAGTCGACGACGCCTACTCGGTTGCAGAGTACAACCTCGAGGACGTGCTCAACTCGGCTCCGGCGCCGCGCCTCCGCATCGTCCTCAACTCGACCGATGTCGACGGCCCGCTCCCGGTCTACGCCCTTGCCTCGTCCGTCGCGCACGGCACCCTCTCCGAGTTTGTGCCGTCGACCGGCGCACTGGTCTACACCCGAACGTCGACTACTTTGGCCCCGACGCCTTCACCTTTACCGTCTCGGACACCAAGACCCAGTCGGTCATCGTCGGCACCATTGACATCACCGTCGTCCCGCCGGCCAACCACCGCCCGCGCGCCGCGCCGCGCTCGCTCGTCACCGCAGAGGACACTCCCATCGCCGGTGAGTTCCTCTTTGCCGCCGACCAGGACGCCGCCGACTCGCTCTCCTTTGTCGTCGTCTCCCAGGCTGCTCACGGCATCGCCGCAATCGATGGCTCCACCGGCGAGCTGACCTACACTCCGAACCCGCACTTCCACGGCGATGACGTCGTCGTCTACGCCGTCTCGGACGGTGCCCTCACCTCGCGCCTGGCCACCATCGCCATCGCAGTCACGCCCGTCAACGACGCCCCGACCTGCGCTGCCGCCGCCAACGCCACCGCTGAAGACACACCGCTCAATGACGTGCTTGTCACCAGCGACGTCGACGGTGACTGCGCTGTCGGCTCGGCCGCGCCGGTTCCGGACACCACCATCACCGTCACCGCCATCGTCCGTGACTTTACCGACTCGCATCCCGACTTTGAGGCTGCCATCGGCACCGACCGCGGCATCGTCCAGTCGACCCTCGGCCCCGACCGCAAGCCAGTCTACCAGAACCTGCTGCCGACAACCCCGACTACCACCTCGGCTGCCTCGTTTGCTCAGTGGTTCAACGATGTCGATGGCGTCAACGTCGCCATCCCGGTCGACATCCCGCTCTCCAACGCAGGTGCCGCAGACCCGGCCGTCTTCTCCTACTGCTCGCCGGCCTTCTTCCCCATCGACGGCGCAGGCTTTGGCAACGAGGGCCGCGCACACAACTTCCACTACACCCTCGAGCTCCACCTCGAGTTTACCTACGTCGACTCGCTCGCCACCGTCTTCACCTTTAACGGTGACGACGACCTGTGGGTCTTTGTCAACGGTGAGCTCGTCGTCGACCTCGGCGGCGTCCATGGCGCCCAGACCGGCTCGTTCGATCTTGCCACCGTCGCCGCCGACCTCGGCATGGCTCCGGGCGGCACCTACCCGATCGACATCTTCTTTGCCGAGCGCCACACCACCCAGTCGCGCTTCTGTATCGAGCGCATGTTTGCCGCCGCCCCGTGCGTCCGCGCCCTCACTCTCGTCGACCCGCCGTCGCACGGCGCCGTCCAGATCGTCGGCTCGTCGTACACCTACGTGCCCGACCCCGACTACAACGGCCCCGACTTCTTCACCTACACCGCGACAGACGGCTCGCTCTCCTGCAACAGGACCCGTGTCGACATCGAGGTGACCCCGGTCAACGACGCCCCGGTCGCCGCGCCCTGCGCCTTTGCCGTCCTCGAGAACTCGGTCAACAACCCAGTCTCGGTCTCGGGCACCGACATCGACGGCGACTCTCTCGCCTTTAGTGTCACCCTCGACACCGCCCACGGCTCGCTCGCCATCGACGCCTCGGGCGCCGGCGTCTACACCCCGCACGTCGACTACTTTGGTGACGACGCCTTTACCTTTGTCGCCTCGGACGGCGCCCTCAACTCGGCCCCGGTCACCTGCGCCATCACCGTCGTTGCCCCTGACAACCACATCCCGCGCACCGCGCCCGAGGCCCTCACCATGGCCGAGGACACCGTCCTCACCGCACAGCTCGTCGGCACCGACCAGGACATCGACCCTGGTCGCGTCGGCTACGCTCAGGTCCTCTCGTTCTCGCTTGTCGAGAGCCCGGCCTTTGGCGCCGCCATCCTCGATCCGGCCACCGGCATTCTCACCTACACCCCGGCCCTCAACTACAACGGGCCCGACGCCCTTGTGTACATTGTCAACGACGGCCTCGACAACTCACTCCCGTCGCTCGTCAACATTACCGTCTCTCCGGTCAACGATGTCCCGCTCGCCCTGCCCGAGACCCACACCCTTCTCGAGGACTCGGCCCTGATCCTCGCTGACCTCCTCGGCACCGACGTCGAGTCGGACCCGCTGGCCCTCGCCTACACCCTGGTGAGCCAGCCGGCCTCCGCGACTACACCCGTCGTTGTCTCGAGCGTCAACAAGTTTACCTACTCGCCGCTCGCCAACTTTAACGGCGTCGACTCGATGACCTTTACCGTCACCGACCCGACGGCGCGGTCTCGTCCGAGGCCGTCGTCGCCTTTGTCGTCCTCGCCGTCAACGACGCGCCTGTGGCCCACCCGGGTGCCTTTGCCACCGACGAGGTCTCTGCCGAAGCGCCCAACGTGCCGCCGACGCCGTTCACCCTTGTCGGCACCGACATCGACTCGCCGGCCCTCACCTACCGCATCGTCACGCCGCCGGCCATGGGCGTCATCGTCTCACTTGACGCCGCCACCGGCGAGGGCCTGTTCATGCCCAACGTTGACGTGTGGGGCAACGACACCTTTACCTTTGAGGTCTCGGACGGCGAGCTCGTCTCGGTCCCGGCAACCATCACCGTCTCGATCATTCCGCCGGACAACCACATCCCGCGCGTCAAGCCGTTTGCCTTTGCCACGCCCGAGGACACCGCCTTTGGCACCGTTCTTAACGGCACAGACCTCGACGCCGACGCGCTTGAGTTCTTTGTCGTCTCTGGTCCGGCACACGGCACCGTCTTTGTCGACGCCGCCACCGGCGGCCTCGCCTACACCCCGGCCGCAAACTACAACGGGCCGGACGCTCTGCAGTACCGCGCCTACGACGGCAAGGACTTTTCGCTCTCCAAGGACGTGGCCATCACCGTGATTCCGGTCAACGACGCGCCGACCGCGCTCTCGTTTGCCCTCACCACGGCCGAAGACACCCCGATCGACGCCCTCCTCCGCGGCGCCGACATCGAGGGCTCGCCGCTGACCTTTACCCACTCGCCGGCGGGCGCCGCTCCGGGCTCGGCCTTTGCCGCCTCGGGCGACGTTGTCACCTACACGCCGCCGGCCAACTTTAACGGCGTCACCTCGTTCACCTACACCGCCAACGACGGCGAGCTGACCTCGGCCCCGGCCACCGTCACCGTCACCGTCACGCCCGTCAACGACGCGCCGGTCGCCAACGACGTCGCCGCCGCCGCCACCGAGCACAACGCGCTCGGTGCCGCCCCGGCGCCTGTGCCTATCGTCCTCGACGCTTCCGACATTGACGGCGACGCGCTGACCTACGAGCTCAACACGCCGCTGGTCGTCGTCTCATCGCCGGCCCCGGCTCCGATCGCCACCTCGCCGGGCACGCTCTCGGCCTTCAACCCGGCTACAGGAACCGTCAGCTACGCGCCGGCCGTCGACTTCTGGGGCGTCGTCTCGTTCACCTACGTCGTCACCGACGGCGCGGCCTACTCGAACGTTGCCACCGTGACCATCACCGTCGCCCCGGTTCCGCATCCGCCGCGCGGCGCAGACGCCGCCTTTACCATGGATGAGGACTCGACCCTTATCCGCGTCCTTGTCGGCACCGACCAGGACGCCGGCTCGACCCTCACCTTTGCCATCGAGTCCCCTCCGTCCAACGCTGCTGCTTTCTCACTTGACGCGGCCACCGGCACGCTCTCGTACACGCCAGCCGCAAACTACAACGGCGCCGACTCGCTGACGTACTCGGTCTCTGACGCCACCCTCACCTCGGCCCACCACACCGTGTCCATCACCATCACCCCGGTCAACGACGCGCCCGTCGCTGTCTCCGCAGTCGAGATCACCCCCGAGGACACCCTGCTCTCGGCGTCGTCGCTCTGCAGCGACGTCGACAACACCGCGGCCGAGCTGACCTTTACAGTCATCTCGCCTGCTGCCCATGGCACCGTCTCGACCTACACCGGCGCCTCCTACACCTACTCGCCGGCGACCAACTACAACGGAACCGACGCGTTCACCTTTGTGTGCTCGGACGGCAGCCTCGACTCGAACGTCGCCACCACGGCCATCACCGTGAGCCCGGTCAACGACGTCCCGGTCGCCCTCCCGTGCACCTTTACCATCGACGAGAACGACCCGCCGACCGTCTTTGCCCTCTCGGCAACCGACGTAGAGGACGCGTTCCTCACCTACTCGCTCGGCGCCGTCGCGAGCCCGTCCAAGGGCTCGGTCGCGGTCGCGGACCCGCTGGCCGGCACCGTCATGTACGCTGTCAACAGCTGGGTGTGGGGCAACGACACGTTCTCGTTTGTGGCTACCGACTCGTTCGGCGCCGTCTCCAACGAGGTCGTCTGTACCGTCATCATCGTCCCGCCGGCGAACCACATCCCGTGGTCGCGCAACGACACCTTTACCGTTGCCGAGGACACCTCGGCCGACTTCTCGCTCTACGGCTTTGACCTCGATGTCGACGACGTGCTCACCTGGTCGCTTGTCGATGTCAACGGCGAGCTGTACACCTCCACGAGTCCGTTTGCAGGCCCGGTCCTCGGCCTCGAGGGCGAGGACTCCGAGGGCGCGCCGCTCGACGGCGCCGAGTCGGAGGCCGGCGCCGCCGAGCGCGCGCTGGGCGACTTTACCCTCGACCCGGACACAGGCATCCTCACCTTCCAGGCCCCGGATCACTTCCACGGCACCGTCCACCTGTTCTACCTCGTCGACGACGGGCTCGCCTCGTCGGTCGTCTCGCGTATCACCATCGTGGTCACGTCAGTCCTCGACTCGCCGGTCGCCCACGCCGCCTTTATCACCACTCCCGAGGATACCCCGGTCTCGTCGGTTGTCTCGGGCTTTGACCCGGACACCCTGCTGGACGGCGACGTGCTAACCTTTACCCTCTCGACAGGCGTTACCGTTTCGGGCGCCTCGCTCACCTTTGACGGCGTCTCGGGTGCGTACACGTACACGCCAGCGCCCGACTACGTCGGCGGCGACTCGTTTGCCTTTTACGTCGACGACGGCACGGTGACCCCGCCGTCGTCGCCGCGGACGGTCTCCATTACCGTGACGCCGGTCAACGACCCGCCGGTGGTGGCCTCGGCCAACTTTACCACCGCCGAGGACGCCGCCTTTGGCGCCACCTACACGGTCACCGACATCGACTCACCGCTGGGCGCGCTCTCGTGCGCGGTCAACACCCTTGTGCCCTCGCTCGGCAGCGTCGTCTCGACAGGCACCTCGTTCACCTACACGCCGTTTGCCAACGTTGTCGGCGACGACGTCTTCCGCTTTGTCTGCACCGACGGCGCCCTGACCTCGAACACCGGCACCATCCGCATCGAGATCACGCCCGTCAACGACCCGCCCACCGCCCTCCCGTCGGCCTTTGCCGTCAACGAGAACGACGGTCCGGTGCCGTTTACGCTCCTCGGTGCCGACATTGACGTCACCAACCCGCAGGCCCTCGCCGACGAGCTCCGCTTCGAGCTCACCTCGCTGCCGACCTCGGGTGTCCTCACCCTCCACACCGGCGAGGCTGCCCTCACCGGCGTCCAGTACTCCACGGGCGCCTTCCGCTACCAGCCAAATGTCGACGTGTGGGGCGCCGACTCGTTTGACTTCCGCGTCTATGACTCGGAGGACGCTGTCTCGCTCTCGTCGGCCCAGGTCAACGTCACCATTGTGCCGCCGGACAACCACATCCCGCGCGCCGCCGATGCCGCCGTCTCGGTCGCCGAGTCGGCCACAGTCCTCATCCCGCTTGTCGGAACCGACCAGGATGTCGCCGACATCCTCACCTTTGCTGTCGTCTCCACGCCGGCGCTCACCGTCGACTACGCGCTCAACGCCACCACTGGCGTCTTCCGCTACACGGCCTCGAGCACAAACGGCGTCGACACCTTTACATACGTGGTGAGCGACGGTACCGCGGTCTCGGCCGAGGCCACCGTCACCGTCACCATCACCTCGGCCAACGATCCGCCGTCCGTCGCCGACATCGCCGTCTCGGTCGCCGAGGAGGCCACCGTCTCGTCTGTCCTCTCGTACTCGGACCCGGACACCGGCGACGTCGTCACGCTGCGACTCAACTCCAACCCGGCCTATGCCGCCGCCTTCTCGTTCGACCCGGCCACCAACGTGTTTGAGTACACGCCGGTCGCCGACTTTAACGGCGTTGACTCGTTCACCTACATCGCCAATGACGGCACCGTCGACTCGAACGTCGGAACCGTGACCATCTCGGTGACTCCGGTCAACGACGTGCCCATCGCCTTCTCGGCCTCGTACGAGACCCCGTTCTCCACCGCCATCGCCTTTAACCTTAACGGTACCGACGTCGAAACCGACTGGGCCAACCTGGTCTTTGCCGTCACCTCCCTCCCCTCGCGCCGCGAGGGCACCCTCACCGGCGGCGCCATCGACAACTTCCTCGGCGTGCCGGGCATCACCGACCTTCACTTTCAGCCGTCGTCGCGGTTCTCGGGCGAGCTCACCCAGCCCATCGAGTTCACCGTGACCGACGAGGCTGGCGCTGTCTCTTCCGTCGGCGTCATCCAGATCAACGTCGCCGCCCCCGACCGCACAGTCATTGGCGGCCTCACCACCGGCGTGACCACTCCGGCCGGCGACGAGGGCTCCCCATCTGGCCCTTCATCGTCGCCGCCGTCACCGTCCTCATCGTCATCCCGCTCGCCTTCTTCCTCTACAAGTGGTGCCATCCGGCCAAGCTCAACATGCTCTTCACCGAGGACGAGCTGGACGAGGGCACCTTTATCGAGAAGTCCGTCCTCTTCAAGAACAAGTACGAGCGCGTCATCAACCCCATGCATCGCTTCGAAGGAGGCGAGGCTGCGGGCATGGACGACGACGCCGCAGGCATGGGTGGCTCGTAACCGCCACTCACCGCCGTCACTACAACCCCCCTCTCGCTGCAGCCGGCCTCGTCGGCTGCCGCAACCCCTCTCAAGCCCTGATCGCCAGCGCACAGTGCAAGGCCCTAGCTCCCCTCTCCGGGGACTCGTGGGCATCCTGTGGACTGTCTGGCCCAGGCAGGAATGCAACTTGCCCTCTCTTTCATCTGATCCAATGAACACACCGCATGTCCCAACCACACCCCCCTCTCTCTCTCACTTGCCCCTCTCCCCCTGCTGCACCTCCCTGCTTCCCCACTCTTGTCACTTGTCGTTCCCCCTTCCCCTCCTCCCCCTCCCTCCCAACATGGACGACTCACTGCGGGCATCACTCCTAGGCTCTTCAGGTGTGGGTCTCACCTCCCCTCTGCGCTCCTCCTACCGCATCTCCTCTACACCCCGTGCCGCCATTGATGTAAGTGAATGAGTATGACTTGGGGGGGGGAGGGGGGGGAGAGGCTGGTGGGTGGCCGTTGAGTCGTCGGACTGCGGGAGAGGGGCCATGCGAGGGGGACAGAGGGAGGGGGGGGGGGGGATGGAAGCGATGGGAGGGCGGAATGGGGGGATGCGGCGGTGGCAGGGCTTGTGGACTCATTATTGGTGGGATTGGTGCGGATTGGCTGGCGGACGGGCTGGTTGGTGGTTTGGTGGCCTGGTGGGGGTGATCGATCACGATGGGGATGGCTGCAGGCGCAACGAGTTAACGAGTACAAGAACGAAAACGCGGCGCTGCGGGCTCAGGTGATGCTGCTAGAGGCGCAAGCGTCCGAGGCGATGGACACGGCGAGGTTGAACAAGCACACGCAGATGATCTCTGCCCTCTGCACCCGGCTCAAGGCGTACAAGGAGGCGAACGATCGGCTGTCGGCGCGGGCCCAGCAGGACGCCGCAGACGCAGAGGCTGCCCAGGCCGCATGCATCGTGCTGCAAGAGCAGGTCCGCGACGCCGACGACCGTGCCCGCAAGGCCGAGGATCGCGCCGCTGCTGCAGAGGCCCGCGCTCTCGCCGCAGGCGCTGACGCCGCAGACGCCCGTGAGGCCGCGACTGCCGCCACCCGTCGCGCCGTCCGCGCAGACGCCCGCGTCGATGAGCTCGAGGATGCCCTGCGCAAGGCAAGCAAGCGCGGTGACGCAGAGGCCAACGACGCCACGGCCGCCAAGGAGGCCGTCATTCGCCTCCAGGCCGAGGTCGCCGAGCTCCAGGCCGAGGTTGCCGCAAAGACGCAGGAGTTTGAGGCGCTTGCCTCGGCCTCGGCCGACCACGAGTCCACCATCGCCACCCTCTTTGCCGCCAACACGGCCAACAAGAAAAAGGCCGAGGCCCTCACCGCCGAGCTCGACGCCTACCGCACCGAGTTTGATACCATCATGACCACGCTTGGCCAGCTGTAATACACACGCTTGCCCTCACTTGAACAGGTACCGCTTGCGCTTGGCCGTCGGCGATGTTGCCGAGCCGGGCGACGCCGTGCTTGCCGTCGCCTCGTCGTCGTCAGACTCGCTTCGCGCGCGCTTGCTGTTGCTCGACGGTGGCGTCGCCAGCATCGACGGGCTAGATGCTGCCACGCTCGCTGCCCGCGAGCCGGGCGGTGCGTTGAGGAGCGCCGAGAGGTTCGGCACACACACTGTTCGCTCGATGGGGAACGGGAGCGGGTCCGCCGCCGCCGCCGCCTTCTCGCCACTACTCTCGCTCGCCGCGCTCATCGCCTGCGTCGGCTGTGTCGGCTGCGTCCTCCGCGGAGGCTGCGGCGGTGCTGCTGCTGCCCGCCGCGCCGTGCCTGGCTGCGTCGCCGATGCCATGACAATGACCCGGATCGCCGAGTCTGCCACAAGGACGCCGGCGGCCGAGTTGTACGACCCGCAGTAGTGCGAGGACGAAAAGACGGTGATGACCCGGGCAGACTTTTGGTAGGAGACTCCGAGCGACGGCGGCTGGTGGGCCCGGACAAGGAACGAGCATCCAGTCTTGGCCAGGAACGAGTCGACGGCCTCCGAGCCAAAGACCACCGTCCGCCCGCCGCGCGAGTTGAAGCCAAAGCCCGGCGGGAACGCCGGCTGCCGCGCAAGGACCGCCTCTTGCGCCTCAGTCGCCGGATCCGCCCACAGCAAGTCGGACAGCAGCGCAGACTCGTCTTCGTCGAGCTCATTATCATAGATCGGCCGCGGAAACGTGGCCAGCCGCTCCGCCACCGTCGGCGCCTGCCGGTTGGTCGACGACACTGCCGCCAGCTCGTGCACAATCCGCGGAATACCGCCGTGGACGCAGAAGATCTCCTTGTCCACAATCGCCGCAAACGGCATAAACGCAAACGCAAAGTTGACCGACCGCCACACCCGCTCGCCATCGACACGCACCTTGTCAGTCATCTGCATGCACTGCGCAAGGAACGACGACGCCCCGTACAGCTCTGCGTCAGAGTTGACGCTCGCCATCTCGTGGTTGCCACGCAGCAGAAAGACCTTGTTCGGCGCAAGGATCTTGAGCGCAAGCAGGTATCCGATCGTCTCCAGCGAGTGCGCCCCGCGGTCGACGTAGTCGCCCAGAAACAGGACAGACGCCGGACAAAGCTTGATGCCCAGAGGCCAGAACCGGTCCTCAAACAGCCGCAAGTCGCGGTAGTTGCCGTGCAGGTCGCCCAGAATGTACGTCGGCGCGCTCACAGAGAGCAGGATCCGGTCGCGCTTCACCACTCTGCTCGCCCGCTCCGCAACCTGGCACAGCTCGCTCACAAACTTGAGCCGCGCCGCGCGGCTCACCCACTTGTGGCTCGGCTGTAGCACTGCGTCCATCTCGTGCACAGCCTCGCTCCCGTCCCGTGCCACAAAGCTCGAGTTCAGAATCGCCAGCAGCGACTCGGCCAACATCACATCCTGTGCATCAATCTCGTCGTCGTCATCATCGTCATCGTCATCGTTATCGTTACTACGAGTCTCGCCGGCTGCTGTCCTGCCCCTCCTGCCGGCCTCGCCACTTCCAGCAGCAGTGCCAGAGGCGCGCGAGCCTCTGCCCGGGTCCAAGCTCGCAGGCTTGCCCGCCCGAGCCCGCCCAGGCGGGAAGAGCGCCGACCACGAAGCCGAAGTCAGCATCCGCTCCGGGAACGGCGCCGAGGTCACCACCTTGCCATCACGAGTCACGTCGAGATAGTCCGGGTCGACAGCATACTTTGTCCGCCCGGCCGCCGCATGCCCGCACCGCGAGCACACTGCCTCAGTCTCAGACGAACCACCAGCCGAGCTTCCTGACATTGGATCTGCTCTACTTGTCGCATTCTCCGCATTCTCCGGCTTTGTACCCTCGCCCACGACCACCTGTGTCGCTGACGACGCCACGTCGGTCCCGGTCTCCTCCGAGTCGGAGACCGAGTCGGTGAAGAGCGGCTGCGACGACATCAACTCTGTCCTTCCGAGCTCCTCTGCAGCCTCGAGTTCCACACGCCCTTCTCGGGCCATGACTACTTGTTTGCGTCGAGTGAAGACGAGTATGTACGGGGGGGGTCTGGGGGGAGGCTGTTCTTCCCCCCTGTGGCTCTTGTCTCTGCGTCCACTGATCAGCCGCGTTTGCCAGATCGCACCAAAAGGTCGTGAAACGGACAAAAAAGGTCGCAAAGTGCGCACACTTCACAAAGATAATAGCAAACGTCCCATGGAACACTCTCTATGAGACTGGGGGGGGGATCGGGATCGCGTGCGATGGATACGCAAGAACGATGTGTGATGTGGGTGTGGAGCTAGAGATGGCGTAGGTACACGATGTGTGTCTAATGCGGTCGTACCACGCTGGAGGTAGGCTCTTGAGCTGGTATGTGTGTTGATCAGGTGTTGGTAAGGAACTCTACAGCAGGTGTGTACTCTGACTGGGATCAGGCAACAAAGATAGGGAGGGATAGGGATATGGATAGGAGTGAGGGGAGGGCCAGGGTGGAGAGCCACGGCTCAAACACGCGAGTCGGCAACATGTGGCATGGGCGGAACATACTCGCCCTTGACGATGAGAACGTCTGCGCCGGCATTGACCGCGACGTACTTGGCGGTCGAGCCGAGCGCCTTGCGACGGAAGCCAACGAGCGCCCGCGGGGTGCGGGCAAGAACAATTAGGTCGATGCCGTGGCCCTCGGCCGCGAGGCAGATGAACTCGCCGAGGTGATACGACCGCCCGACAAGTCCGATGACATTGTCGATGCCGGCAGAGCGCGCCGCGTCGACGTAGTACGCCACCACTCGCTTAGCCCGATCAAGCGCCACCACATCCTGCCCAGCCCGTGACAGTTCGTTTGGCACCACCGAAATCACATGCAACATGTCGCTCTCGGCATCCATCAGCCCAGCCGCAGCCACAAACGCCGCGTAGCAGCCGACAGACTCATCCACGGGAATCATGAGCTTCCGCTGCTGTCCGCCTGCTGCTCGCCCGCCTCCACCCATTGACGCCGCAATGATCATCGAACCCGGCGAGCTGTTGATCGAGGAGTTGGTTGAGCGGCGGGAGACCACCGCATCACCTCCATCGTCGTCCTGCTCCGATCCAGGAGGACCAAGGGCAGCTTCTGCAGCGGCGGCCTCCCTCTCTGCCCGAGCAGCGCGCGATGCAGCAGCAGCATCAGCAGCCTCTCCGGCTGCCCGAAAGGCATCCAATGAGAGATCGTCATCAAAGCGAAGAACAATGACATCGTCAAGCGCAGCATCAGGCACGGCATCGATGAGTGCTGCCAGTCCGGCCGTAGCAGGGTCGTCTGCTCCTGTCACCGCAGCCCAAGCCGACGAAAGAAACGACTTGACAGCCATGGCTCTTGCTATCCTCTGTCTCTATATGGCTACGTGTCCTCGTTGCAGATTGACTTGGCCAGGCGTGCGGTGTGGTCGTCCCCGCTCACTGCGCCTGTCCGTGCCAAGAACGTGACCTCGTCCCCCACCATCGGTGTCAGAGTCGTATCGCTGTCATGTGGGCCACGCCAATCTGAGGAGCAGAGGCGGCAGGCCGCCACTCTTCCAAGTCTGACTCGGCACGTTACACGTTCATTAATGCTATTCTGCCCTTTGGTCGTCGTCCAAGACATTGCTCAGTCTCGAGCTCGTCACGATCTACGAGGTAAAGCCGTAGGCATTGGTCCTTCTCCCGTTGCCGCCTGACCGCCCGCCGCGGCCACGGCCTCGGCCTCCGCCGCGGCGGTTGCGGTTGCGGTTGCGGTTGCGGTTACGGTTGCGGTTGTTGTTCGACCGCTGTGCCGTCGACGCCGTCGTGCCAAAGGTCTCCGAGTCGAGCTCGGCCTGCTTGGCCCGCATCTCACGGCCGGTCACGCCGGCCTGCGCCCGCTTGGCCCGATCCGACGCGTCGTTGGAGATGGTGTCAAAGAACGACGACTTCTCGTACTTGCCCAGGTCATCGTCGAGATCGCCCGTCGCCACCGTTGCCGCCGCCGCAAACCGCTTGTTTGCCGCACCAAAGTCAAACTCTGCGTCAGGCACCGCCGGCGGCGCGCGCGACGCAGGGTGCGCGCTCCCTTGGCTCCGCCGATTCCCTTCCTGGTTCCCGCCCTGATTCCGGCTCTGGTTCTTACCACGTGCGCCTTGCCGCCCACCGTGCTTCTGCGCGCCGCCCTTGGGCGCCAGAGACCGCCCGCCGAGTGTCGGCAGCGATGTCTGCGACGGTGGCAGCAGCGACGTCGGCGCGGCCGATTGCACCGGCGGATGGACAAGCGGCTGGGCCGGGAGGCGAGCCTGAGCAGCCTGTGCTTGAGCAGCCTGCGCCTGTGTCGCCGCCGCCGCCTGCGCCTGTGTCGCCGCCGCCGCCTGCGCCTGCGCCTTGACCTGTGCCGCCTGCGCCGCCACCAGCTGCTGATGATACAACATCATCTGCTGCTGCTGGTACATCTGCTGCTGTTGCTGCGCGTACAGCACCTGAGCCGTCTGCTGGCTCGGCTGGCTGGCATCGGTTTGCGCCGGCGTCGCCAGCCCGCCCCACCCAGCGGGCGCAGGCGCAGGCGCAGTCGTAGGCGCAGGCTCAGGCACAGGTGCAGGCACAGGTGCAGGCGCAACAGCCTCAGGTGCTCCCGCCACGGCCGCCACCCGCAAGTCGGCAATGTCCGAGCCCTTGAAGATGAGAAAGTCGTCGACCTTGGCCGAGGCTGCGACCTCATTGGCGCCACCTGTGCGACCCTCTGTTCCAAACGACCGCACTGTCCACCCACACCCATGTACAATCATATCCACCCATACCAACCAACCATGTCAGTCATGTCATCTCTACCTTCTCTCCCCCCCCTCTTTCGTCCCATACTCCCACCATGCACTTTGCCTGCCCCCTCTTACCCCTCGCGCCACGTCGCGTCTGTCGCTTCAAAAAACCCCTCTTCGAGGTCCGAGGGGGGGGAGGTGGGGGGGGGTACACACAACGCGTGTATGGAGGCACGTACCGTTCTGGAGAGCTACTGTGTGGTTTTGAGCATCGATAGAGTACAGAGTACCCACATACCGGACCTGGGTCTTGCAAAGAAGCTCGATTTGTGAGCCGAAATACAACTGGTCCATCCTGCCCGCGTAGAGAGGAAGGTGTGTGTGGCCGGTCACAATCCGCAGCCACCGCCCGCAGCCCGCAGCCCGCAACCAGCCGAGTCGCTCTGCCACCCATCAACTACGACCTTTTTTCCCCATCAACCACGACCTTTTTCCCGCCCACCTCTCACCGCTCCTCCCCCTCCCCCCCTCCCCCCCAACCCACCTGGCTCCTGCTTGCGAGTATTCACCATGGAAGGCCTCGCTGCCGAGTTTCAAGCAGCGCGGGCACGCCAACGTCAAATGGATGGTATGCTTACAATGCCTCCAACCTGCACCTTGCCCGTCCCCCCCCCCCCCCCCCCCCCCCCCCCCTTCCCCCCTTCCCTTGCCGCCCAACGTGCGCATGATCGCGATCTTGGCGCCAACCCTCCCCCACCTCCTCACAGCCCGCCCTCCCCTCCACCCCCCCCTCCCCCCACACACCCTCGAACATCATAGACATTGTTGGGCTAATCATGCAGCGACGTGGGGCTTCTCGCACCGATGAGGCGAGCACGGCGCCCGACAGCAGCCGCCCGGACATGCAAGCGGCGGGCGAGTTCGCGACCGAGTCGGCACAGAAAGGCGGCAAGAGCAAGCGGGCGAGCAAGGCAAAGCCAAAGAAGAAGAAAAGGACGTCCAAGAGCGGCAAAAAGGCAAGCAAGAAGAGCGCCAAGACAAGAGCAACAAAAGCCGCTGGCAGTTTGCAGCCTCCTTCCGACAGCTCCGGCCCGACTGAAGCATCAGCTGCTCGCCTAGCTGATGCACTTGCTCCAGCAGCTTACCAGCGGAGCAGAGGAGAGGGCGCGTTGGTGGCTGCCGCCCGGACGGCGGAAAACATGGCGGAAAGCGTCCAAGTTCCGGTGGTGGCGGGCGTCATGGAAGCGATGGCCGAGCTGGCTCGGGTGGCGCATGGTGCCTGTGTTGTATTCGTGCAGGATGAGCCGCCGCAGCCCGACGACACTCAGTATGCGGTGTCTGTGGTGGATGCTGCTGCTGTGACGGTGCTCAAGGCCGCTCAGGGCCTCGCCGATGCTGGTGGTGGTGCCGCCGTTCTCGACGCCGCCGCCAACCTTGTCCGTCTGGCCAAGCATCTCAACGGTGCCGTCATCACTCTGGCCGCAAACCCCGGCTCCAGCCTTGCGCTCGATGCCCTCGACGCATCTGCCGTCACCCTTGCTGGTGCCTTGATGTCGTGGATGGGTGTTCCCGACTCGGATCCAGAGCCGCAGCCGAGTTCTTCCGTCACGCCTGCGCCTGCGCCTACGCCTGCGCCCACGCCCGCGCCTGCGCCCGCGCCTACGCCTGCGCCTGCGCCTATGACTACACCTGTGCCTATGACTACGCCTGCGCCTGCGCCTGCGCCTGCGCCTGCGCCTGCGCCTATGACAACACCTACGCCTACACAGGCTGCAGCATCCCCTGCACCTGCACCTTCGCCGCCTGCGCCGGCCATCACCGCCACTCCTGCGCCCGCGTCGTCTACGCCGGCCACCCCCACCACCCCCACCCCCACCACCCCCACCCCCATCCCCACCACTCCCACCTTCCCCATCCCCAACACCGCCACCGCCACCCCAACCACCCCCATCCCCACCCCCACCCCTTCCTCCATGTCCGCCACCCCCATCTCCCCCACCTCTCCTACCTCCACGCCTCCATCCCCCTCTCCGCCCCCGCCCCCGCCACCCCACCCACCCCCCGGCCTCGCGCGCGCGCCCGCCGCGCCCACCGCCCGCCTCTCACTCGCCGCTCTCGCCGGGCTCCCGCCCCACACTCTGACTCGCCGCTGTCGCCCATGGCCCGCCCCACTCGCACCCACTCGCTCTCGCTCTCGCCGCTCTCGCCAGATTCAATCGCGTCGTACGCATCGCCTCAACCCCAACTCCAACTCCAACCTCAACCCCAATCCGACCCGCAGCCAGAGCTCCACACCATCATGCTCGGCCTGCAAAGCCAGCTGGCAAAGCTACAGGCCGACAACGAGGCTCTCCGCTCCGAGCTCACCGCCTCGTACGAGGCCAAGCTTGCCTCCATGGAGGCCACCCTCGCCACAGAGCGCAGCTCCATGACCTCGCAACTCGAGTCGCTGCTCGCTGAAAAAGCTCAGCTGCAGGAGAACCATGCCCGCCAGATGGCCTCACTCGAAGCCACTCTGCACGCTGTCCAAAACCAGCTCTGCACCCTTGCATCGGCCTCCATCTCGCCGTCGCCGTCGCCGTCGCCGTCGCCCTCTGTTCTTCGTGCCCGCTATGCCGCGCCCAACACTCCGGCCTCACCGGCAGCTGTTGACTCACCGCTGGCGCCGCTCAAAGGCATCGGTGTTGTCCGTCGCCAAACCTCGCTCCCGCCGCCACCTGCCGCGCCTCTTCAGACCACGTCGCCTCCGGCCGACATGGAGATCTCCATGGCCGTTGCCCATGACGACGAGAACGTCGACTCGACGAACACCCTCGCCGGCCACGCCTATGACAGCGACCTCCGCTCTGACATCGAGGCCCTCATCCAGGCTCAGCTCTACACCCACGAGCACCTTGCGTCACTGCAGACGCAGCTCGACTCGATTGCCGCGCCTGCGCCGTTCCCGCCCGCTTCCGGTCGCCAGCACGTCTTTGCCCCGGCGCCGCTGCCCGCGCTGGACCCGGCCGACTCGCCGGTTGTCCCGGCCTTTCTCCGCCAACATCCTCACACCTCCGTCCATCACAACGAGCTCGACATGGAGCTCTCGCTCGCCGAGGCCACCGCGGCCATGGACCTCGCCTCACCGCCGCGCCACCGTCAAGCGTCGCCCGACTCGGCCTCGCCGCTTGCCTCGCCCATCCTCTCCGACTCGGTCGTCGATGGCCACGCCAGCACGGCCGAGACGATGCCAGTCGATGCGACTGCCGCCGATCACGACTCGATCGCCGGTCTCTTGCGCCGGATGAACGACCGCCTGGACGCCATCGAGCAGCGCGCCGCCCTCCGCTCGCCGCCCGGCCGCTACACCTCGCACACCCTCGCCGCCGCCCGCTCCTCCATCCTCGGCAAGGCCACACCGTCGCCCATGGCCCACCGCACAGCCGTTCTCCCACCACAAGGTCCGTCGGCAAGCGACCTGCGCTTCCGCTGGGACCGCCGCAGAGCCCGCCTCGCCGCTGGCTCTAGCGCCCGCACCAGCCGCTCCTCGCGCGCCACGCTCCACGCCGCCCCGCTCACCCCCATCTCCAAGTACGCGCACTTGCTCGACGCTGAGACTCCCCCGCTGAGGCGGAGCATCCGCCCCGGCGAGCCGCTGTCGTGGGACGAGCTCGACCACCACCACTCTCACGCTCACTCTCACTACCGCCCGCCGCCCCGCCGCCCCACCGCCTCGCCGGCCCCGGTTGCTCTCGACATGGCCGCCCTCGCCTCGCTCACCGCCACCCCAACCCACTACTGACCTACGCTCGCCTCATGCTGTATTCATGCCCCGCTGCTGCTCCGCTCCTCGGTAAAGATCTGCAGCGGCCGCTCCTTGGGCCGTGGCCGGTCGACAGTCACAGTGATGAGCCCGCTTGCGCCGCCAGACGTCCGCCCTCGCGCCCCGCGCTTCCGCCGCGAGCCCGTCGCCGGTCCTGCTGCCGGACCGGCCCCGTCACCGAACGCGACCCGCGCGTCGCGCACAAGCACCAATGCCCCGTCGGTCACGTTGAGCGGCGGTCCAGAGAGCGTGGCAGACTCCTTGAGCCCCGCCACACGCCGCCACTTGAGTCGCCGCACGGCAGTCGGCTCAAGCTTGGAAAACGCCGGCGCCACCGCAACCGCGAGCTCGGCGTCGAGCCCGAGCCGCGCCGCCAGCTCGTGCACAACCTCCACCGCCTTGGCTGCTCGCTTGAACACAACCTCGCTCCGCGAGCTAGCAATCAGCACGCCAGCGGCTGTCTCCGCCGCCGCGTCCACCGCTTGCACAAAGAACACAACGTGCGCAGGCGTGAGCTCTTCCGGCGCCGCAATCGGCTGGACGACAAGCACCATGCCGTCCTTGACCCGCGCCTGGACTCGGAGCGACCGCTTGCGGAAGAGCACCTTACCGACCCTTTTCGGCCCGGCGAGCGTCCGCAATCGGAGGTGCTTCAGTCGAAACTTGTTCGTCGCATTCGGCGCCGCCGCGAGCGTCTTCTCTGTCGGCGGATAGTGCTCGTCGATGACCGCTTTGATCGCGGTCTGGATGTCGGCTACAGGCTGGCTGGCGTTGACAACCGCATGCCTCAGCGGCCAGAGTGCGCGACCCGACGGGTGCAGCGGATCATACAGCACAAGCCGAACCTTGTACTCCCCGACTGCCAGCGGCGTGCCGAGTCGGACAAAGACCGGCGCCCCATCAAACAAGTGCGCAGCCTCGAGCGAGAGCGTTTCGTCCTTCAGCTGCTCGTCCGTCGGCGACCGCGCAATCGTAAAACCCGACGCTTCCACCCCGAGCGCCATCGCCATCTTCGCCTTGAGCTCACCGACCGTCCGGTGCTTGGAAAGCGAGACCGACCGCGTGTACGCCACCGGCCCCGAGACCTTTGCATCCTCGGCCACGGGCTCGTTGTACTCGAGCACAATCGACGTCACCTTCGCCTCATACACAGTGCCAAATAGACTGCTCGTTGCTGGCTCGACATACACCACAGAGCCCGGCCGGATGCCGAGCTCCACCAGCGGTACGCCCGGATGCGCCGCTGCCCGAACATGGACTGCATGCAACGTCGCGCCGTCGACCGTGTACCACGCCAACGCGCCGCACGCCTCCAGGCTCGGCACCGCACTTTGCACCGCCGCCGCAGCTTCGTCAAAGTCCATCGTTGGCTTGAGCCACACCCGCGGCATGCCATCAACTACCGGCATCCGCGCCTGCGCCACAAGCTCGGCCACGTTGTCATGCGTCACGGCAAGTGCCACTACAAGAAAGGCGTCCGGGTCAAACGTCGCAAACTTCTCGCCGGCCGCCCGCGTCTCAAGCACCACCGTCGCCCGGTGCCCGAGCCCGAGACTCTCCAGCCGCGCCTCCGGCTCGGTGTCCAGCGGCGCGCCGGCCATGGTCGCTCCCGACGCAAACCGCGTGTAGGCTCGCAGCCGCGCGTCGTCGTCAGCTGGCCGCCCGCCGTCGGCCCCGGCATGCAGCGCATCCAGCGCCGCAGCCTTGAGCGCCGCCACCGGCTCGCCCTGATCCAGCGCCACTTCTACCGTCTGCGAGCCGGAAACAACCGTGAAACGCATGGTTCGGACCTCGCGGAGGTGGTTCGCAACCTCTTCGCGCCACGCTGCATCTTCGGCAGCAACCAGGGCGCGGAGCTCGCTTGGTACAGCCGGGACCGGCCCGCTGGCACCCTGCTTGGCATACAGCAGTAGGTACGCTGAGCCCGAACGAGTGCTGGCGTCCGAGCCATACGCCACTTCCAGCGCTGTCTCGAGGTCGTCGATGGCCCGGACAGACGCGTCGTTGAACTCGTGCCAGACGCCAGTCGCCGGGCATTTGACAAACGCAAAGTAGTGGCCAGAGTGCGCCGAGCCCGAGTGAAGAAGCACCGCATATGCATCATAGAGCATCGGGGCCTCGCCACTATCGGCCATGTACGGCGCCATGTCGAGCACCAGCGGAAAGGTGAGCTTCTGGTTGAGCTTGACCCGCCGGTTCGCCTGCCAGTCGTACACAAATCGCTTGAGCTGGAATGAGAGGACCGGCGGAAGATCGCCAAAGGTGAGGCCCTTGTCGGCATCGACCTTGGTCTCACACCCCGAGCACGCGTACTGGTTGTCGCCGGTCAGCCGCTCCGGCGCCACAAACGCCGCCAGCGCCTGCTCCAGCGACCCGATCGTCGCGTCCATGTACAGCGAGACGTCCAAAAAGGCATCCAGCCGGACAGCTGCGTGCCCGCACCCGAGGCACACCACCGAGTCGCGAAGCGTCCCGCCGTACAGCGCCTGCACCACGCCAGCCTCACTCTCGGGCTCCTTGACCAGCTCGAGCACGCCAAACAGAACCCGCAGCAGCTCCTGCACATCGTGCTGCCGGAACGCCTCGGCCGTAGTCCACCGAAACGACGTCGTCAGCTCGACTGTGTCCAGCGCTGCCTTCTCCGACACCGCCAGCCGCGCAAAGAGCTTCTGCAGCGCTCGTGGGACACACGTCGCCTCCTCGCCGTGGACCTCGGGCGAGTACTCCCAGCCGAGAACCGCAGCCGGAACCGCGGCGTGAGGTACAGCGCTTGCAGGAGCGAGTTGAGATAGCACGTCGCGCCCTGGTTGACCAGCCCAGCAAAGGCCCCCTCGTCTCGAGCGTAGCACATGGTCTTGCCGCCCCTGCCCACAGGTGTGTTGTCCCAGCCTTGTTGGCCTCGGCCACCACCGCTTGCTCCCACTTTTGAGCCGGCACTGCCACCAGCACTTCCATCTGGTGCGCTTGCATTGCCATCTCCTCCCGAAGGCTCCGGCGAGACCATTCGTCCTTGCTCCTCGGACATGCCGCCGCTCTCAGGCCGTGCGGCAAGATACGCAAAGGCCGATGACGGCATGCCTGTGAAGGGGTTGATCGAGTGCGCCGCCCCAAGCGCGGTTTTCTTGGACGGCGCAAACGCCGCGAGCTCATCAGATTGAGCGCTCATGGTTGGTATGTGGCGTTACGCGTGGGTGTGGTGAAGGAGCGCAGGGTTTGGACGGGTGTGGCGTGGGGAGGGAAGGACGGTGTGTGGCCGAGGAGAGAGGGAGGTGTGTGGTGGCAGTCGTGAGCGTGATCGTGATCGCGCCACTTTGGCAAAGTGTGCACGGAAAAAGGTCGTAATCCAACCATGGTCGAGTGGAAGGAAGGAAAAGCGGCTTCCAATGGCCGCGCCATGTGTTGGCCATGGTGTGAACGTTTGCTGGCTATTGCTCGCCTCAGATGGCGATGACGCCGTCGGCGGGTGGAGCAGGGAACGGCGGGATGTTGACCGGCTGCGGCTGCGCAAAGTGGTTGCGGGCGGCGAGCGAACGCGGGTGAGCTTCGGCGATGAGAGTGCGAGCACGCTTGACGGTGGCGGCAGCGTCTGCGGCGGCGGTATCGAGATCGGCGTTGGCCGAGACGAGGAGCTCGTCGAGCTTGCGCTTCCGGGCATCGGCGTCCGGGCGAGCCGAGGCCGTGGCGAGCTCTGAGGCGAGCTCTTTGAGCGACGAGGCCGGCTCGATGAGCGAGCGCATGGCGCGGGAGCGGCGGATAAAGCGCGACGAGGCCGAAAAGGTGATGCCGACCGAGCGGGCGACGTCCTGGCGGGCGTCGAGGGCGAGCGGCGGGAGGCAGTCGGCGAGCGGGACAAGGCCGGGCTCGAACGGGTTGGTGCCATCCATGACGGCGCACGCATCGAGGTGGCGCTGCAGAACAGCCGCCGCCGACCCGCCGTCCGACGGGAGGACGGCGACGGTGTCGACCGCGCGGCGGCAGTAGGGGCAGACGACAAAGCCAGCGTCAGTGGGCGAGAGCAGATGGACTGAGTTGTTCACCAGAACACCCTTTTGGCTGGGGTGCTTGGTGCCCTGCGCCAGCAGCGGCGAGTCGTCGATGGGCGCCACAAGGCGGCCAAAGTGGCGTGCCGCGCCCTGCGGGAGCGTCGACGGGAGGACCGTCGAGAACTTTGCGCCACCACCGTGACTGCATGCGCCCCGTTCGACTTGGTCTCCGCGCCAGCCACCGTCTGCATGGTCGACGGCACTACAGCCGCCACCTTGGGCGGTAGCATGGCACTCGACGGCATGGTTGAGCCCGAGGTCAGCCGGGAGCGCGACGACGACGACCGCCCGGGCCGGGCCGCAGAGGCGCTCAAGGCTGCAATGCCCGGATGCGGAGTAGCAGCAGACAACGATGATGGCGTTCCTCGCGACCGGTCTGAATGCCGAGAATATGGGTTCCGTGACGCTGAAGAGGTCAAGCTTGACGACGGTGGCACTCGCCGCTGATACCTCCGCTTGGGTGCGGTGTCGCGGGCCTCTTTCTGGATATGGGCCTCACACGGCGGCTTGCAGCAGGCCTTGCAGAGCGTGTGGAGACACCCTGCAAACGCATACCGGTTGCACTTGACACAGTGTACCTTGCCTGCAGACATGGTACTTGGGATGTGTGTGTGGGTGGGGGGGGAGGGAAGTGGTGGGGGTTTTGCTTGTGCTTGTGCCCGTCGTTGTGATCGTGATCGTGATCGCGATCGCCATCGCCATCGCTGATGATGATTGGGAAGGAGAGGAGGTGGGTGGGGCAACGTTGCATGCTGATGGCAATGTCTTGATGAAAGGTGGGTGGTGGGTGGTGGGTGGTGGGTGGTGGGTGGGTGGGTGGTGGGTGGGGATGGGGGGATGGACGGATGGTGACGTTGATCGTGGTGGAGGGTGAAGGATGCGAGAGAACACATCCTACGATTCTACTTTGATGGACATGGGGCTACTCCAGTTACGGGCGGCTTCAGCCAGGGACAACAACATGTGGAGTAAAGAAAACGGTTCAATAGGGTAGACGGACTACGAGCGGGCATGGCAGCCGTTGACCTTGATGCCCATGTAAACGGCGTGAGCCGAGGCCGTGGGAACGACGACCGAGTCGGAGCACTTGGGGTCCTCGCCGGAACCGTTGCAGACCTTGTACCCGCCGTTGTGCTCCCACACCTCGAGCGGAGCGTGGTGGTAGCCGAGGAAGCGGAACGGCAGATGCGGGACGATATCGGTCGAGTGGACGACACGGACCGCGTTCTCGATCTGCGACTGGAAGTAGAGCTGGAAAGCGTCGTTGCCGACGCGCGGCGCGCCAAAGGTGTAGACGTGGACCGGGACGTGCGGCTTCTTGACCGTCACGTACAGCGAAGAGAGGACGGCGAGCGCGCCACCGAGCGAGTGACCGGTCGCGTACACGCGGTACTCGGGGAAGCGCTCGACAAGGTCGGCGACGTGGTCCGAGACCTCCTGCCCGACGCCCTCCCATGCCTCCTGGAAGCCGCGGTGGACCTTGGCCCCGGTGGCGTTGGGGTAGTCGACGAGATCGGCCTTCTTGAACTTGAGATTGGTGATCCAGTTCTCCGTGTTGTGGCTCCCCTCGTGGGCAAGGATGATCGCCTTGCTCTCTGCATGGTAGCCCGAGAACGACTCGGTCTTGGTCACCGGATCCGTCCAGTACCCGGTGAGCACAAAGCCCGTGGTGTTACCCACGCACACATTGCACGACCAATCGAGGAGGTCCTTCTCGTCACAGTACGACGCAGACGCGTACTCCAGCTACAGCCAGCCAGCCACACCCCGCAACCAAACAACCCCCCCCCCCACCACACACACAAATACCCACCCACATCCACACGTAACCAACCATTCTCACCATGAGTCCATAGCCTGTCCTCGGCGCCTCCCTCTTTGCACGTGCCCTGCCTGTCGCTTGCCCGCCTGCCGTCTGCCACCCGCCGCCCGCCCAAAAGCCAGCGCGTGACCTCCCCTTCCCCCCCCCCCCGCACCCTCTTCCTCCGCACGAGCCCCTCTACACCCTCCCCATTCCCACAACCACCCATGCGTACCATGGTGTAAGCAGTCTTCTCATCCCACGTGTAGCTTGCACCAGGCAGGCGGGCAGCAGCTGGCATGGCGCATGCCGCCGCCACGGCAAGGAGGGTGACAAGGACGAAAACGTTCATTGGCGTCGAGTGGCCGAGGCCGTGGACGTGGCCATGAGAAGGTGGGCAGCCGGTGCCGCCAGGGGTTGGCGGCCGCGGCGAGCGGCGACAAGCCAACAAGGTGACGTGGACGGACGGAGACAAGGGGCTAGCTACGCATGGTAGGAATGATGCTTTACTTGGCACCAAGAGAGGCCGATGAAGTCTGGACAATGCCGACAATGACGCCAAAGAGGCCCAGCGCCGAGGCAAAGACAGAAATGACAAGGACCTTGACAAAGAGGGCAGGCTCGGCGGCATCAGCGAGCGCGCAGCCAGATCCTACGAGGCCGACACAGATGCCGCAGAAGAGGTTGGAGAAGCCGACCGACATACCGCCGCCAAACAGAGCATATCCCGAAAAGTAGTCCTTGATGTGTGGCAAGATGACGCCGTTGGGTAGGGCGGTACCCGTGATGAGGCCAAGCTTCTGTTCAAAGATGATGGCCATGATGATTCCGTAGATGCCCACAGCCTCACAGAAGACAATCGACACCAAGTTCTTCGACCGCACACGCGGCACCTTGATAGCAGCACCCACCAGCGAGGTCCCGGTCAGCCAGATACCCCTACATCATCATTACCACCACCATCTCCACAATGAGTCACAAGCGCCACGTGACTCACAACACCCACAGCCCATGCACCAGCTAAATGGGACCTGCTCTCCCTCCCCTCCCCTCCCTCCCTCCCTCCCTCCCTCCCTCCCGCTTCTTCCTCTCTTCCTTGCCTTCCCCTCCTTCCCCCCCCCTCCCCCCCCCCCTTCTCTCCCTCCACCCTCCTACCCCCCTCCCTCCGTCCTTGCACCCCACCAGCCCTCGCCGTCGATCACCTCACCTCATGCCCGACCACCGCCCACCGCCCAGCCAGCCGGCCATACCCACCGCCATACTAGCCACTCACTGCTACCTCTCCACCCTCCAACCACACAACTGGATACTATTCATCCATCTTCATACCATAAAGCATGTACGTGGAGTCCTGGTATAGGAAGTCGGTCACACCCACGTCATGACCATGCCACCCCCCCTCCCCCCCCCCCCCCCTCTCACCTTGCGTACCAAGCAGCGCCGAGTGTGGACAGGCCAATGGTGAGACCGATGCCCAAGTTGGCCCAAGCATACGGTGTGACCTGTTCAAAGATGTTCGCATCAATGAGCGGAGACTGAGACATGGTTGTCGCACGCCAAGTCAAGTGTACCAAGCCCCAGCTGGAGAAGTGGCCACAGTCAGCGGTGGCAGGCGACGGGCGGCAGGCGACGGGCGACGGGCGAGGGGCGGCAGGCGACGGGTGACACTGCTTCGACCCACTCACTACCACTACCACTACCACTCGCACACTTGGCCCGACTACGGACGACGAAAGACAACGACCAGGACTCTCCACAACATCAACCGCAACTACCGCACGTCCTCTTCCTCTTCCTCCTCGCGGCGACATGTCCAACAGCACGACGTCCGACTTGTCAACGTTGGACGAAACAGCCAATGTGCTCGCCGGCAGTGGGTGGATACTGGTGGCCGTGGTGGCGATGGCATTGCTTGTGCCGCTGCTCAAGGCGCTGTGCACTGGACGACAGGCGGCCGGTCGGCATCATCGGCTGTACAACTTTGTGCGATCGGGGACGTCAAACATCCCGTTGACCATCACCACGCCGCCGCTCATGTCGTCGGCCTTTGCCCTCCTGATCTTCCGCATGCAGTGGATGCAGGCTTCGACGCTCGTGGGCGAGCTTCCAGAGTGGATGTACCGCCTCTCCCGCGGCATCGGTCCCTTTAACGGCATCTCGCCTCGCCTCCCCTTTGACACCGCCGTCGACGATCGGGCCGCCTTCTGCGCCTCGGGCATCGAGGCTCTCGCCGCCTTTCTGCCCATGGACAAGCACTACCTCGTTTTCTCCGTCCTGCTCTTTGTCATTGTCCTTCTCGCCGCAATCGCCTTTATTGCTTTCACTCTCCTTGCCTGCGCGCGATGCCGTCCGGCTGCTGGCGGCGCTGGCATCCACTATCCGCCGGCCACTGACTCGGCCGCAACCTCCACATCGTCGGCATCAGAGTATGTACCGGACTCGGCGCCGGAGCGTCGCGAGGTCGACTCGTGGCACTCGCTTTCGAGCCTTACAATCTCGAGCGCTGTAAGCGCAGACTCGGATGCGAGCTCGGTTGTGGCGGCGGCGACGACGGCCGATCCCGCTGCGCCGCGGGCGACCAAGCGGTTCATCGAGCCGGACGACGCTTTTACCATGCATACCGGCAAGCGACTGGTGGCGATGCAGGAGGCTGCGCTGGCGCTCGGTCTGCGGCTGGTGCCACGGCTGCGGTCCGAGCTCCCACTCGGAGTCTCGCAGGCGCTTGCCGCGTTCTCGGACCGGGTCCTCGACACTGCATGGGCGACCGCTATCCGGATCCTCTATGCCGGATATCTGGGCGCAACCATGACTGCTGCGCATGCACTCTCGTTTGGAACTGATGTAGCAAGCCGTGAGGCCAAGGCATCGTTTGCGGCTGGCGTTGTCGTCTACGTCGTCTACTCGCTAGGCTTTCCGCTCCTTGCCTTTGCCGTTCTGCGGCACGGGGTCCGGCGCGGTGTCATTCCTTCGCGCGGCTCTGCGCGCGATGAGGCCTTTGCTGCCGCCTGGGGCCCGTTCTTCAACGACTATGATGAGCTGCACGCGTCGTACTTTGCCCTTGTCGACCTCGGCCGGCGGCTCGCGCTAGCCACCGCCATCGGCAGCCTCGCATGCAAGCCCGAAGCTCTTGCTCTCTTCCTCCTCCTCCTGCATCTCGCCTACGCTGGCGTCATCTGGTTTGAACAGCCGTTCCAGGTCCCGTCGCGACACCTCGCCGAGGGCCTCTTTGCCGTTCTCGACGTCGTCCACGTCTGCCTCCTCCTCCCGGGCTCGGGCCTGTTTGGCAGCGCGTCGGCGGCCGCGGTCGAGCGTGCCGCAGTTGCGCTCATCGTTTTCTACAGCATCGAGACGCTTGCTCTCACCACCTACGCTTTTTCCGCCTCTCGCGGGCCAACAAGACCACAAACAAGATCATCAAGCACCAGCACGAGCTGCTCTTTGTTTTTGACGAGATCGACATCGGCTCGCGCGGCCGCACCCCATCGCTCGATCTTGTCTGGGGCACCCTCCTCACTCGTAGGCCCGATGACACTTTGCCGCAGTCCACCAGCCGTTCTACGAAGCCGAGCCTCCCGTCTCTGGCTCAATCTCGTCGTCGGGCTCGTTGTCCGCCTCTGCTGCAAACGCCGCCAACCATCGCTGGTCGCTCACGTCGTCGTCGTCGTCGTCGTCGGCCTCATTGGCCTCGTCATCATCGTACTTTTCGGCCTCGTCAAGTGATCAACCGTAATGAATGGTCACTCAACGTGTCGCATCCACGGCCCGTACCATCGCACCTTTTGCATTGCCTTCTCTCGCTCTCTCTCTCTCTGTCCCTCCCTCTGGTTCATTCATTTGCTCACTCGTTCGTTCCCTCGCTCGCCTCTGCTGCCTCGATTCCCTCATTGCAACCATTCCCGACACATATCCTTGGCCACCCAACTCTCGCACAAACACAAGTACGTACCCCGTCCAACCCGGGCTGTAACCTTCCAGCCATTCAGTTCCTACCACCTACTACCATACCAACCACTTCCCCCTTGCATGTAGTACATGTACAGCTGGTTGCAAGGGCAATGTCATCGTGCTTGACGCTCTATACCCATGTTCGAGTGCCGGCTGGTGGCGTCGGACATACAAATCCCTTGATTTTTGTATGACTCGCTCGCGGCAGCCACCCAGTCGACGACTTTGTCACGGGCGTAGTGATGGGCATGTCATGAGTTGGCAAGCGCCATCCGGCTGGCATTGTAGCCTTGTTGACGGCGATTACGACCATGTTATTGGCTTGACTGGTGCTTGCCGCACTGGCGCACAGCGAGTGCTCCAAGTCGGAGCAGGGATGTGTTGTGCGAGCTTTTTCTGCGGTGGCGAAGCCTCTGAGTGCGCCGTGTCGACAGGGATACTCACAATGATGCGACTGGAACGGGTACCGTGGTTGTGTTGTGTTGACAGTGTCTGCTGTTCCCGAGTGCCTCCACCCGACTGAGGATGACATGCAGAAGCTCCTCGCCTGCAAGGTCCACATCGGCACCAAGAACCTCGACTACCACATGACGCCGTACATCTGGAAGCGCCGCGACGACGGCATCTACCTGATGAACCTCGGCAAGACCTGGGAGAAGCTCATGCTCGCTGCCCGTGTCATCGTTGCTGTCGAGAACGCCGCTGACGTTGTCGCCATCTCGGCCCGCACCTTTGGCCAGCGTGCTGTGCTCAAGTACGCCAAGGCGACTGGCTGCAAGTCGGTTACCGGCCGCTTCACGCCCGGTACCTTCACTAACCAGATCCAGAAGCGCTTCATGGAGCCGCGTGTGATCATTGTCACCGACCCGCTCACCGACCACCAGGCCGTGCGCGAGGCTCGTTTGCCAACATCCCGACCATCGCCTTCTGCGACACCGACTCGCCGCTCGAGTACGTCGACGTTGCCATCCCGTGCAACAACAAGGGCCGCCTCTCCATCGGTATCATGTACTGGCTCCTCGCCCGTGAGGTGCAGCGCATGCGTGGCGTCATCGACCGCCAGACCCCGTGGGACGTCATGCCCGACCTGTACTTCTACGTCGACCCGGAGGAGGCTGATGCCCGCGAGGCCGAGCGCGCCGCCGCCGCCGCCGCCGCCGCCACCGCTGCCAACGCTTCGGCCGAGGCTGAGGCCGCCTACGCCGAGACCGCCGTCCCGGCCGCCACCGAGGCGCCCGAGTGGGCCGCTGGTGCCGAGCAGCCCGGCTGGCCTGGTGAGGCTGGTGCCTTCCAGCTTGACTCGCAGGCGCCGGACTCGTGGGCCGATGACGGTGCCGCGTGGTAAGTCGTGCTTGCCCCGCCCACTCCTCTCCGCTCGGAGTTGCTGCGGACCCCGAGGTGTCGTGGTTAACGAAGGTGCACGGCTGTGAGTTGGGGTGGGCCCCCCCTGCTCCCGATGAATGAACACGATTCGTGGGCCAGTACTTTATTTCTTAACCCAGCCGTGCCTTGACAGAGAGCCGCGACTTGACCGGGAGCCGGGTCTTGGGCTTGGCTGCTGGCTTGCCGTTGCCCAGCGGCTTGGGCCGCTTGAGCCGCGGCGAGTCGGCGGTGAGCCGCGGGAGCGGGCCGGCACTTGGCGCTGCCTCGTCGCGCAGGCGCTTGGCCGACGCCGGTGGCGGCGCCGGCGGAACGGGCGGAGCCCACGATGGCGCCACGTTGGCACCGACCGTGAGATATTGCTCCTCTGGCCGCGACGGCGCGAGGATGCGGGCGAGAATGCAGGCAACCCGGTCGAGTACCGCCAGCGCGTCGACCAGCAGACTCGAGGTCTGCTGCAGCTGCGCTCGCGCCACCCGCGACACTGGCTCGGCCACCAGCGCCGCCGACAGCCGCTCGAGCTTGGCCTTGACGCTCACAGTGTACGCGGCGGCGTTGGTCTCGAGCGGCGCAAGCGTCGCGGCCTCCCACGCCGCGGCCTCGTCGGACCGAGGGCCACCAGCCTGGGCCACGTGCGCGTATGCGTACACCAACGTCTCGACCACCCGCCACTCGACATCGCCGGAGGCCGGCGCCGCCGCGGCGTCAAGCGCTGTGCGCAGCTTGCCCAGACAAGCAGCGGCAGCCGAGGGAGGCGGCGGCGGGCAGGCGGCGGCAGCGTCAGCGGCCTGCTGAGCGAGGCCGAGCCAGTCGCCGGCCGAGGCGGGATCGGCCGCAAGCGCCGCGGTGAGGCACGTCGCTACTGCGCCCACGGTCGACAGCCGCGGGCGCGGGCCAGACGTCGCCTCCAGCGCCGCCAGGAGCAGCGATCGTACGTTGGCAGACTGGGCGGCAGGCTGGGCGGTAGCCTGTCCGAGCGCCTGCGCAAGCAGCGCACGCACCCGGTGCCGCGGCTCAAAGGCGGCCGGCAGGCCGGCAGCGACCGCGTCGAGTACTGCACCCACTGACTCGACACTCAGCAGCGGGCCCGAGCCGCTCGGATCGAGCTCCGCAAGCAACGGATCGACCACGTGGAGGGCAGCCGACCACGGGTCCGGCCGCGGCGCAAGGAGCGACACAACAGTCTCGCGGGTCACAGCCGCAAGACCCGCCGCCACCGCCGCCGTCGCCCGTTCCACGTGCGGTGCTGGCAGCGGAGTCGCCGCATCCAGCGCCATCGCCGTCGCAATGGCAGTCGTCGCCTGGACCGGCGCAACCGTGACCAGATCCGCAAGCGCAGCGTCGACCGCCGCAATCTCCGCAGGCAGCTCGGAGAGCATCAGCTGGAGCAGGATGGAGACCATGACCGACGGCAGCTCGCGGCCTTCGGGCAGAAGCGAGAGACTGCTCGCCGAGCTGTGCGAGATAAAGCCGGGCAGCCGAGCAATGGCCGCCGAGCGAATGGACGGCCACTTGGACTCACACAGATCGAGGTAGGCGTTGAGACTGGCGGTGAACTGCAGGTCTGCGGTGAGGTAGAAGAACTTTGGAATGAGCGGAATGACGAGCGACATGGCCTCACGCCACGCCTCGTCATCGCCACTCTCATCATCCCCCCTCTTGCCACCGATAGCACCAGATCATACACCGATGCGGCTGCAGCATCATCGACCTGCCGCCCTGCGACATGCCTCCTTGCTGCCACCGCCAGGATCTCATACGCGTCCTTCAGCAGTCCCACAGGAGGTGGACCACCAGAGCCTGTTCCTCTACTCATCTAACTATTCCGTTGGTATGTAGTTGCGAGTGTGGCTGTGGGCGGAGCGGTATGAGTGGTGTGTGACTGGTTGGCTGGCTGGTTGGCTGGCTCCGTTGTGCCGGTGGAGGGTGCGCCAACCGGGCTCGAATCAATAGCTGGACGGCGACTCTGATGGGCAAGACAAAATGCCTTGACTGTGTCGATAAGCTCGTTCCCACTAATGTAGGGGGGGAGAGAGAGAGGAGGAGGGGGGGTCAGTGGCTGGGCGATAGCTGGTGGTGACTCGCTGGAGGTGATTGGCTGGCTAGTGGCGAGTGGCTGGAGGTGACTGGCACGTGGCCGAGGCTGGCACAGGTCGATGAGCGAGGGGGGAACGGAAGGGCTCGGGGGGAGGGTGAGGGGAGGGCGAGAAAGCGAGTATGGAACCGGGGAGGTAACCACCACACTCTCTACCAAGCGTACGTTAGCTTTGACGTCTTCTTCTGTTCTTCAAGCGAGTAGCTACAGTGCAAACCAGGTGTGCGTGTCCCCCCTGGCCTCTATCACCTCGTTGGCCATGTAATGCATGCTATGCTATGCTATGCTATGCATCGTCCATTGGTTGTTGTTGGTGGTAAACGTTGGTGCCTTTGATCGCGACCGAAGCAGACCTTGCCGCGCCATGGTCCCGACCTGCCGCCCCCCTCTACCGCCTTGCCTGTGCCTGATGCTCCTGCCAGTTTCCTTCTGCCTACACACTCTCCACCACCATAGCCCCCTCGAACAGAGGTTCAACTATGGCTGGTCGCACTGGTGCGACTTGCCACACCGCCCATGCTGCTCCTGCTCTGCTCCTGAGTGACGCCACCCTCGGTTTGTAGCTGCTACCGCCTTTTGGCCAAAAAGGTCGTTTTCCGACCACACGTTCTTTCTCAGCGAACAAATCATCGTCATTTAATTGACCGCTCGGAAAACGCGCCCTCGGACCGACCGGCAAACTGGCGGACCGGCGGACCGGCGGACCGGCGGACCACCCGAACCACCCGACCGCGGCTCTCACTCACCCACCGTTATCATCACTGATTTAGAAGAATGACCAAGAAGTCGCGGGATCCGGCCAAGCCCAAGCGGGCGCTGACGGCGTACCAGTACTTTTGTGCCGACCACCGCGAGCGGGTCAAGGAGGCGAACCCGGATGCCAAGCACACCGATATGTTTGGCCTGCTCTCAATCGAGTGGAAGAAGGTCAAGCCTGGAGTGCGGGGCAAGTATGATGCGCTTGCTGCGGCCGACAAGGAGCGGTACGACGCCGAGATGGCGGCGTACGTGCCGACGGAGGGCTTTGAGAGGTCCGGCAAGCCGAAGCGCAAGGCGGGCGCCACCGGGCCCAAGCGGCCACTCAACGCATACCAGGTGTACTCGAAGCGTCATCGCGATCGTGTGACTGCCGCCAACCCAGACGCCAAGCATACCGAGATGTTTGGCCTGCTCTCAGAGGAGTGGAAGAATGCGTCCGAGACCGAGCGTGAGGCGTGCAAGGCCGAGGCCGCCCGCCTCCGTGCAGAGTACGAGATCGCCCGCGCCCAGTGGCAGGAGGAGCACCCTGAGGAGCTCCACGCCAACAAGAAGGCCAAGACGGGCCGCCGCAAGACCAAGGACCCGAACGCGCCCAAGCGCCCGTCCACGGCCTACCAGCTCTACTCGCGCGCCCACCGCGCCCGCGTCTCGGCCGCCAACCCGGATGCCAAGCACACCGACATGTTTGGCCTCCTCGCCGAGCAGTGGAAGACGTGCCCGCCTGCCGAGCGTGCCCAGTACGAGCAAGAGGCCGCTACGCTCCGCGCCAACTACATCGCTGCCAAGAAGAAGTACGAGAGCAGTGGCGGTATGGGCTCTGACGAGTAGTGTGTGTGTGGCATGCGCTTGACTTGCTTGCTGCGCCTGCCGCGATCGCGGCTGTTAAATGTAGTCACTTGAGAGAGAGAGAAGGAGAGAGAGAGTGTGTGTGTTTGTGTTCGTGTGTGCAGGTGTGCGTGTATTTTCGGGGAGAAAGCCAGCGGCGACAAGACTAGCGGCCCATCCGGCCCATCACGTCCGGCTCCTTGGTGGTCACACCGAGCCGGTGCTCGATCTCGGCCTCGTGCTGGCTGTTCATGCACGCGTACACCGCACAGTACAGGCCGTCGACAAACGTCTCGAGCTCGTCCGACCCGTTGCCGCTGCACTGCAGCACGCAGTTGAGGATCTGGCAGAAGCAGAGGAAAATCTGGATGCATGCATCGCACGCTGGCAAACCATACATCTACGAGTGAGTAGCAAGGAAGAGCGAGAGGACGGGGGAGGAGGGAGAGGGAAGGAAAGGGGGAGCACTTACCCGAGTCGCGGACGTTGAACCGCTGCATGATCATCGAGCGGTTGGTGTAGATGGCGCACTCGTGGCAGCAGCAAGCCTCCAGCCAGAGGCAGCAGCCCTCGTTGCCCTGGACGCAGCCGTCGCAATGGCGGGTGATGCACTGGTACCGGTTGTTGCAGCACTTGTAGCGCGACAGGTCGTTGTCGAGCATGGTCAGCCGATGCGACCGCGCCTTGAAGCACGGCAGCAGGCACGAGAGCGCGCAGGTGATCGGCTGGGTAAAGCACGCGTTGATCATGCCCTTATGGAACTCCTGGTTGCCTCCGCCACCGCCGGCTCCGCTGCCGTATCCGCCCTGCTGGTGGCCACGCCCGCGCCCATTGCCCTGGGCTTGCCCATACGCTGAGTTACCTGGTCCCTACACCCGTGTCAATTCCATCATCGGCAGTGAGTTGCCATCCCTGTCGCCACGCCCATCGCTGTGCGGGCTACGGCCCTCACCCTGACCAAGCTTCTACCGTCAGTCGTCAAAAAACCGCCGCACCGGCGGCACCCACGCGCGTCCCGCCCTCTTTGCTCCTTACCACCCTGCACACACCGCCCGCCTCCCTCCCTACCCACCGTCCTTTTCCACCATTATCCTTCCCCTACACTATCCCCATACTCCTGCCCTTGCCGCCAGCGGCCCTTCCATAGAGCCACCAGCTCGTCGGTAGGACTCGGGCAAGTGTTCCAGAGCGAAGCAGCGACAGCACCTAACGCCCCCTTCTCCCTTCCCCCTCCTCCTCCCTCCACACAGCCCCCCCCCCCCCCCCCCCCCCCACACACACCATACTCATCTCCCTTCCCTCAAACCCATCCAACCTACTGTCTGGGTCATTGGTTGTACTCGAGACATGAGTAGTGCAATGTGTGCACAGAGATACGCAGTGAACGGAACGACGATAGTCATACTCATTCGTAGTCAAAAGATTTAGTCATTAGTTAGTCAGTCAAACGTCAATGACTAAGATGGTGATGAGGACGGAGGCAGCCCTCTCACACGCAGCATGCCCCCGTTCTTCGGCCTTGTGGCAAGTTGACCGCGAGCGAGTGGGACGAGGTACATGACGCTGTGGAGGTACTCCTCCTCACGATCAACAACTCGTGCGTACTCCTCCTCACGATCAACAACTCGTGCGTCATGTCTCAGACGTCCGATATGTCGTCCTCCCTTTCGCTCGTTGCGATGGTGGGGATTGTGGACGATGTCTGGCAGAGCTCAAGATCAACAACGAGGATATCCCTAGGATCCAACAGCTGTGCGACATCGCCACCCAGGCAGCGTACAAACAGGTTGCGTACATGTACAAAGAGGATGCGTGCCTCTTTGCTCTCCTTATTGACACGACTGTCACCAAGGACGACCTTATGTATGTCCAGGGAGTTGTCGCCGACGCCAACAACTCGCTTGGTGTGCGCCATCTGGCGACCGCTGCTGAGGTCCACCATGACATGTGGCGTCGCTTGGCAGACGTCCTTGAGCCCAAGCTCCTGGACGTTCTATCCACGCTCCCGTCGCATACTGCGGCGTCATCGAGCGGAGCGAGCAACACGCTGCCGCAAGAATCGCGGGACCCCACGTACTTTTCCCCGAGTATGTCTGCTGCCGGTGGGCCATCCAAGGTGGTAATGGCTGAGCCGGCTTCATCGCCACAGGCGCGCTCGCGGATGGCCGCGGAGCGCGAGGCGCGCGCTCGTAACATTGCCAAGCGCGAGAAGAACGCGGGGAAGCGCCTGCGCGCGAAGAGCGTTGATGAGGTTCGCGGCTGCAAGGTGCGAAAGATGACGGTGAACGATACGCCTGCGTCTGTGGCTTCGTTCAGCAACTACAAGCTCGTCGAAGTGTTCTGCAAGGTTCTCACGGCTACGTTGTACAACAGTCGGCTAATCTCTACCTCTTCAAGTTTGTCCGTAGGCGACGTGTTGGCTAAGTTTGAGGACGTGTGCGTCGGTCTCGAGTCTCGCAAGAACTGGAACCGCAAGGCTGACGTACGGCGGATCCAGGTGCTGTGTGCGAGGGTCCGCTTGTGGGGCCAGGGGATCCTTCTTCCATCGGCCTCCGCTGCCAGCGTCGAACGGCTCAACTCGGTGGCGACAGACATGATGACGAGGAAGCGGAACCGCCTCTCGGCTCTGCGCGCCGAGAAGATGATGCTCCTGCGTGCATGGATGCTTTTCGACTTTGAGCTGACGAAGAAACTGTAGTGACGATACGCATCAGCTGTTAGTCATTTAGTCAGTCATTAGAATCAGTTAGTTAGTCACAGTAAGCCGTTCCGTTCACTGGAGATACGACGACGAAGCCCACGAGTGACCAACCAAGATTAACCACACATCCACCCGCAAGCGCCTTCCTGCTCCGCCACATGTCGTCATGATCGTTTGCATTCGGAAGGAACTGGGCGACATGGACGGTAGGGGTGGATCGTGTCTTTGCCGCGGATAGGCGTGCCCACAGCGATTAAGGCAAGCAAGTCGGTGCGGTACGCAGGCGCAGACGATGATGACTCCCCAGCTGACCCGCGCGCGCTAGCATCAGGCTCGTAGCTCTCGCCGTACGCGTGGTGCATACATCGCATCGTACAATGAGATGTATGCACCACACGCACGGCGAGAGCCGCATCTGTCCGATGATCGAACTCGTGGCTGCCTGGCGATCCACGGGGTAGATCGTCGCGAGCGCGCAAGGTTTGGCCTGCGGGAGCTTCCGCCGCAGGTGTAAAGCAGGGCATGTGCGGCTGGTGTGATGGAGAGCTACGGCAGTAGTCGTATGGTGGCGGTTGAGACGCAAGCTGCGCCGCGATGACGCAAGTGAGGTGATGCGATTACATGTGATGGATGATGGGCTGTGATGAAGGATACGGGAGGGCGTGTCGATGTGAGCGGCGGGTGCGAGTATGCAAAAGCCTGCTCAGATCCAGTAGATCAGATGCAGGGCGGCGGCAGGTTGGAGCGGCGGCGGGCTACAGTTCTGCGGGATGCGGGCTGCGGGCTCGGGCTGCAGCCTTGGTGCCTTCGCGCGTTCAAAAATCTAAATCCCCGCACGCTTTGCTTTGACCAACTAACGTCCGCACCCCAGTTGGGGCGAGGGGCCGGGGGAGGGGGGGGGGGGGAGCGGGCGCCTCGAATAACCGAGGTCAACAACAAGTTGAAGCTTCCGCTGGTCGGCTTTGCATCGGCTGGCGTAACAGCACACTCATCTTAAGGTATGTGAAGAAGCCCAAGTGGATTATGGTGTATCCTTTTTCTTCCCCCTCCTCGTTCTATATCACCTCCTCTCGCTTTTCTTTGCCTTGTTCTGTTGTGTGTGTGTGTGTTGTGTGTCTCTCTTTGTGCCTCTGTGTGTGTGCCGTCGGTGCTTGCTCCAACTCGAGAACGTTCAACATACCGCGTTAATGCTACATACCCAAACGTGGCTTTGTGGTGGGTGGGGGTATGGGCAGTTGGGAATGGAGGGGAGGGATGTACGAGAGGCAAGACGGCGTACGTCTAGCCATGCTCAAAGGCATTGGACGTGAATGGTATGGGGCGGCATACCATGGTTGTGGACATGTAGCTTGGATAGGTCGCCCCCCCTGGCCCTGTCCCCCCCTGGCCCCCCCGTTCAGGCGCGCCATCCAGCGTTTTTTTAAGGCTCTCCGCCCGTTTGGGCGCAAGTTGTTGGACAAAACCCTACCTGGTCTGGACCCATAGCTGAGGCGCGAGGCATGAGCATGAGACCAGCTGCGTAAGGACCTTAAGTGGTTGTTGCGGTGGTGGCAAGGGTATCGTCGCTCTCCTCTGTGAACTCGTCGTTTATTTTCGGTTTCTTTCGGGTACGGGGCCCGTCCCGTTGTCGGTTGTGGGCGCTCTTTGCTGGCGAGCCGCCTCCCTCCGCTCGGTTGCTAGTTGCGGCGCGAGTTGCGAATGGAATACTCACTTGGAGTGCGTAGTAGTGTGTAACAGGTCAAGATGGTGAAGGAGCACACGCTTGTTGTTGTCGGCTCCGGCGGAGTCGGCAAGTCGGCCATCACGGTCCAGTTTCTGTACAACCAGTTCATGACATTCTACGACCCGACGATTGAGGAGTCGTACCGTAAGCAGGTGGTCATTGACGATGTGGCGTGCATGCTTAACATTGTGGACACTGCCGGTCAGGAGGAGTACGCTACGCTCCGCGACCAGTACTGGGGCCCTGGTGAGGGCTTTGTTCTTGTGTACTCGATCACGTCCAAGGAGACGTTTGTGGAGGTGCAGGATCTGACCAAGCTTGTGCTGCGGACTAAGGACGCGGCGACGTTCCCGATGGTGATTGTGGGGAACAAGAAGGATCTTGAGCATGAGCGCAAGGTGCCGTCTGCCGACGGCGAGAGCCTTGCCAAGGACCTGAAGTGCCCGTTCTTTGAGACGTCGGCCAAGACCCGGCTCAACGTCGACGAGTGCTTCACCGCCCTTGTCCGTGAGATCTGGGCCGACTCGGGCGACGATCCGGTCAACCCGGGTGGCAAGGCCAAGAAGAAGGGCGGCTGCGTGCTCCTCTGAGCTTGCCATGTCTTGCATTCGCTTTTCTCCTTGCTTGTGTCGGCTTCCCCTCTCTACGAGGGATTTGCCTCTTTCCATCCTCCTGTTGTCTTGAGCGCGAGCCAGGCCGCGGCGGCCACCCCACATCTGTCGGCATCGCCATCTTTTCTCAACGCCTCCTTCCCCTCGACCCTTGCACTCTCGACATCCTGCAGTCAATCTGCACGCCTCGACCTGTCTGTCCAGTTCGGGCGACCTTTGGCTGCACTTTCACCAATGAAACACTATGTGTCCACATGCCCCCGCGCCCCTTTCCCTCCTCCGTCCTCTCCCGCCCCCCCCCCCGCCTTTTCACCCTCACGTGACCGAGTTACGGCCCGACGGCTATGTCTAGCATCAGCTCCCACCTCACCCCCCCCCCCCCCCTCCACACACACACACATATAACCATAACCATGGCATTCCAGGTTGCGGTGACGGAGAGCGTGAGTGTGGGACTTGTCAGCCACCGACATGTCCCTGCCCTCTTTGCCGCCGTCGACAGCACCCGGACACGGCACCACCTGCGGGCATGGCTCCCATGGGTAGACACTATTCGTGATGAGGACTCGGTCAAGGCGGTTGTCTCTGCCTCTCTTGCACAGGTACGTACATGCAGATAGAGAGAGAGAGAGTATGTGTGTGTGTGTGTGTGTGTGTGTGTGGTGGTTGGCATGACAGAGGTCATGCAGAGTATCGGCTGCTATCATCGGGACCGCTGGTCGTGGCTGACCGTGTTGGTCGGGACTGCTGGTCGTGGTGATCATGATCATGGTGCTGGTACTGGTGCTGGTCGTGATGGTAGTGCTGGTGGTTGGCATGACAGAGGTCATGCAGAGTATCGGCTGCTATCATCGAGACCGCTGGTCGTGGCTGACCGTGTTGGTCGGGACTGCTGGTCGTGGTGATCATGATCATGGTGCTGGTACTGGTGCTGGTCGTGATGGTAGTGCTGGTGGTTGGCATGACAGAGGTCATGCAGAGTATCGGCTGCTATCATCGAGACCGCTGGTCGTGGCTGACCGTGTTGGTCGGGACCGCTGGTCGTGGTGATCATGATCATGATCATGGTGCTAGTCATGTTGATAGTGCTGGTGGTGGGTGGTATTCATTCTGCACTGCCCTGAGCTCTTGCTGATCGTGATGGCAACGCTCTGTCACACCGCTCACTCACCTCAATCATCTCCATTCTCTTCCCCATCCTCCTCGTTCACGTGCATACCATAGTTTGTTGGGGACCGCGGCGCCATGTACGGCGTGTGGCTCGGTGCAGACCTCGTCGGGAGCGTGTCGTGGAGCGTGTCGGCTCCGGCGCATCCGCAGACGGCCGAGCTCGGAGGCTGGCTGGTGCCCGACGCGGTCGGCAAGGGCATCATGTCGCAGTCGATGGCGTACGTCGTCCGGTACTTGTTTGACTCGCTTGACTTTGTCCGCCTTGAGCTGCGGATTGCCACACACAACACCCGTGGCCTGGCGCTGGCTGATGCACTCGGCTTTGTCCGCGAGGGCACTCTCCGCGAGGCGGCGCTGGTCAACGGGCAGGCCCACGACGTTGCCATGTTCTCGCTGCTGCGTGCAGAGTGGCGTGCTGCCACCCTCGCCAAGGAAGCCAAGGTCGAGGAGGCCAAGGCTGCCGCCGACGAGGCGCGTGCCAAGAAGCGCGCCGCCCTCACCTCGGGCCCGTCCATCTTTGACGGCTCTGTTCCGCTGCCCGCGCCCGTTGCGGGTGCGAAGAAAAAGAAGGCGGCGTCGGCCCCGGCGTCGGCTGCTGCTGCCACTCCGACCATCTTTGACGACGGTGCGCGCCCGCGATCGGCCAAGGCGCCAGCCAAGTCGCCGTCTATCTTTGGCGAGACGACAACCGCGTCAGCGCCGGCTAAGACTCAGGTCAAGGCGCCAGCCAAGTCGCCGTCCATCTTTGGCGAGACGACGACCGCGTCAGCGCCGGCCAAGGCGCCGGCCAAGGCGCCATCCATCTTTGGCGAGACGACGACTGCCCCCGCGCCGACCGCCTCGCCCGCACCCGTGCCAGTCAAGACCTCCAACACACTCCTCGTGGCGTCGTCGTCCGACGGCGAGAGCGAGGATGACGAGCCTGCGGCGCCCGCGCCCGCACCAGCTCCGGTGCGTGCGCCAGCCTCCAACGTCGCGTCGCTCTTTGCCACCGACGACGGCGACGATGACGATCTGTTCGGCGGCGCCCTTCCGGTGGCCAAGAAGCCCGCGGCGACCAAGACGACCTCGCTGTTTGGTGACGACGACGACGGCGACAGCGACTTTTGGTTCTGACCGGCGTGTGCTCTGCAACGGGTCACGGCGAGATATGCGTTTAGTCTACGACGAAGTGGCGACGATGCGGAGGACCTGGCGGTCGATGGAGGCGCCGTCGGCCGCGGTAAAAACAGTGTCGACGGCGTAACGGCCCGAGTCGCGGATGTAGGCGGCAAACTCGACGACGCCGCCGCCGACGCCAAAGTAGTACGACTTGGCGGCAAAGAGCGCAACGCCATGTGGCGCCAGGCAAGCATCCAGAACACCGAGCAGCTTTGGGTAGCTCTCGCGGGCGTAGATGGTCTCGGCCGAGACAATGACGTCGTACGGCGCCTTGTCAGCCACTACATCCGCCAGCCCGCCCCAATCGCCGGCCACAAACGCAGTGGTCTCCGGATCGAGCGCGGCGGCCGCCGGCGGGCCTGCGGTCTCCATATCGGGCCCGATCTCAAGCTTGCTCGCCTTGGGTGCGTTGAGGTACACGTTCTCGGCGGTGACCATGGTGAGGACGGCGGCGTTGTAGTCCTGAAAGGTGACGTGCAAGACGCCCGGCACGTGGAAGAGGGCGTAGATGCCGGCCAGGCCATGTCCGCATCCAAGATCGAGAACCTTCCCTTCGCCAGCGGCAAGGGCAGCGTGGAGGCCGACGTCATCACGCGGCATGGTGGCAATGAGCTCGAGCGTGGCCTCCCACACCTTGAGGCCGCCCTCGTACAGCCCTGCAGCAAGATCCGAGTCGACAACAACATCGACCAGAGCATCATCAAGGAGATCAACCACGTCGTCCTTGGTAAAGGCGACCTTGGCAAGCACGCCCGGCTCGACCTCGATCCGCACCCCATCCAGCTCCGTCTCGTGTGTCAGATACTTGCTCAGCGCAGTGTTCCGCTCCGCGATCTCGGCCAGCACCACCCTCGGCTCACCCTCGATGTTTGCGCTTGATCCAGCCGAGACTTTTGCTCCCGCTTCCTCGCCCTCTTCACCGCCTTCTGCCGCCATCGCAGCCGCTGCAGCCGCTGCCGCTGCCGCCGCCGCTGCCGCTGCCTCAGCTGCCTCCTCTTCGGCGGCTGTCCGGTTGGCCGCATCCACCGTCGACTCGACCGGCTCGCTTCCGAATGAGAACGCAAACGCCATCGATATGTATGTGTGTATGTATGTGTGTGGATGTGTGGGTGACTGAGTGAAGGAGAATGGGGTGTGGAGACAGAAGGGTGAGGAGGAGGGGTTGCGAGGGAGAGGAAGGGTGATGGATGCTGCCGTGGTGCTGCCCACCATTAACTCTCGTTCCGTTAATCATAGCCACCAATCGTAACCAATACCAATCGTAGCCACCAACCATTAACTCTCGTTCCGTTAATCATAGCCACCAATCGTAGCCACCAACCATTAACTCTCGTTCCGTTAATCATAGCCACCAATCGTAGCCACCAACCATTAACTCTCGTTCCGTTAATCATAGCCACCAATCGTAGCCACAAACCATTAACTCTCGTTCCGTTAATCATAGCCACCAATCGTAGCCACAAACCATTAACTCTCGTTCCGTTAATCATAGCCACCAACTCACACGACAACGGCCACCACTCCTCCCTTGCCATAGCCACCTATGTCGGGAGGCGGCAGCGGACGACGGATGTCGTTCGCCACCTTGGCCAAGATGACGTCGGCCATGTCGCGAAGAAGGACTCGCGGGCCCGAGGGCATGCTCAAGCAACGGCTGGCAGAGGCAGAGGCCGCCCGCGACAAGGCCCTCGACAAGGTCGTGGCCCTCAACAGAGCCCATCGCGCCGCTCTGGACGAGGCTACCGAGGAGAAGGCCGTGCTTGTCCTTCGCGTACAGGAGCTCGAAGCTGATGCTGCTGCCGCTTCTGCCACTTACGATGCCCTCATTTCACTGGCTCTCGAGATCGAGCTCCGCAACTCGTTATCATCATCGCCACCCTCTTCAGCACCCTCACATGCCGGGGATTCGCTGTCATCGCTGACTGATGGCAGTAGGAGAGGGCTTGCAGAGGCTGGTGGGCCGGGCGCGCGGCTGATGGAGCGAAGGCATGCACTGCGAGAGGAGAATCCGATGGTGGTACTCGACGGTGTCCGGCGGCAGGTGAGATCGTTACTGGCACAGGCCGAGTCGGCACGAAAGGCTGCCGAGAGCAGCGCGGCCGAGCGTATCGACGAGTTGGGTGTCAAGATCTCGGCGCTCGAGCTGCAGCTTGCCGAGTCGAAGCAGACGGTCTTGGCACTCCGGGGCGAGATGGGGAGCCAGAACGAGGCAGTGTGGGAGCTGCGCGCTGTCGCCGACAAGGCGCGCGCAGCGGCCGAGGAGGCCGGCGCTGACGCCGACGCTCGGACTACCAAGGCGCAGCGGACCATCGATGCGCTCTCGACCGCTAACTCGCGGCTTCGTGCCGAGCTCCGTGATGCCCGCGGGGCGCTGCAACAAGCTGAGACCCGGATCACCGAACTGGCCCGGCTCGAGACCCACGTGGCAAACATCAAGGCTGACCACGCGGTCGAGCTCGAAAAGATCCGGCAGCAGGCCGAGTGGGAGGTCCGCGCCGCAAAGTCGGCCAACGACCGCTGCATCGCGCTCACCATGGAGCGCGATGCCCTGCTAGGCAAGCTCTCCGCCGAGCAGGCCAAGGTCGAGTCGTACCGGACCAACGCGTCGGTGGTCAAGCTTCAGCGAGCAGAAGCTGCCGCCGCCCGTCTCCAGTCGGCACTCGCCGACCTCCGCTCCGAGAATTCGGCCATGCACCTCAAGGTTCGTGCTCTGCAGCGCAAGCTCGCCACCGCTGCCGACCGCTCCGACGATCTGCAGCGGAAGCTTGCCAACAAGCAGGCCGAGCTCGACGTGTACGTCGGCAAGAAGACCATGATTCCCGGCGGTGCCCGCCAGAGCCCAGGCCGACCGGGCAGCCCGGCGGTGGCCGGCACACCTGGCCCATCGGCCTCGCTCCCGTCCGGCAGCACCTCACTCGGCCTCACCACACCAGCGCAGGACGTGAGCACAGTGCCCGGTCATGTCGAGGCGTACAAGACCAAGCTTCGCGAACGCGACGCCACCATCCTCGAGCTCCGCGAAAAAGTACGCGCGTTGATGGGCAAGGACCACGCCCGGCGCGTCGCCGCAAAGTCGTTCGAGCTCGAGCGTGCGGCGTACCTCAAAGAGATCGGCCAGCTCCGTCGGCAAGCTGGAGAGCTCTCGGCGTCGTGGGCCGGGGGTGCGTCGGCCGCACACGGCTCGTCAGCAAGTTCGTCGCTGTACATGGAGCCGCAGTCTGAGGCCACCGTCATGCAGCTTCGGGCCCGAAACCGGATGCTTGAAGCCCAGGTCGCCGAGCTGCACAACGTCAAGGCCATGATGGCCAACACCTCGGCGGCCTACACCCGCCTCCTCGCCATCGTCGAGTCGCTCGGCGTCAACAAGCTCGCGCTTGAGCAGGTCAAGAACTATGTTGCCTCTGGCGATGCTGCTGACCTTTCGGGCGCCCTTTTACGCTCGGGCGCTCGTTTGTCGGCGACGCGACGCCTCGCGTCAGCGGCAGCGATGCCCCCCGTGCCGCGGCCTCGCTCTTCTCAACCTCGCCTGCCCCCGAAGTCCAGCGCCAGCGGCTTAACGCATCCCTCGCTGACGAGCCCCGAAGCTCGCCGGCGTCGCCGATCACTCCGCTCACCACTCTTCATGCCCGCTACGTCGACGTGGACGGCGCCTCGCCGCAGCTGATGTCATCGGCCGCCTCGCCGTCTCGGCCGCGCTCATCGCTTGGCCTCCACTCGGACTCACCGTTGCCGTATCGGCCGGGCTCTGTCGGCTCGAACAGGTCTGTCCTCCGGGTGGGCGCGATGCTGTGACACTGTCGCAAGCTCGCACAAGTAACACCAACAGTTCAATACCGGATGATCGAGTCGCCTGGGCGGACACCGTCGTGCGGCATCGTCTGCTTCTTCAGCACCTTGGCCTCGGACTTGAACGCCGCGCGGTTCGCCTTCTTGCGCTGGCGCGCGGCACGGCGAGCCTCCTTGATGGCCTTTTTGCGGGCGCGCTTCTCGGCCTTGGTCTCGTTGGCCGGCCGCTTCATGCCCTCGTTGACGACGTTGACTGAGCCGTCGTCGTAAACGTACTCGTACTCGTCATCGTCTGCGGCGGCATCTGCACTGGTGCCCGAGCCGGGCGCAGGCCCGGCGTCAGCGTCGGCGCGCGAGCCCTTGGGCGCGGTGTTGCGGGCAGGAATGGTCGGCGTCGTGGTTGCCGAGCTCTTGATAGTCGAGCGACCCGAGTGGGACTGGATCTTGCGTGGATGATTCGAGACGTTTGAGTTGAGCGAGAGAATCGACTCGACGTCGTGCTCCGGCATCTTTGCCCGCGGCTTGAAGCCCATGGCCGCATCGAGCTCGTCGCCCGGCTGCGGCTGCGGCGTGGTGCCGTCGACTTCAGCCTGCCGCGCCGCCGCCGCCAGGATGCGCTGGCGGAGGTCCGGCATGTCGCGAACTGGCTCGAGGAGGACCTCGCGCTTAAAATGCTTGCGGAGAACCTTGCCGGCGAGCACATCCTCGATGATGGCCTCAAAGTCGGCCACCGACATGTTTCCGCGCGTGTCCCGCGAAAACGGCAGCTCACCGATTTGGTCGATCTCATAGTCCTTCTCCATCATCACCTCCAGCCGCTCGTCGTCGATCTCGTGGAGGCCGGCCCGCGGCCGGTTCACCGTCGACGCCACCGAGTACGGCGTGCCGTGGACCGGAACCATCGAGACAAAGGTCGACGACGCCTCGGTGTACGCCACGCCCGACTCGTCCGACCCGCCGCCAAACACCGAGTTGAAGCCCATCTCGGACCGGCTCTGCATGATCCGCTCGTACTTTTCAGGCTCCATCACCCGCGCATACTCGAGCGCCCACTCGGTGTCGTCAAACCCATCGGCGTCGTTGACCGGCTGCTCGGCCTGCGCAATCTGAATAAAGTCGTCCTGCAGCTCCTCAAACTCGTCCTCATCCTCCAGCGCCTGCAACACGTCGAGCGGCAGGTCCGTCCGGAAGCCCTCCGGAACCGGCGCAGCCAGGTTGAGTAGGCCCACGTCCTCCTCAAACTTGCTGGCAAGCACCTCGGCTGGCAGGCCCGTCGCCTCATCAAGCGTCGACGGCGTGATCTCGACCGCGGGCTTGAAGACCGTTACGTCGGCAATCGGTGGTCCAAACATGCCCGGCGCGCCCACAAAGGTCCCGTCCGATGCAAACGGCCGCAGATGCTGCGAGTAGTCGTACATGTCGCCCGCACGCGTGTGTCCAAAGTACGCCGAGTATGCGTAGTTGTCCACAACAGATCCGTCCACGTCGGCATCAAGATCCGGATTAATCGCTGCCACAAGGACACGTCCCTCTGCGTCGCGCGGCACAAGGCTGTCGCCTTCCAACTGCTTTTCTCCCGACGCCCCGGCCTCACCCTCAACCTCGGCCTTGCCTTTGCCGCCATCGCCGCCATCGTCCTCGCCGTCCGAGTAGTACTCGTACTCGTACTCGTACCCGCCGCCAGCGCCCTCACCAGCCCCGCCCTTGAGCGCCGCAAAGTCCGAGGGTGTAAAGACGGCGTCCGCAAAGTCATCGCGGGTTGCCACACGCGACGACCGTCCGCCATCGGCCTCCCGCGCCACATCCGCCAGCTTCTTGGCCGTCCTACCATCTGGCACGAGCACCATCTGCGGCACATCAGCATTGGCTGCCAGCGGATCTCTCTGCGACCGATGGACAAGATGGAAGGTGACGGCATCCTTGCGGTTGAACCGCTTGTTGCGTCTCTTCCGCCGTCCCTATCCCCTCCCCAACACAGACACACACACACAGCAACACACATTCGCACGCCAGAGACACGCACACATGCACACACAAACTCACATAAGTGACTCATACCCCATTGACTTAATCGTCTATACATGCGCCGATGTCCAAGAATTACCATACCATCGCCCCACCATGGCCATCCCCCTGCCGCTCATCCCTCAGCTGCTCTCCATCCATCCTGCCACTCCATCCCGCCTGCTGACTTCCACACACACACCGACGCTGGACACAGCCACAGCCACCACACACACAGCAACACTCCCATACACACCCAAACAAACTTGATGATACGCCCCTCCACCACCACCACCAACCCTCTTCCTCCTCCTCCCCCCCCCCCCCCCTCAATCAAAGTCGTAGTCGTACCATGACTCTGGAACACGCTCGCTCGTCAACTATGTCTCAGTTCGGTCGTCTCCGCCTCCACAATGCCTCCAAGGCTGCAAGCTGAGTCGCCACTCGCGTTTGCTCTTGGACAAAGTATTCCGGTGTTGGGCTGGACACGGCAGCGAACGAACAACAAACACACGTGCGAAAAAAAAATGACATCGTGTCAGTCAGGATTGGGTACGTTTGGGGTCAATGCACCCTGGCAAGAAAACGCCCGCATTGCTCTGGTTACACCAGTCACAGAAAATGCACCGCACCCGAGCACGTAGGCTGGACGAGAAACAAACGTAGTAAGGGCGGACAAGCGCATCGCAAGCTTGCCTGCCATGACGATGAGGTGAACAGCGATGGATATCCACAACACTCAGGCAAGCCAGCCATCGTTATCCACGAACGCTGACACCGGCGCGCCGCAACCATCTGGTCACAGTCGTCGGTTTTCATCGCGACAACCGAGGCAACCTACCGTGGACTCTCCGACGGTGAGCAACACACCTAAACTCGGCTCTGTCGTACCGTACCACACATATCATCCCACATAGACAGCACGATGGATGCAAGCGCACTTGGATGCATCGACACACCACTTTGGCCACGTACTGCGGCTGACAGGGCAGCATGGGACCGTAATCTGGTCGCCCGTTCGCCGCAACAAATTGGTTTCTTGTTCAGCCTCGCCAGATTGGCCAGCACATAGGCTTGACATTTTTCTCACACCTCTCCCTGTTCAACTGCTTTGACCCATGTTGGCAATGTCATGGAGCACCGCAATGGTGCTCATAGCCATCGTGGCCGTGACGCTCGCTTCAACGGGTGATACACGAGGCGTATCCGGGCTCGCTGTGGAGGCAAGCCGACCAAGCTCTGTACGGTTGACAGCGAGCGGTTTCAAGTGCGGCGCAGAAAACGTTTGCAACCTCATCGTCGACACGACAGCGGCAGCTGTTGACGGCGTGACCACCAACCTAGCCTCTCACCCAGGTGTGTACTTGCTGACGAGCATACGCCTGGTTGACGTTGCCTCTCTGAGCTCCACACCCTCCCTTACGTCATCCCAAGAGTTGCTCGCCACGGGTGTCCGGATCATCATTCGACCTGATGCCGACCAGTTCCGTTTTTCACTGTCGTTTTCACGACCAGCCCCGCCGTTGTGGATGCTACCCTCGGCGCAGCTGTTCGTCCAAGCCGATGCGGTCCGCGGGTGCGGTCCAAGTGAGCTTGGTGCCGCATTGATCACAAACGACTTTGTTCCCGTCCATGGCACTGCGACTGCAGCGTGTCTGACTGGAGGCGACGCCGTACTCGCTGTGTGTGCCGATGACGGCCGGTGGCACGCAGCAGACGCTGTCGCCGCGGCGGCGTGCGCCAAGCGCGCGGAAGCATTTCCCGATGCGGCTGTGCGTGCTGCTGATGTCAAGCGGGGTATTCCGTCGACAGCGACAGACACGTCGAGCATGACCTCGCTCACCTCGATCGCAATGGCCGGCGGCTCGCTCATCGTACTCGCGACGATATTTGCCGGCTGGGCGATATGTCGGAAACGGAGCCAGCAGGTGGCACCGAAGGGCGCTATCCGCATTGTGGTGAGGCAGCGCGCCGGGCAGAATGCGTCAGTCTCGTTTTTGGGTCCGACTCGTCAGTGCAGCAGCCGATCAAGATGCGCCCACGGTTGCCGTTTTCGCTGGCACCGAACACATCGGCAAGCTCGTCAAAGTCGTCACCAAAGGCCTGGATCGGCGGCGTGCCGCAGCCGGTACATCTCGATCACAACCTGCACCAAGGCCGTGCCGAAACGATTGAGAGCCAGCGGTCTTCACGGACGACTAGCTCGTCGGGAAGCTTATCGTCATCGACCACAAGCGACATCGACTACCACCCCGTGGTTGCAGTTGTGTGCATTGAGGAGAAGGACCGCATGGAGCGGTACTTTTCCCCAGCGCAGCTGCTTGTCGCGCTCAAGATGATGGATGAGCATGTGGCGGCCGCTGCGAGGGAAGGTGGCGGCCGCGTGATGCAGTATAATGTGCCTGGCGTGTGGCGATTGCATTTTCCGGAAGCTTCGGCAGTACGTGCCGTCGAGGCTGTGATTCGGTTGCATGACCGCTTCCTTGACGCCGCTTGGCCCGAGTTTGTGGTGCGTGTCGGCCGGTTCTCCAGGCAGATGCACAATCCCGGGGCGCAGAAGCAGATCCTGTGGCGCGGCATTCGAGTCTCGACAGGCGTGCATCACTTTGACGGCAAGCACTCCCCGTCGACCCAATTCCGGGAGGCGCTGGCTGTGACGGCGCGGACGCCGTCCGGTCATGTTCGGATCACGCCGGGCGTGTTCAAGCTCTTGGCCAAGGTGCCAACGCACCGTATTGTCATCGCGTCAGCACGCCATGCGCTGTACTCGGCCGCGCTGCCGGACTCGGTCACGAACATTCGCGAGATCGGCTACACCGACTTGCCGCTGAGCACAAACTCGTTTGTCGCACCCGAGTACTCGCGGTCGACGCTGGCCATCACCACCGAGTCAATGACAGGATCAGGCCTCTCCGGCGTCCCGCGGCTCAATTTCTCAGGCTCCTCAATGTTGTCTGCATTGGAGCGTGGCAACCCCCGCCACCAGAATTCTCTCAGTGCGTCGTCGGACACCGTAGCAACCTGTCCACAGAGCAACCGTCTCATGACGCTCGATCTCTCAGTTGTTGTCGAGAGTGCAGGGCGGACGACGGGTCGGAAACTTCCAGTCATAGATGCGGCGATTACGTTGCCGTCGTCGTCGTCGTGTTCATCATCGCCATCGTCATTATCGGCATCGTGTCTTCATCGTCGATGTTTGCCTTCTCGACGTCGAGCATGGTGTAGAGCTGAAGGAATACACTGCGGACTCATCCAATTTCGTGGGAAAAGTACTCATACGAGTAGGTAAAGTCCGGGTCTGACGGGTGCGAGTGGTACTCACCCCTTTCTGCGACAAACGAGCCAGTAAGGCCGCGTGAGTATACGGTGCCGGCGACAACGTGACCAGTGCTGCCCCAGGTATCAGCAGCGGCGTGCGACGACGTTGGCTTGGCCGACTTGCGACGGCGGCGGCGGGTACCGGAGGCGTGCGACGACAATGGCTTGGCCGACTTGCGGCGCCGCTTCTTGGTACCCGATGCCGTTGCGTCGGCGTTGCGGTGCTTCTTCTTGCGCTTCTTGGACTTGCGCTTTTTGCTGGTGTCTGCCGCCGACGCGGCGTCGGGCGCATCAGGCTCGGGAATGTCACCCATGGACGATCTTGTCTTCTTGACCTTGCGAGTGGTGGTGATCTTCTTCTTCCCCTTGCCCTTTTTGCCACTGGGGTTCTTGATCTTTGTGGTCACAGTAGTGGTCTTCTTTGCGCCCGACGGTGCTGCAGTGGTGACTCTCTTGACCTTTTTGACACCCTTCTTTCCGCGCTTGCTCTGCTTCGCCTTGCCCTTTTTGCCCTTTGCACTCGCCTTGCGCGTCCTCTTTGTCCGCCGTCGCTTCACTACCTCGACCGCCGGGGCAGGTGCCGCAGCTACCGGTCCTGGCTCGCTGCCACCCGAAGACGAGACAAAGTCCGAGGTGTGCAACGATCTCGAGTCGCCTCCATCCGAGAGCCAGTCCGAAGTTTGATACGTTCCATACGAAGACGAGAGAGTCTGTAGCCATCAACCCATCTCAGGCGCCCAGTCCCAGCCCCAGCCCCAACCCCCCAGCTCATCACATCACACATCACACATCACACATCATACATCACACATCACACATCACACATCACACATCATACATCATACATCACAAATCACACATCACAACACATCCCCAACCACTATGAGTCATCCCTATCCCTACCCCCTACTCCCCTACCTACCCCCGTCCCCCTTCCCCCTTCCCACTTTGTTCCCGCCCACAGCCTCCCTCCCCCCCTTCTCCCCTCAACCACCTTCACACACACACACACACACACACACACACACACACACACACACACACACATACCACCTCTTCAACACCCATAACTATGTTCTCTCCTTCTTGTGTAACTCTACTACACAACTAGAGAGTCAAGTACCGCCCACTTGCCGACTTCCTCCTGCTCCTGAACTCCCCCCCCCCATTACCTGACTCACCCGGCCCGCACTCTGCACACTCTGTTGGAGCCATCATGGGCATTCTTACCCAACTTGCCGCTCGGTGGTTGACGCTCACATGCCTGTACTCATTCAATCGCCGCCATCCTTCTCTGCCACGGTTGCTCGCAAGTAAGCTACTAGCTGGACGGTTGATGAGGCCACCAAGGCCAACGATGAGGTACAGCAAGACTCGGCAGAGATGTACCTGCGAGTAGCCCTGCTGATACACATCCTGCACGTGCCATGCTGGCAATGTCCACAGCACTACCGGTATGCCGACCTTAGCGAGCGCACATCCAGATCGTGGACCGGCACGCAAACAACAGCAAAGATCGGTTCGGCTTCGGCTGCGCTCGGCTCGGCCTGCGCTCGGCTTGGCCTGCGCTCGGCTTGGCCTGCGCTCGGCTTCGGCTGCACTCGGCTTGGCCTTGTGCGGCAGCGCGCAGTGAGCTGCTCAAGCAAGGGGCTGCCACTGCTTCTTGAGGGCACCCTTGATGCGAACCTCACGACCGTCCGAGAGACCACGCCATGTAAGGACACCGTATGCTTTTCCCTTTGCCACCTTGCCAGCCTTGTTTGGCACAGGCTCGACCCGAGTCACCGTCCAGTAGCATGCCGGGAAGTGCGACCAGATCGCCCGCGTCACCTTGCTGCCCACGCCCCACTTGGCGTCGGTACCCAGGACCTGTTCCCACACACACAAACACAAGCCCAACCATGAGTCACACCCTTTCCTTCCTCCCCTCTTTCCCTCCCTCCCTTCCCTCCCTTCCCCTTTCCCTCCTCCCCCCTTCCCCCCACCCACCCCCCCTTCTCCCGCCTCCCCCCCCCACTCCTGGCATCCCCCTCTCCGCCGCATACCTCAAACAAACAGGTTGACCCGACCAGCACCAGGGCCAGAAGCACACCCCACACACACACACACACACAGCTTACACACGCACATACCTTTATGGCTCTCAACCTGGAACTCTACGACGAGTTCGGCAACTACGTCGGCCCGCCACTCTCGTCCTCATCCTCCTCGGCCTCGTCGTCTTCGTCAGACACCGACTCTGACGACGAAGGTGGTGCAATTAGTGGTGGTGGTAGTAGACTCGGTGGTAGTGGTGGTAGTGGTGGTAGTGTGGCAGATACTGCTGCTGCTCTTCATGCGCCTGTGAGAGTCAGAGATACCTCGTCGTCTATCGTTCTGGCCGAGGACAAGGTATACTATGCTAGCTCTGCAGAGGTCTTTGGTCAAGGTGTGGAGACCATTGTGGCTACTGCTGATCGACGCTCTCTCAACGAACCTCTTGTGGCACCACATGCTGGCAAGCAATCTGACGTCAACTTTGTCAATGATTATGTGGCTAAAGTCGACGAGACTACCTCGGCCGGTGATCCTGTCCCGCGCCTTGTCTACTCGCCCGAGTACTTGGCTGCTACTGCTCGCGACCCGCGCCGGGTTCGCTGCCTCGCCCTCGTCGGTCCACTTCACTCAGGCAAGACCCTCCTCGCAGACGTCCTCCTCGCCGATGCCCACGCCGACCGCTCGCTCTTTGCCGGCGCAAAGTCCAAGGTCTCGCTCGGCAACATGACCCGCGAGTCGGCTTTTACCGCCACCGTCGCCGACCTTGCCACTCCGCACCTCCCGGACATCCTCCCGCTTGGCAAGTCGCGCTTCCTCGACTCCCGCGCCGACGAGATGGCCCGCCGCATCTCCATCAAGTCCTCGCCGGCCACCGTGCTCCTCCCCGACGCCGCCGGCCGCTCGCACGTCCTCAACATCATGGACACTCCGGGTCACGTCGCCATGCGCGGTGAAGTTGCCCCCGCCCTCCGCGTCGCCGACGGCGTTGTCCTTGTCGTCGACGCTGTCGAGGGCCTGCTCGCCCGCGGCAAGGCCCTCATCGCAGCCGCAGCAGCCGGAGCTCTCCCGCTCGTCCTGGTCATCAACAAGCTTGACCGCCTCGTCCTCGAAGCCCGCCTCCCGCCCAAAGACGCCTACCATAAGCTCCGCCACCTCATCGAGGCCGTCAACGACGAGCTCGCCCTCGTCTCCTCCGGCACCTCCATCCCCTCGGTCTCCCCCGTCGACGGCTCGGTCGTGTTTGCCTCGGCCCTCCACGGCTGGACCCTCTCGCTCCCACTGCTAGCCGCCCGCACCCTCGCCGCCTCGCCCGCACACCCGGACAACCCGGCCGCCGTCCCGCCTGCCGCTGTCGCCGCACTCGCCAAGCGCCTCTGGGGCGACGCCTACTACTCGCCCGCCTCGGCGAAGTTTACCAAGCGCCCGCCGTCCAAGTCGGCCCCGCGCTCGTTTGTCACCTTTGTCCTCGAACCCATGTACAAGATCTACACCGCCGGCCTCACCACCCCGCCCGCCGCCCTTCCAGATGTCATGGCCGCCCACGGCGTTGCCCTCACCCCCGCTGAAGCTGCCTCGCACCCGGCCACCCTCCTCCGCCTCCTCGCAAGCCGCGCGCTCTGTGGTGCGCCATGGGAGCCTTCAACCGCCCTCGTTGCCGCTGTCGCCAGACATCTCCCACACCCGGTCGCCGCCCTCGGCCCCAAGCTCGCCCTCGCCTACATGGGTCCGCCCATTGCCCTCATCCCGCGTGCCGAAGATGACCCGGCCCCCTCGGCCGCCGGCGCCGCTGACCCTTTCGGCCTTGTCGCCTATGAGTCCGAGCTTGCCGACACCGCCCCGCCGTCCTCGCAAATTCTCAGCCTCGACGACGCCACCGTCCCGGCATCGCCGGCACACCTCCTCGTCAACGTCGTCAAGCTCTACCCTTGGGGCGGTGCCGGCGCCCTCGTCGCTTTTGGCCGCGTCGTCGCTGGCACCCTCACCGCAGGCGCCTCCGTCACCCTCCTCGAAGAGGGCTACGTCCCCGGCGGCCGCTTCGGCGCCGCCCCCGATGAGGGCACCTCGGCCGTCACCGTCTCCAAGCTCTGGATCCCTGTCGGCCGCTACCGCATCGCCGTTCCGTCCGCAGGCCCCGGCGCCTGGGTTTACATCGGTGGCATCGCGTCTTCGTTTGCCCGCACCGCAACCCTGGTTGCCCCCGATGCCCTCCGCCCGACGCCGGACGTCTACGCCTTTGCCCCGCTCCCGCTTGACGTCGACAACGAAGCCGTTGTCAAGCTCGCCCTCGAGCCGCTTGTCCCCTCGGAACTGCCCAAAATGCTCGACGGCCTCCACAAGCTCCGTCAGACCTACCCGCTCCTCGAGACCCGCGTTGAAGAGTCTGGCGAGCGCCTCATCTTTGGCACCGGCGAACTCATGCTCGACTCGGCCCTCGCCGACCTGCGCAACGAGTTTGCAGGCATCGAGATCAAGGTCTCAGACCCGGCCGTCAAGTTCTGCGAGACCGTCGTCGAGCCATCGTCGCTCCAGACCTATGCCACAACGCCCAACGGCGCAAACACCCTCACCGTCATGGCCGAGCCGCTCGGACGTCCGCTCACAAACGACCTTGCCGCCGGCGAGCTCTCCCTCGCCTGGGAGCCCGACGACCTAATCGACGTCATGGAGTCCAAGTACAACTGGGACGCCCTCGCCGCAGCCTCCATCTGGGCCTTTGGCCCGGACCCGGCCCGCGGACCCAACATGCTCCTCGATGACACCCTCGCCGGCGGCTGCGACCCGGCGTCTGTCGCCCCTGCTCGCGCTGCCATCACTCAGGGCTTCCGCTGGGCCACAAAGGCCGGCCCGCTCTGCGACGAGCCCGTTCGTGGCGTTCGCTTCTCGCTCCTCGACGCCACTCTCGCTGATGCCTACGCCGACCGCTCCTCCGGCCAGATCATCCCCACCATGCGTCGCGTCACATACGCCTCCATGCTCATGGCCACACCGCGCCTCATGGAGCCCATTTACGCCGTCGAAATCTACACTCCGCCAGACGCAGTCTCGGCCGTTTTTACCGTTGTCTCCCGCCGCCGCGGCCGCGTCCTCGGCGAGTTGCCCAATCCCGGCACGCCGCACATCATCGTCTCCGCTGAAATCCCCGTCATCGACTCGTTCGGCTTTGAGACTGACCTCCGCGTCCACACCCAGGGCATGGCCTTTTGCTCCCTCACTTTTGACCACTGGGACGTCCTCCGTTCAGACCCGCTCGACGCCTCCATCGAACTCGCTCCACTCGAGCCGGCCCCGCCTGTCGCCCTCGCCCGCGACTTTATGCTCAAGACTCGCCGCCGTAAGGGCCTCACCCCGCATGTCTCCATTGCAAAGTACATCGATGACGAGACCCTGCTTCAGGCTGCAACCGCCCAGCTGTATGCCGCCTATGAGGGCTGACTGCCGATGCCTTCGGCCCGTAAACGCTTTACGAGAGCACTCGGCCTAGGCTCGGCCGCCGCCCGCTGCCAACCACGCTTCCGCCACCACCTCCGACCATCGCCTTCCACATCCAGTGCAGGGCGCTGTTGACAAGCTCAGTCACCAGGTCGCGATGAAGCAGATCTAGCGTCTGTAGCTCTGTGCTCACTCCACCTGACGACGCCCGCGCAAGGAGCGACGCTTCACGGCCAACTACATAGAACCGCGCGATCCGACCCGCATCCCTAATCACCACATGCGCTGCAGCGTCCCACGCGCGCTCTGCTGAAAACACAAACACGTGCACCTTATCGTCCTCCTGGACCACGCGAAGTCGCGCCGCAATCGCAGGCACAAGCCCCAGGTAGCCCACAAAGTCGAGCCACGGTACTCCAGGCTTGTGGAGCACGCTTCGCAGCGACGGGTCGAGCTCGTCAAACCGCCGCCGCCAAACCAAATGCATCAGCGCCGAAAACTCGGCCACCGCTAGCATTTGTCCACCCTCGACTGACGACTGCAGTCGCGCCCAGTAATCGTCCGTCACGTAGTCGACCTTGGCCCGCGCCACGAGCTGGCCAATCCTTCCGCGCCCGTGCTCCACAACGTCTGCAACCACACCGTCGCTCAGGACACCCGGTGCCCCGGGCTCGCGATCCGCCCGCTCCTTGAACGGCATCTTGTTGAGCGTGTCGACCACAACGATGTAGAATGGGACGAGCAGTACGTTACCGACCTCGACCCACTCGTCGTCCCCGCAGTCCGCGCCACTCCGTCCCTTGTCCATCCCGCCCACTTTCGGCGAGACAAAAGACGACGACGCCATAGTCGCACCGTACTGCACCTGCCCGGCTCGCTGCCGCCGCTCGACTCCCTGCGGCTCGCTGGTACCTCCGCCTCGGCCACCTCCGCCGTTTCCGCTACAGCTTCCGGCCCGAACAACTTCGCCGCCCTCGCCCACAAAGTACACATCGGCACCACCAAGCAATGACCGCCCAGTCGCAATGTCGATTCCGCCGAGCGAACCGACCTCCAGCGACGTTGCCGGCGACGCCCGCCGGCCGCGCCCGCCCGACGACTGCCACAGGGCACCCGACGGCACATTTCGCGTCATGCACAGCGCAAGCAGAGAGTATTCCCACCGCGAGCCAGACTCATCGCCGTCGCTACTCCCCACAACCTCGCTCAACGTGCCCGAGCACCCGAGCGCAGGCGCAGACAGCGCGCGCACGCTCCGCATATTGGTAAATCCGTACCGCTCCGCGTGCACCACCATGTAGTCAAATAGCGCCTGCGGCGAGATCCCAGGCTCGAGCACCATCCGCAGCTGATGGAGCTGTACCACATTGCGCGCGTACTTGGGCCGCTTGTAGTAGTACACCACTGTGTTGTTCAGCACCTGCAACATGTCCAACGAGCCCGGGAACCGGTGTTCCCGTGCAGCTACAAACATGTGGAACTTGCGGCAATGAAAGTCGTACGCAAACGAGTTGGTGTGGAGCTTCGACTTGAGCACCGTGTACTCGTGCGTCACTTGCCGCTGCTCCGCAGTTCGCTCCGCACCCGTTGACCGCGACGTCAGCCCCATTCGTGAAGACTGCATCCCAAACACATTGAGCCGGATGAACACGTCGCGGAAGCCGACCTCGATGAGGAGAATCCCACCACGGTACACATGCTGTAGAAAGAGCGTCGGCATCGGAATGCGTACCCCAGCGTCTGCCAGGAATGAGCCCGCGCTCGCGCTCGAGAGCCCTGCGTTCGACGTAGGCGCAAACACTCCGGGCTGCGACGGCAGCACAGCGCGCACAGCCGCCCGTTTAGGGCTCGTTCCGGCCACGCTAGCCCCATCGGGCCCGCTTGCACCGCCTTCCGCCGCCATCTCCCGCCGCACTCGCTGTGAAGCCAGCTCGCGTCCTTCCGGCTTTGTCGTAGTTGCCTTGGCTTCCGACTCGCCCGTCATTGACGCCGGCGAGGCAGAGACCACAAGCAGCATGCCCAGGCTCTCCAGGTACTCCACATAGTCCTCCAGGAACGTCTCGGCAAAGTATGCGTACAGCGGGACCTCAGTACCTCCGATCCGCGACGAGACCTCCGGCCCCTGCCGCCGTTCCGAGCTCACCCCCAGCATGAGCCTGCGCGCTGCTGCGTCACTCTCTCGCCCGCTTCCGCCGCTCGCCTCCGCAAGCAGCGACACAGACCGCGAGCCACGAACCGATGACGCCCGCGTGAACTGAATCGGCGTTCGGTTGACGGAAATGACCCGCGAGTACCGTAGCACAAGCCGGATCGACTCGGCAAGCTCCTCTGGCGAGATTGACGACGACGAGTCCGGCGAGTACATCCGCCACCGCGCGTGTGCCTCGTTCACCTCACGCTCCACAGTCCGGACCTTGACGGCGTTCTGCGCCACGTACTTGAGCTGCTCCATGTGCCGGTACACGGCGTCGTATGCTCCCTTGCTCTTGAGCACGATGACGGGCATTTCCAGCTTGGGCAGCACATACAGCTGTCGGTACACCGACCCGACCCGGACTCGCGCAAGTGCCTTGCTGATCTCCTGCTGCATGTTGAGCCGCCGGCCCTCCCTCCCGCTCGCCCGCCGGCTATGGCCGCCCGCCCGTCGAGTCCGCATCAGCCGCGACCCGCGCCCGCGCCCGCCGCCTCGCGTCCCGCTCTGCCGCTCGGGCGGGAACATCCACCGCGTGATCTCATCAACCTCGGAGAGCTGCACGCTCGCCATCCCGGCGCTCGCGCTCCTACTGCCGCCTCGTGTCCGGCCCTCTCTTCCGCTCCCCTCCTTGGCGCCCGTCCTGTGCTCCTTGACCGCAGCCATCAGAGTACGCTTCCCATACACCTTGCCTGTCGCCAACTCGCTCCGGTACGGCTTGGCATGCGCAAAGAGCCCAAGCTTTTGCAGCGTCACCAGCGCGAGGAGCGACGACCGCTGCCGCGTCCACTGCATCGCATGCTCGAGCTCCCCCTGCAGCGCCGAGATGTTGGTAGACTGCCAGTTGTAGACCAGGACAGAGAGCTCCCGTGCCTCGAGCTTGACTACCAGCAACGGACGCCGCTGAATGTTGACTCGCAGCGCGGCAGAAAGAATCGACGGGTGCGCCATGTCGGCTGCTGCAAAGTCTGACCCGCCGCCCTCAGTCCACCCAAGCGCCGCGTCGCGTCTTGCCCGCACGTTGGGATGCCCACCAAGTACCACAAGCCGCCGTCGTCCACGGTACTCCTTGGCGTCTTCCTCCACAAGCACAGACTTGGGATACGTGTCCTTGAACGGCCGCCGCGACAGCTGCTTCCCACGAACCACCTCACGAAGCACACCCCGGCTGCCAGGGTCAGACACAAACAGCCTCGACTGCAGCGCCGGCACAAGTCCCTCCACCATGCCCAGCACCTCGGTCGCAAACCGGACCTCGGCATACATCGGCACAGGCGCATCCAGCGCAAGCTCGAGCACCCCGGCGCCGCAAGCTCCGCCATCCGCGACATAATCGCCCGCATCGGGAACAGCGCCCGCCGCGGAAACGCGTCCCACGGCACTGCTGTCGTGCAGAACACACGCTCAAGAACGTACGCACACACCGAGGCGTTGAGCGCATCGCGCACTTTGCGCGCCACCTCGTCCACAGGTCGCGACCCGCACGCCCACAGCTGGACCCGCCATGCGTACTCAAACTCGCTCGCCTCGCCCTTGAACACGCTCGCCACCGCATCGCCCTCGTACACCGCAAGGTTTGACCACGATTCGACAGCCTGCACCACGCCGCCCTCAAACCCGACGTCGTTCTTCAGCGCCGCTGCGAGCTCCTCCCGCGACATGCCGCGAACCCACTGCTTGCCTCCTGTCGTCGGCCCGTCGAGGTTCGGGAACCATGCTTCGACCTTGGCGTCCGGTGCCGCTGTGCTTGGCCGTGGGAACTCCTCCATGCCCTCGCCGTGTGCGTCGAGGACAGACAGCCCGATCGTCGTGATGCCGTTTCCCGTCCGGTCCATGCCGACGTTGATGAACGAGAGCCCTGCCTTGGAGATCTTGAGCGGCGTCGTGATGTCAAATCGTTCGCCCTCGTTCACCCTCTCATCACCGTCTTCGCCTGCAGGCTCATCGATCGCCATTGCCGCCACCGTCGGGCCTGACACCCACTCGGCCCGCGGAACAGAGACCATCAGGTTCGCGCCGGCAGACGATGCCCGCGATCGCAGCGACGTGTCCGACGGTACACGCTTGAGCGGGCCCGAACTATCAACGTTGCTGCTTGCCGCCGCGCCGCCCGCTGCGCGTGCCTCGCTCGCCTCGTCTGACACCTGCTCCACAAGCCCACAGAACTGCAGCAGCGCCTGCCGCACAAACGTTGCGTACGTGTAAACGTCGCACAACTGGCTCGGCAATGGCACAATAAGCTCGCGAACTGCCGTCTGGGACGCCGACTGCAGAAACTCGAGATCCTGAGACGAGAGCGAGACCAGCGGGCAGCCAACGTATGCGGCGCAGAGCGCCTTGATCGTCAGCTTGCGCACCTTGTCCTGCAGCATCCGCTGCAGCTCCGAGATTGACTCGTGCGGCGGCGTCTCGATGCCGTGCAGCTCAACCACTAGTCGCGATGGCTTCCGCCCTGCCTGTCGTCGCCCTCGCTTGCGGCCACTGCAGAGAGGTAAAAGTAGTAAACCCCGTCGTTGGCCGAGTCGCGGTAGACAAAGGCAAGTGGGTGCTGCGAAATGGCCAGCACCTGCAAGTCCTGTGCAATGTTCTTGAGCGCCACCTTGGGCTGGACCCGGTGGTGGAGGACAACCTCAAAGACAATGAGCCGCTCGCAACCCAGCTCGCCGCTGGTGCCGCTCTCGGTTCCAAGCAGCTGCGGTGAGGCCTCGTGCGTCGGATGCGCATGCATCGCATTGAGCAGAAAGTCTTGATTGACCTCGCGCGCAAGACTCAGCACAGTGTCCTGGCAATACTGCACAATGATAACACCAAAGTCGACAGACGCGTCTGCGTAAAACGTCACGTTGGCCTCGGCCTGCTTCCGGTCGAGCGAGATGAAGAGCCAGAACGGCGAGGCGCTCGCGTCTGCCCGAGCTCGTGCCACAGCGTCTGCACCTGCAGAGCCCTCCACAAGCTCGGGCAGCGCCTCCTCCAGTCGCGCCCCGCTCTGTCCGCACACTTCCTCCGCCAGGTCAGGCTCACGCGCTGCGGCCACTGCCCGGATCGCACCCTCGGGTAGCGCCGTCACTAACACGTACCCACCGTGCGCCTCGATTTCCATCCGATGCGGGTACCGTGAGAACCACTCGGCGAGCTTGTCGTAAAAGGCAGACCGCACAATGCCCGCCACCGGCGAGAGTGGTACAGCCGCTCGCAGATGGACGCAAAACGGCGACGACCGCATCCGATGCGCCACAGAGTCGAGCACCGCGTGGTTCACCGGGAACCCACGCTTGTGAAGCATGATCATGTGCAACACATAGTCGTGCAGGTTCGTCTCGACCTGCGCCACCGCGGACCGCACAAACGGCGCCTGGCGCCGCATGGTCCCGGTCTTGGTCGACCCACTCCCGCTCGAGCTCTTGCCTGCCAGCTGCGGTGACTCGCCGAGGATCGAGAGCAGCGAAAAGGTCGACGGCGTCGGCGTCGGCGTCGGCGTTGGTGTCAGCGTTGGCGACGACATCACAGAGCTGTCGCCACCGCCAGACCGCAGCATCGCCTTGCGCTCTGCCACGCTCCGCGTCGCCACCGCCGTCAAGTCGAGATGCCGCCCGGCCACAACCACAGGTCCTCCGTCGGTCGCTAGCTCTGGGTCCCAGCCCGTTCGCGACGTAACACTCCGCGACGTCGCCGCAGCTGGCTCGTGCGCCGAGCTGGTTCCATACGGTACTGGCCACGTTGGCACCGGCAGCGAGAGGCACACAATGGCAAAGTGGAGCGAGTGCTGCACGCCATCGCTCTCGTCGTCAAGTGCGACCGGGAGCGAGGTCACCCGCTTGCGGACCCGTGCGTACTCGATCGCCGCACGCGACACTGACCGCTCCGCCCCGCAGCCTCAGAAACAGTTGACCTCGTCGCTCCAGCCGTAACCACCCGCGTCGACCGCGTTTCGAATCGCACAAAGAACGGCGTTGTGAACTCGGACGCCACCAGTGCCTCGGGCTCGAGTGGGAGTGCACCCCCGCGCGAGACCTTGCGCGGATCCAGAAAGTAAATACCCGGAAAGTTGGGTAGCGCCGTAAAGTACTGTCCCATAATCTCCTCTACCGTTGATTCGACACGCGAGCTCAAGTGCGCCAGCGTCGTCGCCAGTTCGCTCGCCCCGTCGTCGCCAGTGAGGAGGCTGCGCGTGTGCGAGAGCACCTTGACAAACTCGAGCACGTTAAACGAGGTCTCCGACGTCTCCAGTTGGCCCAGCGCCGCCTGTAGCGTGTCGTCGTCAATTGGCTCGCCCATCGCCAGCCGAATGTACAACGCCCGAAGTGAGGCACGCGTGTGCGCTGCAGACACATCCTGCAGCATGAGCTCGAACGAGTGCGAGTCGCGGGTACCCGGCGACGTCGGCTCTGCTCCGTCAGAGCCAAAGCCGCGGTGGGGCGACGTCGACGACGTCGCCGACAGCGGCGGGGAGTCGACGGTGACAGATTGCGAGAGCGCCATCGACATCGACCGGAACATCGAGCCGCCGGGGTTGGACCCGGACTCGTGCGCGTGTGACGACGACGACGACGACCAGCTGCGCTTGAGCGGCGCAGACGCTTTGGTCCGGAGGCCTGGCATGGCGTAGACAGGCGGCCCATTCCGGTTCGGACTTGTCGGCACACTCGCCTCGCCAGCCGCTGCCAGCTCGGCCTGTGACTCAGACATCGCTGGCGAGGCCTGGAAAAAGACCGCAGCCTCGCCAGAGGCCTTGCCCCACTTGGCAAGCGCATACATCGACTTGGGCGGCGTCTTGTCAAACTCGGACGAGAGAACCCGCAGCGCAGACTCGGGCGGGGAGTTGTCGAGCGACGAGACGCCCGTCACATGGTACATGAGCGTGTTGAGCAGCGAGTTGTCCGGCCGGTAAACGCGCAGATAGAGCATAGGATATGGGCCGGGCTTTCCCTTGAGCACCGCCACCGCCGACTCGAGCGACGGCACAAAGCAAAGGTCGATGTCGTCGCCGTGACGTTGGACAAAGCCGCGAGCGGCAAAAGCGGCAAGTCCCCCGCTTTCGCCCTCGCACTCGCATGCGTCCTCGTCCTCGCCTTCGTCCTTGCTCGCCTTTGTCTCGAGCGCTTCGCCCATGAAATAGTCCCTCAGCCACTCGAGATCCGATGCGTCCAGCTCGATCTCGGCGTGCATTGAAATCTCCAAGTCGCGCACAAACAGCAAGTAGTACGCCTTATTCGCTTCGACGCCGGAGAACCGGAGGAAGGGCACACCAGACTGTCCGCAGTCGGGCGCCGCCGCAGTCGGGAGCGAGCTCGGGAAGCCAAAGAGCGTCGACGAGACCAGCAGACCAGAGAGGAGGAGCCCGATCCGCTCAAAGGCCGGCTCGTCGACAGGAGTCGAGGTCGTTTCCGCTGAGAGCACCGGGCGTGGGAACGGCCGCGGGCCGCCAGACGAGCCTGAGTCACTTGTCGACGGTGGTGCCGTCGCGTCGGCGAGCGCATCGTACGAAACGAGCGTGGTGATGATGAGCCGATCAAGCGCCTCGTAGTACGCGGCAATGCGGTCGAAAAGCGCGCGCGCGTGCGCAAGCTCGGGGTGCGAGGTCTTTGACACCGCTTGCGGGTCCATCCACAGCTCGGTAATGACGACCGATGCGTCCGAGTGAAGCACAACATACTGCAGCAGCGCCATGTCCGGCGCCAGCTCTGGTGACACCGCGCCATCTTGTGCCATCGACGCAATCGCTGACCGCGGGTTGAGCCGGGAGACTTCGGCAACGAGCTCGACAAGCTTGACAAAGGTGAACGAGTTGGTCGAGGTTAGGAAAAACGACTCGGCCATTCGAGTCTGGACCAGCATAAGCACAATGGTCTGCGCCGTCTCGTTCGAGCCTACGTGCCACACCCACCGCTTGTGCAGCATGTACGACGAGAGGATCGGCGACGCCGGTGCCACAATCATCCGTGGTGGTGCCCGCGACCGCTTGATCATCGGAAAGGCCGACGCAGACCGCACCGAAAGTCGGTCGCCCGAGACCGAACCCGGCATGCGAAGTCCGGCATCGCGCACAGCCGATAGGGTCAGTGTGACAGGCGTCACTGCGCCCATTGATGCAGCTTGGCTCTCCCGCCGCATCACCATTGACCGCGGCGTCGACGGTTGTCCCACCATGTCCTCGTACGCCACCAGCATGGTCCGGATCGACTTGGGCATGTCGTGAAAGAGCTTACGCCCGGTCGCGTAGTCGGCCGCAAGCCGCAACTCGGCCTGAAGCTTGGCCAGAAACTCGCTTCGCTCCACCGAGCCGATGTTGTAGAAAGCAAACTTGAGCTCGATGAACGAGACGTGGATGAACGAGCACCGCATGAGGCAGAACCCGCGCCCGCGCGAGACGTCAGCTCGCATCGCCCCAGTCGAGATGGGCGTCTTGGCCAGCGAGAGCATCGGCGGCTTGCGCTTCCGCCGCACCACCGGCGGCGGCTCCTCGCTTGCTGCCGCCTTCTTCCCGCCGCCTCCGCTTCCGCTCTCATCCGCATCCGCTTCGCTTGCTCCAGCAGCCACGCCTCCGTCCAGCTCGGGCGTCAATGCCCGCGAGCGCCGGGCAGGCTGCGATGGAGGCTTGCCCGCCTCGCTGCCCTGGTCGCCACTGCTAATCTTGTCGACTCCCTCGTGTCCGCACCCCGGTCGACTGGAGCCGGCAAGACCCTCGCCCAGGCCCGAGCCCGAGCGGTTGAGCGGCGTTGCAGGTGCCGGTGATGATGACGCAGGGCGGATCGGCGTCACGCCCTCCTGCGAGCCAAAGAACTTGATAAACACGGTCGGTGCGATCTTGATAAAACCAGCACCGGTGTAGAACGAGTCAAACGCAGACTGCGAGCCACGAAAAACCATCGATGGAACAAAGAGCGCAGACGGTCCGATGCGTGCAGACGACAAAAAGTTTCCGTCACGTGAGTTTGGTATGGATCCGCCGCCCGAGCTCTCGTTAACCGCCCGCGAAAGAGTTGACATCAGCGCCGTCGTCGTCATTCCACCGGCATCAAGCCCGGCGTCAGCCTCCATCAGCACAGACTGAGAATGAACGTGGAACCAGCGGGACCACCGGCGGTGGACCTGGGTCCAGTCGTACCACGAGAGCGCGGCCTGGTTAGGCGCGACCCGCGGCGGAGCACGCGTGGCCACCGCCTCCTCACCTCCGCTGGCTCCCGCTCCTGAGCTGATCGCCGGCTTGCCACCCTTGGCGGCGCGAACCGAGCTTGCCTGCCCGCTTGAATCAACCCCGCTAGCACCGCTGGCCGTGGCCCCAGATCCTGAGCCATCTGCGCCGTTGCTGCCGCCGCTGCTGCCACCTCCGGCTTGGGCCGAGCTGCTCTTTGGTGGCTTGGCGGCCGAGTGCGGCGTGCTCGACGGCGTGCCCGGTCGCCGCGCTGTGGCCGGCGTTGTCCCCATACCTTGCAGGGCGGCCACAATAGCACCGAGCGGCGCCGCGTCAAGGCAGAGCGCGGTATGCTGCAGCTGGTAGTCGATGGATGAGAGCGTTCGTAGAGTCTGGAAGAGGCGAACCGCGGCGCGCCCGCCGAGCAGCGGGTTGCCCGCTTCGACGGCGTCGCCCGAGTCGCCGGTGGCAAGCCCGTCGGGTCGGCGGGCGCCAGCCGGCGCCGGATCCGACGGCGGCGCCGGAAAGCCTGCTGAAAACGATGGGGTCGACGGCCGCGGGTTGGTCCGTGAGCCAGGACCCGAGCCCGAGCCCGGGCCTGAGCCCGAGCCCGAGGTCGGACCCAAACCGGCCTTTCCTACCGCGGCGAGCCCGGACGAGCGCTGGATGTCGGAGAGAGCAAAGAGCGGTGAGGAGGCGGTCGACGGTGCGAGGGCCGACGAGCGGTTGGAGCGAACAAGGCCAGCAAAGCGGCCGAGGAACGCGTGGTAGGCCACAATGTGCATGGTGATGCGCAGTTCGCGGACGTCGGCGGCGGAGGCATCGTTTCGGGATGGTGCATCCGTCGGGGCAGAGGCGCGAGGAGCGCCCGGCTCATGTCCGCTACCATTGCCGCTTGTGGCCCGGCCCGACTCTAGCCCGGTCAGTCCGGAAGCTTGGTGGAGCGAAGTGGCCTGCGTTGGAAACAGATGGGCGCGCGATGAGGTTCCCGGCGGCGACGATGGAGTAGAGAGTGGCATGGGACCCGAGAGCGGCGAGCGTGCAGTCGACGGCGGCGAGGTGGTGAGGTTGCGCGGCGGCGGCGAGCCCGGATCGGGCGAGTCGAGGAAAAGACGCGCTGACGAGTCGGCGGCTTTGAGCGGCGGCGACGGCGAGGCAGGCCCGCGGCCGGTGCTTGTCCGCAGCGTCTGGACAACCGCCAGTGGCTCGCTACTTGACGTCGAGAGGTTGGCCTCGGAGAGCGGCGGCGGCGAAGCCGAGGTCGAGTGCGGGCCGCTGTGAGGTGCGCTTGATGGCGCGGAGAGAAGGCCTGACGAAGTGACGCGCGAGAGGGGGGTGCGACACCCGACGAGACGCCCGAGGCCGAGAGCGGCGGGAACGTTGTCGAGTGCTGAAGGCTTGGGGTAACTGTGCCCGGTGTGGAAGCCGGAGTCGCCGCACTCCGAAAAGCCGAGGGCGCGCGGGTCGGGCCGGGTGTGACGTAGGGAGCGGCCAAGGCGTCGAGATGGAGTACTCGATGATGATGTGCTGGCGCCAGACTAGCGAAAGCTTGAGCAGCAGATGCTTGACGCCATCGAGTGAGTGGATGGAGACGGCGTCGATGCAAAAGCCCTCGTGGAGCCGAGCCTCGATGAGCGGAATGGGGTGCGCGTGGACTACATACGACGTGTACGGAGCACGGAGGAGCGGCAGTAGCGTCGGGTCGTCGGCCATCATGGCGGGGATGGCCGACGGCGAGGGCGCAACCGTGTGGGTGGCCACCCGGTGGTGGTATGGCGAGGCAAAGGAGAGCGTCTTGAACATAAGCGCAAACTGGAACCTGTTCGATCCGCCCATAAGCGATGAGATGCCGGGCGCAAAACGGGCTGAGCGGGCGGCGGCCGGCTTGGCGGCGGTCATGCGAAAGGCCATGAGCTCGCGGGCGGTAAAGACCGAGCCTGCGGTGGCCGAAGCCACATACTGGGCAAGATCGTGGTCAGGGACAAGTCCAAACGGAGCTTCGTGGGCCAGCTCGGGCTCGATGGAGCCAAAGCCCATAAGCACCATGGAGCACGAGATGTCTGCACGATTAAGCGAAATGATTTCCGAGTCAAAGGCCGAGGTCGACGAGCCGGTCGACGGCGCCATGGCAACGACTCCATCGGTGAGGATGCAGATGGCCGACGCGCCACGCGACGGAAGCAGATTGAGGGCAAACCGCCCGCCAGCCAGCATGCCGTTGAGTCCAACAGAGGCCTCGTCCTCGCGGAACAGCGAGCCAGGCATGGTCTGGGCGAGGTCGGCCTCAAACTCGCGCAGCGCACCCTCGAGCTGCTCCATCACCGACGAGACGTTGTTGAGCGTGAGTCGGATGCCCTGGCAGAGCACCTTGATGGGTGCGAGCATGGAGCCGGCGCCGAGGACGGAGATGACGCACGTAGGCGAAAATCGAGTCCGAGTCCCTGGAATGGTCTGAGGCTGGACAAGAGCCCGCAGCGCCTTGCTCAGCGACTCGATCATTGAGTCGAGCTCGACAACTCCAGACTCCCGATCAACAGTACCCAGCGAAGGTGACATGTCCAGAACAAAGACAATGCGATAGACCTGAGCGAGGAAGATGACCTGTGTAGCCGGTGTGACCACAGCCTCTGCCACCGACGACGTGGCCGTCGTCGGCACGATGGACTCGATCATCAGATTCTCTCCTGATCCCGGACACTTTCCCGTCCGAATCGCAGCACCAATCCGTTCCAGAACCCTACGTGATGTCTTTCATGAGTGTATAGAGGGGGGAGGGGGGAGGGGGGGGGGGGCGGGGGGGCGGGGGGCAAGGACAAGGGACGGGGGGGAGGACGGCGTACCACCGGCCACGGTCGCCTCGTGAACAGTGCGAATAGTCTGCCACAGATACAAAGACCACATCTGCTGGTGGTGGAAGTTCTGGTCCTCCTGGTGGAACCGCAGACATTGGCCCCTGTATGTGTGGGTGGGGTGGGGGTGGAAGTGGGTGGTCGGCTGCCACGCCTTGTTGTGCTGTGGCAGTGAGAGAGTGACCGGACGTGTGGCGAATGGCCGCCGAATGGCCGCCCGCCGAGTGGCCGGCCACTGGCCGACGAGTGGTGGGTGAACGGTCGGCCGGGCGACTGGCCGACGAGCGGATAGACGAGAAGGGACTGCTGGCAGCGAGAGGTTTGATGGGGAAAAATGGACTGAGACGATTAAAGTGGAAAGTGTGGCGAGTTCATGATAATTGCTACTGTGTTTTGAGCCTGTAGATTGGTGCGATTGCCTACGAGTACTGATCACAGCCGATGTAGCGGTCAAGTCGGCAGAGGAAATCAAAGCTTGGAAGGCGATGAAGTGGGGATGGGGATGGGGATGGAGATGGAGATGGGGGGGAGGGCAAGGAGGTGCGAGGAATTTAAAGTGTATGCTTTGTGGATGTAACGTGTCTGATATTGGTTGGAGAGGCCTAACTGAGTGGCGGAGGGTGGCGGAGCAGGTGGCGGAGAGGTGGCGGAGTGGCGATAAAAACGCGCGCGATCCCTCCGCGCTGCGTACCTTAACGGAGGACACCACAACACTACGATTTACTATGTACAACAAGCAGTACATGCAGGCAATTGGCCTAGTGGCTCTTGCTATCGTGCTGATGGCGGCGTGCGTGTCCGGATCTGGCGACCACGACCACACTTCGTGCGCTTGTGCAGCCAAGGAGATGAGTTTCACCATCAACTGCACTGCTGAAGGCGATGTGACCACGGCCTTCAACTACCTGCAGGCCAACTCGTGTGCCAGCAAGTGCGAAAGTGACCATGCTTGCGAGCGCAACTTCTTCATCATCCAGTCGCACCATGACCATTGCCTCACGATTCCGGACGCAGTGGCCAAGGGCATCCACAACTACGAGGCTGCGTGCCACTCGTGCACGATCAAGCGCCAGTACAGCGCTTCGCTCCCAGCATGTACCCAGCCGACGTGCTCGATGAAGGCTCCGGCGACCGACGCCTTTGCCGCGCTCCAGGCTAACAACTGCACGACCAGCTGCGCGTCGACCGCGTGCAGCTCGGCGTTCAAGACCATCCGCGCCTACCACGACATGTGCGACGAGGACGATCTCGCCCAGTCTGTCGAGGAGGGCATCCACGACTTTGAGGACGCGTGCGCGGCGTACGACTGCAACACCTCGTCGGGGCCGTTTGTCCCTACCTGTGAGTCCACCACCTCGGCCGCGGCTGCTTCGGTCGCCTCGGTCGCCCACGTTGGCTTTGCCGCTCTCGTTGCGCTTGCTGTCACGTTTTTGTGATTGCACGCCGATAAAAGCAAACTGCAAAAAGTAGAGAAGCCAGCACTTGCCGTTCTGGTGGTGCGCAGCCGATACTAGCACAGTAGACGCCGAGGCACAGCTACATCTATCACGCTGCTTGGACGCACCTCGACAACTCTGTTTCACAAACACTCAGCTCATGCTGCTACGCCGCAGCCGCCAACGCACAACGGACAGCAAGGGTACCAAATCGATTCCATCCTCCATTATCCATCCCCCGCAGCCGTAGCTGTGCCATCATCACCCTTTTTCAAGCCTCCTGCTGCTATCGCTGCTACGGCTGTGTGAGGAGAGGAAGGAGAACACCTGTCAGACGGTCCAGGCGGAGTCAAAACTCCGCGATTCTCCTGCCAGAAACAGTCTAGCATTGAAGGTATCCGAAACTGTTGATCCGGACTACTGCACCAACACCATAACCAGAGCGTCACAAAAAAAACCCCATCCTACGTGAACGACCAACACAAGCAACGCCAGCCGTCAGCCGCCGGGGAGACGAGTCATGACCAGCATACGGGGCGGGGTGGGCGGGACAAGGAGGGGAGGGGGGGAGGGGGGGGGCAAGGACTACACTCAACTCTGTTGTATATACAGGATACCTAAGGTCCAGTATGCTTCGTAATGTCATCCGTGCGCATATGCCGCTTGCTGGAGTTGCCCGTGGAGCGGCGAGCCTTCCGCCTCAGTGGCTTGCTGCGGCAGCCAAGGAGCTCAAGTTGAGCTCTGCTGAGGAAGCAGCGAACAAGCTGACGACTTCGACTGTGGAGGGCATTGATGTTCTTCCGCTCTACACTGATGCCACTGGTGCTGACACTGCTCTTCCTGGCGAGTTCCCCTACAAGCGCGGGCCGTACGCCTCGATGTACACTGGCCGGCCCTGGACCGTCCGCCAGTACGCCGGCTTCTCCACGGCCAAGGAGTCAAACGAGTTCTACAAGGCCAACCTGGCTGCCGGTCAGAAGGGTCTCTCTGTCGCCTTTGATCTGGCTACTCATCGCGGGTACGACTCGGATCATCCGCGGGTGGCCGGCGATGTGGGCATGGCTGGCGTGGCCATCGACACCATCGAGGACATGAAAGTCCTGTTTGACGGCATCCCGCTCAAGGACATGTCCGTCTCCATGACCATGAACGGGGCTGTCATCCCCATCATGGCTATGTACATCGGTGCAGGCCTGGAGCAGGGCGCGACGACCAAGCAGCTCTCGGGCACCATCCAGAACGACATCCTCAAGGAGTTCCTCGTCCGCAACACCTTTATCTACCCGCCGCGCCCGTCGATGCGCATCATCTCGGACATCTTTGCCTACACCTCGCAGAACATGCCGCGCTTCAACTCGATCTCCATCTCGGGCTACCACATGCAGGAGGCCGGTGCAACTGCCGTCCAGGAGCTGGCGTACACCATCGCCGACGGTCTCGAGTACACCAAGGCCGGTGTCGACGCCGGGCTCGACGTCGACGCCTTTGCCCCGCGCCTCTCGTTCTTCTTTGGCATTGGCATGAACTTCTTCATGGAGATTGCCAAGCTCCGCGCCGCTCGTGTCCTCTGGGCCGAGTACATGCGCGACACCTTTGCGCCGGCAAACCCCAAGTCGACCATGCTGCGAACCCACTGCCAAACCTCGGGCTGGTCGCTCACCGAGCAGGACCCGGTCAACAACGTCATCCGCACCACCGTCGAGGCCATGGCCGCCACCCTCGGTGGCACCCAGTCGCTCCACACCAACGCCCTCGACGAGGCCGTCGGCCTGCCCACCACCTTCTCGGCACGCATTGCGCGCAACACCCAGCTCATCCTGCAGGAGGAGGCTGGAATCCCGGCCATCGTCGACCCCATGGGCGGCTCGTACGCCATCGAGGCTCTGACCGACGAGCTCGTCGCCGGCGCCCGTGAGCTCATCGAGGAGGTCCAGTCCATGGGTGGCATGACGGCCGCCATCGAGTCCGGCCTGCCCAAGCGCCGCATCGAAGAGTCGGCCGCCGTCCGTCAGGCCCGCATCGACGCTGGCGAGGAGGTCATCGTCGGCGTCAACAAGTACCGCCTGCCCGACTCCGAGGCCGACGAGGTCGAGGTCAAGATGATCGACAACGCCAAGGTCCGCGAGCAGCAGATCGAGTCCATCAACGCCATCAAGGCCGGCCGCGACAGCGCCGCCGTCTCGGCCGCCCTCGACGCCATCTCCGCCGCCGCCGCCTCGGACTCGGGTAACCTCCTCGAGCTCGCCGTCGATGCTGCCCTCGCCCGCGCCACCGTCGGCGAGATCTCCGACGCCATGGAGACCACCTTTGGCCGCTACATGCCCAAGGGCGAGCTCATTCGCGGTGTCTACAAGGAGTCGTTCTCGGGCACCACCGAGTTTGACGCCATCCACTCGCGCGTCAAGGCCTTTGCCGACGCCCACGGCCGCCGCCCGCGCATTCTCATCGCCAAGCTCGGCCAGGACGGCCACGACCGCGGCGCCCGCGTCGTCGCTACTTCGTTTGCCGACATGGGCTTTGACGTCGACCTCGGCCCGCTCTTCCAGACTCCGGAGGAGGTCGCTTCCGAGGCCGTCGACCTTGACGTCCACATTGTCGGCGTCTCGTCGCAGGCCGCCGGCCACCGCACCCTTGTCCCCGAGCTCATCCAGAAGCTCAAGGACGCCGGCTCGTCCGCCGTCGTCGTCGTTGGTGGCGTCATCCCGCGCCCGGACTACGACATGCTCCACGACGCCGGCGCCGTCGCCGTCTTTGGCCCCGGCACTCGGGTCACCGAGGCCGCCGGCACTGTCCTCGACAAGGTCGAGGAGCAGACCGACCTTTGAGCTGATCTCCCATAAATCAAGGCTGACAATCCGCAGCACAGGAGCGCTTGCCATTCATGAACCTTCGTTTACGCAGAAGACGATGAGGCAGCTGACGCCGGCGGGTGGCGCTCGAGCGTCATGTCGCAGATGGTGGCGGTCCGCGAAAAAGCAAGCGAGCACTCGTGGCCGAACAGGTCGCGAATGTTCTTGATGCCGTACTTGATCATGGTCGGGCGCTCGAGCGAGAGGCCCCAGGCAATGCACGAAACATCCTCAGGCATGCCCATCGGGCGGAGCATCTCCGGGCGGAAGACGCCCGAGTTGCCAATCTCGAGCCACTTACCCGAGCCCTCGTGCCACGAGAAGATCTCCATCGACGGCTCGGTGTACGGGTTGTACGCCGGCTTGAACCGCAGCTTGTCGATGCCGAGCTTCTTGAAGAACTCGTTGAGGACGCCGATGAGGTCGCCGAGCGTCACGTTGCGGTCGACAATGAGGCCCTCAACCTGGTGGAACTCAGCCAGGTGGGTAGCATCGGGCGTCTCGTTGCGAGTCACCCGATCGATGGAAAAGTACTTCTTCGGCTTGAACTCGTCAGCCTGCGCCAGCTCGTACAGCATCCGCGACGAGACCGCCGTCGTGTGCGTCCGCAGAATGTTCTTTCGCGCCTCGTCCTCCGACCAGTCGTAGCGGTAGCCAATCGAGCCATAGCCGCCCACCTCGTGCTGCTTCCGCACCCGCTCCATGTAGTCGGCCGGGATGGTCAGCGTCCGCGCCGGGTCCGACACAAAGAACGTATCGTGCGCATCGCGAGCAGGGTGCTGCTGCGGCTGGAAGAGCGAGTCAAAGTTCCAGAACGACGACTCCACAAACTGGTTCGTCGGCATCTCCTCGAAGCCCATCTCAAGGAAGATCTCGCGGAACTGCGTCCGCACCTTCATCAACGGGTGCAGGTACCCGCCCGTCAGCGGCCGGCCCTTGGCCTTGAGGTTGAGCGGCTTGAACTTGAGCGACTGCCACTCGCCCGACGCCAGCATCTCCACAGTCAGGTCCGTCTTGGGCTTCTGCCGCACCGGCGCGTAGTTGCTCCCCTTGCTCACCGCGTACGAGACGGTCTTGACCTCGGCCACAAACCCGCGCTTCTTCAGATCCTTCATCACCTTACCGGCAACCTCCTCGCTCTTTCCCGTAAACACCTTGGACAGCTGCACCTTGGTCTCGTCCACAACCTCACCCACATCGGCCACCGCAACCAGGTTGCCCGACGCCTTGTCGACCTTGATCCACTTGGACTTCATAGCGCGACCCTTGTCCTGCGCCGCAAACGCCTCCTACTCACCGCACATCCACACAACATCAGTCATCCTCTTCACCACATCCTCTTTCACCGCCACACCATCTTTCCCCCTCTTCCCTCTTTCGCATGCCCCCCCCCCCTTCCCGCCCCACGCCCCCTACAACCCCCCCCGAATGGCCTCGTGATCGATCGAAGCTGGAAAATCACCAGCCATGCGGCGGCCCCCCCCTACCCACCCCACCACCACCACCATGATGACCACACCTTGCCCCCAACACACACATACACACACACTTCCGGTATCTCTATGTCCATCCCTCTATCTCCTGTCGTACCTTGTCCTTGGCTGACACAGGGTTGCCAGCAGCAGCCCGCTCGGCAACGGTGACGAGAATATGGAACTCGGGCGAGCCCGAAGCGAGGACGGCGTCACCGGCCGGGGTGAGCTTGAAGGCGACCGAAGTGGAGGAGATAGCAGTCACGGTCTCATCTGAAGTGAGGGACTTGATGACCGACTCAACAGCTTTGCGTTCTAAACCATTCTCCTCTGCCCATGACACAGAGTTGTCAATGTTGCTCGTCTGAAGCTGGCCAAGAATGGCTGCCTCGATCTGCTCGCCAGTCGTTGCCATGGCCAGTTGCTAATTAATAGAGAGGTGGCCACCAATGGCGGGAGGGGAGGAGGGGGGGAAGGGCAGTGCCTCATTGCCCATCACCTCGCCATCGATAGCTACCGTCTATGACCTCCGATTACACTGATTCTCAGAACACCAATAGTGAGTTATATGTTGAGCTCAAGTCTATAGTTTTGCCTTCATCGGGAGGGTAATGCGCGTGGTAGGGGGAGGAGAGAAGGACAAGGTCTAGGGAAGGCGGGGTTCAGCCAGTGAGGGACCGGTCTTTGGCCTCCGATCACGCTCAATCTCGGTATATTGCTAGTGCATTGTATGATGAGCACGTATTTACAGTTTCACGTTCATCGGACGAGCAATGCCCGTGATAAGAGGGGAAACGCCACTACCCTGTCTGGACTCGAGAACTCACTGGTCGTCCTAAACCCCCACAGCCACACCCAACACACACGCACCCCCACCCCCACCCCCCCCCACACACACACCACCTCTCTCCTCTCTCCATCCTCTCTATCCTCACTCCCACAAACGCACACACACTACTTTCTCATGGCTCTCGACAACGACGGACTCGGCCGAGTCGACCTTGTGGCCAAGTACCGCTTAGAGGCTGGCCCCGAGGAGGCGGGCACAGGTTTGGCAGGCGCTTCTGGAGAGACAGCAACTGCGATGGTCGAAGTCGCCGGCCTCAGAGCTCCGCCGCTGGATCTGAGTGACTTTCCTGATGCCCCACATGCGCCTGATGAGTGGATGCCCAACACAGAGATCGGACCGCTGGCCGATGCACCGCGCCTGCCGCCCGTCGACATGCGTCCGCTCGATGAGAACCAGCTCAAGGGTTTGGTGCTGGAAAAGGGCTCCATCCCGCAGCTTCGCTTTGGGTCGGCGGCGGAAGCTGGGAAGAAGCGTAAGCGCAAGCGCGATTCCTCGCGTCGCAAGCGCAGCTCAAAGGCCACCGACAAGTCCAAGTCGCGCCGGCGGAAGAAACGCGATCGCGGCAAGAAGAAGAAGCGCCGCAAGCACAAGAGCAAGAAGAGCAAGCGTTCAAAATCGTCTGCCCGCAAGAGCAAGTCCTCCCGCGACGAGCATGGTTCTCCGGCACTGAAGTCGGGCTCCTCCTCCTCCTCATCATCATCATCATCGTCATCATCATCATCATCGTCCTCCTCCTCATCGTCATCATCATCGTCTCCCTCGGCATCCGACTCCTCCGCCAACACCCGTCCCTCCAAGCGATCCAAGACCTCCCGCTCCAGCCACCACCCATGAACGCATCACCACTGCTCTCCACCCCCCCACACCTCACACCCCCACCATGGGCCACGACCAGCTCATCGCTGCCGTCCAACGGGCTAACACCGTCATACGATCACTGACCAAGATGATCCATGCCCTCGAAGCACAGCGTGATGCGCTCCAGACCCAGCTGGTCACCGCGAGCTCTGCCGCGAGCTCCGCCAGTCACCGTCCGTCGTGTGCTCGCTGCGACGGACTCGAGGTCACCGTCACCCACCTCCTTGCACAAGTAGACGCTCTCCGGGTAGAGCTGGACGCGCGAGACGTTGAGCAGATTGAGCGCTCTGTCCTTGCCCGTGACGTCGAGCGCCTCACTGCGCTGGACCTCGCCGGCTCGCCGCCCTCGCCCGTCTCTCCCGCGTCTCTCCCGCACCCGGCCGAGCGCCGGCGGGCTACGCCGGGCTCGCCGCTAGCAGCTTCGCTGGCCTCACCTACTGCCTCCCCGACACTGGATTCGGGCAAAGGTAGGGGCGAGGTTGGCACCGAGGGCAGAGACTTGGGCTCGGCCTCGGGTTCGCCTGGTGGGAGTTCATTGCTTGCCAGCCTGCCGCGGCTGGCCATTGACACCCGCGGCATGGAGGCGGTGACCGGGCGCGGGCGGAGGCAGAGCGTCATCGATGCACCGCCGTGCATGCACTGCACCCGGGCAGCATCCATGCGTGACGTGGCCGAGGAGGCCACTCGCCAGATGGCAGTCAAGCTCGCCGCTCTGCGTGTCGAAGTCACCGAGCTCGCCGACGAGGCCGCTGCGGCCCGCGCGCGGGCTGACGACGCCAACTCTCAGATCCGAACACTCAAAGACGCGCTGAGTGACGCCCGCGCCTCGATCTCACACCTCGAGCCGTTCCGCTTCCGCGCTGCCGGCCTCGGCCTCATCTGCCGGAGCCTCGAGGAGGAGGTGGAGCACTTTTCGGAGCGCGCCTTGCTCGCCGAGACCAAGCTCAAGGTCTACGAACTCGGCACGTCCGCCATCATGTAGCAGTCACCTGAGACGTGGATCATGCAGTACGCATGGTTCTTGTACGTGTTCTGCATCACCACTAGCTGGTCGAGTCGGTACGAGGTCAGCGCGTTGCCGCCGAGCGATGCCACCCGCCCGCGGAGCATGGCCTTGGCCTCGGACACAAACAAGTGCGTCACCGCCCCGTTGCCGCCCTTCTCCGACACATCGTCAAACTCGCGGATGAGCGAGAGCGAGAGCCGGCCAAGGTACTCTTGGACAACCTTGCCCGGCACAAAAGCCAGCGGAGTGAGGGTGATCGCCGGTCCGTCTGGTCGCGGGTAGTCGAGCGTCCGAGCTCCGCTTCCGCCGCCACGCCGCCGCCGCTGCTGCCGGCCGCCCCGCCGCCGCAACGATGCTCGGCTGCTGGCCTCGCCGTCACCGCCCAAGCCATCGCGGTCGTCGTCATCGTCGTCGAGCCGCGACGACTCGCTCCCTCCGCCAGAACACGTCCCAGAACCGGTCTCCACCGGCGCTGCGTACTCGAGCCGCGGCAGCAGCTCGTCTGGAACCAAGAACGAGCCCAGCGGCGATGGGAGGTCGATCGGCGGTAAAACTGGCGCCCGCAGCTCCTTGACAATCATGCCAGTCACGACGGCCGTGATCTGGTTGCCCGAGGACGACGCTATTGAGACCGAAGACCGCAAGCCCACGACCTGGACCGGCCGCATCCGTGAGGCCTTGTACACAAGCGAGGCGTAGAGGGAGCGAAAGACGACCGCCAGCTCTTGATTAACAAACCGCGATGAGGTCCGCAGCGAGATCCGCTTGACCACAGTGATGAGCGAGACGTTGCCTAACTCGCGCCGAGTGCACCGCGAGCCCGGAAACCGCATCGTGGTGCAAAGCCGCACCCCGTCGGGGAGAAGCGGATCGAGCAGGACCGCGAGCAGGTCGCGGTCGGCGTCGTCGTCGACATTGACGTCCACCTCGAGCGCAACCGTGTTCGACTCGGCGCCGCCCGAGCCGCGGTGCAGGCCGGCCTCGTCATCCGACGAGTATCCCGAGCCACAGGCCGAGAGCGACGAGCTCGAGCTCGTCGACGAGCTCGAGCTCGACACAATGAGCAACGGATCGGCGTCGAGGTAGCCGAGCTCGGCTGCAGCACCGACGCCGCCGCCAGCCTCAACCTCGTCGGAAGACGAAGAGGAGCTCGAGGACGAGCTCGACGCCACCGCGTCCTGCGCCAACTGTGCCAGCGCGCGTAGCTTGGACCGGTTGTGCTCTGCCTGCGAGACGAGGCAGCTCTGGGTCCGTGCCAGCTCGACATCTTGGTTCTTGGTGATCGAGAGGGCACGCACAATGTTGAGTGACGCTGGCGGCGGGAGCGGCGAGAGATAGCAGGCCGTCGCCGAAGCCATGGCCACCACCATGGTGGCCGAGACGTCAAGCGAGAGCGAAAATCCAAACGCCGCGTTCATGCCCTTGACCTTGAGCTTGATGAGTAGCTGCCGGTGGATGTCGTAGAGCACAAACGGGAGAAGCTCCGAGAGTTGCTCAGCGTCATCCTTGCCGTGCTTCTTGCCCCGCATGCGGATGACTCGCACCTCGAGATGCGTGCCCTCGCCCACAATGGGCAGCCCTTTGGGCGGCTCCATTGACGAGAGCAGGACCGGCGGCACAAACTTGCGCTTGCACTCGGCGCAGACGTGGACCTTCATCTGCAAGGAGGCGTTGCGGACCGAGTACGGAATGTGTGCCACCGAGCACCACACCTTGCTCTTAGCCCGCTGCTTCCGCCGCTTGGCCTTGCGCTTGGCTGAACGTGCCGCAGCCTTGCCCGGCCTCACCAGCGCGTCGTCCACCGTCCCGGTCCCAAACCGCTGCTGCTGCGCAAATGGCCCGTCGAGGAGCGGATGTCTCAGCCGCAGCACAACAGCGGTGCCCACTGCGGTGAGGACGACGACCTCGTCGCGAATCGCAACCTGTTCCGAGTAGCCGATGACAAAGTAGCAGCCGAGCGCGAGCGCATGCGATCGGATCTCGTCGCGGATCTCCGACCACCACGCGTCGCGGACGGCTGTCGTGTCCGCACCGCGCGCCGAAATGAGTTTGACCGATGAGGTGGCCACAATGCCTCCCAGCCGGAGCAGGACGCCGACCGGGAGGTCGGTGACCGAGAGCAGCTGGACCCGGGCATACGACGACGGTCCGGACACAACGGCGTCAGCCAGCGACGGCGCCGGACGGGTTCCGCCGCGCGTCGGTGAGTTCGGTGCAGATGGCGCCGGCGACGGAAGCGGGCGGGCAAGGCCGCGCGAGCCCTCGGTCCGCACAATCGCCGCCGTACCGTACGCCCGCACCACAATGCCATACTCTTGCTCAAAGTCATAGTGCAGGTGAAAGCCAACCACAGCGTTGCCACCCATCTCCAACACCTTGCGCCCGAGCTGCCGTCGGACCATGCCGGAGAGCTGGAAGAACAGCATTTGCCGTGCATCGTTGGACGACCGCGGGGTGCGGAACGTATCCGTCCAGTGGTACTCGGGATCGTCGTCCATGACGAGATCCTCCACAAATCCCAGAAGCTGGACCAACCGGAGCTGGCGTGCCCGGGTCGGCGCCGGCCTCGAGGCCGAGAAGAACAGCACACCGGCCGACGAGTCGCCAAACGGATTGAGGTTGCCGATGAGCTCGACCTTGACCACCACCGAGAGCTCGCCACAAACGCCACGCAGGGTGTCATAGATGGGAAACCAGCCAGCAATTGAGGCCGCTGACGACGCCCGCGTCCGCGTGGCCATGAACAGCACGTTGAGATCGATGTGGACCGAGCCGATGACGTCGTCGGTCAGCCGATCATGGTCCCACACCTTGAGCTCCAGCGGCGAGTCCTGCACATCACCATCGTCCGACACCTCCTGCCGAAAGTAGTTCACTTGCCACACTGGCGACAACGTCTTTCGCGCAATGTCCGTCTCTCCGAACTGCTGATCGCCGAGCTTGACCTCTACATACGCGTCGGCCAGCCCAGTCGCCTCGTCCATCACAGGCAGGTTGCGCGCCGCCCGAACCTTGACCTTGACAATACACGGCATGGTGAGAGTAACCCGTGCCTGTCGTAAGAAGTGGTGCTGGTACTGGTGCTGGTGGTGCTGGTGGTGCTGGTAGTGGTGGTAGGGTGAGGTGGGACGGTGCGTGCTGCTCGCGAGCCAAGGTGGGGTGAGTCGGGCAGAGCCGGCCGACTTGCTGGACTTGCCGGACTTGCCCCCAGATGCGGACGATTGGTCATCTGATGAGGCGAGAGTGTGGTCGGGAGGTGAAGCAAGGATAATGTCAAGGTGTTGCGGGAGGTAGAAGACAAGGTTGGATGCTGGGTCATCTCCGCTACATCTCACAACTCTGACCTACAACCGTGACCAATATGACCATCATCCGCGCACCGTGGCCATCATCGCCATTGAAGCCATGGTCCACCTCTACGTTCCACCATCACAGTCAGATTGCAGGCGCCGCTACGGCCTGATTGTGGCGCCATCGGTACACCATAGCGGCCATCATCTGCCCCAGCTCGGCTGCTGCCACTTCCGAAAACCAACAACTGACCACACAGCTGAGAGAGCAAGCTCTCAAGCACAGCACAGCCCAAGCTACTGCTGCAACCACTCCACTCGACAACACCACACTTTTATTTCTGTGGAGGAGAGTCACAACTGTAGAGCGCACACAACACCTTTCTCCCTCTCTTGTTTGTGGTTGCCAACCATGCGTGGACGTACGTGTCGTTGACCCCCCCCTCCCCCTCCGCTCTTTCCACAAACTGAACAAGTCACTGGGCCGCCGCCTCCCTCCCCTCCCCCCCCCCCCCACACACACACTCACCCCCCCCCATACACACACACTCACACTCACCCCGTCATACTCTTACTCTTACTCTCTTTGATATGCCCATGTTATGTCTCTTTCTTTCTGTACACACACAGGTGTACTCTCGTCCATTTCAGAGGAATCGTCGTCCGTCACCTCGCCCGACCGCCACAGACCACAGCGGCATCAGGGCCATCGTCGCTCAGGTGGCTCAGGTGGTGTGGTGGGCTCTACAAGGGGACGTGGGGTGAGTGCAAGAGGAAGTGGTGGTGCTCGTCGTAGAGGTCGAGGCGGTGGATTGCGGAGCACTTCGCCTTCTCCCACCACTAGCAGTGCGAGATCGGGTCCAAGGCCGCGCCAGCGCAAGCGGCCGTCGCCCAGAAGTCGCGTCCGTGGTGCAGCCGCTCGTCGTCGCTCACCGCTCGCCCCGCCAGAGCCGGTAGCCGAGGACGATGCCGAGGATGTGAAGGCGGCCGCGTTTTCGCTGACCAAGGGCGAGCTGGCCGCGCTGGGCGTCGGGGGCGGCGACGACGAGGACGACGATGAGGACACGTCGCTGCTCTCGTCGCGGATGCTCAACCAGGGCTTGCCCACCCTGCCAGAGTCGTCATCCCACATGCTGTTCAAGTCGGTTTCGTCGTCGTCACTGATGTCGTCGACCCAGGCGCTACCATCCAAGCTCCTTGTCGACGCGCCCGAGCTGGACATGGGCTCCGAGCTCAACTCGCCGCACGACTCGGACTCGGAGGTGACGAACTCAGAAGTCAGTGACGTGGCCTCCGGCCTCGGTGGACTCAGCCTCACCCTCGCAACGCCGCAAGCGGCCATGCTGGAAAAGGCCCGCCTCATACGGGTCGATGAGGCCAAATCCGCTGCCGCCAACGAGACCATTTTCCATTCGCTCTTTGACCAGTTCCAGGCCCTCGCCCATCAACTGCCCGGCTCGCACTCGCTTGTTGTCAGCATGGTCAAGGGTGACATTGACGGCCTCGGGCCGAACGAGGCCTTCTCCTCGACCTTTTCGCCGCTCATCGCTGCCGCCCAGCTACTGCAGGCCGTTGTCGGCCTGGGGTGCCATCTTTTGACCTCGACTGGGCGCGCAGCTGCAGAGCCGGAGCGAGTCGCCATCACTGCCGCCATTCAAACCGTCCTCACGCCCGAGATCGAGGGTGCAGGCGTAGTTCACATGCTCAACAAGGTCCTCCGCCGAGTCGAACCCGCTGCCAACAACATTGTCCTTTCGCTTGTGGTCGGCGTTGTTGTCGCGATCGTCAAATCGCTGCAGCTGGCCAACTTGAGGAGCCAGCATAAGGAGTTTGTGACGAGCGTGCTCAAAGAGCACAATGCCCTGCACGATGCCGACTGGCGCGGCGCTGCTAGCCTCCTCGCCGCTCTCAACAAGGCGCTTCCAGCACCGCCCGACGGCTGGGTCGCCTCACAGGACGCCCACGCTCTGCGCTCGGTCAAGTCCTCGGCCTCGCTTGCCACGCTCACTCTCGAGACCACCCCGCGCAAGCGCCACATCTCGCTCAGCGCTCCAGCAGACGCCGCAGGCGGTGCCGTCCTCGGTCTCTCGACTTCGCCCGGTGCCGGCGTCAACCTTGTTCGGCCCATCGCCCAGTACCTCGAGGAGATGGAAACCCTCATCCACAACCTCTGCTCGCTGCATTCGCTCAGCAGCCCCGCGCCCGAGCCATCGTGGGGCGCACTTCTTCGCTCCGCCTTTGGCATTCCGCTCTCGCAGGAGGACGCCATCGAGTCCAAGGACAATGCCATCACTGTCATGCGCTTCTACATGACCCACAAACAGCTCTCGTTCCTCCGCGACTATACCACCGCAACCCAGCTCGAGACGCTCCAGCTCGCGTTCAAGGCTGCATCGGCTACGTCGACTTCATCCGACGCCTTTCTGGAGACGCTTTCGGCGACGACCGGCGCGGCGTCAATCCTGTTCCACGGCCATGCCGACGTTTCCACCGCTCAGCTCTTTGCCGAAGCCATCCAGCAGTGCCTCTGCCGCCGCATGCAGCCGCCGTCGCCGCTCGTCTCCATGTTCAGCGGTGTGATGGAGGCACTCCACACCCGCAGCGCAGGCAGCCGAGACAGCTGCAACAAGCTGTCGGCCGCTGCCCTCGTTGTCCGCGACGAGCTCTTCGACCTGCCGTGGATCAACCAGTCGCGCGCGCTCCAAGGCCTCGCTGCCGAGCTCGCATGCAAGGTTGAAGCTGCGGCGCCAGGCTCGCTGCCGCTTCCAGCCTTTAAGGCCTTTACTCATGAGGTGATTCAGGTGCTTTCGGCTCTGTGCGAAGACGTCCGCATCCTTATGGGCCCACCGCCGTTTTCGGCGCCGTTCATGGTGGTCGGCCTCGACGAGCTGGCGCTCGGCCTCGTCAATCACTCGACAGCCCTCACCGTCGGTGTCATCTACGAAGCTGCGTCGTCCAACACCGAGTACTCGGCCGCACTCAGCTCTTCGACTGGCGACGTCGATGCGCCGGGCGTGCCGAGCTACAGCGAAGTCCTTGGCGAGTACTTTGCCCGCTTCCTTGCTCTCCTCAAGATGAAGCTCGAGGCAGCTTGCGTCACACTTGGATCGTCGATCCGACTCGGCATCAAAGCCACGTCAGTCTCCAGTAGCTCGGTGCTTGTTGGCACTATTGACTCCATCTCGGACGCCATCCGCACACTCACCGGCCATGTCCGCGATGACCCGCTTGCGGCGCAGCTCGCGCTACTCTGCGACGCTGTTCCGGTCTTTGCCACCAAGCATGCCGCGACGCTCCTGCCGCGGCTGAATGCTGCGATTGGCGCAGTCCTCAACGGAGCCCACCAGCTGCTGGGCGGGCGCGTCCGCGACGTCCTTGCCCATGCCGTCCTGCGCGCTGGGCGGCACACGTTTTCACCTGTTCTCTTCGAGTCGTCGTCGCACGCTCTTGACGTCGGTGTCCACCTCGCGGCTCTGCCGGCGGCTGTCATTCGTGGCCTCACCCTCCGGTTTGGTGTCGAGCAGCCGTATTCGACCCAAGGCCCGCGCATTGTCGGCGGCTCCGCGCTCGACCTCGGCGAGCCGTCGTCACCGGTCGGTGAGCCGCTGCCGATGCTAGTCGACGCTGGCCGCGGCGCGAAGGCGGCGAGCGGAGGTGCGGTCGGTCTCTTTGACGTCGCTTCGCGGCTGCGGACCATGGAGGACAAGACGCTTATTTCGGCTGGAAACTCGGGCCTCATCTACTCCATCCTTGTCTTTGCAGCCACCCTCACTGCCAAGGCTGGCCTCCACTCCCGCACCGTCGGCCAGACGCTTGTCTATGAGACGCAGAGCGAGAAGGACACAAGCGCGCAAGCTGTGGTCTCCGCCGATGGAAGCGTCCACATCACACCGGCCTCGTATGTACTTGCATCGAGCACTCAGGAGCAGCTCGAGTGTGTGTTCCACACCCAGCTCCTTCCGCTCTTCCTCACAACCTCGGACTTTCTTGTCCGCGAGCGCAAGGCCGGCTACGGCGTGCCGTGGCAGTCGGACGACGGCACGCCTCTCCTCTCCTCGCTCCCGCCAGCCGAGGGCATGCTTGACAACTCGCGGCATGTGGCCGGGCACATCGCGTTTGCGCTCGCGCCCGCCACCCAGGCCAACGACGTGCTCTCACTCGTTGGTAGCATCGAGCATGCGCTCCACGACTTTGTCCACGTCTTTCCGCTCCACATTCCGGCAGCTGTGGCGTATCCACGGGCGGCGTCGCTGCAGGCGCAGGTGGCTGAAGACGCCCAGGTGCTTGCCGGCGAGTATGGCGAGCTTAATCACGAGTTGCTCACTCAAGCCTGTGCCTGCGAGACGCACCTCGACGAGGCTAGCGACGTCAAGGCACCCGAGATGCTGCGCAAGGCGCTCGGCGAGTTCACCGATCTCCTCCTCGAGTGGGCCGTCAAGGCACCGCACATGCCGGGCAACATTGCGCCGTCGCTGGCCAAGGCACCGCTCCTCCTCACCGAGGTCAAGCAGCTCAATAAGTGGCAACATGCGCTATCCGAGTTCCGCAAGCTCTCATGCTTTGATGGACTCGCCGCCGACATGACCGCGATTGAGCATTCGCTTGGCGAGCTCTCCAAGATCTACTTTTCTCTCCTTGACATGTTCGAGCTCGCGCGTGAGACCGGCGACAATGACGAGGTCGAGACTGTCGTTGCCAAGCACCTTGCGCCGCCGACAGTGTTCAAGGGTGCGCTCTCGGGTGTGCGGGTTCTCAAGAACGAGTGGACCGACAAGGTCTTTGGCAGCGAGGGCTTCCTCAACACTGTCGCCGACGGTGTCCGGCGGGTCAACAACGCGCTCGGCTCGGTGTACCTCAAGAACTCGCCGGAGCTTCCTGGAAACGAGTATGCAGTCGGTCTCCTCTCGCACCTCATCATGGGTGTCAACGCATGTGCGCCGATCACCGAACTGCTCAAGGTCTCGCACGCGCGCAGAGTTTACGTCACGCTGGCGTCAATCACGGTTCCGGGCGTGTCGCTGGAAAAGGTGATGCGGAGCTCGCCGGCCGTGCTCGACGCCTGGTCAGCGGTCCAGTACTCGCAGTCGGTGCTGATGGCGATGCTGGTCAATCCGGAAGACGGCAAGCCGGACAACTTTGTGGTCACCCGTGACGGCGAGTCGGGCGCGGTCAAGGTGGTTTGTATTGACAACGACCATGCGTTTGTGGCGGCGCTTACCAACAAGAAGGGCGGAGGCGGGTCGTCGCCGCGCCGGTCCGGCTCTGGCAACCTCTCGTCGCCGCGCAACATGCTCAATGCGCGGCACCGCAACTCAATCGACGTAACAAATGGCGTCGGGTCTGCTGGTGACGGAGCTGGGGCACCAGGTGAGTCCGGCGATCGCGTCTTTGTCAAAACCATCCTGTACTGTTTCGACCGGATGTACGACGCGATTGAGCCATCTGTGGTCGACGCGTTCCTGGCGCTCAATCCTGGAGCAGTCATCGAGTCGTGGCTGACAGCACTGGCACGGTACAACCAGCGGTTGGAGTGCATGTTCACGCCAGACCAGATTGAGCGGTCGTACCGTGGCGGGTCCGGCATGCGGCTGCCGTTCTTCATCGCGCCCAAGGCGGTCAAGGTTCTGTACTCCAAGATGTGCCGGATGCAGCGCGAGCTGCGGCTCAACCGCAAAATGACGCACCTGGAGCTGCTGGCGACTGTCGAGCGGCGACTGGCAATGCGGTATGAGGAGGAGCTCAAGCTGCACGACAAGAGCCCCTACGCGCGGTTTGCCTCGCTCACTGCTGGCGCTTACCGCAAGATCAAGACATCGCTGGTGACCAAGACGGCCTCGTCGCGAATCTCGTCGGCTATGGTCTGCGCGGCGCTGCCCAACTCGATTGCGGGCTTTTACGCCAACAACTACGTGCCCGAGGCTGCGCTGGAGGAGCTGTGCCAAGTGACCCGGGTGCGCGAGGACTCACTGGTGGCGTCTGCGCTCGATGCGCTCTACCGTGGTGATGTGAGCCTACTCGCTGATCTCCCGGCTGTCTCGCTGCAGGAGCAAGTGGTGGCGCAGTACGATTGGGCGATTCTGGATGCACGGCAGGGCGAGGCGTCGCTATCGAGCTCGTTCAGCTCGTCAAGCTCGTCCAGCTCGGGCTCAAGCTCAGAGAGTGACGGCGATGCGGCAGGCGGAGCTCGAGTGGTCGACGTGCCGGCCGGCGCCAGCAATGAGGCGCTTGCGGACGTTCTGTGCACGCTCTCGATGCGCCGTCTGGTCATCCGCGGCGCGTCGTGCCTCACCTCGGGTCGTCTCGCGGCCATTCTCAAGGGCTCACCGGAGCTTGTGGTCCTCGAGCTGTACGGCTGCTCGGGCATCCAGCACGGCGGCGTGGCGTCAATGGCGCCGCACCTCGAGGTGCTACGGATGCACAACATGGCGGATCTCCGCGATGTGGTCAAGCCGCGCTCGCTGCCTGCTGCGCGGTACTTTCCGCAGCTGCGGGAGATTTTGCTGGCCGGCAACCCGTTGCTGCAGACAATTGACCTGCCGCGGTACGTAACTGGCCTGGCCGAGTCGTTGGAAGTGCCAAACGTGCGTGTGCGCGGCGAGGCGTTTTCACCGGAAATGCTGCGGCTTCTCCTGGAGATGCGGGCCGAGTCGCACTCGCCGTCGATGGAAGGCGCAAGTGACCCCGAGGCCGAGGCGTACATCCGGGCCGAGCTTGGCGACGTCGGCACGTCGTTTGAGCCATCGCCTGGCATCATTACCAACTGGGAGGTGCTCGGCGAGGCGCTCAGCTCATCGACTTCGCTCACCCGGCTGGTGCTCAAGCAGCAGGCGCTCGAGCAGACCGGAGTGGCGGTGCTGGCCAAGATCCTGCGATCGCGGTCGGTGCGGTGGAAGCATCTCGCGCTGCAAGAGTGTGGGCTGAACGACCGACTGGCGTCGGAGCTTGTGGACACGCTGCGGACGCGGGCTGGAGTAACGCCGGGCGGGATTCGGCGGCCGCGCGGCGAGAGCGCCGGGAGTGCAGTCTCCGGTGTGCTCAGCATCCTCGATCTGCGGTACAATGCGCTCGGAGGACACGCGGCACGGTCGCTGCGCAACCTGCTGCGAGCAACGCCTGAGACGAGTCGTGTGGCGCTTCGCGAGCTGAATCTGCGGTACAACGCGCTTGGCGACAGCGGAGTCCAGGTGCTGGCGGACGCGCTGGTGGGCTCACGGCTCGAAGTGCTCAACCTCGACCGCAATGGGGTGACCTACCGTGGCGCGTCGGCGCTGGCCGCCGTGCTGGCGAATCCTGGCTGCCCGCTCACCTCGCTCTCGCTCTTCAACAACGAGCTGGGTGACGCCGGCGTGGCAGTCCTTGCCTCGGCCGGGCTGGCTAACAACCAGCGACTCAAGTCGCTTACGCTGCGCAAGACCGGAGCGGGCGCCGACGCGGCATCCCAGCTGGGTGTGGCGCTGCAGGCCAACACGTCGCTGACATACCTAGACCTCGACGACAACGGGCTCGGCGACCGCGGAATCGCGCTGCTGGCAGACGGGCTCTTCTTTAACAGCGGCTCACTGCGCGAGCTCAAGCTCCAGTTCAACGACGTTGGCGAGGCTGGAGCAGCGGCGCTGTTCAAGGCACGCAACGGACGGCTCTCGCTGAGCCATCTCGATCTTGGGCACAACGCACTCGGCGCTGATGGGGCGCGGCTGGTGGCGCATGGGCTTCTCGACAACACCGCGCTGCAGTGGCTTTCGGTTCGAGCCAACGGCCTGGGCGACGTGGGAGCGGACCACATGACGATGGCGATCACGACGTCGCGAACGCTAATTGTGCTCGACATGTCGGCCAATGGCATCTCGCCACGCGGCGCCGAGGTGGTGGCAGCTGCAGTCGAGTCGCGGGTCCCAGGCTCGGCGCTCACCGAGCTCAACCTCCGTGACAACGCGGTCGGCTTTGCCGGCATGCGGTCGCTCCTCAAATCGTCGCGCGGCAAGCCGCTCGTCTCGTGGCTCTCGTCATCGGTCGACGCCTCGGTCCGCAGTGACGGCGGCAGCGAAGACCAAGACGCAGCAACAACCGCGGCCATGGCGCGGCTCTCGCTCACCGCCTCGCCGTCCAAGTACTCGGTATCGCCGGGAATCGCCAGCGCCAACCGCAGCCTCGACGGCGCCGCACGGTTGTTTGACCAGGGCGAGGCCGAGTGCAGCGAGGTCAACCACTCAGTGGTGGTCAAGCTTGAATAGCTACCTCGATGAGTTCTGTTGCCAGGTTAAAGACTGACGACCGCCAGCATTGACTTGGTTGTCACGCCGACGGCTGCGATGAGGCGATAGACTGGACCGATGCACGCTTGAGAGTGCGGAGATGCTTGCGACCGTCACGGATGGAGCGCTCGATGCGGTTAAAGGCGGTGCGCGGCATGGAGCGGCCGGCCTCAAACCGGGCCCGGACGTGGGCTTGCATGGCCGGTTGGGCCTCGAGTGGCTTGGTGCGAATGACTCTCAGAAAGGCCCGGTACAGCCCGAGCACCTCCAGTTGGAGTCCCGAGTACCGCATGCCGATAGCTGACAGTATGGGTGGGAGAGTGGGGTGAGGGGCGAGTGACACGCTGACGCTGACGCGCACCGATGGCTGACGGCAGGGGGGGGGGGGGGGGGGGTCTGATTTATCTGGTGGGGATCCGCTACAATGTGGCGCGGAGGCGCTCGACATAGGCGCGGACAACACGCTCGTACTCCTTCTTGTCGTCGCGGAAGGAGACCCAAGCAGCTTCCTGGGCCGGATCCTGGATGTTGGGCTCGGTGAGGAGGGTCTGGATGCCGAGGAGGATCTGCTTGATGGTGATCGACGGCGACCAGCCCTTGTCCTCAGCGAGAATGGAGAGGCAGACCTTGCCCGAAGGGTACACGTTGGGGTGGAAAAGCGGCGGGTTAAACCGGGCCACCGGCGGCTTGGACGGGTAGTCTTCGCCAAAGGTGAGGGTGAGCTTGAACACACCTCCCTCCCAGATCGATCCCTCGGCACCAGGGATTCCGCAGTTCCACGTCAGCATGTCCAATGTCCCATCCTCCAGCTTGCGTGGCTTGGCAAAGAAGCTCTATTGACCACCCGTGATCCCGCCATCGCCCGTCCCCATCATCGTGCCGCACACACAGCCACGCCATCGTCCACCGTCCGTCCATCGCGCACAGGCCAATCGACCGCATGGCAGCACAGCACAGCACATACCACAACAACAAGTGCACAGCATCCCACGTCATCATTAAGTCAGTAAGAGCATGATCATGATCATGATCATCACCCCACTGCCTTTCCCCATGCCCCTGTTGGTGTTCCTGACGGTGTCCCTGTCGTCTCGGGTCCCTGTGTCCCTGCTGACGCACCAGCCAGCCACACACAGCCACACACAGCCAGCCACACACACAGCCATACACACAGCCATACATACACATAGCCACGCACACATATACTCTCTCTCTCTCTCTTTCTCTCTCTTCCTTCCCCCCCCCCCCCCCCATCCTCCCCCACCACCACACCCGCCACCACCACCACCAGCACCTCTCCACGTACATGCGGGTGGTCCTTCCGCCAGCGCTTGCGCTCTTGCGTAAGTCTTCCCCGTGCAATGCCTGAAGCCATGATCACTACAGGTCTTCTGTTGGTCCACTGTATCAGTACGAGTGCGGTGGGTGGCGGTGGCAGTGAGTGCGACTCGGTCCGGTGACGGGCCATGGAGCGACGACGACGAGACACTGACTCGCGCGGCGATGGTAGAGGGAGAAGGAAGAGGTGGGAGAAAAAGAAAAGGTTCAATTTCCCAAGCCTTGGTTGTGGTCGATGGGGACTACCTTAACTACTCGTCGGCGTCGTAGACGGAGACCTGCGGCATGTGGAAGTGATGGGCCTCATCCTGATCCATGACAAAGTGGAGAACACCCTTGCCGTGGACAACCTCGCAAGTGCCGGCCGAGCGCCAGAGGGCGGAGAGGAAGTCGCCAAATGAGTTGCCGCGCTGAACGTAGTACTTGCCGAGCGCCTCCTTGACGTACGGGGTGCCTCAAGGGCGTTGTAGAAGGGCATGGAGGAGAAGATGTGGTGGACGACGTGCGAGTCGGTGATGTGGTGGGTCTTGTAGTCAAGCCACGGGCCGAGAGTGCGGTCAACGGTAGCAACCGCGCCGCGGAGCCAGGTCCAGGTCTCGGCGTCATAGTGCGGGACGTCCGGGTCGGTGTGCTGGAGGAAGGTGATCGAAACGAGGAACATGTTGCAGATGGCAAGCGGGATGACGTAGGTGCGGACAACGAGGGCGGTGCCAAAGGCGTAGCAGGCCCAAACGATGGCGGCGGTCCAGACAAGGAGGCCGGCGTTGCCGAGCCAGATCTTCCACGAGTGGCGGCGCTTGACGAGCGGGGTGGCCGGGTCGTAGTGTGAGACGACGCCGTCCGCCGCCGGGCCTGAAGCGTTGACCGCGAGGTAGAGCGGCCAGCCAATGGTCTCCATGATGAGGACGTTGGTGAGGGTGTGGAAGAACGAAGGCGGGGAGATCGAGTCGACGGCCTTGACAGGTGCGCCGGCCGCCTCGAGGGCAACCACCTCGTCGTCGCGGAGGCGCGAGGGGACAAAGGGCTCATCCATGGTCAGATGGTTGGTGTAGTGGTGGTGCTTCGAGTGCGATGCCTGCCACGCGGCGTAAGGAACCATGAGCGCGGTATGGACGAGGTAGCCGACGGTATCGTTGACGATGGTGTAGTCAGAGAAGCCGCCATGGCCACACTCATGGGCGAGGACCCAGAGGCCGGTAAAGGTGGGGCCCTGGAAGGCCCAGTAGGCAGCATAGAGAGCCCAGAACGCAAGCGGGTTCTCCACCTTTTCAATGAGGAAGAGAGCCACCGCAAGAGCAAGGCCACCTTCCACAAGATCCACGCAGAGGTGGAACATGGAGCGGAGGAGCGAGCGCTGGAAGAGGTGCGGCGGGATGGCCCGCTTGAGGTCTCCCACCTTCAGCCCGTCCTTGGGAAGGACGGGCACGGGCTTCTGCGTCAGCGGCACCACACGAGGCGTTGCCATTTCTCAACTAAAGTGCAACAAGGAGTGCGAGGGAAGAGAGTTAACGAACTGTGTGTCCGTCAGAGGAGTGGTGCCGTCCTCTTACCCCCCCCCCCCCCCTCCCTCTCCTCGGACTTGTGTGGATGGCTGTCAAACGTTGCCGCAGGTGCCACGTCGCTGCGGATGAAACGAAATAGAGTGCTGAAAAAGAGGGCGAAATGGCGCGTAGAAGCCAGGAGGGACGTGGGTGACTGGGTTAGTTTCGGCAACCATGATTTTTGCCACGGTGTTGTTGCACAGATGAACTTGCACATCGATGAATCACGGAGAGGTAGGATCAATTGAAGTTGGGGGAGGGAGGGAGGAGGGGGAGGGGGCGGTGGGGGACTCTCGGAGCTCTGGTTGGATGCTAATCGAGTGGAGATCGTAGTGGGCGACGGGACATCGGCAACGTGGCTAACCGCGTTCTGGCAGACGCAAGACCGCTGAGATGCGGGTAGCGGGAGGTGGAAGCGGGCAGGGGCGGAGGGAGACAAAATCAAGAGCTTCATGGGGAGGGGGTAAGACCACAACTGCTTCACGCAGCCATGGCAGCGGTGAGGATGGCGGCAAAGTTGGGGGTGCCGAGGCCGGACGCCGGGTCCCAACCCTTGGTGGCCTCAAAGCCATACTTTGTGCCGTCGTCGTTCTTGCCCTGGGTGATGTCGTTAAAAGCCTCGGGATGGGCATAGAGGAACGGGTTGAGGAAGCCAAGCGGGCGCGAGCCAGCGTTGATGAGGTGGGCGTTGACGTTAGCGATGATACCGGCAAAGGTCGGAGAAGCAGCGCTGGTGCCGGAGACCGGCTCGCGGATGAGACCCATGACGACCTCAAAGTCGACACCGAGGGCGGAGACGTCCGGAAAGCCCGTGCCGTGCGAGTCGTAGTAAGCGACAGGCGGGAGATCGACACCCGACGCAAAGTAGGCGTGGATGGCGTCGACCTGCCACGGAGCCTCGGTCGCCGACGCAAAGTACTTGGACGGAGCAAAGCCGCCGCCGGACCAGTCAGTGCACGAGTTCTCGTCACCCGAGTCGGTCATCTGGGTGGCCCCGACGGCGGTGACCGCCGGCAGCGACGCAGGGTATGTGGGGTAGAAGATGCCGCCGGTCGGGTGGCCGCGCGAGTACACGCCGGTATCGCCGGCGGCCGCAATCTGGGTCACGCCGAGCGAGCCGAACTTCTGCAGCTCGGCGTTGTACTGCTGAGCCTCCGAAACCGAGATGGTCTCGATGGCCTCGCCGTAAGACATCGACCACACCAGCGGGATGTCGCTCGATGCGAGCACGTCCTGCGCCCACTTGACAAGGTTGAACGAGAGGCCGGACTGGAGCCACATCTCAGCCTCGACGCCCTGCGCGAGTGCCATGATGTACTGGATGTCGAGGTTGGCCTCAGTGTGGCCGAGCCCGTCGTTGGGACCCACCACCTTGGACACCTTTTGCTCGGCAAGCTTAAAGTCGCGCTGGAACCGGGTAAGGTCACGGGGCGAGAACGACTGATGCTCAAACTCGGCGCACGCCATCGTCAGGTTTGCCACCTTGGGCGCAGGCTCGGTCACGTTGTAGTGCTTGTACAGCAGCTGCGGCGTGACCTTGGGCGTGCCAAGGGACACTCCCGACTCGCGCCGCGACCGGCGCGCACCGAGCGTGACAGGGAACGAGGTCAGGCCGACGACGGCAGTGACCAGCGGCGCGACAGTCGTCGGCACCGTCACCGCCTCGAGCGTTCGCAGAATGCGCGCGTCCGAGTCGTCCGTGGCCCAGGTAAAAGCCTCGATCTTGGCGCCAAACAGAGTCTCGGCCTGAGCCACCGTCATGGTCGTCTCGAGCCAGTCGCCCGTTGCCGTCAGCCGCGGCTCGGCCCCGGCCTCGGCCATCCAGGCAGCAACAGCCTGCACATCAAGCTTGTCAGCAGCCACAGCAGCAATCAGCTCCTTCCGGCTCCAGAAGTTGCGGTAGTCGGGCGATGCCGGGTCACTGTCCATCTCGCGTGATGATGAGTGTAGGGGGGGAGGTGGTCTGGGGGAAGGGGGGGGGGGGGGGGGGTACGTACGACACAGCGAAGAACTTGGCGCGAAGGGCACGGCCACCATCAGGAGCACGGAGGCCGACCATGACAGTGATGCGTTCGGCCGGAGTGGGGCTGCCAGCTTGGAGCCACAGCTCGGGCGTCTGGGCCATGGAGGACCAGGTGGAGGAGGCGTCGGTGCGGGAGCACATGGCAATGCAAGTCCTGTCCTCGGCAGAGGCCGCAGTGGCAAGGGCAAGGGCCACACCAGCAATGAACACAAGTACCTTCATGGTAGTGGTGGGAAGGTAGGAGGGGAGTAAAGTGAGAATAAAGTGGTGAGCCTGCGGGGGGACGAGGTCGTGGTGGCTGTCATGTGACCCGTGACAGCGGCAAATTCCCGCCGTGTCTGGCAGGTGGGGGAGGGGGGGGGGGGGCTGATCACCTTCCTTGGCGGATGGGGGATGACGGCAGGGGAGGGGGGGGGGGGGGGGCGTGATCACCTTGGCGGAGGGGGATGACGGCACAGGTGGGGAGGGTGAAGGAGGGAGGGTGACGGGGGGGGGGGGGGGCCCTCCTCCTCTGACCGACACACTTGTTGAGCCCTCTCACCTGATACTCGCACCACCTCTCGAAGCAGTCCAGTTCGGGCAACCCACACTATCTCCTCTTCCTATCCTATGGCCGTCGCAAACGTCACCGTCGCAGTAGCCGAAGTCGAGGCCGACGACGCTGCCGCCTCGTTGCCTCAGACCCTGGCCAACTCGTGGCTCCGCCTCAACGTGGGCGGGCAGATCATCACCACGTCGCGGACAACGCTGACCATGGACGGCGAGTCGGTGCTGGCGAGGATGTTTGCACCGGACACTGAGGAACGATTTGAACATGCTCGTGACGAGTCGGGCGCCATTCTCATCGACCGCGATCCGCGCTACTTTCTCCCGCTGCTCAACTATCTCCGCACAAGCACTGTCATCATCGATCCCGGCACCGCGCGAGAGGGCGTGTACGAGGAGGCCGTGTTCTTTGGTGTCACCTCACTCGCGACTGCTCTGCATCCGTCCGCCCGCGCTGATCTCACCCGCAAGGACATCATCCTTCGCAGCGCCCCTTCCTACAAGGGCGTCTCCATCCGCGGCCTCGATCTTTCTGGCCTCGATCTGACCGATGTCGACTTTTCTGGCGTCGATGCCCGCAGCGCCTGCTTTGACGACGCACATCTTGCCCCGACATTCTTTCGCAACGCCGAGCTCGGTGGCTGCTCGTTCCGCACCGCGAAGCTGGAGCAGGCCTCGCTCGCCGAGGCTGTCGCCAATGAGGTGGACTTTACCGGTGCCACGATCAAGCGGGCTTACTTTCTGAGCGCCTCACTGCAGCACGCACTGTTTGATGAAGCCGATGTGAGTGGATGCAACTTTCAAAAGGCGATTCTCCGCGGCGCCTCGTTCTCCGGCGCCTCCTTGGTCGAATGCCGACTCCAGCGGTGCGATCTGCGCGACATTGACTTTACCACCACCACTCTCACTGGCTCTTCCTTCTCGTGCGCCGACATCCGCGGCGCCTCGTTTGATTGGGTCACCGTGGCACAAACCGCTAACGTCGAGTCGTCATTCCACTCGCTCTTTGACCGAGCTCGGGTGACTAGCGACCAGCTGGCGGCCATGCCGCTGAGTGACGAGGACAAAGCCGGACTCAACTTTCTTGTCGTCGCCGACAACGAGCAGTACCGGCCAGTCATCCCGACCGACGGCCAGTGAGCTGGCATTACATCAGTTTACAAAGAGCGATCTGGCGCGGCTCACAGCGTCCGCAGCCGAGCCTTGAGCTCGCGAAGCACAAACCGGACGTCATGGTTCATCATGGCACCCGCTTCGAGAATGTCATCGACAACAAGGCCGTCAACCGCCGGCGAGACCGAGAGGCTCGCTAGCTTGCGTGAGGTCTCGTCAAAGAACAGCGTGACAACCGGCCGGAACGACGGCGTGATCTCCATCTCCACCTCGAGGCTGTGCTCGCCAATGGCTAGCAGTGCCAGGCCGGTCACCAACTGGAGCTTCTCGAGCGCGTTCTCGTACCACGCCGCCATCGACGCTAGCTCGGTGGTAGGCGAGCCGTCGGCGCCAATGCCGCTGCCGCCAGGCACCGACGCCTGCAGTTCGGTGATCTCAGCCGTGGTCTCGGCCTTGACCGCATCCAGCCGCGCCATTTCGTCCTTCAGCGCCGCCGACGCGCCCTCCAGCTCCTCGGCTCGCATCTGCTCATCCGCCAGCCGCTGGCGCAGCGCCTCGACCTCCTCGGCGGGCGTCATGTCAGCGTACGGTCCGGCCAGCCCGGCAACCGGATGGGTGGCCACCGCTGCGGCCTCCTCGGCCTCCTCCAGCCGCTCCAGCAGCGCCGCAATGTCTGTCTCCAGCTGCGGCAGCGCTGCTGCCGTCTCGCTGTACTGCTTTGCGTAGGTGTAGGTCATCTCGGTCAGCGCGTCCTTCTGGGCCACAATGTCGGCCCTCAGCTCGCGGACTGACGCCTTGGTCTCCGCCAACTCCCCGTTGAGCTTGGTCAGCTCCTCACTCGTCCTCACTTCCATCGCCCGCTCGCTGCTGACCTCATCCAGGAACCCGCGCTTGGTCTCCAGCTCGATAAAGTTGAACTTGAGCTTGTTGAAGTGCTCCTTGGCCTGAGTGATCCGTGCTGCCACCTGATCAGCCGCCTCCACCTCTTCCATGGGATAGCACTCAAGCTTGTTGAGGTCCACACGCCCCAGCACCCTATTCCCACGAATACATGCAAAGCCATCCAGACCGTGTCATCCTCTTGCATTAGTTCATAACCCGTATCCACCCTCCTTCCCCTCCGTCCGGCCTCTTCCCCAGGCCATGTCGCACTCGCCGTCGTCTCGTTTTGGCGCCATCGAGCCGCCAACCTCCCCCCCCTCCCTGCCACCCTCCTTCCCGTGCCCCCCCCCACACAAGCCCGTTCAACCACAAGCCATGGAAAGTCTACAAACTTGTTAAACGTACTGTGCCTGGTCTTGAAGTGATGGAAGGTCCGGCTCATCCTGCTTCAACTGCTCACCGATGGACAGTCTGCGCCGCATGGTGGGTCGAGGGGCGAGTGCGGTGGCGCCAGCCAGCGGACCCTTCGCCACTCGCCTGCTCGCCGGCTCGCCGTACCGCCCGGCCAAGCGCCCGGCTCCATGACATGGCCATGGTAGTTTATACAGGCTATTGCAGGATCTTCATGCGTGGCGGGATCGCTTGGCCGGAGGCTCAGAGGTGGAAGGATCAGCTGCCGTATCCGACCGAGGCGCATCACCTGAGGATGCAGTCGCTGGCGTAGCCGCGGGCGCAGCCTCGGACGCCGTAGCGGGCGCGGCCCCGGATGCAGCCTCGGTCGTTGGTTGCTGGGCATCGGACGAGAGACTACGACGCCGCTTACGCGACAATGAAGTCTCATCGGCACGACTCTTCTTGACCTTGCCCTTACCCTTGGCCTTGCCCTTACCCTTGCCCTTACCCTTGCCCCTGCCCTTGCCCTTGTCACGGCTCTTGCCCTTGTCACGGCTCTTCTCCTTACGCTTGCCCTTACCCTTGCTCTGGGCCTTGCTCTTGCCCTTACCCTTACGCTTGCCTTTCCGCTTGTCCTTGCGCTTGTCCTTGCTCTTGCTCTTGCTCTTGCTCTTGCCGTCCGAGTAGCCATCGCCCGAGTACGGCGGATACGAGTAGTCCGAGTACGGCGGATACGAGTAGTCCGAGTACGGCGGGTACGAGTAGCCGTAGCTCGAGTACGGATACGAGTAGCCATAGCCGTAGCCCGAGTATGGATACGAGTAGCCATAGTCGGAGTAGTATGGCGAGTATGAGCCCGCGCCGGTGGCAACGCCGGTCATGCGAGCGACGTGGGCGACGGTGGCGGCATCAGGCCGCGGAACAGGCTTCGGCTTGGTCGCCAGCCACGCTTGGACATCGTCGGTGAGGCTGCCGAGGCCGATAGCGATGAAAAAGTTGACAGCGAACCGGGTGTGCTTGAGGTCGTCGCGCGGAAAGACGTTGACAAGGCTTTCGGCCACGTCCGGCTCGGCCAGCCGCGTCTTGAGCTCGGCAAGGCCCATGGTTTCGGAGAGCTCAATGAAGAGGAACTTGACAAAGATACGCGACGACGGGTTGGTGTCGAGTGCGGTGATGCGGACATGCTGGAGGACCGTCCACGAGAGTGCACGCGTCCGCAGCATGTGCGCAAACAGCTTGGCCACGTTGCGAATCCGGACAGTGTCCAGCTCGTGGATCGAGTCGTACGCCTTGCAGAACGCCGCGGCGAACGCATTGTGCAGCTCGGTCGAGACTTGACAGAGCTGCGCGCAAAGCAGGCCGTAGTACCGGTGGAACGTTCGCCTCTCCGCGCACGCTTCCACAAGCAGGCCGGCCACAAGCTCCTCGTCGCCGTGGATGCCGGCTTTCAGCAGCTTGTGCGCAGTCTCCTCGTGCGAGAGTGACGACATCACGATCATGTACAGCTCCTTTTTGCGCTGCTTCAGCTCGTCCTCGGTGTAGTCCTCGGTCCGGGTCTTGGTCCCACGCCCAAGCCCGAGCTGCGGCTTCTCCTCAGTCTGGCGCGCTCTGCCACCCGAGTACGAGTACGAGCCAGAGCCAGAGCCAGAGCCAGAGCCAGAGCCGCTTGAGCCCGAGCCCGAGCCCGACTCGGTGTAGCCGTGACCGAGAATGGCCCGGCGCAAGGCGACAAACCGGACTTTGTTCTCGGCGTACGCCGGGTCGTAAGCAAAGGTGTCGAGCTCGTGCTGTGGATCGGCGTCGTCGAGCAGCGAGAGCTCAATGTGCGGGATCTGGTCGTCCTCGTGGACAAAGTCAAGCTCCGAGTGTGGCCCAGTGAAGCGGAAGCCCCTGCGATGGATGCCCAGCACCTTTTCGACCTCTTTGCACGTCCGTGCCGACTGGATCGAGCCCTCCTGCAGCGCGTCGCGCAGTGTGTCCAGCAACGCCACCGTCGGCGCGCTGGCCACCTCCATCAGTCGCCCGCCGGCGGCGCAGAGCAGTCGGCTGGCGACTCCAAACCCAGCATCGCGCTCGGCATCAATAAGCATGGTGAGAACCTCGAGGAGGAGGAGCTCGCCGGCGACGCCCTGCAGGAACAGATGCGCAATGATGCCGCCGTAGGCTGCTGCAGGCCGGAACGACTTGCGCCCGAGCGCATGGTTGAAGCCTCCAGCAGCCCGGATGAGGACCAGCTCGCCCAGGGCAGGAATCTTTGAGTTGAGAATGGCCACAAGCGCTGCAGCCTTGGCCGCCGTCCCCAGTGATGCAGCCGGCGACGATGATCCGCCACCGTCGCCCAGCCCGCCTCGGGGCCCATGCCCGCGCCTACCCTGCGACCTCACACCGGCATGCACCAGCACCTCGGCCGCCACCACGCCGCGGAACTTGACAACATCAACCTTGGCCAGCAGCCGTGTTGCAGCCTCGGCCACTCCGCGCGATGGTCCGCGCAGCGCAGACTGGACCGTCTCGCGGACGAGCTGGCACATAGCGGCGTGCTCGGCCCGCTGTGCCGCCTCGTCGGCCGCCTTTTCAAGCCGCTTCGTGTCGACCAGACTCGGGGGCGGAAGAACTTTCTCCTCTTCGTTGCTTTTGTTGTTCTTGTCTGCTGCTCCTACCATTGCAGAGGTTGTCGCGGCTGTGGCGACCGACGCAGTTGTTGCCGCTGTCGCAGTCGCCTTCGTCTCCGGCTCTGTCTCCACCCCACCACCTGCAAGCATACCTGCAGATTCGGCTGGACTGCTACTGGCAGCACCCTGTGCAGCTCCGGCTGCGCCACTCGGTTCAGCCATGGGCCTTGAGGAGTTGGGTGGGAGAGTGGAGCACAGCCGTAAAGCCGGGAGAGGGCGGGGGGTGGGCGGACAACGAGTCGCCTTGGTGGGATCATGCCGGGCGGGGTGGGGGAGGCTGGTGGGCGATGGTTGGCCCGCAAGTAGGTATGTATGTGTTTGTGGATGGAGAGGGGCGGTAGGGGGGAGGGGGAGGGGGGAGGGGAGGAAAGGGGGACTGGCGTGAGCTAGTCCTCGGCCTCAGCCTCGGCCTCGGCCTCGATGACGTCGACGAGGGCCGAGATGGCGTCGGCCTCAAGGAACTCGATGGCACCACCGGGACGCATGACGCAGATATCAATATTCTTGCCCGAATCGACAATCTCGAGAAGGGCCTTGACGGCCAGCTTGATGACGTCCTCGTCGGCAGCGTCGGCGTCATAGTTCTTCTCGAGGTACTCGCGAACCGACTTGGACGAGCGGCCGGTGGCGGCGGCCTTCCATGCTGAGAACGCGCCCGATGGGTCGGTCTTGTACAGATGCGGCTCGTTGGTGACGAGGTCAAAGCCGACAATGAGGGTGGAGATGCCGAACGGGCGCATGCCACCACGCTGAGTGTACCGCTGCTGGACGCCGGCGACGTAGCGGGCGATGTACGGCACGGTAGCCGGAACCTCCATGTTGAGCTGGTACGACTGGCACTCGACCCGGGCCTTGTCGATCAGCACGCGTGCATCGGCCCGGAGGCCGGCAAAGGCCACGCAGATGTGGTCGTCGAGCTTGACGATCTTGCGCACCGTCCGCATGTCCTGCAGCTTAGCCGACGCCTTCTTCTCCACGCCCAACACCACCGCAGTCTTGCCACGCACTCCAACCTACAATCCCACAGTCTCCTTGCCCGGTGAATCTTCCTCTCCCTTCGATGGCACTCCCGCCTGCCACAGGCCCTTGGCCTGGCTCCGTGGCACCGCCGGTCGCCGTGGGGGCGGGGGGCACCACTGGCGCCACCTGCGCCTGCACCTGCACTACCCCACGCATCGCACCACCAGCCCGTCCACAACCAGCCAAGATCATCCTCTACCTGCTACACTGCCTACACTCTGCAGCAGAGTTCCACTCAGTCCACCCTACCCCGCTCCGTCCACCCTTCCATGCCGTCGACCTGTCGGCAATTTTTGGGTCGCCTTCGGCAGAGCCATGACGGTGGGACCGACACACACACAGACCCACACACAAGCACACACACTATCTCTCCACCTCCCCACTTATGGTCACATACTGCAGCAGTTCCCTGGCGCACAGCCTCACCAGCATACTCGACCTGAAACAGGTGGCCGTCCGGTGAGAACACCGTCAGCGCCCGATCGTACTTGGCCATGGTGGGTCTGGAGTCGGGTGGTGGGCCTGATCGGCTGTTCGGGCAGAGTGGCCCGAGTGCGGGAGGTGGGGTGGCACCGCTGGCCGGGGGAGGCCGGAAGCGAGGGTGCGGATGGGGGATGGGCATGGATGCAGACGCGGATGGCAGTATACGTTATTGGACGTGGGTGTAGGAGCCTAGATTGGGGATAATGCCTTGTCTGTGGCCTGATCGGCTGTTCGGGCAAGGGGACAGAGTGGGCGAGGTAGCCGGCTGGCCGGGGGAGGCCGGAAGCGAGGGAGCGGATGGGGGATGGGCATGGATGCAGACGCGGATGATTGTCGATCTCTATAGGTACACATCCAACTGTGCGCCGAGGCATGGATGCTTCGATGTCTAGCCCAGCCCCCTGATGTCCGAGTCGTCCCATCCCTGTCGCTGTGGCTGGACCATCTCTGATTAACCTCAAAAGCTGTATGGTCAAAAGGTAATGTAGTCTGATGATTGTCGATCTCTGTAGGTACACATCCAACTGTGCGCCGAGGCATGGATGCTTCGATGTCTAGCCCAGCCCCCTGATGTCCGAGTCGTCCCATCCCTGTCGCTGTGGCTGGACCATCTCTGATTAACCTCAAAAGCTGTATGGTCGATCCGATTCCAGAGTCTCTCTTCAACTCAGCTGCGCGCAAGTCGCCGTATCATCGACCGAACCGCTACACTACATCTCGATGACGGTCAAGTCGTGTGGTTGATCAGAACTCTCTAGCCAGGTAGCCAAGTCGCCTTGTCGTTGTCCGCCAATGATCAAGCGACAGTGTCGCTTGATCATTGGCGTGTCAGTACCGCCTTCCAAGCCTCCCCCCCCCCCCCCCACCCTCACAAGCAGACCACTCACCTCACTCTCACCATCCCCCCCGGACGTGTTCCATATATCTACATGAGCACACCGTCAAGCAGGGCTAGTGCCGTGTCGGCGGCCCGGGGTAAGGCCTTTGTGTTTGGAGGTGCGGCAAGTGGGTCGGGCGGGGCAACAACTTCGACGACGACGGCAGGAACAGCGAGTGCTGGTGTGGGAGATGGCAAGGCTGGGGCCAAGCCGGGCTCGGCATCTGGATCGGAAGAAGGATCGGGTGCTGCTGCCATCCAGCCGCCGACAGACATGACGCACGCACAGCAGAGGCTCTTTGAGCTGCGGCTGCAAACGAACGCATCGCGCGAAGCCAACCTGGCTGTTGTCGCCGCCGAGCAGGCTGGCGAGAGCGCGGTGACAACCGCGACCCGGTCTGCGCTGGAGGCGGCCAAGGCGGCCAAAGACGAGGCGCGGGCGGCGGCCAAGGCGTCGTCGACGTCGGAAAAGGTTCGAGCGATGCAGGCCAAGCTGTTGAACGATTCGGTCGATGCGGCGGCGTGGCGACGGAGCAAGTCATCGGCAGTCAAGGCGCTGGCGGCCAACGACAAGCGGGCGTCGCTCGCCGAAGACGCCGATCTTGCGGGCAACCAGGTCTACCGCCACTATGCTAAGCGTGGCGCGGCCAACTCGCTCTCGCTCGACGACTACCGCAGCAGGCACGGTCCGGCGTCGGCCGCCGCCGCTGCTGCCGATCCCGCCGGCATGTCGTCGTATGCAGACCCGGCACGGGTTGCAGCCATGCGCGCCGACCTCGCCAAGCAGGCTCAGCGCGCTGCCAAGAATCGCAAGCGCAAGCGCCGTGCCATTAATCCCGACGAGGACGTCGACTACGTCAACGCCAAGAACCGCAAGCTCAACAAGGATCTCGAGGCTGCGTACGGCAAGTACACCGAAGAGATCAAGCGCAACATTGAGCGCGGGACAGCGCTGTGAGAGCAGAACAAGTTTTATCAAACTCTACGGCGCAAGGACCTGTGCTACGAGCGACGGCGGGACCGGGCCGTACTCCTTAAAGGCAAGCGAAAAGGTGCCGTTGCCTTGGGTCAGTGAGCGGATGGCGGTCGAGTAGCCGGCGAGCGAGGCAAGTGGGACGGTGGCCCAGATCCGTTGCTGGCCGCCGGGCAGCGGCTGCATGCCGCTTACCTGGCCGCGCCGGAGCGGCGAGTTGAGGTCGGCAATGACCTGGCCGACGTAGTCCTCGCCAACATCGACCTCCATCTCCATCAGCGGCTCCATGACGCTGACGGCGTCGGCATGGGCGGCGAGGAGAGCCATCATAGCCTTGGAAATGCCAACGGCAATCACGCCCGCCGGGACGGCGGAAAAGTCGCCGTCGGCGGCCTCGATGCCGACCAGCTCGACGGCGTTGCCGGTGAGCGGGAGCGAGGCGACGATGCCACGCTGAAGCGCGAGCTCGAGGCCAGTCTCGACAGCCTCGCGCTGCTCGCGGTTGAGGCCGTCAAGCGCGCCGTCAGCCACTGTCCACGTCTCGACAGCATCAGCATCGGGCGCAAGTGCAGGGCCGACAGCCGAGACCGCGAGCTCGATGTTGAGCTGGTGGGCTGGCCCAGGAGCAGCGAGCGAGCCGGCCGAGAGCGGACCGGTCGAAAAGGTGTACGCCATGTGTGCATCAACCGAGAGATGCTCCTTGTATGCTACGCGCGGCTCCGAGATGGTGCATGAGACGCCGAGCTCGTCACGGAGCCGCGTCGCGATGTACTCGAGATGGAGCTCGCCCATGCCCGAGAGAATGGTCTCGCCGGTCTCTTCGTCGATCGAGACTGAGAGCGACGGGTCTTCGCGGGTCACCTGGGCGAGTGCCTTCTCCAGCTCAGGCTGGACCGCGAGCGACTCGGGCTCGACAGCGCAGAAGAAGACCGGCGGCGGCATGGAAACGCCAGCGAGGACGACCGGGTGCTTGTCGTTACCGGCCACCACAGTGTCGCCGGTGGCGGCGTCGCGGAGCCCGAGCGCAGCGCCCAGCGCGCCGGGCCCGATCTCCTTCACTTCCTCCATGTCGTCAGCATAGACCTTGTACAGCTTGGAGACCCGCTCCTTGACACCCTGCGTCGAGTTGAACAGCGTCGACGCCGAGCGGAGGACGCCCGAGTAGACCCGAAAGTAGACAACAGCGCCGCGCTGCGGAATGTGCGCAACCTTAAAGGCGAGGGCCGTCAGCGGCTCGCTCGCCTGTGGGGTGCGGGACACGGATTGGACGCCGCCACCGTCAGGATCAGACGCCCCGGACTTGGCCACAGGCTTGTGCTTGTGCTTGTGCTTGCGCACAGACGTGACGCCCCCGCCACGGCGCGAGACACGGACAGCCGAGACCGGGCCGACATCGACCGGCGACGGCATGTAGTCGACGATGGCGTCAAGCAGTGGTTGGACGCCCTTGTTCTTGAACGCCGAGCCGAGGAGGACGGGGACTGCTCGCCGGGATCGGGTGGCGCGCGCAAGCGCGTCGCGCACAAGATCGGGCTCTACGGCGCACGGCGCAGCCTCATAGTCAATGTCAGCCTCAAGGAGGGCATCAAGAAACGCGTCGTCGAGTCCGACAAGCTCATCGACCAGACCGAGGCGGGCGGCGGCCATGTCCGCAGATTCGCGGGCGCAGCCCGGAGTCACCTCCTCGCCCCACTCACCACCAAAGGTCAGCTCCTTCATGGAGACCAGGTCGCGGACGGCACGAAACTCGCGATGCATGTCGCCTGAGACGACCGGAGCGTGGACAGGCACGAAAGAAGCGTCCGAGCCGAGCCGCTCGCGGAGCGAGGCCACAGCGGCGCCAAAGTCGGCGCCCTCGCGATCCATCTTGTTGACAAAGACCACAGTGGGGATACCGTACTTTTCGCACTGTGCCCACACCCGCAGTGTCTGTGCCTGCACGCCGGACACAGCGTCGACAACCAGGACGGCGCCATCAAGCACACGGGCCGATCGCTCGACCTCGGCGGTAAAGTCGACGTGACCGGGCGTGTCGATGACGTTGATCTCATGTTCACGCCACGGAAGCGTGATGGCTGCGGCGTTAATGGTGATGCCGCGCGCCATTTCCTGCGGCAAGTAGTCCATGGTAGCGTTGCCGTCGTGGACCTCGCCCGGCCGACGGACCAGATTGGTGTAGAGCAGCATGCGCTCGACCACCGTAGTCTTGCCATGGTCGACATGGGCAAAGATGCCGACGTTGCGCATGCGTGCCCTGTCCCCATCGCCGCATCCAGGTTGTTTGAGTGAGTCTGTGATGTGATCAGGGGGGGAGGGGGAGGGGAATGCAGAGACAGAGGCAGAGAGAGACAGAGGGAGAGAGAGAGTCGCTCCTCCACACATACGCAGCATCATCCAGACTGCCACCCGACGAGGCCCACCGACGGGCCACCAGTGAGACCGAGAGAAGGCGGGCAGCCCGAGCGGGCATCCGCAGCATGGCAAAGGGGGTAGGTGGTACGGTGGGTGGGTGGGGTGGAGTAGCGGGGGGGGAAGAGGGGGGATGGGTGTGGGAGAGTGAGTCCGTGGTGGTCCCTGCCTGGCCTGCTCGTCTACAGTTGAGCACGCTGGCTGCCAAACCGGGCTCGAACCCGCAAGTGGGTAGCGGCCGGGCGAGGGGGGGGCAACCGTGTTGCTCACCAAGATATTGGGTGAGTTCGCTCGAAGCGGACTGCGGTGGGGCAGCCGTGTCAACGACAACGGGCAGGGTATTTGACTCTGGACTCAGAGAATCATAGTGGAGAGAAGCAGAGTACAAGCAGAACATGAACGTTGACGGATACGTGGCACGGGGAATGGTGGGGAGGCCCGTGGAGGATCCCTCGGTTCCTCAGCGGGTGCTGGTGGCCGGTGGCGCAGGCTTTATCGGCTCGCACCTGGCGCAGCGGCTGCTTGGGGAGGGCCACTTTGTTCGCGTCGCAGACGTTGTACCCAACGAGTACTTTGCGCCCGAGGAGTACTGCTCCGAGTTTGTGGAGGTATGTATGAGAGGGTAGGGGGAGGGGGGGGAGGGGGGCGAGGGGCAGGCCTGTACCCGTCCAGGTGGGCGGCGAGTGGCGGGCGGCTGGCGGCTCATGGCACGACTCACAAAGCTTCCACGCCCGACGCGATGGCACTGCCATCATGCCCAGGCCGATCTTCGCAAGGTTGAAGCTTGCCGCAAGGTGTGCGAGGGAATGGACTGGATCTTCTGCCTCGCGGCGGACATGGGCGGCATGGGCTTCATCCACTCGAACAACTCGGTCATTCTTTACAACTCGACCATGATCACTCTGTCGATGATCGAGGGCGCGCGGCAGGCCGGGGCCAAGCGGTTCTTCTTTGCCTCGTCAGCGTGCGTGTACAATGAGGCCAATCAGGAGGATCCCAACTCGGCCGATCTGACCGAGAACCTGGCCTGGCCAGCCAAGCCGCAGGACGGATACGGCCTGGAGAAGCTGTACGGCGAGGAGGTGTGTCTCTCGTACGGGCGCGACTTTAACATGGAGACCCGCATCGCTCGTTTTCACAACATCTACGGCGAGCGCGGAACATGGAAGGGCGGTCGCGAGAAGGTCCCGGCCGCATTTTGCCGCAAGGCCATCGCCTCGACGTCCACCTTTGAGATGTGGGGTGACGGGCTTCAGTCGCGCTCGTTCTGCCATGTTGACGACTGCGTCGAGGGCATCCTGCGCCTCTTCTACTCGCCCTTTGTCCTGCCCATCAACCTGGGCTCGTCCGAGATGGTCAACATGCGCCAGCTGGCGCAGCTCGTCATGTCGTTTGAGGGTAAGGACCTCGAGTTGGACCACATCCCCGGTCCCGAGGGCGTGCGCGGACGCAACTCGGACAACACTGTCATCAAGGCCGTCCTCGGGTGGGAGCCGCAGATCTCGCTTGCTGACGGCATGCGTCGCGCTTACAATTGGATCAAGGCTCAGATCGATGCCGAGATCGAGGCCAGCGGCGAACTCGACATTGAGACTCTTTATGCTACCTCGAGGGTCGTCGCCCAGCAGGAGCCCGAGGGCGACGAGTTTGCTGCCCGCGCCGAGTAGACCCCGTCTGTACCCCACACTTGCGCCATTGAATCAATGTAATTCTCTTGCTCCTATCGTCATCTGAGTTAGCAACTTCATTGTTTACGCGCGGATGGTTGACCGCGCATGTCCGCCCATGCCGCCGCCGCGGGCCGAATCGGCCTCAACATACCCGCGAAGGATCGGGGTGTCGGTGGCGATCATGTCGAGAACGACGTTACCGCGGTAGGTAAAGCGCTCGCCGTGCTTGCGCTCATAGTCAACAAGAACAGTGTTGAGGTGAGCGTTGAGCTTGAGCAGCTCCTTCCACAGCTTCTCGCGCTCCGCAGCTTCGCGCTCGAGCCGCGACGCGTCCGAGCCGCCGGTCCGCGACGACGACTGCACATACTTGTGGATGCACTCGAGACGGTACTTGATGAACTCGCGCCGTGTCACGTGCTGCATCAGCGGAAGTCGGTCCGTGAGACGGGCCGACTCGCGCTCGTAGAGGGCAAGCAGCTTGTCTGAGTCGTTGGCTGCAGCATGAACCCGGTTGAGGAACGCCGAGATCTCAGCCTGATCAGCCTCAAGAGCCTCCCACATCTTCTCGATCGACGACTTGAGCATCGAGAGCTTCTGCTGCTTCGAGACCGCTGACTTGAGGATCTTGGCCTGGCTCGCCGCCGCTGCCGTGCGCTGGCTCGCCGCTGCAGAGTGCATGGTCATGCGCGCCACTTCGGCTTCACGGACCTTGAGGTTCTCCAGCGCCTCCATCTCCTTGAACGACGCCTTGTCGCGGGCACGCGCCTCAACCTCACCGAGGTATCGCGCGTGCAGCTCCGAGATGACCCGCTCGTACTTGGCCTGCATGTGCGTCTGGTAGTCAAACTTCCACTTGGCAAACGAGATCTTGGCCTTGCGGAGGCGTGTCTGCCACTCGCGCTTGTCCGACTCCTGGTCGGTTGTCGACGCCGCCACTGCAGCCTCAAAGTGCGCGAGCTGGTCCTTGTACAAAGACTCGTACTGCACCAGCATGGCATCGTACTTGGCCTTGAGACGCTCTTCAAACGCCGCCGCAACCTCGGCGTTGCGCGCCTTGAGGTCCTCCATCGCTGATGACCACTCGGCCGCGTGCTTGGCGTCGGTTGTCGAGGCCTCCGTCGACAGCGCCTCGAGCTCCTTGTCCTTGGCTGCGAGCAGAGCTTCGTAGTGAAGCGAGAGCCGCTTTTCAAGCTGCGACTCGCGAAGTTCGTAGTCGTCCTTGAGGATGGCCGAGTACGCTTCCAGCTTCTGCTCGTAGAACGCCTTGACCGATGCCTCGGCCGCCGCTCGTGCCTCCTGCTTGGCGGTAAAGAGCTCCTGCTCGCGCCCCGCAGCCTTTTCCATGATCTCGGCATGCATCTCCTGCGCCTCCTCTTGAACCTTGGCCACAGTCTCTTGGTGCTCGTCAATGAGCGCCTCGTACTTGGAGTAGAGCGCCTTCTCGAACGAGAGCCGCGCCTCCTCCTCGGACGCTTCCAGAGACCGCAGCTTCTCGTCGCGCTCGTTGATCATTGCCCGGAGCGAGCCCTCCAGCTCGTCCTTGGCCGCAGCCGCGGACGTCCGCTGCTCCTCCAGGAGCACGAGGTACTTCTGCTCCAGCGCTTCCTCGCGCTTCGCTTGAGATGCGACCGTTGACGCCAGCTCGGTCCGCAGCGCCTTGAGCTGCTCCTGCAGCGCCGCCGTTGTCTCGCTCAGCGTCGATTCGGACGCCGCCGTCAGCTCGGCAAGCTCTTCAGCAGCCTTGGTCTTGACCGCAGCAATCCTGTCCTCGTACTCGCTCTGCAGCGCCGCGAGCGCAGCCTCATGCTCGTGCCGCGACGCGAGAAGCTTGGCTCCCGCCTCGGACGCCGCCGCAGACATCGCCTCACGATGCTCGCGCTTGAGGTCCAGAATGTTCTCGTTGAGCGTCTCAATCTTGGCTTCGTACTCGGCGCGCTGCGCCTCGACCGCCTGCTCAGCTGCAATTCGCGCCGCAGACATAGCCGACTTGAGCTCGAGCACCGCCGCCGCATGCTCAGCCCGAAGCTCCTCCATCGCTGCATCGGATGCATCCTTGGCCGCGGCCATATTGCGCCGCAGCCCAGCAGCAGCCTCCTCGTATGCCGCCTTGGTCTCGGCGAGCCGAACCTCGGCCGCGGCCTCAGCCTCCTCGGCCGCCACCGCTGCAGCCTTGAGCTCGGCATCCTTGGCCGCCACCGCGTCGGCCAGCTTCGCCTGCCACGTCGCCTTGAGGTCGTCAGCCGCCCACGCCGCTGCCTCCAGCTCGCCCTCCAGCTTGGCCACCAAAGCTGCTGACGCCTTTTCAGCCTTGGCCAGCCGCTCCTCAAACTTGGCGGCAAGCGCAGCTTCTGCGGCCGCACGCGCCTCCCGCGCCTCCTCTAGAGCGTTCTGGTGCGCGAGCGCGAGCTCTTCCTTGTCAGACGTGAGCTTCTCAATAGTAGCCACGTAGTTGGACGAGAGCTCGTCGTACTTGGCGGCAAGCGCAACCTCAAATGCCGCCCGCTCCTCAGCCATCTCCTGCTCGCGCTTCACCTTGTCTGCGAGCAGCGCAGCAAGCTCGGTCCGATGCGACTCGTCGGCGGCCTCGCGCTGAGCACGTGACTCCTCCTTGTGCTCCTTGAGCATGGCATTGAACTTGGTCCGCACCTCGTTCTCCGACGTCGCAAGGAGGTCTTCGTAGTATGACCGCAGCTTGTCCTCAAACGCGACGCGATCCTTGAGGTCGGCAACCCGCGCCGTCCGGTGCGACTCCTCCACCTGCTCAAGGATCTTGGCCTCAAACGCCGCCTGCTCCGCCGCATACGCTGCCTTGAGCTCGGCCTCCAGCTCGGCCTTCTCCCGCTCCATGGCCAGCGTCCGCTCGCGCTCCATAGTCGCAACCTCGTCCTTGTACGCCTCCATGGCGCGGTCGCGGGCCACAATAATCGCATTGAGCTCGTTCTTTGTCGCCGAAGCCTCGGCCGATGCTGCCGCCAGAGCATCCGAGAGCTCCTTGGCATGCGCCACGTTGAGCGACGAGAGAGCGCCTTGGTGCTCGGCATCGGCCTCGAGTGCCGCAGCCTTCACTGACGCAATTTGAGTGACCAGCGACTTGTTGGTTGCCTCCATCTCTTCCAGCTCGTCGCGGAGCTTCTGGAGCGTGGCACGAATCTCCTCCTCGTACTCGGCCTGCTGCTTCAGGAGCGCCTCCTTCTTGAGCAGCTCCTCCTCGGCCTGCGCCTCCAGGGCAGCCTGGACCTCTGCCGAGCGCTTGGCAGCCGCGGCCTCAACAGACTCGCGGTGCTTGGCCACCATGCTCTGGTAGTTCTCGTACATCTCCTTCTCCTTGGCCTCGAGCGCCGCCGTCCGCTGCACGTTGGCTGCGTCCTGGTCGGCAATGAGCTTCTCGTACTTGGTCCGCAGCGAGTTCTCGTACTCGAGCTTGTCAGCATCGAGCTCGGCCTCGCGGTTGCGGAGAGCAGCCGCATCCTCTTCGGCCTTGACTTCAAGCTCCTCGGCCCGCTCCTTGTACGACGCGTCGAGCGCTGCAGCCTCGGCCTCCAGCTCCGCAAGCTTGGCCTTGGTCATGGCGCGCATCTCCTCCATAAACGCCTTCTTGGACGCCTCGTTCTCACGCTCGCGCTCGCGCAGCTCGCGCATCTTGGCATCGTGCCGCTCGGTGAGCTCACGGTCAAAGGCGATCTTCTCGCGCTCAAACTCCTCCTTGAGCGCCTTGAGCTCGACCTCCTTGGCCTCGTACGAGCTCCGCAGCTCCGACTCGAGCTTCGCCTGCTCCTCATACAGCGAGTGCTCCTTGGCCGCAAGCTTGGCAGACTTCTCCTCAAAGTCCGCCAGAATCTTGGCCTTGAACGCCACCTTTTCGGCCTCGCGCTCGTCGTCGCGTTCCACAAGCGACTGGCGCAGCTCCTCGGTCTCGGTCAGAAGCCGAATCCGGAACTCATCCTCCTGAGCCTTGAGCTCGCTTGCCTTGGTCTCGTACATCGCAATCGACGCGTCCATGGCTGCCTTGCGCGCCTCGGCCTCAGCCTCGAGGTTAGCAGCGTGCTCAGCTGCGAGAGCCTCAAACTTTTCGTTGAGCGCAGTCTCGTACGTCGCAAGCTCAGCCTTCTGCGACTCGAGTGCAGCGGCGTCAGCATCCTTCAGCCGCTGGTACTGAGCACGAAGGTTGGCCTCAAACTCGGCCTTCTCCGCCTCGATGGCGTTCGCCCGAGCATTGAGCTCGGCAAGCCGCTCCTCGTGCTGGGCACGCAGCTGCGCCTCGGTGGCAGCCTTGGCCTCGTCCATCCGCGTCTTGGCATCGCGCAGCTGCTCCTCCTTGAGCTTGTAGCTCTGAATGAGAGCAAGCTCCTTCTCGTTGACCCGCTGCTCAATGGCGGCCTCGCGCTGCGCAACCTCGGCGAGCTTGGCTGCATGGGCCTCGTCGATGGCTGCCCGCAGCTCGGCAAGCTGCGCCTCGCGCGCCTCGTGCTGCCGCAGCAGCTCGGCCTGCATATCCTGATGGCGCTCCATGACTTCGCGCTCCATCGACTCCTTTTGCGCCAAGAGCTCCATCTGCTGCTCCTTGATCTGGTCGAGGAACTTGCGGTCAGTCTCGGACCGCTGCGCCATTTCGGACTTGACCTGCTCGCGGAACTCGCGGACCATGGTCTCGTAGTCGGCCTCGAGCTTCTCCTTGTACTTGTCCAGCTCGGCACGCCGGGCCACCAGCTCGAGTTCGTCTTCTTCGCGCTGCGCTTCAGCACGAGCGCGGACGCCATCTTCAAACTTGGCCTTCTCGGTCCGCATCTCCTGCTCGCGCTTGTGCAGCTCCTCGAGCTTGAGCGAGAACCGCGCCTCCAGATCGGCCTTAAACTTGGACTTGACCGCGTCGAGCTCGGCAGACTTGGCCTCAAACTGATCGTTAAGCTCACGACGAAGCTTGAGCATGTCCGCCTCGAGCGCCGCCTTGCGCTCGCGCAGCTCGCCTTCCAGCCGCTCCTTGTTGTTGTGCAACGTCGTCGCAAGCTCAATCTGCTGCTTGTTGAGCTCGTCTTCACGCTCGCGCAGCGACTCCTCGTACAGCGCACGCGTGGCCTCAACCTCGGCCTTGAGGTTTGCCTCAAACTCCTTGTTCGACTCGTCGTACTTGGCTCGGACCTCGGCCTCGATCTCGCGCTGCGCACGCTCGACAAAGATCTGGTACTCGCGTTCCCACGACGCGATCTGGTCGCGGAATTCAAATATCTGCCGGTCGCGCTCCGCAATCTCGGTCGAGAGCTGGATCTTAAGTTCAGACATTTTCTGGTGGTGATCGGCCTTCATCTCCTCCAGGTTCTTCTGGTGGACAAGCTCAGCCTCGAGGGCCAGTGCCTTGAGCCTGTCAATCTCATCGGAGAGCGCCGCCTCAACCTCGGTCAGCGTCACCAGCTGCTCCTTCATCGACATCATTGCTCGAGCCACATCCTCGCGAGCCTCGGCCTGGTCAGCCTCCAGCGCCTCACGTTTGGCAAGTTCGGCTGTTGCCACTGCCTCCATGGCGTCGCGGGTCGCGTTGGCCGCGTCACGAGCCGCGGCATCCGCCGTCGCCTTGGACTCCTCGATCATGGCCTGCACCCGCACAAACAGGTCGCGCTCGTATGCCTCCAGCTCAGCCTTGCGCTCCCGCAGCAGCGAGTTGTCCAGTTCGAGCGCCTTCTCGTACTGTGCACGGATCTGGCGCTCGTACTCGAGCTTCTGCGCCTCGAGGTTAGCCTCCAACGACTTGGCCTCCTCCATTTTGGCATCGTACTTGTCGCGGTACTGCGCCTCGTACTTGGCGCGGTCGCGCTCGAGCGCCAGCTCGGCTTCTGCCAGCGCCTGCTGCTTGTTCTGGTACTTTTGGACAAGATCGGCCTCAAACGCCTTCTTCTCGCCCTCCAGCTCCAGCGCACGGGCCTCCAGCTCAGCCGCACGGGCCTCCAGCCGCTCGCGAAGGGTTGCCTCCTGCTTGATGAGCGAGACCTCAAGGTCGTGCTCGCGCGCCTCGAGCGCCGCCAGCTTGTCGGCAAACTCGGCCCGGAGCTTGGCCTCGGTCGCCGTCTTCTCCTCGTGAAGGACAATCTCCTTCTCGCGAAGCTCGGCACACTTGGCATCGTACGATGCGCGGAGAGCACCCTCGTACTCCTTCTTGTCTGACTCAAAGACAGCCTCGCGGTCCTTGAGCTCGGCAAGCTCGCGCTCGTAGTGAGCCTCGAGCTCGGCACGGTACTCGGCGTTTTTGGCATCGTTTGCCTCAGACCGCTGGATGAGCTCGAGCTTGAGTGCATCGTACTTGTCCTGCAGTTGCCGCTCGAGCGTCGCCAGGTTGGCCTGCATCGCCTCCTGCTGGTCGTCGAGTGAGCGCATCGCCTCGCGGAGCTTGGCATCGCGGTCGGCCTGCTCGGCCTCCATGTCAGCACGATGGCCGGCAACCATCGACTGATACTTGTCAAAGAGCTCGTGCTCGTACGCGTCCAGCTCGGCCTTGCGCTCGCGGAGCTTGGCCTCGGCCGCAGCCTGGAGCTCCTCAAACTGGTCACGGAGTGAGGTCTCGTATGCAGACTTGGCCGACTCGAGCGCAAGCTCACGGTCCTTAAGGTCGGCAAGCTTCTCTTCGTACTTGCGGACAAGCATGAGCTTGAACTCCTGCTTCTCAACATCGCGCGCACGCTCAGTCTCGATAAGTTGCTCCTGGAGAGCCTGGTGCTTCTCGATCATCTCGCGCTCAAACTCGGAACGAGCGTTGATGAGCTCCATCTCGTCGGCCTCGCGACGTGCCTCCAGCCGCGACAGCAGCTCCATCTCACGCGAGTGAAGCTCGGCCTCAAGCGACTTGAGGAACGAGCGCTGGTTGTTCTGGTTCTCCTCCACAGACGCCAGCAGCGAGGTCTGGAACTCCTTCTCCTTGGCCTCAAACTGCGACCGAAGGTCATTCTCGATCTCGGTTTGTGCCCGCTCGAGCCAGAGCTGGTACTCGCGCTCCCACGTGGCATTCTGCTCGCGCAGCTCCATGATGGTTCGATCCCGCTTGGCGATCTCGCCGTTGAGCTCGTTTCGCGTCGCTGAGAGCTTCTCCTCAGCCTCGGTGAGCAGGTTCTCGCGGTCGGCCTGATGCTCGGCCTTGAGCGCAATGCCCGCCGAGCGCAGAAGCGCAATCTCCTCACGGAGCACCTTGTGCTCGGCCTCCATCGACTCGAGCTGGGAGACAAGCTCCGAGAGTGTCGTCTGCACCTTGGCCTCGTACTCGGCATGCTCCGACCGGAGCGTGTCGTGGATGCGCACCTTCTCGCGAGTCTGCGCTTCCAGCGTTGCTGCATGGTCGCGCAGCCGCGCACGGAGCTTGTCCTCGATCTCACGGTTGTGCTTGGCCATCAACTGATCCATCTCGTCGGCAAAGTCGAGCTCGCGTGCCTCGAGCTCACGCTTGAGACGAGCGACTTCGGCCATGTCAGCCTCGCGGGTCTTGAGCGCCTTTTCGCGGGTCTCGCGCTCGTGCGCCGCCTTGGCCGCGGCAAACGCCATCTCGCGCTCCGACGCCGTGTTGTCAAGCTCCTCCTCACGTGCACGGAACTCAGCCTCGAGCGCTGCCCGATCGTGCACCAGCTTCTCGCGATCCTTGCGAAGCTGCGCACGCTCTGTATCGAACCGGTCACGAAGCTCCTTTCCAGCGCACGCGCATCCGCCTCGAGCTGAGACTCGCGGACCTTGAACTCATCAAGCTCGGCATTGTACTTGTCACGAAGAGATTTTTCGTAGGCAAACTTGTCGGACTCGAGCTGCACCTCGTACTTGCGGAGCTCCTCGAGCTTGGCATCGTGGAGGGCACGCAGCTCGGCCTCCATCGTCGCACGTGACGCCTCAAGCTCGTGCTCCTTCACACGCAGCGACTCAAGCTTGGCATCAGACGCAGCACGGAGCTCATCCTCGTACGCCCGAGCCTTGGCGTCAAAAGCAGCTTCCTTCAGCTTGAGCTCCTCCATCTTGGTCAGGTACTGCTCTCGCAGTTCACCTTCAAGCTTTTCGATCCGCGACTGAGCCTCGACCTCGGCGAGCTTGAGCTCAGAGTTCTTTGACTCGTACTTGATCCGCAGCTCACGCTCATACGCCGCCTTGGACGATGCGAGCTCAACCTGTGCCTCAGAGACGGCTGCCAGACGCGCTTCGTGCTCGGCATCAAGCTGGAGCTTGTACTCGTTCATCTCGAGCTCCCGGTCACGGTCGCGGGCAAGAAGCTCGCTCTGAAGCTTCTCGTACTTGGCCAGCGACGCGCGCTCAAGCTCCGACTTGTGTGACATGAGCGCAAGCTCGCGGTCGGCAAGCTCGGCGAGCTGAGCCTTGAGCTCCTCAACCTGGGTCCGCGCCGCATCTGCCGCCTTGGCCTGCGCCTCTGCCAGTGAGTCGGCAAAGTCGGCGTGAAGCTTGCGCTCGTACGCCACCAGCTCGTCCTGAGCAGCCGCCAGCGAAGCCTGCGAGTCGGCGAGGGCCGACTCGTAGCGGGCACGGACCGAGGCCTCGTACGCATCCTTCTCGCGGACAAGCTGCGCCTCGCGGGCCTTGAGCTCGGCAAACTGCTCGTCATACTTGGCAACGAGTGCATCTTCGAACATCGACTTTTCCTTCTCAATCTTGAGCTCGCGTGCCTGGAACTCGTGAGCAAGTGCGTCGGCACGGCGACGGTAGGCCTCCTCGTGTTCGAGGCGGTCGGCGAGGAGCTGCGCCTCGCGATCCTGCAGCGCTGCGAGCGCCTTCTCGTACTGCGCATCGAGGAACTGCTTGTGGGAAAGCTTCTGTGCATCGCGCTCGCGCTCGCGTGCCTCTGCCGCTGCCGCCTGATCGGCAGCGGCGGCTAGCATCTCGTCTTCGATGTGCTTGCGGAGCTGAGCAACCTCAACGAGAAGAGCCTCGCGCTTCGAGTGCATGGCAGTGACAAGGTCCTTCTCGCGGGCGAGCAGCTCAGCCATGCGCGCGTTAAAGTAGTCATCATGCTGAGCCTGGACGGCAGCAAGCTGCGCCTCGTGCTCGCGAAGAAGCTCGTTGTGCATCTTCTCGTACTTGTCGCGAATCGAGATCTCCAGCTCGGCAGCCACCGAGTCGCGGATACGCGATGTCTGATTTGCTGCTGCTGAGAGCTCGTTCTTGAGTGCTACAATGCTTGCATTCTTGTTGGCAAGCTCGCGCGCAAGCTCGGCCTCGCGGGCCGCGAGCGTGTTGGCAGCCTTGGTCTCGGCACGCGCCACCGCCGCCACCGAAGACGTCTGCTCCTCCAGCAGCTGTGCCTTGAGCAACGCCATCTCGGCCAGCGACGACCGGTGTGCCTGCTCCATGGCATCGAGCTTGGATGTCAGATCGTTGAGTACACCCTGCATTGACCGCTCATACTCGAGCTGCTCAGCACGGGCAGAGTCACGCTTGGCAAGTTCGGCACGGGCCTGATCTGAGAGCGACGACGAGAGTGCGTCACGCCGGGCGTTGTACTCAGCCTCGAGGGCTGACTTACGTTGAGCGACCTGGTTCGCAACTTCAGCATCGACAGCGTCCATCTTGGCACGCAGCTGGCCCCGTAGCTTATCCGTCTCAGCCTGCAGTGCGCGCGCCCGCTCGTCAGCGGTCTGGCGGAGCTTGGCCTCGTAGTCGGCCTTGTCCTTGTCAAGCGCCGCAGCCTGAGCCTGAAGGTCGGCAAGCTGACCCTGGTACTTGTCAAAGAGCTCGCGCTCGTACGACTCGGCGCGGGCGAGAGCCTCGCGCGCCTTGGCGGCCTCATCAGCAGCCAGAGCATCAAACTTGGACCGAAGTGAAGCCTCGAGCTCGCGCTTGGCATCCGCCGTCTCGCGCTCGCGGGCGGCAAGCGCCGCTAGCTTGGCATCATACTTGGCCTCGAGCTCGGCTCGGAGGCGTTCCGACTGCTGCTCACGGAGACGAACCGACTCGAGGAGCGCTGTGTGCTTGGCCTCAAACGAGGCACGAAGCGCAGACTCCATGTCGGCCTTGGCATTCGCCACTTCAGCCGCAACCTTATTGCGGGACTCGGTGAGGTTCTCCAGCAGCTCGGCCTCACGGCGCGCTAGAGCAGCTTCGCGCGAGGCCAGCGCAGCCTCTTGGAGCTGGGTCGACTTTTGCACAGAGGCAAGCATCGCACGCTCAGTGTCCTTGGCCCGCGACTCGAGCGATGAGACGAGCGAAGCCCGGATCTCGGCAGCCTTGGCCTCGCGCCAGGCAGCAGACTCGGCGTCACGAGCGGCAGCGTCCTGCTGCAGCTGGACAATCCGCGACTCGCGCTCGGCAATTGCCGCGTGCAGCTCGTTGCGGGTAGCCGAGAGCTCACTGGCGGCGGCGGCATTGGCATCGGCCATCTTCGACTGCCATTCGGCATCGCGCTGAAGCTGGTACGCATTGAGCCGAGCAATTTCGGTAGTCAGCATCTGGTGCTGGTCCTCCATGGCCGCAAGCTGGTCGTTAAGCTTGGAGACAAAGCTCTGGATTTCAGCCACGTACGCCTCCTGTTGGCGGTTAAAGGCACGCTTCTTCTCCAGCGACGCACGCTCCTGGGCCTCAAACTCGGAACGAGAGGCGGTTGCTCGCGCCGCAGCCTCCTCATCAAGCTCGGTCTTGTGCGACTCGACCATGGCCTGGAACTTGGCGAACAGATCCTGCTCGACTTTTGCGCTGCGGCGCGCTGCGATCGCAGCTGGGCAGCAGCTTGAGCCTGCATCTGCTCGTACATCTCGCGTAGCTCCATCTCGTACGCCGACTTTTCCTGCTCAAGCGCAAGCTCGCGATCCGCAAGCGCCTGCACCTTGGCCTCGTACTTGGACCGGAGCGAGGCTTCAAAGTCAGCCTTGGCCCGAACAAGTGCCTTCTCGCGCTCAGCAAGCGCCGCCGTCCGCGCTGCAAACTTCTCCTCGAGCTGCGACTTGAACTGGAACTTTTCCTCGTCGAGCGCGCGAGAGCGACGGAGCGCCTCGTCCTGCAGCGCCTCCTGCTTGGCCAGCAGCTGCGCCTCGAGCGCCTCCTTCCGCTGGGCATACTCGGCCTCGAGCGCCTCACGCTGGCGCTGGAGCCGGTTCATGAGGTCCGACTCGCGAGTCGAGAGCGTCTGCTCGCGCTCGCGCAGGAACGACTCCTGCGAGCGGCGCGCAGCCTCTACATCCTCCAGCATGCGCATTTCGAGCTCCTTGTTGATGAGCTCGTACTTGGAACGGACGTCGGCCTCGATTTCGACCTGGGCACGATCAAGCCAAAGCTTGTACTCGCGGTCCATGGCGGCAATCTTCTCACGGAGCTCGACTAGCGCGCGGTCCTTCTCGGCGAGTGCCTCGTTCATCGAGTTGCGGACGTCCGACAGCTTGGCCTCGGACGACGCCAGCAGCGCTGCAGTCGCCTTCTGGTGCTCAGCCTTGAGCTGGAGCTCGGTCGAGCGAGCCGAAGAAAGCTGTGCAGAGAGCTCTGCGTTCTGCGACTCCAGCTCGGCGAGCTGGTCGTGGATCGACTTGAGGAATGCCTCCATCTGGTTCTGGTACGCCTCCTGCGACTTGATAAAGGCATCCGCTTTTGCACCTCTTCGACAGCAAACGACTCAAAGGTCGCCCGTGACTCCTGGGCCCGCTCCGCCACAGTGGCGTCAGCAGCAGCCTTGTACTCCTCAAGCATCGAAGTGAAACGCGCAAAGAGGTCCGACTCGTACGCCTCCAGCTCCTCGCGCTTGGCCGACAGACGTGCTGTCGACTCCGCCTGCAGAGCCTCAAACTGACCACGGAGCTTGTTCTTGTACTCAGCGGCGTCGGCATCCAGCGTCCTCTGGTGCTCCTGCAGCTCAGCAAGCCTGCTCTCGTAGCGAGCCTCAAGATCCTCCTTGTACGCCAGCTTCTCAGCTTCGCGCTCGCGTTCGCGAGCGGCAAGCTCAGCCTCCTGCTGCTCAAACTGCGCCATGAGTGTCCGCTCCATACCGAGCCTGCGCTCGTCCAGCTCCTCGGCCGACGCCGCGCGAGCCGCCGCAATCTTGTCGAGGGCTTCCTTCTCGCGAGCGAGAAGCGCAGCCTCGCGCTCGCGGAGGTGCGCCTCCTTAGAACGGCGGGCAGCGTCGACTTCAGCATGCAGCTTCTCGCCGAGCTCCTTGTTCATGGCCTGGAACCGGTCCATCATCTCGACCTCGAGCTCGGCCTTGGCCCGCTCGACGAGCAGCGCGTACTCGCGCTCCCACAGCGCAACCTGCTCCTTGAGCTCCAAAATGGTCCGATCACGAGCGGCAAGCTCCTTGTTCGACTCCATGCGGAGCGACGAGAGGGTGTTCTCGGCAGCGGAGCGGAGCTCCTCCTCACGGCGGGTCTGCACAGCATCCGACTCGAGCAGCCGAGTCCGGAGCATGGCAATTTCCTTGCGGAGCGTCTTGTTTGTCTCAGACATCTCCTTGGTCTGCAGGTGAAGGTGCGCGAGGAAAGACTCCATCTCCTGCTTGTAAGCTTCCTGCTCGCGGAGAAGCGCGTCTTGTTGGGCCATTTCGGCAGCAGCGTGCTCCTCGAGCTGAGCACGGGCTGCCTGGGTCCGAGCGTACGCCTCGTCGGAGGACTGCGACCGGAAGTGGTCGACCATCGACTTGAACTTATCATGCAGTTGCTTCTCATAGTCGGCGAGCTTGTCTTGCCGCTCGCGGGCGCGGTCAAGCTCTTCCTGTGAAATGGCCTCGTACTGCGAGCGGAGCGAGGCCTCAAACGCATCCTTCTCGGCACGAACGCGCTCCTCAAGCTCGCGAAGTTCGCGCATCCGGGTCTGGTACTTGGTCTCCAGCGTCTCCTTATAGCGAGTGAGGTCGTCCTCGCGGGCGCGCTCAGCCTCGGCGTTGGATGCCATGAGCTCGTCGCGCGAGCGAATGAACTCGGCCATAAGTTCCTCGCGCTTACCAGCGAGCTCGCGCTCCTGCGCCTCGCGGGCAGCCTGGAGCCGCTCGAGCATTTCGGTCTCGCGGGCGGCGAGTGAGTCCTCGCGCTCCTTGAGAATCGAGGCCTGCAGTGCCCGAGACTTTTCGGCCTCGGACTTGAGCTGGGTCGAGAGCTCCTTGTTGAGTGCGTCGTACTTGGAGAGGACGCCGGCTTCGATCTCGCCCTGGGCGCGCTCGAGCCAGACTTGGTACTCGCGCTCCCAGGCGGCGAGCTGGCCCTGGAGGTCGATGATGGCGCGGTCGCGCTCAGAGATCTGAGCGGTGAGCTGCGAACGGAGCTCCGACAGCTGAGCGGCATGCGAGGTAGCGGCTTCGTCCTCCTTGCGGGCGGCGGCAGCCGCAGCCTCGAGTGCCTGAGTGCGGAGCAGCGAGTTCTCCGCAGCAAGCGACGCGTGCTTGGCCTCCATGGCCTCGATGTGCTCATGCATGCGCTTGAGGAACGCCTCCATCTCCATCTTGTACTCCTCCTGCTGGAAGAGGAATCGGTCCTTGGCCTGGATGTCGGCCGAGGCCTGCTCTTGGAGTGCAATGCGGGTCTCGACGGCGCGGTTGGCAAGCTCAGACTCAAGGTGAGCGTTGTGCTGATCAACCATGGCGGTGAAGCGCGCGTTGAGATCGGCCTCGTACGAGGCGAGCTCGCGCTTGTGGGCCTCGAGCTTTTTGGCGTCGGACTCTTGGACCGACTCGTACTGGGCGAGCAGGTGCGACTTAAACTCGTCCTTCTCGCGGTCGAGGGCGGCAGCCTTGGCGCGAAGCTCCTCCATCTTCTTGGCCACCTTCGATTCGAGCTCGAGCTTGGCCGAGAGGAGCTCGGCCTGGAGGTCAGCCTCCTTCTGCAGGTACGTGGCGTTGAGCTCCTCGTGTTTGGCAAGGAGATCTGCCTCCATGGCTCTGCGCTTGGCCTCGAGCTGAGTCTCGAGCCTGTCGCGGGTGAGCGCCATGCCAGTGATGACGTCACGTTCCTTCTGGTCGAGGGTGACCTCGCGATCGTCGAGGGCAGCGGCGGCGCGCTTGATCGACTCATCTTGAAGCGCGCGAAGCTGGGCCTCGAGGTCCTTGGAACGGGCCTCGTACTTTTCGCGGAGCGAGGCCTCGAGCTCGACGCGAGCGCGGGCGAGTGCCGACGACGCCTCGCGGTCCTTGGCAGCGAGCTGCGAGCGGAGGCTGACAATCTCGGCATCGCGAGCAGTTACCTCGGCGTTAGCAGTGTCCTGGCATGCCGAGACGCGAGCCGACCACTCGTCGACAAGCGAGCGGGCGGTGTCGGCGGCGGCCGCCTGGGCCTCAAGCAGCTGGGCACGGAGCGAGGCGACTTGGAGCGACGACTGACGGCGGGCCTCCTCCACAGCAAGAAGCTGCCGACGGAGGCCCTCAAGGAACTCGTTCATCTGCGATTCGTACGCAGTGCGCTCAGCGGCCATGTCGGCAAGGACACTGGCGTCCGACGACGCAATCTTGGCGAGGTCATCGGCGTTTTCGCGGAGCCGCACCGAGGTCTCCTTAGCAACTGCCGACTTGTGCGACTCAAGCAGGGCCTTAAAGCGTGCGGTCTGCTGGGCCTCGAGCTCATCGAGGGTAGCCGCGCGCTCCTCAAGCGCCTTGGCGTCGAGCTCAAACTCGGCCGCATACTGGGCACGGATCTGAGCCTCGTACTCCTTCTTGTCCTGAACGAACCGTGCCTGAAGCGACTGCAGCTGTTCGAGGCGGGTCTGGTAGGAGTTGTCGAGGGCGGCGCGGTAGTCGGCGAGCTGAGCCTCACGCTCGCGCTCGCGGGCAGCATACTGCGCCTCGACATCCTGAAGCTGGGCGGTGAGTGCACGCTCGCGTGCCATGTACTCGCGCTCACGAGCGTCCATGGCGGCCTTGTGCTCGGCGGCGGCGGCAAGGAACTTGGCCTGCATCTCCCGCTCGTAGTCGGAGAGCTCATCCTTCTTGGAGGCGAGGAAAGCCGAGTCGGCAGCGAGTTCAGCCTGGTACTGCTCACGGAGCGACGCCTCGTAGGCGAGGCGGTCCTGAGCCATTGATGCTTGTGCGGCCTGAAGCGCCTCGAGCTTCTTCTGGTACGCCAGGTTGAGCTCTGACTTGTAGTTCTGGTACTCGAGCTCGCGCGCCCGGTCGCGGTCGATGAGCTGGGCTTGGGCGGCATGAACCTGCTCCATCAGGTCGCGCTCGCGCGAAGCAAGAGCAGCCTCGCGCTCGAGAATGTAAGCCTCATGCTTGGCGCGGGTCTCAGCGACGTCATCGCGAAGGGCGCGCTCGTAAGCCGAGAGCTCGTCGCGCTGCTTGGCAACGGCCTCGGACTTGGAGGCCAGCGAGCGGTCGAGAGCGGCGCGGGCCTTGGCCTCGAACGCCTCGCGCTCGTCCTGTAGCTCGCGCTCACGGCGGTCGAGGGCAGCGGCGCGGGAGCGGTAGTTGGCATCGCAAGTGGCCTTGTACTCGCGCTTGTCAGCCTCGAGAGCGGCGATCCGCTCGTCCATCTCGAGCATAGCGATGCGAAGACGCTCGTCGGCCTCCTTCTCCTTGCGAGCGAGTGCGCGCTCACGGTCGTGGAGCTGGGCCTTGAGCGCGTCAAGCGCGTTGCGGTTGGCCTCGCGGAGCTGGGCCTCGTAGTCCTCAAGCTCGGACTTTTTCTCTTGGAGGAAGGCAACGTCAAGCTGGAGCTCCTGGGCGTACTGGTCGCGGAGCGAGGCTTCGTAGCCTGCCTTTTCGTCGCGGAGCGAGGCTTCCAGCCGCTGAAGCGAAGCGAGCTTGCGCTGGTAGGTCGCGTCGAGCTCGGCCTTGTAGGCAGACTTTTCCTCGTCGCGGGCGGCATCGCGCGAGGCAGCCTCTTCGAGCAGCTGGTTCTGGAACTCGCGCATCTGCTTGGCGAGCTCCTTCTCGCGGGCGTCGAGGGCGGCCATGCGGTCAGCAACCTGGGCCTTGGCCTGGGCCATGAGCTTGGCGTTGAGCTCCTGCTGGGTCTTCTCGTGCTCGGTGAGCTCGTCCTTGCGCGAATCAAAGGCGGCGCGCTCGAGGGCGAGGTCGGCCTCAAATTGGGCGCGCAGCTCAGCCTGGTAGCGGGCACGGTCATCGGCCATGCGAGCCTTCTCGGCCTGGAGCGCCTCGTAGCGACGCTGGTACGACTTGTCGACTTGAGCGCGATAGTTGGCCATTTCTTGCTCACGGGTATGGTCGCGGGTGGAGGACTCGGACTGTGCGGCGGCGAGCTGGTCGAGCAGCTGGGTCTCGCGCATGCGGAAGAAGTGCTCGCGGTCGGCGAGCTGCTTCTTGTGACCGGCAATGAGTGTCTGGAACCGCGACTGGAGGTCGTTTTCGTACGTTGAGAGCTCCGAGGCCTTGGACGCCAGGTTGGCGCGCTCAAGCTCAAGCTCCTGCTGGAGACGCTCCTCGATTTGAGCCTCATAGCGGGAGCGCTCAGCGCGGAGCTGGGCCTCCGAGTCGTTGAGGGCCTGGAGGCGGGCCTGGAGCTGGCGTTCGAGGCGGGCCTTGAGGTCGTTCACCTCAGCATTGCGGGCGGCCTCGCGAGCGTTAAACTGCGACTCGAGCTCGTCCTTGGCGTCGGCCACCTCGTGGCGGAGCGCAGCCTCGCGCTCACGGAACGCGGCCTCGCGCGCGGCGAGCGTTTCCTTGTGCTGAGCGAGGACGCGCTCGAACCGAGCCTGCTGCTCCTTCTCGTAGTCCTCGAGCTCGGCGCGCTTCGAGTTGAGGAAGGCTGCGTCAACAGCGAGCTCCTGCTCGTACTGGTCGTGAAGCTGCTTCTCGTACTTGACCTTTTCGGCACGGAGATCCGACTCGAGCTGGCGGAGAGCCGCAACCTTGCGCTGGTAGGCAGCGTCGAGCTCAGACTTGAACGAAGCCTTTTCCTGCTCACGGGCATCGTCGCGGGCGGCAGCCTCCTGCTCGATGGCAGCAGCGCGAGCGGCAAGGTCCTGCTCCTTGCGGTCAACGGCAGCCTGGCGGGTGCGGAGGTAGTCCTCCTTACGAGCGAGCGAAGCGAGGAGGCGGTCATGCTGGTCCTTGTGGAACGCGTCGAGCTGTGCCTTCTTGGACTCGAGCAGCTGGATATCGTTGTCGAGCTCCTCGCGGTACTGTGCCTTGAGCGCGCGCTCAAAGTTGAGCTTGTCCTCTTGAAGGGCAAGCTCGAGCTTCTTCAGCTCCTGGGCCTTGTTGCGGGCGGCCTCCTCCAGCTCGCGCTTGGCGGCGTTGAGCTCAACGTCGCGCTGGTGGTCGCGGGCCAGGAACTCGTCCTGGAGCGAGGCCTCGAGGGCGTGAACGCGCGAGAGAAGATCCTTCTCCTTGGCAAGGTATGCCTGCTCGCGGGCAAACGACTCGGAGCGGAGACGCTCGTTGAACGAGGCGACGGCTTCGTCGAGGGCGGCGCGTTCGGCGGCGAGGGCGGCGCGGGCCGTGTTGACCTCGTCGGCCGCCGCGTCCTTGGCGGCGTGGACCTTGGCACGGGTGGCGTCATCAAGCGCGGCCTGGCGGGCAACAAGCTGGGCCTGGGCCTCGCGGAGCGCGTCGGCCTTGGCAGCGTACTCGGCCTCGAGTGATGCCTTGGCGTCAAAGTAGGCACGAAGGCGGTCCTGCTCTGCGGCATCAGCCTCGGCACGGAGCTGCGAGAGCTGAGCGGCGAGGTCCTGCTCGCGGCGGAGAGCTTGGGCCTGCGACTCGCGAATGAACTCGTCCTTGGCCTGGAGCGAGCCCTGCATGGCAGCGCGAACCTTGTCGGCCATTTCTGCCTCGATGGTGGCGCGGAGCTGCGACTCGAGTTGGGCAGCCTGGGCGTCCATGCGAGCCATACGAGAGCGGAGTGCTGACTCGCGGGCGTCCAGCTCGCGCTGCTGGGCGGCGAGGAGGGTGGCGACCTCGGCCTCACGAGCGCGGTCGCGGGCGATGAGATCGTCCTCAAGACGCTTGACCGAGGCAAGAAGCTCCTCGCGCTGCTTGGCAAAGCGAGCCTCGCGCTCGGCGAGGTACGCCTCTTGCGACTTGGCCGAGTCCTGGGTGTAGGCGAGAATGCGAGCAGCATACTCGGCCTCGTAGGCCTCGCGGAGCTCAGACTCAAACTGGACCTTGGCGTTCTCTAGCTCGGCCTCCTTGGAGCGGAGGTCGCGGAGCTTGCTGTCGAGCTGGCCCTGGAGCGAGGAGCGGTACTGGGCGAGCTCCAGCTCACGCTGGCGCTCGCGAGCCTGCAGCTCGTCCATGATCGAGGCAAGCTTGGCTTGGAGGGCCGACTCGCGGGCGTTAGCCTCGGCTTCTTTGTCAGCCAGGAACCGCTCCTGGGCAGCGATGAGCGACGAGGTCTCGCCCTCGACCGATGCGGCAAAGGCGGCCTCGTACTCCCTGCGGAGCTCGTACTCAAAGTTGACTTTGGCTTGCTCAAGCTCCGCCTCGCGGGCCGAGAGCGCTTGGACCTTGGAGTGGTATGCGTCTTCGAGCTCCTTCTGGAAGTGCCATTTTTCGGCCTCGCGGTCGCGGTCGCGGGCGAGCAGCTCCTCCTTGGCGGTCTGCATCTTGGAGTACAGCTCGGCCTCGAGCTTGGAGAGCGCAATCTGTGCCGAAGCAAGGTCGGCCGGAGGGGCCGAGGCCGAGAGCAGCGCGTTGGTAAGCGACTTGGTCGACGCGAGCCGACGAGCGTTGAGCTCGGAAATGTCGGTCTCGAGCGCCGAGAGTCGGGCAGTAAAGCCCGGGTCTACGGCAGTATGGGACATGCCGGGATCAGCGTCAATGTGCGGGGGCGCTGAGGTGAGGGCAAGCGGTGTGAAGCCCTGAGCGTTGATGGCGTCGGTGTTGGCGCCTGCGGAAATGAGGAGATCAGCGACAGAGGTGTGGTCGTTGATACACGCGCAGTGGAGCGGCGTCCAGTCCTTGGCGTTGGTGGCGTTGGGAGATGCGCCTGCAGTTAGGAGCGCCTTAACAGTCGAAGTGTGACCTGAGAAGGCAGCCCAGTGGAGAGGGGTGTTGCCAAAGGCGTCAGGCGTCGAGGGGGAGGAACCCTGGTTCAGTAGTTTCCTGTCGCCGTCACCCGTGTCCGGTCGTTGTCCGACAGGCCCAAGTTGACCAAGTGTAGTGTGTGTGGTGCCCGTGCGGAGGGAGAGGCGAGATGTGTGTGTAAGCGTGGGTGAGTAGCAATATCTGTGCAGGGTAGCCGGCAGGAGAAGCCAATGAGGAGCACGGGGGCAGCGGGGAATGCCCGGCGTCGTGTGCGGGAATACCAAAGGAGCCGAGTGGAAAATCTACGAATTTGGCGCGAAAAATGCGTGTGCCAGGGCGGAGCTCGACTGCGACCAGAAAGTGGTGTGGCGAGGACATAAAGAGCTTCAGCTGCTTGTCGGACGTTGACCGGTAAAGCATAGAAGGCTAGCTGTGTAGGGGTGCGGGAGAAGCTCGTCAGAAACCTGGTATAAAGCATGCCAGTGCCGGCGCAGGGGGCGAGTGTGGGGGGCGTGGCGCGATTTTGGCGCCAATCGCCGCGCGACAGGGCTGGCGGGGGAAGGGAGGGGAAGGGAGGGGGAAGGTGGTCATACCTTACGAGGTGTGTGTCTCCGTCTGATGCAGCAGCGTGCAGGCTCATGCACCAGGAAGGGAAGGGTACAAGAGGTGGTGAGCCAACGGAGAGGAGTGGAGGTGTTATGTTGTGTGTGGGGCAGGGTGACGGGTAGCTTGGGAGGGAGGGGGGGGCGGCGGAGTTTGTTGGCCACTCGCCAGGGCGGGCGAAAAGGGGGAGAACAACTGTTGAACACCAGGTACACGATGCATGTTGCTTCAGTTTATCCTGGGCAAGTCCTGGTCTAGTCGATCCAGCAATGGGTAGCCTGGTCCGGACACGAGGGGTAGAGCTGCAGCCGCGGGTCGTCGAGGAGGTCATTGCGGACACAGACGCAGCGCTTGGAGCCTGAGACCTTGTCGTAGAACTGGCGAATGACGCCGACGTAGTCGCGATTGATGCCGCCGGACATGTTCTCGCACCAAATCTCGCCCTTTTGGCCGGCGGAGCGGCGGATGTTGCAGCCGGGGAAACGGGTGCGCAGGTCCTGCTCGGCAGCCTTGGCGGCAGCGGCGCGGGCGACGGCAGCGGCGACGTCGTGGGTCAAGGCTGGGGTTGGCATGCCAGTGGCCGTGTAAAACGCACCCTCCACCACACCGACGCGGACATACTGGCGCTCGTAGGTGTCGAGCCACTCGGCAATGCCCATGATGTCATCGTCGGAGAGGCCGGTGAGGTCATCGGTGAGACCAGCGGTGGTAAAGTCGCCTGTGACAAAGGCAGCCGAGCCATCGCGGCCGGTGAAAAACGAGTACGCGCCATCCTTAGCGTAGTGGCGAGCGCCGGTAGAGACGTCGTAGACCCGGCCCAGGATGCCCAGCAGGAGCGGGGCGTCGGGATCCGAGCCGTCGCCGGCCGCGAGCTCGGCCTGCGAAAAGACCCGGACTGCAGGATCGGCATCGGCGCCGACAGAGAGTGGCGACGGGGTAGGCGAGTCCGGGCGGCTCGGTGACGGAGACGGGCCGGACGACGACTTGAACGTCAGTGCCAACGCTGTGGCTGCCAGAATAATAACCAGGCATGAGAGGTAGGTGACGAGTTTGCGCCCAGCTGCCCGCTTCTTGCGCAGGCGCTCGGCGAGCTCGGCCTTACGGGCGGCTGCAGCTTCAGGAAGCGCCTCATCGTCCTGCTTGCGGAGGGGCGGCTGCGACGATGCAGCTTTGCCGCGGCGGGCCCGGACGCTAGACGAGGTATTTGTTCCCGTCATGTGGAGGTCAAGTGGTGTCTGTCCACGGCTGGAGGTTTGGTTTGGAGAGTGGGGACGGCTGACGAGAGCTTTGGCAGGTGCCGGGAGGCAGAGACGGACGCCCAGCCATCCCAGGGCCCGGCAGTCATCAACTGAAGGGGCGGTATCGGTTTGGCCGTATGCTTGCACCGTAGCCTTGATGCGCATGCTGGTGAGAGTATTTTGCTGCTACTCGGTGTGGACGGCCAAACGGGTGGCGGGCACAGCGGGCGGGTGGTCGGCCAGCAGTCGCGTCGGTCCCGACTCGCTGACTTGTCGACGGTCAACTGCTGGCGCGGGCAGGCAGACTTGTCTTCTTGGCCCAACATGGACGAGGCGTTCACGTTCCAGATCCTCACAGATGACGAGATCCTGGCATGCACCGACGAGCTGTCAATTCCTCTGACGCTGGAGAACCTCAAGCGGCCCAACATGGCAGCCATGACACCGGTGTACGAGCGGTTTGTCATGTTGCTCATGGGCGAGCCGTCGGAGCCGCACCCGGCGGCCGAGGAGATTGCCGCAGAGCTGTTCGACCACCCGGAGCTCTACGAGCATGCCATCTGCCGCGGCGAGCTTCGCAAGCGACTGTACGTTGTGTGCCGCGGATGCTGGGTGGGGAATGGGCGCGGGGGTGAGGCTAGGGTGGGGGGGGGGGGGGGGGGGAGGAGGGGGGTGACGGTGGAGGGTGCAAGAACGATGGCGCGCGCGAAAGCCCAAAATTTCAAATTCAAGTCAGGCGAGCGAGGGAGGCGGCGCAAACTCACGGAGCAACTGATGGCGTACGGTGCCATGATGTGACAGGATCAAGCTTATGAACGCGTGCGGAGTGGACGACTTTTCGCTGGCGGACGTCATCAAGCCGCTCTACAAGCGGACGCGCAAGAACCTGTCGGGACTGATCAACTTTGCCAAGTTCCGCGAGGACCAGCTGCCTGTGTACCAGAAGCACGCCGACGCGGCCGAGGCGCGGCTGGCGGAGCTCGACCAGGTTCGCGATGAGGAGGATGCTGCGCGTGAAGAGCTTGCCATGCTCGAGGAGGAGCAGGCGGCAAAGGAGCCGATGCTGGAGGCGCTGCGTGAGGAGAACAAGGCTGTTGTCGCTGAGCTCCACGCCAAGTACGCCGAGCAGCAAGAGCTTCGCGACAAGTCGAAGCAGCTCAAGGATAAGCTCAAGTCGAGCAAGGATGCGGTGGCCAACCTCGAGTTCCAGGTTGTGGCCGAGAAGCAGACGCTTAACGCGCTCAAGCTGCAGATTGTGTCGTCGCCGGAAAAGCTGGAGACGCGGATCGGGCAGCTGAAGCAGGCCGAGGTGGAGGCCAAGGAGGGTCTTGCAGCGGCCAAGGCCAAGACCAGCGGGTACCAGGCCAAGCTGGACGCGGTGGAGCAGCTGACGGCGTCGTTTGAGGCACTGCTGAGTGTGCTCGACGGCGCCGAGGCTGAGGCGGCCAAGGCCGCTGGCCTCGTTGACAAGATCTCCGGGCTGGAGGGCGCGGCCATGGAGGCCGAGGCTGCCAGCCGCGAGATGGAGATGACCCAGCGGCATGCCGAGGCCACGCTCGAGTCGACGGTTGAGAAGCTTGCGCGGGTCGAAGCCCAGTCCGAGGCCAAGAAGGCCGCAGCCGAGGCTGCGCTGTTCAAGGCTCGCGACGAGCACGCCGCAGTGGAGGCCGACTTCCAGTCGGCGCGCGTCCAGATCGACGAGAACTCAGCAGTCATTGCCCAGCTTCGCGAAAAGATTGACCGCAAGGTTGCTGAGCACAATGCCGAGATGGCCGAGATGGAGGGCAACTATGACAAGCTCCGCGAGCACGTCAAAAGCTACCACGAGCAGCTCTTCGAGTGCATTGCCACGGGCATTGTTCCGGCCGCTCCCGGCCCTGCGCTCACCACTGCCGAGCTCGAGTCTGCCCCGGCCGCGCCCGCGCCGGCCGCAGACTACAAGCCCGCACCCGCACCTGCGTTGAGCAAGCGCAGCTCGCGCGCCTCGCTCTCGGGCTCGCTCACCCTCTCGCAGCACCGCGCCTCGCTCTCAGGCTCCACTGCCTCGTTGCGCGCCTCCCTGCTGGGATCGGGCTCGCAGGCCAAGCGCCGGACCTCGTTTGTTGCTGAGCTCCGCTGAGTCTTCAACCCTGTAAACTGAGTCAACCACAGCCGCCACTTTTCACGACACTCGACCGTATCTCGCTCAACACAACTGCGTCGCATGGCAAGTACGTACTACACAGACATAGTAGCCCGCTGTGCGGCTGGTGGCGTCCGACAAGTGCGGCAAGGAGCCCGGGGGCACTCACAACAGCATGAGGTGGGTGGGGCGGTGGGCAGGCGGGGATGGCGTCGAGCGGGCAGGAGCGAGCAGCGCGAGCGAAGAGCAAGAAGTGCTGAAAGTTCATCCCGAGTACATTGTGCGAGTGTACATGGTGGTGCTTGTGGTGACGGGCGTGCTGCTTGCGATGGACGTGGGCGGGCTGGTGGAAGGGGTGGAGGGCTGGTGGATTGTGGGCGCGCCGTTTATGCCTGCACTGGCGTGGGTGTGGTGGTCGCACGGGCTGATTGTGTAGACGGCCGCCAGCGGCCTGCCAGGCTTTAGTCGATGGTCCACTCGCGGACGCCCTTCATGCCACGGCGCAAGTCGACGACCTTGAGCTGGAGCGGCTTGGCGGCGACCATGACGTGGCGGGCGTGGTCGTAGATCTTGATGTGCGACGGGTGCGGGTGGAAGCCGGTCTTGCGGCACTGCTGGACGGTCTTGAGGCCGCGCGGCGTGGTGAGCTGGAAGATGCCGTAGTTGGGGCGGTACTTGGGCGCCATGACGATGGCGATGGCCTCGGGCAGCATCGACTGGTACGCACAATGTGTGTGGACATCGACCGACGACATAAAGCACTGCTGGGTCGGGTGGGTGTGGATCCATCCCAGCGTGAGGAGGTCATGCGTCATCTGGTACTCCCACAGCGACTCCTCGTCGGTGGTGTGGACCGTGTCAGTGGTGGCTTCCTGGGCCGGGATGATGAGCGTAGTGATGTAGAGAACATTCGAGACGCAGACGCCGGCAAGGATGCCGCAGAACTCGAGTGCCCGCTTGGTATTGGGCTGCGCCACACGGAGGAACTCGCCCATCATCGAGTTGCATACAACCACATTGCGGAAAACGTCCTTTTCCTTTCGCTTACGCCGCTTCGGCTTGGCCTTGGCAGGTGCCACCGCAGGCGCAGACGCAGGCGCTGCGCGCGGAGGCGCCGCGCGTGCGGGCACTGCCGCTGTGGAGGCTGCAGCGGCGGATGCAGCGGCGGCGGCGGCGGCGGCGGCGGCGGCACGCTCGCGCTCGGCTGCAAGAGCAGTCTCGAGCTTGGCCAGTTCAGCCTCTTGGTGCGCAATGCGAGCGCGAGCCGCCTCTTGCTCAAGCTCCTGCTGCCGCAGCTTGGAAATGTACTCTTGTTGCTTGGCGTGCGGAATGTACGGCTCGATGTCGGTCACCGACATCGACTCGGCGTCGGGATAGACCCGAGCGGCAGCAGCCGCTGCCGCCGCTGCCGCCGCTGCCACCGCTGCCGCAGCGTCTGCAGCTTCATCGCAAACGACAGCAGCAGCAGCAGCGGGCGCGCTCGCAGCGAACGCAGACGACGCCACCGGAGACGCCGCCGCTGCCGTGCCGTATGAAGTGCCTATGCTCAGCCGGGCCCGCATCTGCGCGAGTGTCAACTGCGGAGCCGCCGCTGGAGGCGCACCGCTTGCGCCTGCAGATGCGCCGGCAGCCTCGGCCTCGGCCGCGTCGGCTGCATCCGCCGCGTCAGCGGCGGCGGCGAGCTCGTACGCGCGGGCGAGAACCTTGTGCAGCGCCTCGAGGTCAGCCAGCGCTGCCATGGCCCGCGCGCGGAACTCCTTGCGCTCCTTGGTGTACCGCGGGTTCTTGTACTCGTCATGGCCGGGCAGGTGCGAGACACAGAGGCTGTGGAGAACAGGGAGGAGGGAAGGTGTGAGTGTGCCTGACAAGGAAGGTGGCGGGAAGGGGGGGTATGACAAGAGCAGCACACGTACGTTGTGAACCGCAGTAAGTAGATGTACTGGTACTCGTAGTTCTCTTCGAGGCCATACGAGTCAGCCAGGAGCTGCAGCTGTGCTGCGGTGCGGTAGTAGTGCTTGAGCGAGACTGCCGAGTCGATCGGTGGCGGCTTGGCCCGCTCCTTGAGTTCGTCGATGTCGTCGAACGCTAGTTCCTGGGCGACCTGTTCCGGGTCGGGACCCCTGGTTGCCGCCATGTCACGGCTCGTAGGTGGGCGGGGGGCGGCACAAGAGGGTGGGGAGTGATACGGAGGGTGAGGTGCGGTCTTGGGGGTCAAGTGTTCCGAAGTTGGCTGCCCGGAGTTCAGCGGCGCGGGGCGATGGCTAGAAGAGCGACTTGGCAGCGCCGCGCATGCGACTCTTGATGCCGTCAAGTGCCGCAGTACAACCAGTGAGCAGGCCTGTGGGTGGGCGATATTGGGATCGGAACCATGGACGATGGATGTGAGTGTAGGAGGGGGGATGGAAGGTGGCGATGGACCGATCCAAGCTGTGTGGCGGAGGATGGGGAATGGTTCTCACATGTGGCGGGGACGGGCCCCGCGGCGGCGGGCGCACGGGGCGGGTTGTCGACTATTCTGGGCGCTACAGTAGAGCTATGAGTCTGCCAAGCAACTTGCTAGATTGCATACAGTATAGATAACCAGCAAGTGTGCTTGACATGGAACTGGTGTGTGTATAACGAGTTCACGGGCAGCCGAGGGAGAATCGGGTGATTTTGGACTCCAGAGTAATTTCTATGTGCCAGCTATATAAATATATAAATATGGTATTAAAATAATATATGTGTATAGGTCAAAAGCTAATTTGGGTAATTTACGACAAGAAAACGTATACATTTATGTAAAAGTAATATTTTTAGTCGGTTGGGTGCCATTTGTTCTCTGTTTTTTATGTTTTCATCTCCAACAAACCGGGATCACCGCGTGACGTGCCGCCAACGGCGGCACGTAGCCCGAGGCCGCACGCACCAGCCCGGAACAGTGACCTCGTCTTTCATGTATTCTCCTCTCCCCACGAACAAGAGACGGAACATGCACGTGCTCACCCTTCTCGTGCTACTGGCTCTCTCCTTGTCCCTGGCTCTCCCCACCGTGGCCGACTCGGTCATCGGCGCTAACCCCGCCATGCGCCAAGCATGGCTGGACCGTACGTGCATCACCCTTTTTCCGCATTGGCAATGACCCCTTTTTTCGCACCCCACTCACAGCACGTCACCCACCTATACAGGCCACAACGCATGGCGCGCCGACCGCGGAGTCCCACCCGTGGTCTGGGACGAGACCATTGCTGACTATGCCCAGAGCTGGGCTGACACGTACGTTCTTTCGAGTGGTAGAGGGCGCAGAATGGGTGGGCGTGTGTGGCTGAGCGGCGGTGGAGCGTGAACCAACCAACCCAGCACTAACCCGCAAAACCGAGGGCCTCCTCCATGTGCAGATGCCCGAGCGGACACTCCAACTCGTACGCAAGCGGCTATGGCGAGAACATGTGCTTCAACTCGCAGACTGAGGACGAGGGATGCGTCGACCGCTGGGGCTCGGAAAAGGCCAACTGGGACTGCCCGTCGAACACCTGTCCGGGTGGCGTTTGCGGCCACTACACCGCCATCATGTGGTCGCGCGATCCTCACCCCAACAGGATCGGCTGTGCAGTGAAGAGCGGATGCCCTGGCTGGTACTCGGTCGCCGTTTGCAACTACTCGCCGCCCACCAACTACATTGGACAGCGCCCGTTCCCGGTCTCCCAGTGCAACCCTGCCCCGACGCCGTCGCCGACCCCATCGCCGACTCCGGCTCCCACTCCGGCCCCGACTCCGGCTCCCACTCCGGCCCCGACTCCGGCCCCGACTCCGGCCCCGACTCCGGCCCCGACTCCGGCCCCGACTCCGGCCCCCACTCCGGCCCCCACCCCGGGCCCCACTCCGGCCCCGACCCCAGGCCCCACTCCGGCTCCATCTCGCCCCTGTGGCCCTTGCGCACCTGCCAAGTCGTGCTCCAACCTTGGCCGGTGCTGCGACGACAAGTGCGAGTGCAACTTCGGCTTCCAGCCCGACTCGGCAGCTCGCGACGACTGCGTGCCGACTCCACAAATCAAGGTCTGGGCTGGCACGCCGGCATCGCCGATCTCGTCGACGTCTTCGTCTGTGTTTGGCGGGCACTTTGCTCTGTTTGAGTACCATCCGTTTTCTAGCAGCGACGCCGCGCGCCGGCGGCTGCTGCAGCAGGGCGGTGGGAACGCGCCCGAGGAGATGATGATCTTGGTTTCGCCGCAGGGTGTCCCTGCGACCACCGTCACTGTTTACATGAGGAAGGGAGGCACGCCCGCCTCACCGACGGCCTACGATGCCATCTCGACCCTCAGCAACGACGGCAACGCGCAGGTGATTCGCTGGATGCCGGCGTCGACCGACCCCGACAGCATCATGATGGTGACCGTGACGAGCGAGAACGACGCCACGTTCACGATGTCGGTCGCACCGTCCTCGGTCGCTGCCGGTGTGAGCTCGGCCACCAGTGGGCGCATCATTTCAAGCTCGCCGCCCGATGAGGGCGTGACTGATAAGTCCTGGTTCCTCGCTGTCATTGCTCTTGGCGCCGTAGTGGTCCTCGGCGCTGCCGCCGCTGTCGCTCTCGTCGCTTATCGCAAGTCTCAGGACACTGGCTTCCGCGGCAACGACTTTTACACGTCGGCTGTCGACTTTGTGCCGGCGAGCAACGCCAGTCACGGCGCTGGATCATTTGCCTCGCTTGGCGCAGGCACCGAGCTCGCCCCGCTGCCGATCGTCTCGGCGCCACTGCCGCCGACCAAGTCGGCATCCAGCGGCAAGCGCGTCGTCAAGTTTGCTTACCGTGCCACAGCTGCTGACGAGCTTTCCTGCGAACGAGGTGACGTCATCCAAGTTCTGGAAGAGTACGACGACGGCTGGATGCTTGGCCGCCTGCCGAACGGCCGCGAAGGCGTCCTCCCGCTCTCGTACACCGAGGTCAAGGCTTCTGCTGGCGCCTCCACAGCCGCGCGTCGCGCGCCGCCGCCGCTGACTCCCGTCGTGGCTCCCGCCGCGACTCCGGCTGCTCCGATGTCGCTTCCTCCGCCGCTGCAAGCCAAGAAGGCCCCGGTTGTCGAAAAGGTGGCCAAGTTTGCGTTTTCCGGCTCGGCAAACGATGAGCTCACTTTTGCGCCCGGCGACCGCATCGAGGTTCTGGAACAGTACGACGACGGGTGGGGCCTTGGCCGCATCGTCGGCACTTTGGGAGAGGGAGCGTTCCCCCTCTCCTACGTCAAGGACGCTCCCAAGCTACCGCGCCCGCCTGCATCGACTTCGTCCAAGCCCAAGCCAACCCCAGCCCCGGCCCCAGCCCCGGCCCCAGCCCTGATGCAGTTTCCCAAGCTTAGGCCAACGCCCAAGTCGGCGCCCAAGACGGCACCAAAGCCAGCACCCAAGCCGACCTCGGCGCCAAAGCCTCTGCCAAAGCCTCTGCCAAAGCCTCTGCCAAAGCCCAAGCTCAAGCCGGCCCCTATGGGCGGCGTCAGTGGCCGCGGCCCGCGGCCCAAACCCAAGCCCAAGCCCAAGCCGAAGCCGGGCCACTGGTAGCCACACTCACACCCCCGCTCTCTCCCTCTTCTTCACAAACTCCTTCTCCTGTCATCATCCCTGTAGCCGCAGCTCCCGCAGATACGAGGCCATATAAAACCAGTCGCCGCCGCACGCTGGCACAACCTCGACAACGTCGGGCTGCCAGCACGCCACCGCCGCCATCGTCACCTGGTCCTTGCCCACAAACCGACCCTCGCCCAAGAACCTGCCCATGAGCTCGTAGTATGCCTTGCGCCACCGTGCAATCGCCGCCGCCGTCCCACCAATGAACCCGCCGCCGACGCCGCGCTTGGAGAACGAGCCATACACTGCATCGGCGTCGGCGCACTCGGCCGAGCCGGGCACCACCGGCGCGACGCCGAGGACGAGCACCCGTCCTGCGTCAAACACTTGCGTCCGCGACGCCGCAGGCCAAGCCACCTTGTAAAACGCCGCCCGCTCGGTGTGGTACTCGGGTCCGCGAAAGTATCCGATGTCGATCCACGCAAAGTACTGCGTGCCAAACGGGTTCTTGCGCGCCACCTCGTCGAGCCAGGCTGTCTTTTCGTTCCAAATCATGTACAGCTCGGCCGAGTGCCCGATCTTGGCCTCGGGATCTTCATGCGCCTGTGCATGGAGCTGCTCCTGCCACTGTGCAGTGTAGAGGTCGGCAAAGCCATCGACGACGTTGACCACAATATCGGCGCCGTCTAGGCAATCCTCGCGGATGCCACGGATGACCTCGGCCGACGCCGCGTCCGCAAACACCACCAGCGGCGACGCAATGCACACCATCGTCTCCATCCACTCGCGGTACTCTTCGATCGAGTGCTTGGCGTTCTCCAGCGCAATGTACGACGTCACAAGCGTCGTGATGTGCTGCGGGATGTTGCGCGGCACAGCCGGCGCAGCCGCTGCGTACACCGAGCACGGCTCAAACGGCGCGTGCACCGGCCCGCCCGCGAGTGACGCCAGCAGTGCCACAACAACCACGCCCACCGCGACCGTGTACGCGTGTGCACTCGTCCACCCTGCTCGCCGCACTTCCCCGTCTCGCCCTCTAGCATGGTCGAGTCGTGCCAAGTCGAGTGCAGTCGCGCCTCTCCCCCACACACACACCTTCACTCCCCAGCCACCGAACTCTCCCACGTCACCCCACCTCTCCCCCTTCTCCTCTCGCAAACCCCATGCTCAGCATGCTTGCTGTACGGACAGGAGTCGCGGCCGCCGTCCGTCTGGCCAGACTCTCCACTGCGGCCACGGCCGCGAGCGACTCGCCGCATGCGCTCCCGCTTGCCGAGCTCGCCGACGACCATCGGGCCTGGCTGGCACGATCGGACGAGGTCCTTCGGTCGCCGTCGACGAACTCGACGGACTACCTAAGTTCCGCGACCTCTCGCCGCAAGTTCACTCGGCGGTCGGCATCCTGCTCTGCGAAAAGGCGTCTGCGCCGCACCTCCTGCTCCTGCATCGCGCCGCCCACATGCGCTCGCATCCGAACCAGCTCTCGCTCGTCGGTGGCCGCCGCGACAACGAGGACGCGTCTCTGGCAGAGACACTTGTGCGCGAAGCCGAGGAAGAGATCGGCGTTATCCGCGGCGGCGAGCACGCCCTGCGCCTCCACGGCGCGCTCCCAGTCGTCTACCCGTCGCTGGCCGGCCTCGCCGTCGGTGTCTTTGCCGGTTCGCTCCATCACGGCGACTGGAACGTTGCCGCCGACGAGTCGCAAGCTTTGCTCGAAATCCCGCTCGCAGATCTGGTTCGTCCGGACGCTATGGTCGTCGAGAGCATCCAGGGCTACCCCGGCCCTGTGTGGCACCTGGGCATCGACGGTGTGGACGTCCCGCTGTGGGGCCTCACTGCTCGCATCCTCTATGACTACTTTGTCCTTCTCGACCCCGCTGGCGCCACGACAAAGATGATGGGTTTGCCCGCCGCCCACGCGCCAACGACATGGCTCTCGCCCGCCGCGCTCGCGTCATGGAGCGTCTGCGCGCTGCCCGCGCCGCCGCCGAAGCTGAGACCGAAGCCAAGGCCGGATACTGAGCCAAGGCTGTTGCCTGAGTCGACACCGTCACGTACACGCCAACACAACATCACAGAAAACCTAACACCAGCACCTGGCGTGGATGCCGTGTCCCCTCCCTCCCCCCCCTGCCCACTCCCGCAGATCCATTCCTTGCCATGCGTTCATTCGATTCCTTCTCCCCAGGCCACACCCACACTGCCTCTCACCACCCTCGCGCCACACTCGACGCGAACATGGCGGACCTGTCGTTCCTCCACGCGACCAAGGCGTCTGCCGCGCTGCCGGCACAAGAGATGGAAGAGGCGAGCTTTGCGCTGCCTGCGGTTGCCGACGTACGTTGAGGAGAGCGGGAGCAGGGCGGTGTGGGGAAGAGGCCGAGTGTGGGTGGGCGAGGGCAGCGGGTGGCGAAGGCGACCCAAAAACTGACCACCTCCTGCACACAGCCTGCCGCCTACCAGAGCCAGCTTTACGACCCGGCGTCGGCCACGCCGTTGCACATGGCACACGGAACGACCACGCTTGCCTTTGTCTTCAAGCATGGCGTGGTGGTGGCCGTCGACTCGCGCGCCACCCAGGGCCAGTACATCGGCTCGCAGACGGTGAAGAAGGTGATCGAGATCAACCCGTATCTGCTCGGCACCATGGCCGGCGGTGCCGCAGACTGCATGTTCTGGGAGCGCGAGCTTGGCCGCCAGTGCCGCCTCTACGAGCTCCGCAACAAGGAACGTATCTCCGTCCGCGCCGCCTCCAAGATCCTCGGCAACATTGTCTACAACTACAAGGGCATGGGTCTGTCCATGGGTACTATGGTCACTGGCTGCGACGCCTCGGGCTTCTCGCTCTTCTACGTCGACTCGGACGGCACCCGCCTCGAGGGCCAGCGCTTCTCTGTCGGCTCTGGCTCCACCTTTGCCTACGGTGTCCTCGACTCGGGCTTCCGATGGGACATGGAGCCCGAGGAGGCCTACGACCTCGCTCGCCGCGCCATCTACCACGCTACCCACCGCGACGCGTACTCGGGTGGCCAGGTCAACCTCTACCACGTCCGCGAAGAGGGCTGGGTCAAGATCAGCGCAGACAACGTCTTTGACCTCCACTACGGCTACGCCGCCGAGGCCGCCGCTGAAGCTGACGCTGAGGCCGCCGCCTAACTTGCTGATGACCCGTCCCACCCGTGGACCCGTGGCCTCCCATCTCCTCCCTCCCGCTCGCTCTCGCCCTCCCGCCAACCAACCCTCCGCCACCTCTGACCACCGACCACCCTCCATCTCCATTCTCCTCATACATCACATCCCCTACCTACCGGTTGCCTCCTACCCTCTCCCATCCGATCTTCTCTTGTCCTCAATGAACAGCAACCTGTGCCTATGCCTGCGCCTGCGCCTGAGCCTGCACGTGTCAACACAGCGCGCACCAGCCCACGTCACGCGCCTCTCACACAACGCGCCACACCCCTCCACCCATTCCCAAAACGCCACACCCTCCCACCCCCACCCCCACCGCACCACACCACACCACACATCCCACACACGCCATGCTCCGTGCTGCCTTTGGAAGCTCTGGCCTGGAGGTCGCTGCAGAGTTCACCACCCTCACCGGCGAACCCCAGTCGACCACGACATCACCCAACAGGCTTCCGCTCTACATTGGTGATGAGGACATCCGCGGAATGCTGTACATTACCGCTCCTTTGTCTGCGCCCGCATCTGCTGCTGAAGCAGAGCCCACATCCGCTGACATAGAGCCCTCCGACGAGCACGCGACTGACGCCGTCGCAGCCACCGCTCCGCCCGCCGCCGTCCAGTTCGTCCACGATGGCCTGACCCTCGAGCTTGAAGGCGTGGTGACGACCACTACTGGCGATCGCATCGTCTTTCTCTCAACTTGCGTCAAACTCGCCCGCGCTGGTACCCTTGCTGCCGTGCCCGGCGGCGATCCGCTAGTCTTTGGCTTTCAGATCAACAACCTCGACAAGCCGCACGAGTCGTACGTCGGTTCCAACGTCACTGTCGCCTACCTTCTCCGCCTCGTTGCCTCCAAGCCACGCAAGCTGCTTGGTAGCGCCGGCGCTCGCGCCAAGCACGAATTCTCCATCTGGGTCGCAAACTACCAGGTCCCGCCCGAGCGCAATCCCCCTCTCGTCATCGAGTTTGGCTTTGACGACGTCCTCAAGGTTGAGCTCGAGTACGCCCAGTCCAAGTTTGCCCTCGACGACGTCCTCGTCGGTCGCCTCTACTTTGAAACCGTCCGCATCGCCATCGACTCGATTGCGCTCTCGCTCGTCCGAGTTGAGTCGGTTGTCCACGGGCCAGGCACCCTCCGCAAGTCGCGGCCCATCTTCTACCACGAAATCACCGACGGCGCGCCCGTCCACGGCGAAGCGGTCCCCATCCGCATCTTTCTCGACGACTTTCCGCTCACCCCGACCTACAAGAACATCCACAACGTGTTCTCGGTCAAGTACGTCCTCAACATCATCGTTGTCGACGACGCTGACCGTCGCTACTTTAAGCAGCAGGAAATAGTACTCTGGCGGCCGCCGCCGGGCGACCTCATTGAACTCGAGTAGCAGGCGTGTGTCCCCTCTGTGCGCCCACATCGGTCTCATGCTGTCTGCTGACGCAGGGAAGCCCATTGGCGGCGCTCGTCTAGGCTGCGGCGCTCCTCGCATCGCACCCCGTCACAGCACCTCCCATAGGGTTCTCACCACGAAAAGCCCATGTTGGCCGCCACCGACTCGTCGACTTCGGCAAACTCGGCCGCCATTCGCTCGCGGAACGCCGCGTCGGCCCGAGCAGCCTCCTCCTGCGCTCGCTTGAGGTGCTCGCTCTCAGTCTTAGCCAGCCGCTGCCGGATGACCCGAAAGTCGAGCGCCCCGTTCATGCCAAAGTCAATCGAGCCGCGCGACTTGGCGTTCCACACCCGCTTCTCGCTCGACGATGGCGAGAGCGACGCAATGCGCCGGTTGACCGGAGTGGCTGGCGTCGACGGCGCCGACGAGCTCGACGCCTCGCCGTTGGAGATGCTTGGCCCGCGAACCTGCGTCCGCCGCGCCTCGGCCAGGAGAGCCTCGAGCTCGACAATACGCGCGTCGCGAATGGCTACGTCTGCCTGAGCGTCTTTCAACGATCCGTTGGCCTCCTTCAGCTCGGCACGCGCGAGCGCAAGCTCACGCTGGGCCTCAGCAAGCCGCTCCTCGTGTCGCTCATCCGCATCAGCCTTAGCCTTAAGCTTGGCCTCGGCCGTCGACGCCAGCTGCTTGGCAATCATGACCTCATGCTCAAGCTTGGACTTTTCTGCCGCCGTACGTTGTGCCTTGAGCTTGGCCTGCACAAGTGCACCCTCGGTCTCCATAGCCTTGGACACCACAGCCGCAGCCTCATCGAGCGGCGCCACAGCCTCGATCGTCGCCACTTTGCTCTTCATCGACGAGATCGTCGCCTGTAGCTCGGCAATCTGCTTGTGGAGCTCCTCATTGCGCTTGGCTGCAAGCTGTGCCACACGGCCCTGCGTTGCCCATCCGGCGCCTCCGGTCTTAGTCAGCTCATCAACTTGGTCTTGCGACGCCGACAGCGCAACCTTGGCCTCGGTCAGCTCCGCCCGCAATTCTTCAACCGTAGCCGCGTGCACCTGTCCCTCCTCCTCGAGACGCGCCTCAAGCCCAGCCACTTGCTCTTCGAGAAGCTTGACCCGCGCCGCATCGGCCTCGGCAGGCGCCAACTCCTCGGCAACCTTGCGGTTGACCTGCGACGTAAGCTCCTCGACGCGCGCGGCGAGCGCATCGCGATCGCGCTCCGCCTCTTCCATCTGCTCGATCACGCCGTCAATGTCGGTCTGTGCCTGCTCGCGGACTTCAGCGGCCTCGGCACGCACCTCAGCGAGCTCGTTCTGAAGCTCAGTCACCTGCGCCTCTACCTCGGCCTGGACCACCCCGCCGCCGCCGCCGCCCGATCCGGCCCCATCGCCAGCCTCGGCCGCCTCCAGCGCTTCCACAAGCTCGGCCTCACGTGCCGCCAACGTCTCTTGCAGCTGCTTGACCTCCGCACGGAGCTCCTGCACTGCAGACTCGTTCTGTGCGGCCTCTTGCTTCTCTGCAAGAAGATCGCTGAGCTTGGCCTGCACCTTCTCCAGCTCAGCCTCTGTCGCGTCGGTGAGCTCGGCCATGTCGGCCATGTCCTCATCCTTCTCCTCAAGCGCTGTCATAAGCTCGGCCTTGTCGTCCTCCAACGCCGCAATCTGCGCCACACCGTCGGCCACAGCGGCCTCCAGCTCGGAGATCTTAAACTGAGCCTCGTTCGCCGCCGCCTCGGCCGCTTCCTCAGCTTCGGTCATCGCTGTGTGCAGCGCCTCCATCTCCTCCTCGAGCTCCCCCACCATGGTCTGAAGCTCATCGGCCTCCTCCCTGGCCTCCTCAGCATCCGCTCGCGCGTTCTCCATCGACTCGGCCATCTCCTCCAACTCGGCATCGGCCTTGGCTTGGAGCTCTACAAGTTGCATCCGCAACTCGGCGACCACACGCGGGTCAGCACCGCTGTCGTCATCCTCGCCGTCTTCGCCAATTTCGTCACCTTCGGCAACCGAAGGTCCTTCGCCATCGTCCTCTCCGTCCGCCTCCTCGGCCTCGGCAGGATGCACACCCGCGTTGGCCTTGTACCACGCAAGCTCTTGGCCAGCGCTGCATTGCGGAGCGTCAGCGCCTCGACTTCCTTCTTCAGCGCTTCAAGCATAGCCATCAGCTGGTCACGGGTGTACTGCCGGTTGACCTTGACGACATTGACCAGCATCTTGGCCCGCTTGGCAAACTCGAGCGTCGAAATCGTCTCCAGCAAGTTGTACCGCGCTGGCGAGCACGCTACCACCAGCGTTGTCTTGGTGTTGCCCACCAGCGAATCCTGCAGAATCCGTGTCAGCTGCGAGTCGCGGAACGGCACTTGCGGGAGCTTCTTGCGCGACGGCTTGTACTTTTGCCGCGCGCCATCGCCTCGCGCTCCCGCTCTTCTTCCTTGCGCTTAAACGCTTGGATGTCGCCAATGACCTTGATGCACCGCCCCAGTGTCGACAGCGACTGGTTGATCGACTTGGCCTCGTGCGCAGCTGCCCCGGTCGCCCCGGTCTTGGACAGCTTCTCTGAGCCGGCAAGATCCACCATGTACAGCCGCCCCTCCCGCTCCATTCGGCTTGGATCGTCACTGCTCATCTTACGAAGCTTGAGCATAAACACGCAGTGCGAGCGCGACGACTCTTGGTTCATCTTGGTCGCCGCCTGCGCACGCGCCATCTCGCCTTTGACAATCAGCTCGTACACCTCGTTGATGGTGTGCACGCGCTCCTCGTGGAGGTCACGGACGTAGACCTGCTTCTGTCCGTTCTCCATCTTCTCCATCACCTTGAGGTCCTTGCCTGCTGTGTTGATCAGGTCGTTGATCCGCTCGTTGTACAGCTCCAGATACGAGACATACACCTGCCACACGTTCTTCTTGTCGTTGGTCACCATCTCCAGGATGTCCATGCATGCCCGCGGAATGATTCCTCGAAGCGACGCGTCGCCAATTCGCGGGCCAAACATCGAGAACGTCTTGCCCGACCCGGTCTGTCCGTACGCAAACAACGTGCCGTTGTACCCGGCCTTGACATCCTCAATCGTCGCCTTGGCCGCACGCTCGTAGATCTCAGACTGCGGCGACTGGTCATAGAACACGTGGTCAAACTTGTACTGCTTCGGCATCTCATCCTTGGACAGCGAGATCGAGATCTGCCCGTCGTCCGAGCAATTCACCGCAGACTTCTTCCCGCCGTCCTCAGCCCTCTCGCGGTCATTGACTGGCCGGAACCGTACAATGACCTACATCCGCACATCCACACACATGCACCGTTTTCCATCCAGTGTTCCCCATCACTGTGTGAGCTTACTCCGCTTCCCTGCTCGCCACCTCCCATTCCCCCGCACCTCTCAGCAGCGCTCCCCCCACACGCTCCTGACACGCCTTCTCCCACTCCCTGCCGGCCCTCTTCCAACCACATACCTTGACCCCTGCCTCTTCTGCCGACCTTGCCGACATGTTTTGACTCTTCTGCTCGCCGCCTCCACACCGTCCACTCTAGGCTCAGCAGAGTCAGATGTCTGCCCCTCTCCTTCCTTCCTTCCTCTCCTTCCTTGCTCCACGCCCGAGTCGAACACCCGCCGGTTCCGTGTTCGTCTCGTGGAGAGGACCTTCCCACTGCTCCAAAATTCTCGGGAATGCACGCCAGGCGGCTGCTGCTGCCACCGACACCAACGGTGCTTGCTGCAGGCTCGCAATCAGGATCCTGTCTCCTCACTCCTGAACTCACCTCTTCTCCACCACACACAAGCTCGCTCGCTCACTCGCTCTCGGTCTCTCTCTCTCTCTCTCGCATTTGTATTGCTCATGGAGGAGCTCGACGCCGACATGGTGGCTGACTTTAAGGAGGCATTCTCGGTCTTTGACGTCGACAAGGTTGGCTCCATCACCGCCGGCCAGCTCCGCCAGCTCCTCGCCGCCGCGGGCATGGAGCTTCCGTCCCCGGCTCCTGGCTCTCCGCCAGGCTCGTGCGAACTGCTTGACCTGGTCAACTCGGTGGTCGGCGACATTGTGGGCGAGCAGGTCTCAGACACAACCCCGCTCACCTTTCCACAGTTTGTTCAGCTCATGGCCAACCTCGTCCCGCCGGGTAAGTCCTTTGAAGACGAGGTTGATGCCGTCTTTGACACCATGGCCGCTGGCGCCGACGCTGTCTCTGCAGACCATCTGGCTTCCACCGCTGCCCTCATCGGCGATGCTGTTCCCGATATCGACGAGCTCAACGATGTCGTCGCCGCTGTCGATCCGGCTACAGGCAACGCTGTCTCGCGCGATGCCTTTCGGGCTCTCATGCAACACTCGTGACCAAACGGGCCTGAATCCCAAATCATACATTACTCGCCCCGTGTCGTGTCTTGTGCTGCTGCGGGCGAGGTCTCTCTCCCATCCCATATCCTGCTCTGTTGGGCAGAGTGGCAACGAACTGCTCATCATCGCCAGATCTGGATCACAAACCAGCACCGCCAGCACGATCGCCACGGCAGTCAATAACTACATACAGCTCCATTGTCTCCTTTTCTTCCCCCCTCCCCCTCCCCGCTCCATCTTTTCCCGCCTCTTTCGCGCCATTTTGTTGATCAGGCACGCAGCCACCTCTCACAACCTTTTGCTCTTCCTACCCCCTACACTCGACGCTCACCGCCGCCCACCGTCACTTCCAGGCCAGACAGACCATGTCTGTTCGCCACATTACGCCGACGCTGCTGGAAAAGGCGGCAGGCGTGCCACAGAGCAGATTCAAGACGGTGACCAGCCTCAGCCTCCGCGGAGCCTCGCCGCTCTCGCCAAGCCACCCCAACCGCGCAGCCTCGCGCCGGCCGTCCATCCGCTACATCGAGAACCTGGAGCCGTTTGTCGCCCTCACCTCGCTTGACCTCTCGCACAATGCCATCGCCAAGCTGAGCGGGCTCACCCATCTGCGCTCGCTCACCACCCTCAATCTCGCCGACAACAAGCTCACCTCGCTGTCCGCACTCACGTCGCCGGCGCCGGCCAAGGGCGCCACCACCCTCCGGCCGCGGGTCTTTTCCGGCGCTGACCTCGCTCAACGCGTCCGGCAACTACATCAAGCGCATCCCGCCATCGATCTCGGCCTTGCCCGCGCTTCAGGTCCTTCGCCTCGCCCGCAACGACATCGGCTTCCTCCGCGATGTCGAACACATGGCTGGCAATCTCAACCTGGTCAACCTCACCCTCCACTCAAACCCTGTTGCCGACCTCCCGCACGCTCGCGCCTTTGTCGTCTTTACCCTTCCCGCCCTCGAGGTCCTTGACGGTGACGCCATCGAGCCGGGCGAGCGAGCTGCCGCCGCCACGCGCTTCTCCAAGACTGAGCTCCAAGTTTTCCAGGACGCGCTGGACTCTCAGGCGTCGGTCAACCACGAGCTGGAAGACGAGAATGCTCGTTTGCACGACTCGCTCGAGTCGCTCAAGGCTCGTGCTGCCGAGCTGGAGGCTGCCGTCAACGACTCTCGTTCCGAGGCGCAGTCAGCGGCTGCCGCCGCCGCTGAGAAGGCTGCCCTCCTCGCCCAGACCACTTCGGAGCTGAACAAGACTTCCGAGCTGCTGTACGAGGTTGAGCAAGAGCTGGCTTTTTACAAGATTGACTCGTCGTTTTCATCACGTCTTCCCTCCCACCATCCGCCCACCAACGTCTCTGCCATCGCCAGCAAGCCCGGCGGCTCGACTGATGGCTCGGATGGTTCTGGCCCCGACGCCGACTCGCTCAACATCTCTGCTCTCAACCTTTCCCTTGAGCTGCTCAACCTCCACGACTCGCTGCGGAATCTGGCGGCTTCGTCTGAGCTGCTGGAAGAGCGCCTTCTCGCGGCCAACACCCAAAAGGCATCCGCTGAAGGCCTTGCCCAGCTCCACTCACAGAGTGCGGCTGCTGCCAGCGAAAAGGTCTCTGCTCTTCGACGCGAGCTCGCCGAGCTTGACTACCGCTCGTCTGAGATGGATCTTGCTGGCTCGCCGCATCCGCACTCGGGACGCTCCGAGCTTGAGGCTGCCATCGCCCACCTCTCTGCCGAGCTCTCAGCTGAGCTGGCCACCGGCGACAAGCTCCAGGCACGCTCAACCCAGCTCAAGGCTGACATTGCCTCACATCGGGACTTGCTCCATCTTCGCGGTGAGTCGCCGAGCTCGTCCTCGCCCGAGTCGCAGATCCTTGCCAAACGGCTCGCCGACGCTGAAGCAGCTTACGTCGCCACTATTGACGCACTCGAGCTCTGTGTCGCTCGCTCGCGCGAGCTTGAGGATGAGCTTGCCGCTGCAAAGACTGCTCTGACTGCTGATGGCCTGCCTGGACCCGAGCCGGCCTCCAAGGCGCGCGCCGCCATATTGTCATCGCTTGCCGCTCGTCGCAACGCATTGTGCGCCGCTCTAGATGCTGCTCTTGAAACCAGAGCCACGCCGCCGCGTCAGCGACTGTGCACGAGCAAGCACTGGCTCGGCTTCAGCGCGAGACGCTCGAGTACAAAGCCACGCTCGAGGCTCTTGCTGCCGATCGCACCCGCCTCGCCGATGCCATCGCTCACAAGGAGCAGTCGCTTCGTGAGCTCCAGAGCGCAGGCTTTGGCGCCACTCAGCCCGAGGCTCAGCCTCAAACGTTGGATGACGGTGCCGTGGCTGATGATCCGTCACTCCACTCCCAGCTCGAAGCAGCACTTACCGAGATGGGTGCGCTGCAGGCCCGCAACGACCGCCTCCGCGCTGAGCTGGAGGCAGCCGAGGCCAAGGCTGACATGTTTGCACGCCCGTCACCGCCGGCGGTTCCTGTGGTCCCTGACGAACAAGTTCAGGCACTTCGCGATCGTGCTGCTTCGCTAGAGGCTGAGCGCAACAGCATCGAGGCCAAGGCTGCCGCACTCGCCGTCGAAGCATCCCAGGCCCACGACCAAATTGAGATTCTCCAGGACGAGCTGGCAGCAGCCCGTGCTGAAGCACTTGGCTCGGCGCAGACTGCCGAGTCTGCGGCTTCTCGACTGGCTGTGGCTGAGGCTCGCGCAGCTGCTGCCGAGGTGTCATCGGTCTCGCGTGACGTCGGCCGTCTTGCTGAGCTTGAGCAACAAGTTACGTCGCTCGAAGCTATGCTTGCGGCCAAGGAGGCCCGTCTGGCTGCAGAGGACGCGTTGCACGATTCGGACGCACCACACGTGGAGGATCTCACTGCGCTACGGAGCCGCCTGGACGAGCAAGCCAAGCTCATTGCGTCGTACGAGAAGCAGCTCGGCGAGCCAGCCCCGCACTCGATGGCCGCTTCGCTCCGAGCTTCTGCCAAGCCGGGCGAGTTGTCGTCGATGGTCTCGGAAGGCCTTGACGCCATGATGGGTACGCTTGACAAGCTGGCCAACACCCAGCTCAAGCTCGAGCAGACTCAGGAACAGCTCCGCTCTGCCAATGCCTCCAACGCTGAGCTCCGTGCTGCACTGGCACGCGCGGAGCATGTGAAGGGCGAGGATCCTACCCGTGTAGCCGAGCTCGAGGAGCTGGTTGCTTCGACCGCTTCCGAGCATGCTGCCGAGATGGCGGCCAAGGCCGAGGCTGCTGCCGCACTTCGTGCGCAGCTGGCCGCAGCCCGTGAGCAAGCGGCAGGGGCAGCAGCGTCGGCGGCCTCGCTGCGGGCCCAGCTTGATGCTGCCCAGGCGGCACTGACCAAGGAGCGACAGTCGGCGTCGCAGCTCGCCGACTCGCTGCACGCCGAGCAAGCCGCAGCTCTCCTTGCCGCCGCCAAGGAGCGTCGGCTTTCTGACCTTGCTGAGCTTCTCAACGAGCACTTTGGTGCAGCCCTCAACGTCTCGCTTGACTCTACTGGCGGACCCGATGCATCGGCCGAGCTCTCACAGCTGAAAGAGTTGCTCGACACGCTTTCAACCGATGTGCACCACACTACTCCGCCGCGGACGTTGTCACAGTCACTGGCGTCAACAACCCAGTTGCCGCCAAGCTCACCGTCACGGGCCGGTCTTCATCCTGACCTCTCGCAGCAGCTGGAGGATCTTGATCGGACCCATGACGAACGTCGTGCTGCGCTTGCTGCTCGTGATGCGGCCGAGGCGCAGTTGACCGAGAGCCGCGCCGAGCTCGCCGCAGTATGTGCCGAGCTCGAAACGCATGCGGCGAGTCTTGCCGCTACTCGCGCCGAAAAGGCCGAGGTCGAGCACCGATTGGGCGAGCTGCACAGCTTGGTGGCCGAGGCTGAAGGCAGGCTGACCAAGGCCGAGGCTGCAGCTCGGCTGGCTCGGCTGCGTGGTCCGGCGTCAGAGCGCGAGTCGAGCGCCGCGAGCGCGCGCTTTTGGAAGAGATACAGAGCCAGGTGGCTGCCGCAGCAGCAGAGAAGAAGAAGCTCGACGAGACGGTCCGGTTGCTCCGGCAAGAGGCCGGGGCTCGTGCGACTGCCTCCGCTGAAGCCGAGGCCGCGCTTGCCATGCTCCGCAACCAGGTTCGCGAGCTTGAGACTCAGGCTGTGGAGGCCAGGACAAGCTTGAGCCAGTACTCGGACGAGCAGCGAAAGATGGCGCTTGCGCTTGATGCCGAGGCCCGAGCTCAGCATGTGGCCGAGCTGGAGGCCCAGCGCGAGTCGCTCATGGCAGAGCTCAAGGCACTGACCAAGGCCAAAGTCGCCGCCCAGGCCGAGGCCGCCGATGCAGCTACTACGGCGGCCCAAGTCACCGCCCAAGCCGCGGCTGTCGAGGCCGCCGAGTCAGAGCTGGCCTCGCTGGAAGCTGCCAAGGCTGCTGCCGCCAGTGAGCTCGCTGCGCTGCGAGCCGAGCTTGCGAGCGACGTAGACGCGGCCCGCGCTGCTGCTGTTGCCTTCATCGACTCGGAAATGGCCCATCTGCGCGCGTCCAAGGACGCCATCGAAGAGGCGCTCAACGGGGTCGCTGGATGGAAGGAGTTTGTTGATGCGAGCGTCTCAGTGATTAGCAACTCAGGCGGCGAGCTAGACAAGAACTGCCCCATGCTGGAGCAGGTGTCTGTCTTTGCCAAGCCGCACGCAGAGGTGCTGCTTGCGCTTGAGCGTTCTGCTGTTGACCGCCTCGGCGTGTCGCTCTCTGCCGACAACGTTGGCGGGCTTGCTGTTGTCGAGACGTGCTGGCTCTCGAGCCTGCAGGCAGAGCTTGCTGAGAACAAGGCTGCGTTGTCGGCACAAGAAGACGCCATGTTTGTGGGCCTCAAGGCTCAGAATGTGTACCTGGAAGAGGAGGTGGCCAAGGCTCGCGAGGAGATGGAGAGCCTGCAGAGCGAGCTGGCCGAGGGCCGGGACCGGGAGGCGCAGCTGGCCGCCGATCTTGAGGCAGCGCGGACCAACGCCGCCGACCAGACCCAGGCCGAAGCCTCGCTAGAGGATCTGGTGCGGTCATTGCATGCCGAGCTCGAGACCAAGAACATGCAGATTTTCAAGCTCGAGGACGCGTTGTCGAACGCATCCGAGGCTGGAAGCAAGGCTGCGGCTTCGGCTGCGGCGGCGTCACCGTACCTAGAGTGCGAGCTTGCACCGTCGACGCTTGCGGCCATGAGCGCGTTTTTCAAGTACCACACGGCGCGAGTGGCTCAGCTGCAGCAGGGAGTGGTGGAGGCGCATGGACGGACCAAGGAGGCTGTGCACCAGCTCAAGTCTGCTTTTGCTGCCAGGGAGGCGCGGTTGGTGGCCAAGATCAACGACGCCAACGAGGGAGCGGCGGCAGCCAAGGCCGACCACGCGTTGGTCATCCAGATGCTGCGGCGGCAGGTCGCCGAGCTGCAGGCTGGCTCCGGCGCGTCTCCTGCGCTAGCCGCCGAAGTTTCGGCTGCTGTAGACAAGCTGGGCACGCTCGCCAGAGTCCTGCGCGATGAGCGTCGCAATCTGGGCGAGGTCAATGCGCTTGCCAAGCTTGTCACCGAGAAGGACGCTCAAATCGGGTTCCTTGTCGCCGACTTGCACGCCACCAAGCAGGAGCTGACCATTGCGCGCAAGTCGTCCGAGTCAGACGCCTTGCTCCTGCATGATCTCTTTGAGCAGCTGCAGCGGCTTCAGGAAGAGAACTTCCGCTACACAGCCGCCCGCGTTCGCCCGGCAGAACGAGGCATCAACCCGCCACCGTCCGAGCCTGCGCTGCCTGCAGCCCAGTCTGCGCCGCCTGCGCCTGCGCTCTCGGAGCCGTGGCCGTCTGAGCCGAGCGACGTCGTCCTTCCGCCTTGGCCACAGGGCGGCAATGCCGACAATAAGGCCGGAGGCGCGGTCAAGACCGCTGGCGCTGTCGCTGCAGAGGCCGAGATTGGGGCCGAGGACAGCCCAACGCTCTCGTCAAGCAGCAGCGACGAGCCGAACGCATCCGGCGTGATGGACTCGCTCGGGTGGGTCCAGCTTGAGCCCGAGCCCAAGCCCAAGGCGGAATCTGTGCCAGCTCACTCGCTTGCGAGTGAGGAATCTTCTGAAGTGTTTGAGCTGGAGCATGGGCCTGCAGGGGCCGACTTTGAGGCGCGGGCGGCGACACCGGCCAAACTCACGCCGCAGCAAGTGGCGTACCTCGCCGATCTGCGTGATCAAGTCCTTGAGCTTGAAGCGCGTCACCGGGCTCTGTCCGAGCAAGAGCACTCGCTGGAGGCGACGGAGGACTCGGTCTCGCTCCGAGACTCGACCCAAAGCCGAGCAGCGTCGACCTCGTCGCTCCTTCCGGTCTTCCATGCCAACGAGTCGTTTGACTCGCGCGCGCACAAGCTCCAGCAAAAGCTGGCGTACCTCGAGATCATGACCCAGCTCAAGGCCGAGAAGCTCCGTGGCTCGGGCGCGGGGGCACTCACCGCGACCTACCTCGATGCCAGCGACAGCAATCCAGCCTCGTCAACCTTCCAAGATGTGTATTCCGTCGGCGACACGCTGGGCGGCGACACGTTTGGCGACAACACGTTTGGCGGCAACACGTTTGGCGGCAACACGTTTGGCGGCGACGACTCGCTGGTCACCGGTTCGCTCGATACCATGGGCGATACAACCATCAACCATTGAAACCAAAAGAACTCGATCTGTATCTACCTCTTCATCCGCCACATTCACGCGATGGCGCAACAGCCTGGGCCAGCCGCAAAATGTCGCGGGTTTTGGAATGAAGCCAAGTGCTGCGGCGCCGCCTTGAGTCACGCGCTCGGCAGCCGTGGCAATCGTGGCCATGACTCGCCGCCCTCTCTCCCCCGCCCCCCATATGTCCTCAGCACCACCACACTCCTCCTCCTCCCCTTCCACCTCTTCCCACCTCTACTCGCCCTCTCTCCACCCTACCTCCCACCACAGACCCGACCATGTCGTACTACTCCATGCTTGGCCTCTCCACCTTTAACATTGAGAACGGGTTCCTGGAGGCTCTTGCCCGCTCCTTCCGCGACGCCCTCCTCACCCGGGCAGACTACCAGAACCTCATGCAGTGCGAGCGGCTGGACGGTACGTACTCCCCTTCAAGCCGTCCCCCTCCCCCTCCCCTCCCTTCCCCCCTCTCTCCCTCACTCCTCCCTCACACACTCCATGCGGACTGCCAGACCTCAAGCTCCACCTCTCGTCGACCGACTACGGCAACTTTCTGGCCGACGTGCCTGGGGCGCTCAAGACGTCTATGCTGGAAAAGCGGGCGTGGGACAAGCTTGTGGGCGAGTTTGAGCACATGCGCCTGCAGGCTGTGCAGCCGCTGGCGCAGTTCATGGAGTACATCCGGTACCAGTACATGATCGACAACGTGGTCTTTCTCATCACCGGCACGCTCCACGGCAAGGACGCTGAGACGCTGCTCTCCAAGTGCCACCCGCTGGGCAAGTTTGACTCGATGGCGACGCTGACTGTGGCTACTACCGCCGCCGAGCTGTACGACTACGTGCTTGTGGAGACACCGCTGGCCGGCTACTTTGTCAACGCCTCGCTGCAGGAGGGCGACCTCGACGAGATGAACATCGAGATCATTCGGTCGACGCTGTACAAGGCGTACCTGGAGGACTTTTACAAGTTTGTGTGCTCGCTCGGCGGCGTGACGGCGTCGGTGATGAAGGAGATTCTCGAGTTTGAAGCCGACCGGCGGTCGATCAACATCACCATTAACTCGTTTGGCACCGAGCTCTCGGTCGATGACAAGAAGAAGCTGTACCCCTCGTTCGGTCAGCTCTACCCTGAGGGCATCGACAAGCTGCTGAAGGCTGAGGATCTGGACATGGTCCGGGCTGCTGTCGACTTTTACACTCCGCTCGACCAGTTCTTCGACGACGTTGACGGCATTGGCGGCGACTCGCTCGAGGACAAGTTTATTGCCCACGAGGTCCACCTGCACAAGGAGTCGTTCAACCAGCAGTACCATCTCGGCGTCTTCTACTCGTTCCTCAAGCTCAAGGAGCAGGAAATCCGCAACCTGCTGTGGATCGCCGAGTGCATTGCGCAGAACCAGCGTGACCAGATGACCAAGTTTGTGCCGATGTGGTAAACCAACATCTCTGCCGGGTGCGTTACATGTATGTAGTGTGCGTGTTGGGTTGTGACGGAGAGTGTGTGGGGTGCTTTTCTGATCCAGACTCAAGACTGCAGGGCCTTGGCGACGTTGGCCTGGACCTCATTGTCGAGCGACTGGACAATGGCATCAAAGTCGGCCGAGGCAAGCGACGAGTGGACCTGGCGCAGGATGTTGACGACGCGCGGGGTGAGCTCGTCGGAGCAAAACTGTGTGTTGAGGATTGAGGCAAGGACTGAGACGAGCTTGGGCAGGTTCGCACCGTTCTCGCCGAGGGCCCCGGCATGGTTCTGCTCGATTAGTGAGCAGACGAGGTCATAGACAAACTGGCCCTCGACGACGTCGTGCATGATGGGCAGCTGCTCGATAAAGTAGGGAACAAGGGCCGAGGTATCGGTATTGTTCGACTGGTGGGCGATGATCTTGGCGAGGATGGCGATGGCGTTGTCGGTGGCGTAGGCGTGGTCGCCCTCACGAGCGTGGGGTAAGAGCAGTTTTCGCGGACGATGTTGAGGGTGATGTCCATGAGGTCGGCAAAGTCGTCGCCAAACTTGGCGGCGGCGGCGCCGAGGCCGTAGAGGGCGGCCTGGCGGACTTCGGGGTGCGGGTCAGTGGCGTAACGGATGACGTTGCCCATGATGTCGCCCATGTACTGCTGGGCGGCCGGCCAAGCAAACTCGATGACGTCGTCCATGGCGCAGAGCGCCCACTGGCGCTCGGTGTGCGAGCGGTCGGGGTCGAGGAGTTCCATGAAGAGCGGCAGGAGGGCCTCGACGTAGATGGGGAGGAACGAGGCACCGTGAGTGCGGAACGTAGTCGAGGCGATCTGGACCACGAGCCGGAAGACGAGCTCGTCCAAGGCGGCGCGCTGCTCGAGGCTCGTCTCCATCTCCTCGTCATAGTCGATGTCGTTGCGAGCGTCGTTGCGGATGCCGCGGCGCTTCTCGAGGTCGTCCATGAGAATGGCGAGGAGGGTGGCGATGTTGTTCATCATCTTCTCGTCGAGGCAGTTGTCGCCGAGAGCAAAGATCGAGTTGGAGAGTGCCTCCAAGAAGGTGCAGAGAACCTCCAGGTCGGGCTCCGCATGGATGGTCTGCAGCAGGTGGGTGATGATGTACTCGAAGAGGCCGGTGAGGTACTCGACGCCATCGGACGAGTTGGTCCGCTTGAAGTAGTCGGCGGTGGCCATGAGGAGGAAGGGACAGGCGTCGGCGGCAGCCGTCCGCACATCGTCGAAAAAGTAAAAGGTGAGGAGCGGGACCATGAGCTTGGCAATCTGGTCGACGTACTCCCAGATGGCGCCCTGCAGGTCGCGGACGAGGCAGGTGAGCATGCGGCAGGCGACGGCCTTGTCCTCGAGTGTCGACGTCCGGAGCTGGACACGAGTCGAGCCGAGGACAACGGTCTGCCAGCCAACCTGGACGTCGGCGAGCTCGTCAGCGTCCGAGAGGGTGTACTCGGGCTTGATGGCGGCGGTCTCGAGGAGCGGAGGCATGATGGTAGCGAGGTAGGGCACAAAGTCCTCACCAAGCGTCTGCGCAATGCGCGACCAGGCCTCGAGGAAGTACGAGGTCTGCGGGTCGTCCGGCGGCAGGTCCTGGGCCTGGATCTTGATCATGAGGTCCATGACCTCGATGGCGTCGTTGAGGAAGAGCTCCTTGCCCACAGCGAGGCCAATCATGGAGATGGCCTCCATGGCCTTGCCGCGCATGGCGCGGAAGTCTTCACCGTTGGCCTGGTACAGGATCTGCTTGAGGAGCGGGACGAAGACTTCGTAGTACGTGACAAACGCGCCCTTGGAGCGCTCGGCAATGGCAGCCACGCACGTGAGCGCCTGCTCCTGCACGCGAGTCTGCCCGTTGTCCAGCATGCCCATGAGCGCGGCAAAGATCTCGTCGAGGTACCCGGTGAGGAGCTCCGGGTGGAGGCCCTGGGCCAGGTTGACAAGCGCGGCGCATCCATACGCCCGCGTTCGCGGGTTCGCCACGTCGCCCATGACCGTCACGAGCGGGCTGACAAGCTGCTCGTGGAAGGTGTTCTGGAAGGCCGGCGTAAAGTCGATGCACAGCTGGCCAAAGAGCTGGCAGGCCGCGTAGCGGACGCGCGCGTTCTCCTCGAGCAGGTACGGGAGGCACGAGTTGACAATGTCGGCCAGCGAGCCGGTCATCTCCTCGCGGCAACCCTCGGCGACGGCGGCGAGCGCGATGAGCGCGGCGCGGCGGTACGTCCACTCGTTGTGCTTGAGCATCTGCGGCACAAACTCGAGCACCACAGGCAGGACCGTGTTGCCGCCGAGGGCCACAGCAAGCCGGTCGAGCGCCTGCTCGCCAAAGTCCGAGATGCCGATCTCAAACTCGTCCTCATCCTCGTGCTCCTGCCAGCCGGGCGAGTCCTCGACCGCCACCATCATGGTGAGGCAGACCGGGAGCACGTTGTCCATAAACTTGTCAAACTTGCGCATCATGGCCGGCGCGCTCTCGCAGATCTTGGTCAAAAACTCGAGCGCAAGCTGGCGAGTCTGGTGCAGCAGCTTCTCGGTCGTCGCAATCTGGAGCATGGCGTTGACCACGTGGTCGAGCGCAGGGCGGAGAGCCTTGGGCGTAAACTCGGAAATGTCGATGAAGAACTGGATGGCCTTCATGGCGTGGTCCTCCACGCCCGAGTTCAGCCCGTCCGAGACAATTTCAAGCATGGCCGGGAGCAGCGGCTCGTAGTACGTCATCGTCTCCGTCTCTGAATCGCGGAGCGAGCAGAGGAACTGCGTCGTGGCGTTGAGGCCCATGAGCCGGACCGCAAACGAGTTGGAGTCGGTGAGGCCTGTCGCAAACGTCTCACGCAGCGGCTCGGCAAACTGCCGAAGCGGCGAGTCGTGGACGGCGCACATCCGCGCAAACACAAAGAGCGTGTTGAGCCGGACGTCCGGGTTCGAGTGCGTCGCCATCGGGAAGAGGAACGGAAGCAGCTCTGGCCACTCCTGCTCCTGTTTCTGGTGGAGCGAGAAGCAGTCGGCAATGTTCTCGCAAATCGCACGCATCACCATCGGCACCTGCTCCTCCTGGAACGCACGCAGCAGCTGCGTCTGCACCGTCGTCATCACCTGCTCCGAAAGATGCGTCCACAGCAGCTGCTCCTCCGGCCGGTCAAACAGATCCCGCCGCAACAGCACTGCGCACATCTGCCGCACCACAGGGTTGCTCGAGTCGGTCATCGTCGCCAGCGTGTACGACGCCCACGCGTCCGGATGCCCCTGCAGGCCGCGGTACGTGCTCTCAGCGTTCGTCCGCACCTCGGTCTCGTCAGACATCAGCTGGAGCACAAGCTGCTCAAATTGCTCGACGTCACTCATGCCGCACGTCTGTCCTCCACATTCCCCTCACATCTCGGTGAGCTCTTGGCCTTCTCTCCTGCACTCCTACCGCTCGCTAGCGCTTTCCACGTCCCCCCCCCCCCCCCCCGCCGGCCGTCTTGGAAGGATCGTCCGAAAATCAATCCAGCCCACAACCGTTTCACTCCCCCTTCCTCCCCTCGGAGCGGCCGACTCTGGACTCGCTTTCTTTCCAGAAGGGGTGTGTGTGGTGCTATATGGTGTGCCTGCTGTGGCACTGGTGGTTGGCATGGTGTCTGCTATCATGAGCCCCCTGGCTGTCTGGGCATGGGTGGTGGTGGGGTCAGCCAGGGGGGGTTGGTTGGTGTAGAATCGTACGAATGGGGTTCGGGGAGTTGGGTGGTCGTCCGTTGTTTGGCGTGCCTTGTTCGAGGCCAGGCGGCTGGCCGAGGCCGAGGCCCATGGTCATGACCTCAACGATTAGCTCGACGAGTTGGTGTTCAGCCAGTCTACGGGGTGGGAGTGGGGGTGGGGGGTGGGGGGATCTTTGCCTTTGAAATCGTGATGGGCTTGGCCGTCGGCATGGGGTGTGCCCATCGGGTGCGTGGTTGGATTGGACTACTTCTTGGTGGCTTTAGCCGGCTTGCTAGCCTTGGCGGCGATGCGGGCGGCGCGGGCGGCATCCGCAGCCAGCTCGGTCTCAATGTCCAGAGGCTGGGTGCGGTACTTGGTTAGCGGCTTGGCGGAGGCTGCGGCGATGGCGGCGTCGACATCCGCGCGCGAGGCCGGGACGAGATCATAGTCGTGGGCAAGGCTGGCCTCGACCGCATCAAAGAAGTCATCAGGCGAGGCGATCCAGCCGAGCCCAGTGCCATGTGGGCCCAGCGCTCGCACAAAGTCGGAGTGCGAGCGCGAGGCGCGATACTGCGGCCGCTTCTCGGGCAGGGTGAGATAACGCTCCAGGAGCGCTGGATCAAAGTCAAAGAGAAACGAGGTGTGGTGCACAAAGTAGTGGCGGGCAAGCGACTGCGCGTTGCCGGCAAACTTGGCCGGCGGTGGTGCGCCATCGCTGCTGCTCTCGGCGATGTAGTCGTTCTCGCGCAGCGCAAAGGCGTCCTGCCGAAGCGCTGGGCCGTACACCGCGTGATGAGACCACTCCATGAGGCTTTTGGGCGAGAGCGCCGACGCCGATGCCGCAAGCTGCGGCACAGCGCGAGCGTCGAGGATGAGCGAGGCGAGCATAGTGCCCTTCGCCACGTACACCGTTCCTCCGCCGGTGTATCGGCGGACGAGCTTGACGCCGTCGGCGGCCACAGCTTCAGTCCGCACATCCTTGGACACTCGCCCGGCCACGCCCAGCACCACCGTCGGCTCTGGACACCGCGACAAGACCAGCCAGCCGTCCGATGGTGGCGATGCGGCATGCCCTGCCGTCCTCCCACCGCCCTCACCACGGATGACGCGACGGAAGAGCTCCTCCTCAGCCCTCAGCGCCTCGAGCATGGACCCACCGCGACCAAAGGCCTCACGCACCACACGAAGCACCGGCCTCAGTGCCATAGAGCCTCGATTGGTAGAGTTAGTGAGATGGGGTGTATGCGTATATGCGTGGTGTGTGTGTGTTGTGGTTGACCTGCAGCTTGGGGGGGAGGGGGGACGGGCGGGGATCGAGCACCAAGCAAGGCGGGTTGGCATGGGGGGGGGATCAGGACCAGGGTGATGATGGGCGGGGCGGGGAGAGGAGCTAGGGGTGGTGGTTTTGTAGTGGCCTGTAGGGGAGATGATCGGGAATATGATGTGACCTCCCAGGGTTGATGTTGGTTATGGTCTGAGATATGATCAAAGTCTGGATGTAGGGCAGAGATCAGCAGCGGCTGGGCTCCAGCTTGTTCCTGGTGTGCTTGTCTGGCGCATGTGGCGGCGCAGCCGAGAGGGGGGGAGGGTACAGGAAGAGCGAGAGGAGGAGGTAGACTTGGCTAACTCGAAAAGGTTGCAGATAGAAGAGGTGGCAGAGTGTGGATATGCTGCTCAATCTCCCGCCCGAGGTCCTGACCTTCCATCTCTGTCGGTTTCTCGACCCGTATGCTCTGGTGGCTCTCTCGCGGACATGCCGTGGTCTGCGGTCGTGGGCGGCGTCGTCGCGGGGTCTGTGTCTCAAGCGGCTCTCTGGTGGGGCGACTGGTCTCTCCTACTCATGTGCTGCTGCAGATCCGGCTTCCGTTGTCCACGTTGACCGCGCAGCCCGTGGGACTGTCCTCATGCGCGCGGCTATCGCTTCGCTCACCGCCGACGATGCGCTCGCCGGCCCGCGCCCGCTTGTGGCCGATGGCGTCGTCCGCACGCCCAAGCAGCCGCTCTTTCCCACCTACGCCCCGCATCTGTTCCACAATCCGGAAGCACGACTCTCGCTCGCCTTTAAGCATGTGTCCGACATGACGGTTGCAGGCCGTTACGACGTGTACGACGTTGTGGGCGATTCGGGCGTGGTGGCCTCGGTCGCGGTCGGCGCAAGATCAGTCCGCAACAAGTACGGGTGCATGATCCGGAGACAAGAGTCGGCCTTTGGTGCGTTTGTCACCGCTACCCATGTCATTGTCGTCTGTGCCTCGTACGGCATCGCCGCCGTCCTGCCGTACACCGCCGGCGCAACTGCAGCCGACTACGACGGCGACGAAGTGCAGTACGTCAAGCTTGCGGCTGCATCGCCGTCGGCCATAGCTGTCGCCGGCCGTTACCTCGCGCTCGGCTTTGCCAACGGTGTTGTCCAAGTCATCGACACTGATCCCGAATCGCCGGCCTTCTTTGCGGATGCCACCACACGCGCCTCGTGGCCGCTCTTCCCCAAGGGCAACCCAGTCACCAACCTTGTCTTTTCCAGCGATGGCACCGAAGTCTTTGCCGCGTGCCCCAACGTTGGTGCTCGCCGCATCCCCCTCGCGGCCTTTCCGGTCCTCATCTGCTCGGCGCTCACCGGCCGCCAAAAGGCGCAAGCACGTGCCATGCAGACGAGCTACCCGTTGCCGCGAGCCATCGCAGGCTTGATCGTCCTCCCGACCTCTGTCGTGCTCTACGATCATGCCAAGGCCAGCCTTGTCGTTTTCGATGTCGAGACTGGAGGCGTTAAGCGGCGCCACAAGGTGCCGCACGCTGCTGGTCTCGAGCTGCGCAGCCTTACGTTTGACATCGACACGCGCCGGCTTGACCTTGTCGCCCGGACCGCAATCCTCAGCGCAACCCTAGTCCCTGCGCATCAGCAGCCGACCGACGAATCTGAGGTCTTGGAGCCAGGATTGTCGGATCCGAATCCAGATCCCGAGCCGGTAGCTGCTGGGCCGAGCCGCAAGCGGCGGCGCGACGATGCCGACGCCGACGATGACACGAATGGGTCGCGGCCGACCAAGGCCCGCGACGGATCCGTCGATCCCGCCGCGGTGAGCCGGCCGAGCCGCGGGCGCTCGACGGCGTGATTTGCTGCCTCTCCAGCGTCTCGGAGCGCAAGGCTGTTCTCCAAACCGCCATTGTTGAGGCTGGCGGTCGAGTCACGGACCGAGTCACCGCCGGTGTCGATCTGCTCATCACCGACAGTGGCGCGGAGACCGCAAAGGCCCGCAAGGCAAACCAGCTCGGCATCGAGCGCCTCACCTCGGTCCAGCTCCGTGACCGCATCGCCAGCTTTGACCCATCACAGCAGGCATGATTGCGCCGACCAGCTAATACCTGCCGATGGCCGTAAATGTAACGTCAGAACCAAGCACCAGAACCAGGCACCCGCGTGCGCATGCGTGCTTGGGACTTTGGGGGGGGGGGGGGGGGGGGGGGAAGGGCTTGCACCCGTCTTCCTCCCCCGTCCACCGCCCACTCGATTCTCTTTCACAAACACACATACTTATGGTGTGGTGGGTGGTACCCACTAGTGTGTGGGCGTTGGGCTGGCTGGTTGTGGGCGTGGCGCTGCTTGGCGTTGTCTTTGGTGCCATGGACATGGAGAGAGCGTACTCGGTGACCATCAGGCTGCCCTTTATGGAGCGGAGCTTTAGGTTCAGCAAGCCAGCGCGAGGCGAGCGGGACAAGCAGACGTTGCTGGTGTATGCCTTTCTGCGATGGCACATGCTGGCCACGGTTTGCTTGCTGGTGGCCTCGGTCTCGCTCCTCGCGCCTCGGGCGCAAGCACACGAGTCGAACGCCGGAAAGCTGCTCGAGCTGGATGCACTGGCGGTGCAGAACGCCATGCACGCGATCTACATCATTGGCTATGCAGCGCTCTTCTACCAGTCGCGGCTGCTCAAGTACTGGTACTTTCTGGCGCTGGCAGATGGCCTTGTTCTGGTGGCGGTGATCAAGCGACTCGCGTTGCTGGCCGTCGCGCGCGCCTGGGATTCGGATGAGGGTGCGGCCACCACTCTGGTGGCTCTTGCGTATGCCGCCACTTATTTGGCGTGCGTCTCGTCGGCACTCCGCGCGCACAATGTGCTCAAGCGGAGCATCGAAGCCGAGCCGACGCATGCGCGCGCTTTGTCCAGCTCGGACGATCCGAGCGGCGACCTGCTGCCGGGCCTCCCAGTGGGCTCGAGCGAGGGCGAGAGCGAGAGCGAGCAGCAAGCGAGCGACGACGAAGTGGCGCTGTTGTTGTCTGACACGAGTGCGGAGCCAAGCTCACCTCTGCTCTCATCTCCGCCGATTCTCTCGCCTTGCCAGCTGAGCTCAAGTGGCAGCTGCGAGACGGCAGACGTTGGAGCGACATCGACGGCGGCTGCTGCAGCGGCGGCGAGTCGGGTGGGAACGGCGCGGGCGCCTGTACTGGTGGCGCCGGAGGAGTTTGGCGTGATTGGAGTGGCCGCCGAGGATGCGCATGTTCAAGCGCTGCAGCCGTCGTGGGCGCTGATGGCAAGCTCGCGCATTGCACGGCAGTGTCTCTATGCCGAGCTCTGCGTCTCGATTGCCATGCAAGGAGGAAGCGTGGTGGCGGCGTGGGCGGATCCGCAACCACAGGCTGCGGCCTCGATGGCGCACTTTGTGGAAGACTACACCGGCGGAATCCACCGGGCGTTGGTTTTGACCATGGCCATGTACGGGGCGCGGTACCTGCGGACCGAGCCGGCGCTCATGTACATGATGGCCAACGTCGTGCTTGCGCCGTCACTGGTGTTCCGGGCTCTCTCGTTCCTGGCTCAGTCATGGCAGCTCTCTGCTGCTGGGCTGGCCGGCCTTGCACTCTTTGGCGCGCTGGTCGGGGCCAAGCTGAGCGTAGTGTGGTCGCTGTTTGCGCTGCGGCGACGGCTGCTCCGGCACCCTGCCCCATCGGGCGAGCGGCTGTCTGGCGAGATCTGGGGCGGCTCGCACCTCCATCCGCCGGGCACGTCGCTGCTGACGCTGGGTCGGGAGTCGGGTGCGCATCTGACGGCCGGCGGTGCTGTGGTGGTCGGCGGGGTGCTGTGGCTTGGTCACTGCCTGGCGCTGGTGAGCTTGCGCGGTGGTCTTGTCGGCCTTGTGCTTGCGGCCAACTTTGCGGCGCATGGCTTTGGTTGGTACGGATGGAGCATGTACCATGCGCCGCGGGTGCACCACGCTGTGCACTTTGTGTGGCGCAAGCGGTTTTACTCGACGCTTGCGCTCACGCTCTGCGTGCTCTCGGTTCTGCCGTTGGCTGGCTGGCTGCTGGCGGGCGCGCCGCGGAGCGGACTTGAACTCGCTAGCTACTGGTTGGTGCGGTCGGGAGCGTTTGCCGTCGCGGGCCTCGCACTGGCGGTGATGCGCAACGTGAGCGCCGGGCCGGCAGCCGAGCCGCTTGTGAACGACGACAGGCCGAGATCACTGGCGTTGGACGCGCTGGATATGCGGCAGCGTGCTTGGTATGGCGCGAGCTCGTCTGCGGCGGCAGGCTTCCTGGGAGTCTTTGTAGTTGTGGTCATGTGCGCGTCCGGGGCGCTGGGCTGGTTGGAGGGCGGATGGTTGTCGACACTGGCCGAGGCCGAGCAGCACTCGGGTGCGTACGACCTGGCGTATCATTTTTGTCTCCTTGTGGGCGGCTTTGGAGTCCGCGGCGTGCTCTATTCGCACGATATGTCTCTGTATGGGACGGTGCTCGGCGGGTTGTGGGCGGCTGCGATTGCAGGATGGGGCTGTGGAGCCGGCCAGCTCGCAGCCGGGGCGCGGGTGTGTGTGGGAGGCATCGGACTGGCGGGGCTGGCGATGGCGGTGAGCCATGGGGTGCTGCAGCAGCGGGTGAGGCGCGCCGGGCGTGGCGTGGAGGGCGCGAGTGTGTGGTAGTGTTTGTTTCAGTCTTCGGACGCGCCGTCGGGGGCGGAGAACCCGTACTCGGCCTTGTTGTGCATGATGAGCTCACCGTTGACGAAATAAAACGAGTCGCTCTTGGTGTGGTAAGGGGCAGCGATCATGGCGGCCTCCTCGTCGGGCGTGAGCTGCGGCATCTCGTAGATGACCTCCCACGAGTTGGTCGAGTTAGGGATGCAGAAGCCAAAGTTAAAGTCAAACGACTTGAGCAGCTTGTCGCCAAAGTAATGGCGTTCAATCATGCGAAAGTTGGGCACCGGCTCGGGGCCGACGGAAAAGGTGAGGGCGGTGCCGATGGTCTTGTAGCGGAGAAAGGCAGCGCCAAAGTCGTACGAGACAAAGCGGCCCGAGTTGTCGCCCTCGACGGGCGGCGGCAGAACGAGATCGTCCGGCTTGCGCATGTTGAACAAGACAGCGCCCGAGTCGAGGTCGCGGATCTTGAACTCGATAAACTCAATCCCGTAGACGTTGGCGGAATGTGGGCAAAGATAGCCCTGCGTCGCCTCGTTGTACCCGAGCACCTCGTCGGGCGTGATCGCCCGCCAGTCGCCGTAGTCGCCCATGTTCTCCGTCACCTGCCGCGGCCGTGCCTGCTTCTAGGAGTGTTCCGCCCCGTCTGCGACTCCTTCCAAACCTTTCCCGTTGGGGTGTTTGAGTGGAGTGTGGTGGGGGCTGACTTTTCCGCTGTTGACCTCGTTTGGGAAGGTGTGAGGCCGAGGGGAAGGAGGGGGGGAGGGGAGGGGAGGAGGGGGGGGGGGCGCCCCTGTCCCCTCAGCCACGCGCCGCCCAACAATAACGATTGATGACAAATGAAATGAATGATTACATCAACGTCAACAATTGTTGTGGCCAGCCATCAACGATTCTAACGATAATGTGAACGATGACAATCGCTGTTGCGGAGCCAAGCAAGTGGTTTGCTAGACTTGTCGCTGGATCCCAGGCTATGTCACGTCCTGAACCCCCACCGCCACCCGGATACACCGGACATGTGTCCCGGCTTGACGTACGTCCACGCTCTTCTACACCCCTATCCTGGCCTTACTTCCAGCCCCCCCCCCCTCCTTTCCCTCCTTCTCCACAGGCACACTTTGGTGCGTCGTACGGGCGGACGATGCGGCAGCTGTCGCAGAAGGCGCCGGCGGCAGCGGGCGGATACGGAGCGAGCCGGCGGTCGCGGCCGGTGGTCACGCCGGTCAACAACGCATCGAACCGGAGGTCTCTGGTGGCGGCGCTGGTGGAGGCCGAATACGAGCCGCCTCCGGGAGGGGCGGCAAAGTCGTCGATCCAAGAGAACAGAGTCGGGCATCCGCTCAAGTCTGGCTACACTGGATACGTGCCGCGGGCCAAGAACCATCACTTTGGCGAGACCTTTGGCGCAGCCACCTATCGGGCCTTGGCAGAGTCTGAGCAGATTCGCCGCAAGACACAGGCCGAGCGCAACCTCTTTGCCACGTACGCTGTTCAGCGATCGGGTGTGGCTGGGACCCGCCGCACAGGCGCCTCGGCGGCCTCACTGCGCAACCCCTACGCGTCGACCTCGCTCTCGTATCGCCCGCTTCAGGTCGCAGACTACTCGCTCCGCACCCTTGATGAGCTCGGCGCTACCCGCGGGCCGACCGAGGCTGCCGCCGATGGCAGCAAGAGCGAGGGCAAGGGGGAAGACGCAGACGACGGCGCTACCCCACCGCCGGCGGCCCAGGCCGGCGACGACGAGCCGCAGGGCTTCGACCTGGCCGCCGCCCGGCAGGTCGGCAACACCGCGTCGGCCGCCAAGCGTTCCAAGCCCGGCTTTGACATGAACGCCATGGCCACGTCGCCGTACCGACTCCCGCGCGGCCATCCGCAAAAGTACTTTATCCCGGCCTACACTGGCTACGTGCCCGCCGCCCAGAACCAGATCGGCAAGAACTTTTCCGACACCACCCGCGCTGCTCTTGAGGAGTTTGCCGACGACTGCGACGTCAACGAGACCATCCGCCAGTCGACCACTCCGGCGCTGGTCCACTCAATCCGATCGTCGTACTACACCGGCGGCGTTGCTCGCCCGCCGCCGCGCCCGGCCCAGCCCTACGTCCGCCCTGTTCCGGGCGCCACCGTTCATGTCCCCAACGCCATCCACACCATCGGGGTCACCTACGGCTCGCTCGTGGCCGAGCCGTCGGACCAGAGTGTGTGCACGTAGTGCAAGAGTACCACCCCTCCTCCCTCCTTCCCCACTTTCCCTATTGAAGTCATTTCAAGGCGGCGCTGGCAGCCGCACGTCGTGCTTGGTTAGGCCGCGGACCCGGCCAGCCGGCGCGACAATGCGCTGGAGCGAGGCGGCATCGGATGCACAGTTGGGGCAAGCGTTGCCGATGCGGCGCATGCAGCCGATGTGGAAGAGGGCATTGCAGTCCTCGCATCGGTACGCGTGCGGTTCGTCGAATGGATACAGCGGACGCGCGTCGCAGAGACTGCACGTCATCGCAAGCGCCGAGCACCGCGGGCAGGAGGCAACGTGCTCAAGGACCTTGTCACGGACAGCGATCATCCGCCGCATCAACGAGCCGTCGGTCGACGCCAGCAGATCGGCGAGCGAGTACAGGTCGGGGTCAGAGACGAGGTGCGGCGCGTCGTCAACCATGTCGTCGACCGCCGCAGCTACGCCCGAGGTGCAGGTCGTCAGGAACGAGCGCATCTCTTTCAGCAGCGAGCGGTAGTGGCGGAGCGAGGATAGCGGCTTGGAGAGCGAGTACAGTGACGAGTTGATGGCAGCAATGTCAAATGCGGGCTCGTCGGCGACCGAGTCCAGAAACTGCGCAGCGAGCGCACTGATCGGGTACGAATGGGTGTCGAATCGCGCCAGTAGCTTCGCTGGAATGATCGAGGAGCAGCTCCCGCCGCCGGCAGGCGTCCAACACCCGACAGCCGAGCACAAGTATCGGCCAAAGTAGGTGCAGAGTCTGCCAGACGCCTTGCGCCGCAGCAGGCCGGCCCGTTGTCCAAGCGCGGTGCCGCATCCGTAGCACTGGATCGCCCGCGCCTCGGCCTCGGGTGGCTCCTCGTAGACGATGATGCGCAGCCGCGGCGGGGTCCAGGCCCGCGGCCGTGAGCTGCTACGGCCGTCAGGAGGCGCCACTGGTGACGTCGCCTGCGGCATGGCCGACCGCGACCCGGCTCGCAGCGCGCGCTCGAGCGACGGTAGCGGGAGGAGCGGGCAGATCGAAAAGAAGCCCGCAAGCGCTTTGCTCGTCACCTGCGCTGGCGTGGCAGCGTCGAGGCTTGATGGCGCAAGGATTCGCGATGTCAGCGCGTCCATCATCTGTACCTCCGAGTTGGCGGCTGTGAGAAGCAGCGGCTCGCGGGCGAGCGCCAACGGCTTGGCGCGCCGCCGCGACCGGACAGCAACTGACGACGCATTAGACGAGTGGACTCCTGTCCGGCCACCGACCGACGGCGTGGGAAGGTTGAGCGTCCGCAGCTCGGACGTGAGCCACTCGTCGTCAAACTCGAGTTGGAGACCAGCGTCGTTGCCCTCGGCGCTCTCGTCAACCTCGGTGCTTGTCGCCTGGTCAACTTCGCTCTCCCTGCTCGCCGCACTCGGTCGAACTGCCGCCGCCCCTGCCGCATCGCTCTCTCCAAAGTCCCACAGAGACTCGAGAAACGACGAGATGTTGCTCGACTCTGCGGATCCAGGGTCCAGCACCGGCTCGGGCGTTGGATCGGAAGGTCTTGGCATTTTGGCCGGACTCTGCACAGCGCTGGGCGTCTCCGCCGGTGACTCGCTGGCGAGCAACGACTCGACCCGCGCGAGCAGGGCCGATGTTGACGCCGCCAGTGCCGGCACCGTGGGCGACTCTGCAGCGCCATCAGCGGCGAGCAAAGTCTCGGGTTGTGTGCCGAGTTCGTTGGGCGTGAGGGAGGGTGTGTGGTCGAAGGAAATGCCTGGTTCGGGCACAATGGCATTGTCCGGTTCGGACACGACGGTATCGACATCGTCTGGTTCAGGCGCGGCGACATCGGCGTCGGCATCGTCTGATTTCGGCGCGGTGACGTCGGCGTCGGCATCGTCTGATTTCGGCGCGGTGACATCGGCATCGGCATCGTCTGATTCTGGCTCAGCGGCAACAACACTGTCCAGATCGGGCGCGGCAACATCGGCATCGTCTGGTTCGGGCACGATATCATCATCCGACCCAGGCAGCGTATCATCGGGCACGTCACCACCGCTGCTCATGGCGTCAATGTAGGCGAGCGGGTCGATACGGGTCGACGGATCACGATACTTGGTGTAGACCGAGTCGGCATCGTCGGCGGCAACCTTGGCGGCGGCAGCCTTGGAGGCAGCGGCAGCTCGCGCCAGATGCGCAGCAAGCGTGGGGTTGGGCCGCGGTCCGCCTTCCTCGGCTGGCTCAGGCTCGGGCTCGCCCACAGTGAGGATCGGTGGCGCAGGAGTGAGTGCAGACGGCGGAGCGTTGCGCAGCGCTTCACCCTTGCGGTTGGCAGGCCGAATGACGGCCACCGACGAGGCCGGCGCCTCGGCCGAGTTGCGGCTGTTCCCTCCGGCCCGTGACTTTTTGCCTTTGCGCTTGCGGCGGCGAGTCCGCCCGGACGAGCCTGACGAGCCGGGCTTGCGCGGCGAGGGCTGGGCCTCGCGGTCCTTTCGCGCCGCCAGCGCTGGCGAGAGCACAGCCTGCGGCGTCGGCGATGGAGAGCGACCAGGCGTCGTCTCGACCTCAAACATGATGTTGGACACAACAGTCTTTTCCGCAGGCCGCTCAAACTCTTCAAACTGTACGTCGAGCATGTCCAGATCAAAGTTGAGCGCCTTGAGCGGGACCACAAACGAGACCAGGAGCGGCGCATGCTCCGGAGATGCCATTAGCGCATGCGGCTCGTAGTACGTCTGAATTCCGTCTGGCACGTCCAGCAGCGCCTGCAGATACTCGTCCAGCGAGCCCTCCACCAGCGCATACTTGATCAGCGCCCGGACCCGATCCGCATCTGTCTTTAGCAGCTCGAGCGACCGGATGGTCTGAATGGCCGCCGTCCCGCGCGCCCCATCGCACACCTCCAACTGCGCCAGAAACGCCCACAGCAGCGGCGCTCCTTTGCGCTTGAACCGGCTGGCTGGCACCGCGTCTGTGTCGTCCCGCCGCAGCACATGTGAGCCAAGCGCATTTCCCCTCCCCCCCCCCCTCTCCCCACACGCCCTATCTGAGCAACCTACGCTTGATTCCGTGCGAGAGGATCTGCTCGAGAGCCACACAGAGATTGCGTAGCAGCGGATGTGCGTCGACGACGCTGGTGTGCTTGCCGCTACCCGAGGCGTGGCTCTTGAGCATCATGTTGACCAGGCCACGGAGGCTCGTCAGCAGCATGTCATGCCCACTCTTACTCTCCATGCTTGCCTGCTCCCGCCTCCCTCCACCTTGTGCGCCTCTTCCACCTCTTTGCAAAAGAGTGCAGTGAGTCCCCTCCCCCTCCCTCCCCTCCCTCCCGCGTCTTGCCCTCGCCGCCCTCGCCGTGGTTGGCTGTCTCGCACTCGCCGCACCCGACGAGGCGTCAATGGCCGCCAATGAGAGCTATTGGCGCGATGGCTCTCATGATGGCGATCTTGGGGCCCAGCGGCTACCTACAATATTGCTCTACTCTCGAGCCCGCACCCCACCCCTCACCCCTCCCTCTGCAGCTACTTGTCTGGTTCTTGTCCGACCGCATCGATCACGATCACGATCATAATCACGATGACGATGACGATGACGATGACGATGACGATGACGATAGCAATATCGATAGTGATCATGACTGCGGTCACACCCCTGCAAGGAGCACAATTGTGAACTGAACGCCAACCCCACAACCAGCACTACAACCACGATACCCCGCTTCCCTCCCTCCCTCCCCCGCCCGCCGCCCACAACCGTCGTCAACGTCAGCGTCAGATCATGATCACGATCACGATCACGATCACGATGACCCAGCCCACCTCCTACCCCCTGCCAAGCCCATATCTCCTCACACCTCACCCGCGTTCCTGGACTGGCCATGCTTCGCTTTACACTGGGCAAGGTACGCATGTGAGTGGCTCTTGTAGACGCTGCAGAGGAGGGGTGGGGAATGAGGGGAGAGGGGGTGGAAGAGGGGGGGGGTAGGGGGGGGGTGACGGGGGACTGCCGTCATTTTCCCCATGGTTGACGTGACTTGGGGCAGGCAGCAGGGAGGGAGGGAGAGGAGGGGTTGTACGGTGGTACAGGATGGGGAAAGGTGTATAGTATACACGTTGGGATGGGTGTGGGGAGGGGGAGTTCTGGCCTTGCTGGATGGTAGAGAGCGAGAGGCACCAGGTGGGTATAGCTGGCTGTCCAAGTGGCTGAGCGCGTCGTGGGCCTGGGGAGGGGGGGGTAGAGGGCTTGGGGTGGGGGACTGTGGCGTGTGACTCATGGCTACGGGGGTGAGGCTGAGGTAGACACCTTCTGTACTCGCTACTGCGGTGGCGTCAATGCGCGGGAGCCCTGCTGGGGCGTCGTTCTCTGCAGCGGCGTACCTGGCTGATGTGTTCAAGCTCAAGCTTGCGGATCTGCACGAAGGTCTCGTGGAGGCTGACATCAAGGAGTGGCTGGTGGCCGAGGGCGACGAGGTGGGTGAGTTTGAGGACCTGTGCTTTGTCATGACCGACAAGGCGTCGACTGAGATCTCGTCGCCGGTCGACGGCAAGGTGCTGAAGATCTACCACCCGGAGGGCTCGACCGCCAAGGTCGGCGAGGTCTTGGTCGACATTGAGACCGACGGGCCTGTGGCCGGTAGTGAGGCGGAGGCAGCTCCGGCCGCCGAGCCGGAGTCTGCGCCAGAGCCTGCAGCTGCGGCGGCGCCGGCTGGCGGCGCCGGCGGCGAGTACGACGAGCAGATGATCACCAACGCGGCTGGCAAGTCGCGGCGGGTTCCGGCGACGCCTGCTGTCCGCGGCCTGGCGCGCAAGCACAAGATCGACCTCAGCCAGGTCGCCGGCAACGGCAAGGACGGCCGGGTGCTCAAGGGCGACATCCTCAAGTTTATCGAGTCTGGCGGCGCCGAGGGTGGCTTGGCACCTGCGGCGCCGCAGGCGCCTGCGGGCGGCGCGGCGCGGGCGCCGGCTGCCGTGGTTCCGGGCGAGTCGCGGACCGAAAAGGTGGCTCCGGTCACCAAGGCCATGATCCGGGTCATGGAGGAGGCCAACGCCATCCCGCACTTTGGCTACTCGGACGAGATCACGCTTAACTCGCTCATTGAGACCCGACTCCGGCTCAAGCCTGTGGCCGAGGCCCAGGGCATCAAGCTCACCATGATGCCGCTGTTCATCAAGGCCGCGTCCATGGCCCTCACCGAGTACCCGATCCTCAACTCGTCGCTCTCGGGCGACAAGTCTGAGATCACCTACCACGGCTCGCACAACATCTGCGTCGCCATGGACACGCCCGACGGACTCACTGTTCCGTCGATCAAGTCTGTTGAGCAGCTCTCCATCCTCGACATTGCCGCAGAGCTCAATCGCCTGCAGGAGCTCGGCGCCGCCGGCCGTCTCTCGCGTGGCGATCTCGAGGGCGGCACCTTCTCGCTCTCCAATGTCGGCAACATCGGCGGCACCTACCTGTCGCCCGTCATTATTCCGGGCCAGGTCGCCATTGGCGCCATCGGCGCTCTCCGTACCCTGCCGCGCTTTGACGCCGAGGGCAATGTCATCCCGGCCAAGGTTATCAACGTCTCCTGGTCCGGCGACCACCGCATCATCGACGGCGCCACCATGGCCCGCTTCTCCAACGTGTGGAAGAACTACCTCGAGAACCCGGACACCATGATCCTCAACCTCAAGTAAACACCAATGTGGTTGGCTGCAGCACCTGCACAGGGCAATGAGACCAGTCCATCGTTGTCCCGTAGCGCTGGTTGGCTCTGTCCGCACATGCGAGTGGTGCCTCAAAACACCGCGCACGACTCGGCACGCAGCGGCGGCCGCCGCGAAACCACTCCACCTGCAGCCAAGAGGCAGGCCAGAGTCATGGACGACTCGGTGCTCCCAACAGGGTGGAGCAAGCGGACGAATGCCGACGGGAGAGTCTATTACGCCAACGACTTGGAGAAGAAGACTCAATGGGAGCGCCCTGCCGGCCCGGTTCCGCCCACGACCCTCCTTCCGCCTGGCTGGTCGCAGCGTATCGATGCTGACGGCCGGACCTACTACGCCAACGATGTCATGGGCTCTACCCAGTGGGAACGCCCAATCGTCGTGCCGCAGTCTCGCCTTCCGCCGCCGTCTTCGTCATCGTCTGTACAAGGCGGAGCCGTCGACGACGGCTCGGATGCTGCCGCGCTCTTCGCCTCGGGAAACGTGCTGAGCTTGATGGTTGAGGGCAGAGTGGCGGCTCCGGAGCCGGTCTATGTCCATGTCGTCGAGCATGGCCGTGGCGCTGGCAATCTGGTCTTCTTTCGGTGCGACGGCTCCAAGACGCCGATGCGTGCCCAGAACGACGGCTCGTTGGCGTTTACCAGCGGCGGCCGCGACCCGTCGATGCTGTGGCGGGTGCTGCCGGCCGGCCCGGGCGCTGTTCGCATTCTCTCGGTCAAGCACCAGAACGACTACTCGATCGACGGCTCGGACGGGTGGTACATTGGCCTGGCGTCGGTCGACGGCCCGCCGCGGGTGGTGGCCAACGCGCCGCGCGAGCGCGGTCGCATCGTCCCGTCGCTCATCCGCCAGATCGGCGGCAGGAGGGCCGCCGCCACCGCCCAGCGCGCCCGAGGCAAGGCCTCCAGCTCGAGCGGCGGTGGGATCCGCGGCGCTCTGTCGGCCCTCGGCAACGTTGGCCGCTACGCCGTGGGCCGGGTCCAGGCGCTCATCTCGCCGTCGTCGACGTTGCTGCAGACGGGCTCGATTGTGACACTGACCAACGTGGCAACCGGCGGAAGCCTGCGCGAGCCGCTATACGCCCACATGATCACCCGCGGCGCGTTTGGTCGTGCCTTTTTTGCGCGGTGCGACGGGTCCAAAGCCACTCTGACTGTCATGCCCTCGGGGGAGGTCCACTACGACGGCGGCTATGAGACCATGTCGCAGTGGGTAACGGAACAAGTCGGTGGTGAGCCTGCTGAGCGCCGGGCCGACGGCCGTGTTGCGTCGGGCTCGATCGTCGCGCTCCGCTGCGTCGCCGGCGAGGGTCGTGCCAACCGGGCCGGCGGTCTCGACTGGTACCTCGGCATGGATGCCGACGGAACGCTTGTTGGCAACGACTCTGTTGACAACACCTCGGCCCACTGGCAGCTCACCATCCTGTGCAACATGGCCCTGCGCGTCGAGAAGCTGCTCAAGGAGGTGCCGGCCTTTGATGGCACGGTCAGCCTCACCGCCGAGCAAAAGACCCAGTTTTACCTCGACGGCTATCTGCATCTCCCACAGGTGGTCTCACGCGAGCTAGTCGACGCTGCGCTGCAGGTCATCAATACCGCGCTGGGCGATCCCGGCTCGTGGCATCGCAACCCAGACTTTGGCCACTGGGACCTCAAAGGTGTTGACGGCACGCTCGGCTCGCACCCCGCCATTCTCGCACTGCTCTATGCCGCGCCAACCCACGCCTACACCCAAGAGCTGCTCGGCCGTGACAATGTCAACATGCCTCGCGGCGGGCAGGTGGCAGTCCGGATGCCCAATCCAGATGCCAACCACGACGCACCGCAGCACTGGCACATCGACGGTCTCAACAAGGGCCACCACTCGTCGTTCTCGCTTCTTGTTGGCGTCACGCTCTCGGATCAGCTCGGCCCAGACTGGGGCAACCTCGTGGTCTTTCCCGGCCAGCACCACGTCATGGGCGCCAAGCTCCTCGCTGCGGTCATGGAGGCGCGCGCCGAAGCCGCTGCGCGCGGGCCAGGTGTCGATGACGCTGTCTCGGACGACCTCAACTCGTTCATCAGGCAGCCACTCTCCGGCGGCATCGCCCTCCAGCCGCACGCCGGCGACGTCATCCTTGTCCACCACAAGGTCCCGCACCGGGTCCATCACAACCACTCGCCACACATCCGCTACCAGATCTACTTTCGCGTCTCATCCAAGACCGGCGCGCCCTACGACACCGTCACACTCGAGAACATCTTCTTTGGCTTTGAGGGCATGGATGACGTCGTCGCCCAGCTCCAGTAGCAAACAACTGCCGTTTTTAACGCCATACTATCTCGCCAAGCCACACAAGCACGATTGTCGATCTAGCCAAGCTGCACTACGCTTGGCTGCTGCCTGTCGGCGCCTGCCCTGCGTGCATCGCCTGCCACTTGCGGACCTCCTCCAGCGATCCCGTCGGCGGCCGAGGGCCCTCCTGCTCGTTCTTCATCGACGTAAAGCCCTTGAGAGTGTCGGTCATAGCTGTTTCTCTCTCCCGAGTGAGTGCGATGTGCTTCCCCGTCCACCTCGGCTCCATCGCTCGACTCACTTCAACCCAGCGCCACTCCAGCGCGTCATGTCATGGACCACACCGCGAAGGGACGTACCCGGATGAGTGATGACATAGCCCACACCAATGGGCACAGTCAGGTAGATGGCAAACTTGAAAGCCTCCAGAGGCATTCGCGACGTCATGCTCTCGCTCTATCTCTACCTCAAGTCGTGTGTCCCAACCGCGGTGGTTGCCTGTCCCGAACCGAGTGACGCTGTCGCCGTCAAAGCCGACTTGCCTCCACTCGCCTGCTGCTGCCTCACCGCGCTGCACTCCATCACGATGATGAAGACATAATCAGACATGTCATAATGGTGTGCAAGACTATGATCTTGCTTCCTACACTGTTTGGTTGCTATCAGGGCGCGTCTTTCCCCATACCTCGGGAGGCGACGATGCCCACGGCACTCGTACGCTGCTCCCCCAACACCCGCGAGCCGATCCCTCTATCGACGCACATGAGACACGATCCACCACTCAGTATCATTAGCCACTGTATGTGTCTTCCACTTTCATCTGCTTCTGCTGACTTTGGGCGTGTGTAGCAGCCTCCCGGCCGCCCTGCCTGCGCCTTGCACCGGGTACCAGTCCCAGACAGACCCAGTTGCCAGAGCGGCCGCTCGGCCAGGTACCTGAGGCAAGCACAGGCACCAGTACTGCCCCGAGACCCACACCCCTCTCTCACGCTTGTACCATGTGGCCTGCAGCTCCGCGCCACTATCCACATGCCCACCTGCCGTATGTGGCTCACTACCCGCCAGCGCGTCCCAGTCACCCCCTGTCGGCGGCGACGACGTCGTCAGCCTGGGCTCACCCTCGCCATCGCAGTGCTGCGCTCAGCCAGGGCGTTTGGACTCCTGGATGGACTGCCAGCCCATACGGACATGCGCGCATGATGGGGGTGCATGGAGGTGGTCGTTCGGGTGGTGCAGCGGCCGCAGCAGCGTCGTCATCGGCGGTGTCGGCCAAGTCAGACGCCGCAGACCTGAGCTACGGGCCCAAGGTGGTGGTCGTCGGCTCGTGCATGATCGATCTGGTCTTCTACGTCGATCGCATGCCTCAGCTTGGCGAGACCATGCACTGCACCTCGTTCAAGCAAGGCTTTGGCGGCAAGGGTGCGAACCAGGCGTACCAGGCCGCACTGCTGTTTGACTCGCACGGCGATGTGGCCATGGTGGGGGCGGTCGGCGATGATGCCTTTGGCGAGGCCACCCGTGACAACATGGAGGACGTCGGCATCAATGTCTCTTGCCTTGCGCTCACGCCAAACCATGCGACGGGTATGGCCGAGATCAACGTCGATGCCAACGGCAACAACGCCATTGTCATTGCCGCCAACGCCAACACCACCATCACGCCCGACGCCGTAGCCGCAGCTGCCCACTCGCTCTTTGCCTCGGCCCGGGTTGTGGTGACCCAGCTGGAGATTCCGCTGGCCGCCACGCTGGAGGCCATGCGCCACGGCAGGGACGCAGGGGCGCTGGTGGTCTTCAACCCGGCTCCGGCCATTGCCGACCTGCCCGACGAGATCTTTGAGCTTGCCGACTTTGTCACGCCCAACGAGTCGGAGACATCGCTGATGACCGGCGGTATGCCGGTGGAGACGCTTGATGAGGCCGAGGCAGCCGGCCGAGTCCTCCTTGACCGCGGCGCATCTAACGTCATCCTCACTCTCGGCGCCCGCGGCGCGATGTGGCTGTCGGCCGGGACTGGCGACGCCGTCGTCATCCCCATTCCTGACCCGGTGCCTGCCTCTGCTGTCGTCGACACCACCGGTGCCGGCGACTCGTTTGTCGGCGCCTTTGCTTACTACATGGCCCAGACCGACTGCCCGGGCATTGAGCACGCCATCCGCTCGGCGCACCGGCTCTCCGCCGCTTCTGTCCAAGCGGCAGGCACCCAGACGTCGTACGTCTCGGCCGTTGCCGTTGATCCTGACCATTTCCACTGATGGCCACGTAAAGTCTGTCCCCACCCACTTTGCTGCGTTTCGGCGAACTCGGAACCCGACGCGACGCAACCGCCGCTCTCCGCTCTACACCACCGGCTGGCCACCTATTGTCGCCACATCCAGCACCGTACCTTGCCTACACACCAAGCACATGCCGCGGGACGCGTTCATGGCGGCCATTGCTCCGCGGCGGCGAGCCAAGAAGCCAACCATGCCGACGGCGACTCAGCGGGCGGCTGCTCATCGACGACAACTCATTGCCGAGGACCCGATCTCTGCGGGAGCGAGTCTACCCGACTCGCTAGATCCCGAGCTGTATACAAGGCTGCTAGCGCGACCAATGAGAGCATCTCCTCGTGCGCAGCGGTATACGCCGCCGCGACTCGCCTCGCACATCCTTGCTGCCTCCCGATCTGGCGTTCTGCCGCCGCTGAAGGCGCTGGCGCTGGTGGTGGTGGCCAAGAACCGGCTGCACCCAGCCATCTGCAACAACTTGGGTGTCCTGCCTGCAGAGCTAGCCCACGACGTTCTTGCGCACTGTACCGCAGACGAGCTGGCTCAGATTGAGGACGCGAACCTGGCCTCGGTGCTGCCCACCAATGATCTCTGGCTCACCCACTTTGCTGCCAACTACGGCCATGTCATGCTCGATCGCTTTCCGGAGCTTTGCAAGGATGGTGGCTGGCGGGCTCGCTATCAGACGTGCACCCGGTTGCGGCTGGAGTCGGCACGGGCCCGCCTGCGGCAGACAACCGCGGTCGTTGCTGACAAGCCCGAGACTGTTGCCCTTGATCTCTCCGAGCTGCCGCCACAGCGCCGGCGCCGTCGGCTTCAGCAGACGGGCAATGCGTCATCAGGCTCGGCATCAAGGCCGGCGCCGAGATCAAGTCGGAGTAATGCGCGCGCTGCCCTCTCTCGCCTGCTGCCCAAGGGTCTTCTGCGGCGGCTCAACAGCAGCGGCGGAGTGAGGAAGCGTAAGGCCCAAGTCTCGATTCCGTCGTCACAGCTTGCGAAGAAGCAGAAGATGCTTGGGGAAGCCTCCAAGCGCCCTGTCAAGCGGCCGACCTCGTCCGCCGCCCATCAGCGCAGCCAAGCGCCACCGTCATCGTCGACCTTGCGTCAAGCACCAAGCCGCCGTGGTCTCACTATTGCAGCTGGACGTGACAAAGCGGGAGGCAAGCATGTCGGCAAGCGTACAGGCACGGCCAAGTCGACCCGACCCGTCTCAACGAGCCCACGCAAGCGAGCGATGACCCTCCCGATGCCGTTTCCATAACCTGAGCACCCGATGATGCCGTTTCCATGACCTGAACACGACACGACGCTGCTTGCACAACTCATCGAGATCGAGATCGAGATCGAGATCGTGATCAACCAGATCGAGTACTTGTTCCGCAGCAGCAGCAGTACGCACACCTCCCCTCTCCTTAATACAGGCAAGCAATGGTCTCTCCTGGCGCACTCTGGATTGCAAGAAACAACCCCGTCTCAGGTAATGGAGGCAAGGGAGGCCAGGGAGGGTAGTTGATAGACGAGCTTGTGGGCTAGCTGCAGAGCAATCAAACTGTTGCAAGGTGACCAGACCGCCATCACATCGCCTGCCTACTTTGCCGGCGATCTTGGTGGGACCGCCTCGATGCGACTCGTCAGGTGGCGTCGAGGCAGCGGCGTTGAGGCGGCGTTGAAACCATCTCCGAACATCCAGCAAGATCGTGTTTGGCAAGGCCGGGCACCCGACTTGTGTCCGGCCGGGGGCGGGGTTAGGGGATGACAGGTGTGATATCAAGGCGGGGGCATGTAGGACTGATGGTGGTGAGCGTACTCACGGCTCTCTTGCTGCTGGAGACGCGAGGAGGCTCCGTGGCGCCTCCGCCACCGTCTTACATCCTCGCACTCGACACCTACGTGGCGACAGGACCGGACCTGGCCTTTGCGGCCGAGGCGGTACTGGCGCATCCACTGGCGCATCCAGTCTCATGCTCTGCACCGCTGAAGCTAGTTCCACCACGGGAGCATTGCGATACACCGACTCGCTGGTGGTGCTCGACTCATCAGCATCGTGCCGGATGGAGGCCATCAAACCCATGCTCGATCCGCTGCTGAGGCGCGAGTGGGGCGCCTCCATCCGGGCTATCTACCGCAACGCGCGGTTGGATGTGGCCCCACTCTCGTTCCGTGGCTCGACATCGATTGACACGGCGGCAACGCTCGGCGCGCCGGCAGTGTGGTCGTACGGCTCGCACGGCGAGGGCATCCGTGTGGCGATCTTCGACACGGGACTCGCCAGCGAGGCGCCGGGCTTTGGCGACGCAGTGGAGGAGATTACCAACTGGACATCGGACGAGACAACGAGCGACGCTATTGGGCACGGCACGTTTGTGGCCGGGCTGGTGGCCTCGCGCGAGCCGCGGTGCCCGGGCTTTGCACCTGCGGCCTCGCTGCTCATCTTTCGGGTATTTACCTCGAACCAGATGTCGTACACGGCGTGGTTCCTCGACGCGTTCAACTACGCGCTGCAGGCGGGCGTCGACGTGCTCAACCTCTCGATTGGCGGGCCGGACTTTAGCGACGCGCCGTTTATGGACAAGGTCAACGAGTTGTCGGCCAACTCGGTCATTGTGGTTTCGGCCATCGGCAACGACGGCCCGTTGTACGGGACGCTTAACAATCCAGGTGACCAGCTGGATGTGATTGGCGTCGGTGGTGTCGACGGCATGGAGCGGCTGGCCAAGTTCTCGTCGCGCGGCATGACGACTTGGGAGCTTCCGGGAGGATACGGGCGGGTCAAGCCCGACGTAGTGGCGTACGCGACGGCGGTGCGGGGTTTAGCGGCCGACGGTTCGTGCCGCACGCTATCAGGCACGTCTGTGGCGTCACCGGTGGTTGCGGGCGCGGTGGCGCTTCTGGCGTCGACCGTGCCCGCCGAGAAGCGCGCGGCCATTATCAATCCGGCGTCGATGAAGCAGGCCCTGACCGAGTCTGCGCGGCGGCTCGACGAGGCGAACGTGTTTGAACAGGGTGCGGGCCTGCTCAACCTGCAAGGCGCGGCCGCAATTCTGGCGTCGTACACGCCGCGGGCGTCGGCCTTTCCACCGATTGTCGATCTGACCGATTGCCCATACATGTGGCCGTACTGCGTGACGCCGCTGTACGCCACGGCACAGCCTGTCATTGTCAACGTTACGCTGCTCAACGGCATGGGCGTCCACGGCGAGCTCCTTGACGAGCCGGTGTGGGAGACGTCCAACTGCGCAGGCGTGCTTGATGTCACTTTTACGCACTCGGCAGTCCTCTGGCCATGGACAGGCTACGTCGCGCTGCACATCCGAGTCAGCGAGGAGAGCAGCGATGTGTCGCGTGAGTGCGAGGGCTCAGTCACGGTCACCATTGTCTCACTGGAGACCGGCGGCTCGGTGCGGACGACCGAGCTAGTCATTCCGGTGACGGCGCGGGTGATGCCGACGCCCAAGCGTGCGCAACGACTGCTGTGGGACCAGTTTCACTCGCTCCGCTACCCTCCCGGTTACTTTCCGCGCGATTCGATGGCGCTTGGTGCCGACGTGCTCGACTGGAACGGCGACCATATCCACACCAACTTTCGCTCGCTCTTTGAGGCCCTCATCAACGCTGGGTATGTGGTCGAGGTTCTCGGCGCGCCGCTGACCTGCTTCGATCCCAAGCTCTACGGCGCGCTGCTCCTTGTCGATCCGGAGGAGGAGTACTATGCGGCCGAAGTCGACGCCCTGACATCTGCCGTTCGCGACGACGGCCTGGCAGTGGTGGTTGTCGCCGAGTGGTTCAACGGCGCGCTCGCCGACGACCTCAAGTTCTTTGATGAGGCGACGCGCCAGGAGTGGGAGCCTGTGACCGGCGGTGCCAACGTGCCTGCCCTCAACGAGCTCCTTGCACCGTTTGGTGTGGCGCTCTCGGACGCGGTTGTCTCGGGTGTGCTCTCGCTTCCGGCCGGGCAGGTTGTGCTCGATGCCAGCTCGGGTATTGCGCGGTTCCCGGCAGGCGGGCGGCTGGTGGGCGGAAAGTTCCGGACCGAGGTGCCTGGCGCGTCGGGCTCTGTCTTTGCCAACGTGCTGGGCGTGGCTGGTGCCGGCACGGGCTCGGTTGCGGTCTTTGCGGACTCGTCGTGTCTTGATGACGCTGCGGCGACGCAAGAGTGCTTCTGGCTCCTGCTGCGGGTTTTGGAGCATGTTGCCCGCGGCGCCGATCTCGATGTGGCCGCGCTGGGGCTGGGAACCCCGCTCCGGCGAGTCTATGTCGCCTCGGGCGTCTCGGAGCCGACTCGGTTCTCTGCGGCGCTGGGCTACTACTCGGGCGTTGTCGACGAGCAGCATGGGGCTGGCTCGCAGGCGCGCGGGTGCGAGGGTGCGGCGCAGTCGCACGCGCACCGGCACACCATCTCAGACAAGCTAGCAGCCGGCGAGTACTACTCGGACGGCGAGCGGATGCGGTTCCGAGGACAACCAAACGTGCGACTTGGGCCGCGGCCGATGCCTGTTGGCCCCACTGCCGGCGAGTGGCGCGAGGGCGTGTTCTCGTGGCTCTCCTCGCTCCCGGCCAAGATCATAGGGTCGCTCTTTTCCAAGATCAAGGCCTTTGTCACCCAAGGCGGGCTCTGGATGGTCCTGCTCATCATCGGCCTCCTCCTCTGGCTTGCCCGCCTCATCATGCATCGTGTCTTGGACTCTGAAGCCTACTCGCTCAATTCGAAGGACTTTGTGTAAACAGTCGAACGTCTTTGAGCTGTGGCGGGTGCGGGTGCGGCGAGCGGGCGAGCGGCGGTCGCCGCAGCGCCGCGCGACGTGACTCAACTTGGCTCATCGAGCGAGTGCATGGAGGAGGTAGTGTACCGGGCGGCAACCAACCCATGCCGAGCGGGAAGCGGAGCGTTTGCGGTGAGCATGTGCCGTTGGGCGGTCCACCCGTCGGACGTGGTGCCACCGCTGGCCGGTGCGCGGCTGGTGGCGGCGGTGGCTTGCGAGCCGAGGCGGAGCGCCGACGGCGATGCGGTCGCAGCTGCGGCCATCGACTGCAGCCTGTGCATGCTGGGTGGCGGCGGATGGGACGCCGATGCAAGCGGGGGCTGGGATGCTGATCGAGTGGCAGCGTACATGGCTGCCATGGTGGATGCCGCGCCCGGGGCGGCGGTCGACCTCCCGCTCGGCGAGCCGCAGACCGAGGTGGAGGTTCTAGCCCAGCGGGATGCCGTGGCCAGACCGCTCATTGATGCCGAGAACGACGGGCATAATGAGCGCGAAGAATGCCACCAGCGGCGTGTGCATCTGCTGAGGGTACTCGTTTCTAAGCGGCCGGATAAGGACGCCGAGCTCGCCGAGCTGGTGACGCTCGAGCGCGCGGGCGATGCCGCCGCCACGGTCGTCTATGTCCCGCTTTGCCCCACTGACGCCGTCCCGTTCTACTACCCACGGGCGGTGTGGTGGCGGATTGACTATGCAGCACTGGCGGCGGGAGCGAGCGACAGCAATGATGACGATGGCGAGGGCGTGCTACGTGGCGAGATCGAGGTCCGCGCGGCGTTTGCGGCACCCGACGCTGCGGCGGCGTTCAGCAAACACGGGCCGTTTCTGGCCAAGAAGGCTGTCTCGTTTGCCAACGGAACGCAAGTCGGGCGCAAGAAAAAGTACATCTTTGACACGGTGGTCCCACGGAGCGTGTACTCTGCGCGGCGGGCTGAGATCAAGGAGCGGTATGCACAGGCGCTGATGGACGGATGGGCCGAGGCCACTGATCCGGGCAAGCACGTGTTCGAGGACGTGTCAATCGCGGCGTACATGGTGTGCTTGGTGGAAGCGCTCCGCAGCCGCGGTGCGCCCGCCACTGACGTCGACATCATTGATCTTGGCTGCGGCAACGGCGTTCTCGTTCACTTGCTAGTCGAGGAGGGAGTGCGGGTGGTCGGCGTTGACTGCCAGGTCCGCAAGTCGTGGACGGCGCCGAGCCTGTTTTCGTCGGCGGCGCAGGCATCGCTGATGCACAAGGTGCTACAGCCGAGCTCGATGGAGCTCACCGAGCTCGGGGTCACCTCGGCGCTCCTGCTGCTCGGGAACCACGCCGACGAGCTCTCGCCGTGGATTCCGTTCCTTGCGCGCGACTGGGGCGTTCCGCACTTTGCGCTCATTCCTTGCTGCACCCATACCTTTGATGGGCGATTCACCCGCCGCGATCCGGACAAGGGCCGGTACGCCACCTACTGTGAGTGGCTGGTGAACGTTGCCCACGCCGCTGGTTTTGATCTTGTGCGCGAGCACATGCGGCTGCCATCAACCAAGAACGTGGTCATGCTCGACGCTGGAGTCGTGGATCCCACCTCGGACGCCGCCTCCATTCTTCGCGCTGCTGACGCTGATGCCGAGCTCCTCGAGCGGATCCGCGCCGACCATGCCGCCGCCCAGTTTGCGCCGCGCAAGCCGGTCGGCTCGCTCACCTTTGACCCGCCGAGCTGATCCAATTTGCGTCACACACGCCGCCCGCTCACCTCGAGCGCTCTGCGGCCGACAGACTGACGGCTGCCGATAGTCTGACGGCACGCCACGTTCGTCTCCAAAACCAACCATGTCTGCCGAGAACTCCAACAAGCGCCCGGCCAACGGCCTCCCTGAGGGCCAGCCCGTTGCCAAGAAGCTCCGTGTACGAACCACTAAAGTAGCGCAATGCAGCGCTTGTTTGTTGTCAGTATGAGTGCGCGGGAGGGGAAGGGGGAGTGCACGGGGGGGGGGGGGGGGGGGGGGGCGGGTGTGGTCAGATCCGGATCCGGATCCTTGGCGCCCCTCCCCGTCCCCCCCCCCCCGTCCCCCCCCCCCCTTCCCTCCATCCAAGTGGTCGGCCACTGCCTCCTCGGCAGCCAAGGACGGCAGTCTGGATACCAGCACAACGTGTTGTTAGTCTAGCCCCTATACCCACAACCGTGGTTTGGGATGTTGTGGTCTTGCAGGGACGATGGCAGTAGGGGGGTCCCCTTCCCCTGTCTCCTTCCCCCCCCCCTCCCCCCGCCATGTTGCGGGACAGAGGCGACGTGCGGCTTTCTTTGGTACTTTTTTTGCAGGCGGGTGCAACAGGGAACCTTTTTTGGAGGGCTGGAAGGGGAGGTAGGGGGTAACGACTCATGTGTGTGGTACTGATATGCTGGGTTTAGGGACTTCCGGAGACATACGTCCTTCCGCCGAACGTGATTGTGATGCGGGAGACGATGCAGACGCGCGGGATGTTCACCATCATCCGCGACGAGAAGACAACGCACCAGGACTTTGTGTTCTACTTTGATCGCCTCTCGCGGCTGCTTATCGAAGAGGCGCTGTCGTACCTGCCGGCGGAGGAGGTGGATGTTATGACGCCGACCGGCGAGGCGTACCCGGGCATCCGGTGGACCCGCAACCTCTGTGGGGTCCCGATCATCCGGGCTGGCGAGGCGTTTGAGATTGCGCTTCGCGGCATCCTCCGCGACTGCGTCATCGGCAAGATCCTCATCCAGCGCGACGAGGAGACCACCCTGCCCAAGCTGTTCTACTCCAAGCTTCCCAAGGACATTTCGGAGCGGACTGTTCTCCTCCTCGACCCGATGCTGGCGACGGGCGGCTCGGCCAAGGCTGCCATCCAGGTCCTCATCGACTCGGGCGTGGCCGAGGACTCGATCATGTTCATCAACCTGGTCTCGTGCCCGGAGGGCCTGCAGGCTATCTACGAGGCATACCCCAAGGTCTGTGTCGTCACTGGCGAGGTCGATCGCCAGCTCAACGAGCGCGCCTACATCATGCCCGGCCTCGGCGACGCCGGCGACCGCTACATGGGCACCGAGTGATCCCGCTGTGGGCACAAACTGTTTTCCCCGTAGTCTCTCATCCCCCTTCTCTTTTCCCCTCCCCCCCCCCCGCCTTCCTGCTTCCTCCCTCCCTCATTCTCCTCTCCCACACTGAGCAACAGCACCTGATCCGTATCTCGGTATCATCCGTAATCAATCTCCTTTACCTCGTCGTCTCATTTCATTTCATTTCATTTCATTGTATTTCATTTCATTGCATTGCATTGCATTTCATGTCGTTCCCCCATGGAACAACCGTTCCCTGCCGGAGTCCCCACCACTCCCCCTCCCTCCCCACCCCCCCCTCCACCCAACCACGCCACACCGTGCAAGCGCAGGCCCACCACCTCTCACCCTTTGCCCTGGCCACGACCCTGCTGCTCACGAAAACAGAAAAGGAGAAGAGCGAGACATTGACCACACACACATACATATAGACACACACACGCGCACACTTTCCATGTCCTCTGTGGAGCTTGACGAGTTTGGAGGTGGCGTGGGTGGGCCCGGTATGGTGACCAGCGGTGGTGGCAAGGACAAGTCCAACGACGACGACGACGGCAAGTCACAGGTCCACAGCTACTCGGCCACCACCTCGTACCGTGGTGGTAAGGGTCACACCCGTAACCCTCCGCACAGTTCCTCCATCCGCAGAGTCGTACGCTCTCCTTCCCCCTCCCACCCCCCCACCCTCCCTCCCGCCCAAACGCTGCTGCTGCTCACTCACCTCGTCATCCTTCCCTCCTTCCTCTCTCTGATGCAGATGTCCTCGATCGGGCCGGGTCGACGGGCGCCGGATACGTATGTAGTTCCAGAGGAGAAGCCACCGACACGGGCTATCTGGCGGGCGGTGCTGATGCTGCTCGCAGGCACTTTTCTCATCGGGTTGGGCGTACTCCTCCTCACCGGCATCATCCCCACCTTTTACTGGCGTCGTGGATGGTCTCTCTGCTTCATCGGCTCGCTGCTCTTCATCCCTGGCTCATACTACTCGTATGTGGCGTACGGTGCGTGGATGGGCTACAAGGGCTACCGCTACTCGCTCATCCCAGACGTCGACTGAGGCTGGATAAAGGATCGACTACGGGTGCTTTGTGCGCGTGGTTGGCTTATGTTTCACTTGAGCGAGAGCGTCCGGATTTCGCTGCGGAGCTTGGCGGCTTCGGCCTCCTGGTTGCGGATGCGACGGCGGAGCGAGTTGACCTCGTCGCGCTCGCGCTTGCGATGGACGTTGGAGAACTCGGCGACCTGCAAATGTTGCTGGGTCACGTTGAGCGTCCGCTCCAGCTGCTGCTGCTCGGCCATGAGGGTAGTGAGGCGGGTGAGACGGGCCGTGTTGGCGGCGGTGGCTGCTGCCAGCTCGTCCTTGGCCCGGCGCAGCGCCTCGTCGGCGCGCATGAGCTCGGCGATGCGCTTCGAGTCTGCGGCGCGGAGGAGCGCTTTGAGCTCGTCCGCCGACTTGTTCACCGACATTTCCAGGACGTGGTCGAGGTCGATGAGCTTGCCAAACTTGAGCATCTGGACGTCTTCTGCTCGCGCGGCCAGCTCCTCGCGCTCCTCGCGCTTGGCCTTCTTCTCCTTCACCAGCTTGGCAAGCAACTTCTCGAGCGACCGCTTCTTCTCATCGAGCTCGCGCAGTTCGCCGCGGAGCTCGCCTGACCTTGCTTGCAGCTTGGCGAGCGTTGCCTCGGAGAAAACCAGCGCGTCGTCGAGGTCGTGCGGCAGCCGGCCGTCGTGGACGTAGTAGATCTGGTCGAGCTGGAGCGAGACCGTGATGTCGAGCTCGTTGAGCTGGCTCTGTTTCTCGCGCTGAAAGGCGTCAATCGCCTCGCGCGCTGCGCTCAGGCCCGAGTCGGCGTCCTTGGCCTTGGCTAGCGACTTTGCTGACGCCGCAATGCGGTCGCGCTCCTCCATGATGGCGCCTACCGCGTCCTGCGACTCGAGGCGCTCCGCCCGGAGGGCGAGGACTGCGTCAAAAAGCACCGGCTCGCACCGCGGCGGCATAACGTCCTCGCCGTCGTCCGACTCGCTGCCCGAGCCTGACTCGGACTCGTAGTCTGACTCGTAGTCTGAGTCCGAGTCGGACGCCTCGGAGCGCCCGCCGCGGTCGCCTCGGTCACGGTCGCCGCCGGTCGCCCGCTTCCGCCGACGCACATTGCGGCAGAAGATCTTCCACAGCGCGTCGTAGATAGACGCCGGCGCTGACTCTAGAAGCGCATCAAACTTGGCAGTCCACTCGTCGTCCGACGGCATGGCGAGCAGCTGCGCTTCCTTCTCGTCGAGCGCCGCCGTGCACGCCACAATCTTGTCGTGGATCTTGGCCTGCTCCGCGAGCTTTGCCTCTAGGATCGCCGACAGCTCGCGGTCACGCTTATCGAACTCCTTCAGCAGCAGAAGCTCCTGGTAGAGCACAATCATCTTCATCTGCGCCATCTTGAGCACACCCTCGAGCTCAAACTTTTGCGCCCGAAGCGAGGCGAGCAAGGCGTCAAACTGACGCACCGCACGCATGTCATCTTCCAGAAGCGCCTGCTTTTCCATCCGGAGCTTGGCCGACTCGAATCGCTGCTCAAGGTCCGAGCCGCGGACCTTGGTCCGCGCCACCGCCGTGCTTGGCCCGGCTCCGGACTCGGCCAGCGCAAGCGCGTAAACCGGCACAGCATCGACCCGTCCAGCGCTCGCCACCACGCCGTGGACCACAGGCCCACACACCGGCGCCGTCACCGGCTCGGCTCGGCTCGCCCGGATCACCGCTCCCTGCGGCGTGTCCAATGCAAGGACAGCCTCGGCCGGCACGCCCAAGTTCGGCAGTGAATGCACGATCGATGTGGCCCCGGCAGCCTCCGAGTTGCCGCTCTGCGCCTGCAACGGCGGCTTAAAGGTGACCAGGTCAAGGACGGCGTCGAGGCTTGCGCCCGTCGCCTCGATGTCCATGCCTAGCTGCGATGCAGAACCTGCCAGCCGCTGCCGGCCGAGCGCTGCGGCCTCCTTGGAGACGAGCGAGTGCTCTTGCTGCCGCTGGAGCAGCTCGTCCGACTCTGCGAGCTCGAGAACCTGCCATGGGTACTCGGCGTCGTTGACAGGCGCAGGACGAAAGTACTCTCCATGCTCGCCGAGCGCCTCGTCGATCTCCACCAGCCGCGCAGTGTGAGCCCGGACCTGCTCGATGAGCTTGGCCTTGGTCTCACGCGCCGCCAGCAGCGACGTGTTGAAAGCCCGCTTGCGCTCCAGGATCTCGGCGGCAAGCAAGACCATCTCGTGACCTTTTGACGTGGCGTTGACCCGTTCGTGCTCCGGCACCACGTAGTCTGGCGATGACTTGAGCTTGTAGTCACCGAGCGTCGCTGACGCATTGTCAATCGCCGCCTGCGTCTCCGGGTCGACGAACCCGGGCTTGGGCCGCTTCGCCATCAGCGCTGCCCGCGCCCGTTCGCGGGCCTCGATTTTGGCTCGCCGCAGCTCGAGCTTGGACTTGAGCGGAACTGCAGGCCCGAGAACTCCGCCGCGCTTGATCCGCGGGAGCCCGGTCGAGCCCGACGCCTGGCTCGAACCATCGCCGCGGTCCGACTCGCCGTCGAGTGTCTTGTTGCTGACGGTAGTCTCGCTTGTCTGAAGCGCGAGAGCGCTCTCGGCTTCGGCCGCCGCCGCCGCCCGCGCCTCGGCAAATGCCCGTGCCTCGGCCACAGCCTCGTCCATGCCGGGTTGCGGGACGCAGGTGCGGAAGGTGGAGACAACAAAGTTGTCGTCGAGCGCGGTCACCACAATACGGTGCGTCTCGATCGGGTCGATAAACCGTGCCCGGAGCTTGGCTAGCAGCAGCCGCTTCCGCCGCGAGTCCCACTCGAGCAACTTCTGTGCAAGCTCAAGCTTATCAGCGTTGGCGGCCGCCAGCCGGTCGGCAAGCTTGGGGTCGAGCTGAAACGCCGCACGCTCCAGCTGCTCGTCCGGCGGTGCCGAGTGGTTCTCTTCTAGCAGCGCGTCGTAGAGCACCTTCATGTGCGCCACCTGATCGCGAACCTTGGCCTTCTTCACCTCGGCGGCGGCCTCGGCGGCAGCCTGCTCGCGCTTGAGCTTTTGCTCGTACACTGAATACTGCTCCGGCTCGTCGCCATTGTCGGCGCCGACTGCGACTTGACTCTCGTCCACCGCAGCTTCCGCGCCGCTGGCGACCGCCACCTCGGCCGGGACCAGGTCCGGAAGCGCCACCGATGCGACTCCGTACTTGGAGTCGACAACCGCAAGTGTTCCGTCAGGCGCAACCGAGCAGAGGGTCGCCTCGTCGTGTGTGACCACCACAGCCGCGACCGGGCCGCGCGCCGCGTCGTGTGCGTACAGTGCCGAGAATGCACCCAGCTCGCCCGAAGCATACGGCGTGACCCTGACCGAGCCGTCTGATCCACCAGAAATGAGAAAGTGACCCGATGGCGACCGTTCCAAACACGAGACCTCGCTCCCGGCGTGGAACTCTACCAGCTTGCCAACACTCACTACACCAGCAGGGAGCAGGACCGCTGTCGGGCGCGGAATCTCCTCTGCGCCAGCAAGCAGGACTTCCAGCGGGTCGGGCGCTGAAGCATCGATTTGGGCCTGAAATTCGGCCACCAGTGCGTCGGCGTCGCCAAACGATGTCGCCGCCGCCGGCAGTGTGAGTTCGTACAGATAGCCTGCGGCGTCGCCAGAGAATGCTGCCAGAAGAGAGCCGTCGCGCAAGACCAGTGCAGCACGGAGAATGACCGAGAGTGCCTTGGCATAGCCCGGTGCACCCATCACGCCTGACTCGTCGAGGCTGCTCGGACCAGGCCCGTCGGCATTGTCGACAACGTCGGAGCTTGCCGACGCTGGCGAGTCGGGTGCCATCGCCTGCCGTGGCGAGCCGGGCGCCGAGGCCACTGGCGGCGGCGCCTCGCCTCGCTCGGCAGCCTCCTGCGCCCGCTTGGCCGCCAGCCATTCCTCCATGGTCGGAAGAATGACCTCACCGCGGTCGTTGATCCGCAGCGAGAGAGGATCCTCCTCGGCTTCGGCCTCGGCCTCGGCCTCAGCAGCAAGGAGCGCGTCAGGGTCGGCGTCGGGGTCGTCGGCGAGCGCCGCCGCCCGTGCTGCTGCTGCCTCGGCCGCCGCCTTGGCCGCCTCCTCGGCCGCGAGCTCGTCGAGCACCTCCTGCTTTGCGGCGGTGAGGAGCTCTGCCGGTGCACTAACGGTCCGGACCGGGAGCGGGAGCACAAAGTCTGGAAACGAGGCCGATTCCGGAAGAACAGCCGGCGACGGGCAGGTTGCAAAGTGGCCCGACGCCGTGTACATGACGACGTAGCCTGCCGTTGGCGCCCAAGCCATCCAAGTCACTGGCGCTGGTGCGGTGACAAAGCCGATCAGGTCGAGTCCAGTCGCCGAGAGCTTGAAAAAGAAGACCGAGCCGTCGGTTGAGGCCGAGGCTAGGAGTTGCGGGCCGGCCGGCGCAACCGCAAGCGCCGTTACCGCCGAGGTGTGCGGCTTGGCATGTGCAAGTCGCACAAACTCGCCGCGGCAGAGCTGTAGCAGCGAGACGGTTCCGGCGGTAGTGCCCGCCACCACAGTCCGCGCGCTGGCGTCGACCGCAACAGGCAGCCAACTGATTTCGGTCACCGCCGCCGCACAGTGGTACGTTGCGATCCGCTCTTTGTCGCGGACCGCATACGCGGCCAGGACACCGTCGTCGCCGCCAACCGCCACCAGGCCGTGGACCGGCGACGCTGCCGCTGCAGCCAGCGGACCGGCGTGGAACGAGGCGACTAGCCGCGACTTGTCGTACGAGGAAAAGTCCTCGGCGTGCGGGACGGCGACCAGAGCGCCGGACGCGTCTAGTACCCATGACCGCGGCTGGAACGCATCGTGGATGAGGGTGCGGATCGCGGCCGACGGCCCGAGCCCGTGCTCGAGCACAGGATGTAGGACAAGCGCGTACGAGTCCGAGACAGGAGCATTGACAATCGACGCAACGTCCCAGTGCCGGATGTAGCCGTCCATGCCGGCAGAGACCAGAACGGTGGCATCGGCAATGAGCGAGAGATGCTCGACAGGCCCGTCGTGGCACGGCACGTCAGTCGCGCGGAACAGCTGGAACTGAATAAAGTTGCCGTCCCACACCAGCAAATGACCGGTCTCGGTTCCGGAGATGACCTTTTCGTTGGGGAGGGTGACAAAGGCCGAGACGTCCGAGAGCTGGATCTTGCCAAACTTGCCAATGGTGCCCTTGAGCTTGAGCCCAGTAAACGTCCGTGCCATCTCCCAGAACTTGATGTGGCCCATGCCGGCGGTGACGAGCGCGCCGTCCGAGTTGGGTGCAAACGCAACGTGGAACACGTCTTGCGAGAACGCCTTGAGCCGCAGAATCGTCCGTCCCTCCTCCCATGCCCACACTGTGAGCATGTAGTCGGGATACGAGCCAACCGACGCGAGCTTGGTCCCGGACGTCGAGAACGCCATGCACGAGTACGCCTTCTCCGTCCCACCCTCCAGCACCTTGACTACCTTCAGCGACGGAAACTCGTAGATCAGGATGTTCGGCTTCTCGCCCTTTTCCGCCACTGCAAACCACTTGTGCGAAGGATGCGGAGCAATAGCTGCCACTCCGCCGCTGTTGGTCCCCGGCAGCGTGGTCACCGCCCCCGTTGCCGTCTCCAGAATCTGTGTCGTGTTACCTGCCGTGTACAACACCTTCTCGCTGGACATAGGCACAATGTTATGCCTATGACTGGTGTCCATCCCAAATACATGCCTGTAACCCCCTCCCCCCATGCCATACCATAGTATGAGTCAATGCTTCCCCCCCCCCCCCCCCCTCCTTTCTCCCCGTGTCTCGCGCGCCCGCCCGACCACCAACGGCCCGCCCCCCTCCTCCTCCCGCCCCCCCCCCCCCCCTCCCACCTCTAATCACCAACGTACTGGATGTGCAGCATTGGGGTGGGACTCTCCCCAAGTAGGGCACGTCGGCTAAAGGTTGTGGCCGACATGTCCGGTGCGTGGAGTGTGACAGGGGCAGGGGCAGGGGGGGGGGGGGGTGGGGGAGGGGAAGAGGTGGAGGGCTGGCTGGCTGGGCTTGATCGACTTCTCCACCGCCGCCATTGGCACCCCCCCATGGCTGTACATGGAGACGGGGCCGGGAGGGGGGATCGCCCTTGGCAGATATTGTAGGGATGGTGTGCAGTGCAGAATGGTATATCGATTTTACAGTGAGTCTGATTGCCGTTGGATGGGGACGTCCCAGGGGAGATCGAGAGAGCGGACGGCAGCGTCAAACTCGAGGCTGCCGACCGGGGGTGGTGGACCGGTGGTGGTGGTCACGCCGCCGCCGCCGCCAGAGGCAGTGGCGTGGACCGAGGCGACAGTGGAATCGTCAATCTCACAGAGATCGTCGATGTTGCCGCCAGCAGCAGCGCAGGCGGCGACAGAGACCTCGCAGGCGTGAACGAGATTGAACATGTAGTGCAGGGCCTCGCCGGCCGAGCGGCCTGCGGCCATGAGGCCGTGGTTGCGGAGGATGAGCGCCATCGATGGTGGCTGGAACGAGGCCTGTAGAGCGCAGCGCTCCTTCTCTGGGTCTATGAGAATGCCTGTGTAGTCGTGGTAGGAGATCGGGCCGACGATGGCGGCTTCTTGGCCGACAACCCTCAGGCCATGGCGCGAAGCTGCAACAGCACCGCCAGCCAGAGTGTGGGTATGGATGAGGCAGCGTGCGTCTTTGCGGACGTCATGGATGGCCGCATGGAGGACAAAGGCAGCTTGCGAGAACGAGAACTCGGTCGATCCGTTGTCGAGGACCGCACCGTTGCCATCGAGCTTGACCAGGGACTCGGGCGTGACCTCTGAGTAGAGTAGACCAAAGGGATTGACGAGAAAGCCACCATCAGCAGTTCGATACGAGATGTGGTTGTAGATCGAGTGTGTCCATCCATAGTTGTCAACAATACGATACAGCGCCGCCAAAATCTTCCGCGCATCATCATCATCATCATCATCGCCACCACCAGCACAAGCACTAGCAACTCCTGACGCATACCTCGAGCAGCCTCGCGGTCCAGCCAGCACCGCCCCCCCGCCATGGCCACACACTCTGCCAGCCTCATTGTGCGACCAAGCCGAACGCCATACCGCAGCATGGATGATTCACGCCTTGCTCCTTCCACACACCCAAATTTGGGAGACGTCTGTTGCCCGGTAGTGGTGCGTCTTCCTGCGCGCCCGCGCATGCTCAGCGGCTGGGTGGTGGCGAAGATGTGTGGGCAACTGCGCGCGGGTGCTCGCCAACACGGTCTTTACCAAGCAATTGATCGTTGCGCTCGACAGGCTGAGCGATCCAAGCCAGGGCTTGGGCCTCGAGTGCGGGGAGGCGGAGGCGATTGGCGTTGCCTTGGAGCGGCGGTAGCCGTCGAGCTGGCGGCCGCAGCGCGAAGCGGCGATAGCGAGCCGTGGCTAGCTGCAGAGAGCTCTTTGGGTGGTACTTGTCGTAAAGGCGCGGCGCTTGGCGCGCGGCACGTGAGTGCGGAGAGGATTGGGGTGTATTCGAGTCATGCAGTGGCTACGCAGAGTACACCGTGCAGCGCACAAGGCTGTGGATGGGACAGGCGTGGTGCTGTTCCGTGTGGTGTTTGGAGTGCTCATGGTCTACGGCGAGCTCAGGCACCAGATCGAATACCGTGATATGGAGTATCGCTTCCGCGAGCCGGCACTCATCCTCCCGCACTGGCTCTTCCGAGTAGTGCCTGGCCTAGACATGGTCTTTCCCCCGCCTGATCCGGGCCTGTTTCTCTACTGGCTGGCAATGGTCCTGTCAGCGATGGCCATTGCTCTCGGCCTGGCCACCCGGACAGCGGCCGCTGTCTTTGGCGTCCTGTACTCGATCTCGTTTCTGGCCGAGCAATCGGCGTACAACAACCACTACTATCTTATTTGCATGATCGCTGGCTTTCTGGCCTGCGTCCACTCGGACATGGGTCTGGCGCTCTCGCCGAGCTCGTCGTCGACCAAGGCCGTCCCGCGTTGGCACCGCGACATCTTCCGCTTTCTGGTTGTCATCGTCTATTTTTACGGTGGACTGGCCAAGATCAACAAAGACTGGCTCCGCGGCGAGCCGATCCGGGCGTCGCTGGTGGTTACGCCGGAACAGTTTGACCTCTGGTGGATCCGCGAGGCTTTTGTGGTGGTCCTTTGCGGCGGTGGTCTCGTCTTTGACCTTTGCGTTGGCTTTGCGCTCCTGCACCCAATCGGACGCAACCTCGCGCTCCCGCTGGTGCTCTACTTTCACACCTCCAACTGGCTGATGTTTAACATCGGCGTCTTTCCGTTTCTCATGGTTGGCGCCTCGGTACTCTTTTACGATGGCGCCGAGCTGGAAGCTGCGCTTCGTTCGATCCAGCCATGGCTCCCACTGCGGGCGCACGGTGGCATCCGGGCGACGGTGGGCTTGCTGGCACGGATGCGACCGTCAAGCTCGCACCTCTCGCCGCGGCGAGTGCTTCGCGGCCGGCGGCGGACGACATTGCTCCTCCTCGCATTTGTCGCCTTTCAGCTCCTCTTCCCTCTCCGGCACTTTGTGCTCAACGCGCCAGCCGGCCATCTTGTCCACTGGAACGAGAACGGACACAAGTTCTCGTGGCATATGAAGCTACGGGCCAAGGCCTGCGAAGGCGAGTGGAGCTATGTCAACAATCGTGGCCACAAGAGGGAGATTCATCTTGCAAACTACCTCACGCCGCGCCAGCAGTCGCGGGCTCTCGACAATCCCGACGTCATGTGGATCTTTGCACAGTGGATCTCAGTACAGCACAACGGTGCGCCGGTCTTTGCCGACATTCGCTGCGGGCTCAATGGGCGGCCAAAGGTTGCGTTTACCCTGCCCGACGTCGATATTGCGTCATCGGTTGTCCCGTGGTTCGGCACAGCACCGTTTATCACCACTGACTACGGCCCGCTCGAGTATCCGGCCCACGTCCAAGCCTTTGATCTTGCGGCGCTAGCCATGGCATGTGTCGGCACCGCTGTGCTGCTCTGGCTCTTCCGAATCTTGGTCCGTCCGCGAGCGTGGTGATGGTGAAAGCGGATGCAAGCGCTTGGTCATGACGTACGCATGCTTGTCACCGCCGTAGTACTCGTATGCAAATGCCGAACGTGTAAAGCCACGCGAGCGGTACAGCCGCTCGGCCGGCTCGTTGTGGAAGGCAACATGGAGGACGATCTCGGAGATGGTACCTGATGCGGCGATGACCGCCGTGGCCTCATCAAGGAGCGAGGCACCGATGCACCTGCCACGGAGCCGGTTGTCGACGGCCAGTGACGTGATTAGTGCTCGGCGGCGGCGAACATGCATGCCGAACAGAATGTAGCCGGCAAGAAAGTCGCCGGCGCGAGCCACGAGAAGCGTGGCGACGTGCGGATGGTCGAGTGCGAACCAGAAGGCGTCTTCGGGCCACGGCTCGTCAAAGCAGGCGGCGTCGAGAGAGGCAACAGCCGGCACGTCGGAGTCGCGGGCAACATCGAGCTCGATCTCAACCTTGGGCGCCGAGAGCTGGTGCGGCACGCCGAGCGACTGGCTCGTGAGTGCGCGCTGGCTCCGCTTGCCTGCCGCCACAAATGGCGGGCAGAGGAGGCGCGTGCGGGCGAGAGCAGAGCGCGGCACCAGATCGAGCGAGCGGAGGCGAATCCAGGCATTGTGCTCGGTATGTAGGATCGGTGCAGCACCAAAACAGGAGACACAGAGCGCTGTGCATGAGCAGTGTGCGCAGAGGTAGACCTCGTCGCGGTCGGCCAGCGCCCGGGTGCATCCGGCGCAAGAAACAGGCTGCACCAGCACACCATCATCTGCTCCACCGGTTTCGTCTAGTTCTGCTAACCAGTCCGACGGCAAGGATGCAAGTGCGGCAAACGAGAGCGGACGTGCGATCCGCAGCATCGGGTGCGCCGGCGGATGCGTGTCTGCGGCAAAGCAGCGCTCGCAGAGATCAACATCGTCGCAGACGAGGCAGAGCCAGCGGGCGCCAACGAGCGGGGCTACTGCGACCGGCACGATGTCGGCCTCGATGGGAAAACAGCCATCGCAGACGCACATCGGGTGGACAACAGGCGCTGCCGGCGAGGTAGGAGGCTCGACATTGTCGTGGCCGTCCAACGGGATGGGAATGAGGATGTGATTGGTGGCATGACCGACATGGCCTCCTTCGACGAAGCAATCGCCGCAGACATCAAAGTCGACACACCCGGTGCACCGCATCCGCAAGCCGATGATCCGCAGTTGACAGACGTCACACACGGCGTTGTGGACCGCTACATGCTGGGGCTCGGGGGAAGGCTCGGCCATGATGGCGGCGAGACGGGAGGCGAGTTGGCGCAGGTGCGACAGGCACCACGGGACGTAGGCTGGTGTGTGAGCTACGGCTGTCTCTTGAGAGGCAGACGGGGCCAGGCGAGAGCAAGGACGAGACAAGCCAAGGATGTCTGCGGCAGCGGGAGCGGTGGGAGCGGATGCCGTGCGGCGCGGAGTGGTCAAGGTGGCGGCGGCGCAGATGTGCTCGACGGGCAAGGTGGCCGAGAACATGGCGGCGATTCGGCGGCTGGTGGCGAGGGCAGTCGAAGCTGGAGCGAGCATGCTGTTCCTGCCCGAATGCGCCCTGTTTATCGGCTCGTCTGCGGCCGAGACCAAGGCTGCTGCGGTGGCGATCGACGGGGCCGAGGTGGCCGAGCTGGCTACCGTGGCTGCCGACGCCGGGCTGTGGCTCTCGGTCGGCGGCGTCCACACCCGGGTGGCCGACTCGGAGGAAGGCAAGGTCCACAACAGCCACCTTGTGTTTGACAGTTTTGGCATGGGCTCTCCGTTGGCGGTCTACCACAAGGCGCACCTGTTTGACGTCGATCTGCCGTCGGGCATCCAGTTGCACGAGTCGCGGGCGACCGAGGCCGGAAACAAGGTGGTGGTGGTGGGAGAGACACCAGTGGGCGGCTTGGGCCTTGGCATCTGCTACGACATGCGGTTTCCGGGTCTATTTGCAGCGATGCGTGCCGCAGGCGCCGATGTGGTCACGGCGCCGTCGGCGTTCACGGTTCCGACCGGCGAGGCGCACTGGCACGTCCTCCTCCGGGCCCGTGCCATCGAGAGCCAGTGCTACATGATTGCGGCGGCACAGGTTGGCAAGCACAACGCAAAACGCGAGTCATACGGCCACACACTCATTGTCGACCCGTGGGGCAAGATCGTGGCCGAGGCAGCAGACTCGGTGGTTGAAGACATTGTGGTGGCTGACATTGATCTGGACTACCTCGACTCTGTCCGTGCCTCTATGCCTGTCTTTGACCATCTCCGACCCGAACTGTACCAGATGTAGCGATGGGCGGGGTTAAACTGCTGGCGAAGCGTGCGTACAGCTGTTGGATGGCTGGGATGGCCAGCAATGTGTTGTGGTGCGAGCGCCCGTCTGGTCCCAGATTGGGGCCAATCGAGGCCAATGGGATGGCGGGCAGCGCTTGGGACAAGCACGACACGGTCAGCCCATTGACCCCCCCCCCTTCCCCGCGTACCCCGTCACACCCGTCGACGTGCTCGTGCTGACGAAGAGTAGCATGGCATATGACAATGGTGGCGGAGGTGGGGAGGTGCGTGGGGAGGTGCCTGTGCTCAAGGTGACGAGCAAGGGCGAGGTTGTGGCGCTGGAGGCGGCGGTGGAAGCGAGCACGGTCGACGGCTTCCTTCTCAAGCGCGGCGGGACGGTGATCAATCGGTGGCAGAAGCGGCGGTTTGTACTCGCCAACGGCTTGCTGTACTACTTTGGGCGAAATGCAAACAAGTCGCGCGGCTCGATCGAGCTGGCGGGCTGCAAGGTGGTCGACGGGCACGCCCGTAAGCGGTTCGGCATTGCCATCCATCATCCGGCCGGTAGGGTCTATCTCCTCGCCGCTCTCTCGGCCGGCTCGAAGCGAGCTTGGCTCCGAGCACTGGTGGCCTGCCCTGGAGTGGCCCTCTCGCGTGCATCGGTCCTTCCAACCGACTGCGGTGCGGCGGTCGGCGACGTACCAGGCGCGCGCGGCCTGTACAACATAGGCAACACGTGCTACCTCGCGGTGGTTGTCCAGCTCATCTCGCTCATTTCTGAGCTCTCGGCCTTTCTCCGCGACAACGACGCAGTATCTGCCGAGCTGAACGAGACCAACGTGCTCGGCTATGGCGGTAGGGTCGCGCGCAGCGTGGCTGCACTGATGCAGTCCCTGTGGGCCGAAGCTGCGGCGTTGCCGGCCACCGACGACGCGAGCGCACCTGTCGGCAAGACCAAGGGCAGGGTTAAGGCCAAGGCCAAGGCCAAGGCCAAGGCCAAGGACAACAGCGGCGGTGGCGGAGCAGCGGACAACGAGGATCTGGCGCCGCCGGCGGCGCTCGACCCGTCAGAATTCAAGGATGTGGTGGCGCGGGCGGCATCGCAGTTTGCCGGCTACCAGCAGCACGACGCACAAGAGTTTCTCTGCTGGCTCCTTGATGCGCTCCACGAGGATCTCAACCGAGTGCAAGTCAAGGTGGCGGTGCCTGTGGCGGAGGCTGTGGCTGGCGAGAGCGAGGAGGCGCTCGCTGCGCGAGCGTGGCACGGCTACCTGCTGCGGAACAAGTCGATTGTGGTCGATCTGCTGCAGGGTCAGCTGCGGTCTCAAGTGTCATGCGGCAAGTGCGGCTTTGCGTCGGTCACCTTTGACCCGTTCCAGTACTTGACGGTCCCGATTCCGGCCAAGCAAACGGTCAAGGTGCCGTGCGTCCACTGCGCGGCGACCAACGCGTCGTCGTGGCCGATCACCTCGCTCTGCTGCACGGCATGCACCAAGCCATTCTCAATCTCACTCGACACGCTGCCGACGCCGAGCCTCGACGAGTGCCTGGAGCTGTTCTGCAAGCGCGAGTCGCTGACCAAGGGCAACCAGTGGTACTGCCCCAAGTGCGAGACGCATGTCGACGCGACCAAGCAGGTCTCGCTCTATAAGACGCCCCCGTTTCTGCTCATTATTCTCAAGCGGTTTGCGGCGGTCCGGTCGGGTCGGCGTGGCAAGGTCCACCTTCCGGTCTCGTACCCGGTGGAGCTCGATCTCTCGCACATTGTCTCGTCGCCGCAGCCGAGCGAGCCGCGGTACGAGCTTCGCGGGGTGATCAATCATCACGGGCGCATGACCAAAGGTCACTACACGGCTTACGGACGGCACCCGTCGCGCGACGCGTGGCTCTTTTCAACGACGACGACGTGTACGAGATGCTGGAGGAGCAGCTTCAGTCGCGCGACGCGTACATCCTTCTCTACGCGCCGCCCGGCACCAACGCCGCCACCGGCGCTGCGCCTGCCACCCGGCCTCGGCGGCAGACCATTTCCAAGCCATCGTCGTGGCCGCACGCCATAGGCCCGGAGCTTGTGGCGGCGTTCAAGGACCGCTACGAGCCGATTGATCCATGCCAGGTCGGGCACGCTGTCGACTCTGACGGTGGCGGCGCCGAAGCCGCGGACCTTGACTCGGGCGCAGCGTCGTCGTCAGCTACGGTTATCGCCACCACTGAGCCTGGCGATCGATCCGGCAAAGCAGACGACGATGACGACGACTGCCGTGATGGAGCTCATCTCCCAGATGCCGCCTCTGCGTCGACGAGCATGTCGTCGACGTCGTGATGATCCTGCCGTCCGGGCCCGAGCCCAGAACGCATAATCACACCATCCCACGCTCAATCCATCCAGCTGCGTGGAGTTGAATTGTACGAAAACCATTACCGTGGACCGGCTTTGTCATGTGGCCGCCGTGGCCCGCCTTGCCCTTGTCCTGCTCAAAAAAAGTGTCGCTGCGCGCGCTTTTGCGCTTTTGGTATTGTGCGCCCGCCGCTACCGCCGGCCGGCCGACCTCCCTCCTCGGCCGGCACGAGCCACGGCAGTATCACTCGTCTCGAGACCAAGTGAGAGAGAGAGAGAGAGCAGTGCGCGGTAGCAAAGTAGAGCCGCAAGAGAAGGAGACGCTGAGGCATTGAGAGAGGCCCTGCAGGAGAAGGTCAGACGTTGGCTAAGGGAGGGAGGGGGGAACACTCAGGGCACACTCTGGGACGAGGCGTGATGAACACCGATGAGTCGAGGCTGATGGCTGGAGGGGAGCAGTTGGCAAGGGAAAGGGAAGCGAGGTGGACAGCCATGCTGGACAAGTCTACCAATGTAGCTCGGCCTGCTGGCATGCTGTTGGCAAAGAGAGTTCCCACATCAAGCGGGCAAAGCTGTTGGAAGCACGGATCGGCGGGCGGCGAGTCGAGGAGGCCGAGGCCGACAGCGACGGTCGTGAGCTGTGCGCGGGCTTGTCGCCAGCGTATGTGGCGGCGCGTGCGGCACTTGATGTGGTACGCAAGGCTGAGGAGGACGAGAATGTGGCACCTTCCGGAGACTATGGCCACGGGAAGTGGGCCAGCGGCGGGGCGGCGGCGATGGAGGTGGGCAGCTCTCACGAGTGCAGCGCGCCGCTGCTGCCTCCGGGGCCGCCGGTGGTGCTCGTGATGCTTCCGGGCGCGGCGTCGCTGTTGCCTGTGGAGAGCGTGCGCGGCATGCGGCGGAAGCGGGGCGTCGGCGAGGTATTCAACGACGACGAGCCGGACGCGAGCGCGGCGATGATGATGGTTGAGTAAAGAGATGGAGGAAGAAAGGGAAGAGGAGGCGCGGCGACGGCGCGCTCAGGGGGCTTTACATGTTGTGGCGGCGCGAGGCGATGAGGGCAAAGATGGCCGAGGCGATGACAAAGGCGACAAACTCGGTGCGAACCGGCAGCTGGAAGGGCGAGCTGCCGGCGTGGTTGACAGCGATGGAGAACATGGGCTCGACGGCCGGGATGGAGGCCGGGTCAAAGTCAGTGCCAGCGCGAGCGGCGGCGCGAGCGGCGTGGTCGGCCTGCTCGGCGGCACGGACGCGGTCGACCTCGCGGTAAAAGGCGAGCTCGTAGTCGCCGGCGGCGTCCGGGGTGGGGACGGCAAAGGAGACCTGGTAAGCGTCGTTGGAGGCACCGAGGGCGACGGGGACCTGGAAGAGCTCGGCCTTGGCGCCGTCGACGACCTTGAAGACGGAGCAGCGGAGCTGGGCGTTGGCGAGCTTCTTGCCCTGGCAGCCGAGCGAGAACTCGGAGACAAAGACGGTGGTGTCGCGGCGCTCGGCGTCGAACGAGTACGGCTCCGACGTGACCTTGATCTCACCGCCGATGACGATGGGGTACTCGACCTTGTTCTCCGAGTTGGGCTTGTAGACCGGGAGCTGGGTGCCAGCGGCGTCGTAGGCGGCGACCTCGAGGATGCCGTCACCCTGGACAGCGTTGGGGTTAATGGTCCAGGAGATGGCGAAGCCGTCGGCGGCGTCGCGGGCGGTGGCGCGCTCGCGGACCGAGACGAAACGGCGGCCGGCACGGACGGCGTCATCGTGGGAGATGACGAGGTACATGCCCGGGGCGACGGCGTCGTCGGCGACAGCGGAAGCGACGTCGGCGGCAGAGAGCGACTTGCCCGAGAGGGTGTCGACGACAGTAAACTCAAACTCGACGACGTTGCCGTAGTAAAAGTCCTTCTTGGTGGGCGCGCCCTCAGCCGAGGACATCTCGAGGTGGACCGGGACGGCGACGGAGAGCGGCGAAGCGTCCTCCCAGAGGGCAGCCTCGGCCGAGTCGTAGTTGTCGAGCTCGACGGCGTTGCCGGCAGCGTCGACGTAGGCAAACTTGACGAGGTGGGTGCCGACGAGCGAGAGCGAGGTGGGGATCTCGAGCTCAAAGGCAACCTTGACGTTGGAGCCGGACGAGCCGGACGAGGGCGTGCCCTCGACCGACGCGACGACGGCGCCGTCCTCGGTGGTGAGCTGGAAGACAAAGGTGCGGGCGGCGGCGGCCGACGAGTGGTCAAAGTGGACGAGGGTGCGCATGTCGGGCATGGCAGCCGGCTCCATGGCGACGGTGAGGACGTCACCGAGGGCAAGCTTGTGAACAGCCGAGGCAGCCGAGGCGGCGATGCCATTGACGGTCACGGACGAGGCGACCATGGACGAGACGTACTTGTACGACTTGACGGCCGAGGTGTGGACAAGGCCAGCACCGTCGGCGACCTCAAACACGGCCTCAAGGGCGCCAGTGGGGACGGCGACGCCCGAGAGCTCGGTGGCAAAGGCAACAGCGTCGTCGCCCGAGGCCGACGCACCGTCGTAGGCGAGCGAGGCGACGGCGACACCGGAAGCGTCACGGAGCTGGAAGGCGACGGCAAAGTCGCCGACGCGCAGGTCCTCGTGGGTGACGTTGAAGAGGCGGAGCTGGTAGTCAAAGGCGACACCGTCGCCGACCGACTCGCCCTCGGCAACGTCGGAAGCACCGTAGGTGACGGCGCCGGTAACCTCGAGGCCGTAGCCGATCGAGGCCGACTCGGAGCCGGCCCAGGCGATCTGGCCAATGCCAGCGACGTGCTTCGAGACGGAGAACTCAAGCGAGGCCTGGCCGAGGAGGCCGGCGGTATCGATGGTGTCGTGGCCAGTGTAGGCCGCCGAGACAGCCGAGTAGGCGAGCTCGTGGACGGCGCGGGCGGCACCGGGGAGGGTGACGTAGATCTCGACCTCGAGGCCGTTGACCGGGACGCCGTCAGCAGCGGTGACGGTGACAAAGGGCTGGAACTGGGTGCCCTGGATCATCGAATCGCCATTGGGGGCGGCGTTGAGCGCGTTGAAGCCGACGCGGGTGGCAACAAAGGCCTCGAACGAGCCCGTGAGCGCAACAATGGCATGGCTGGCGGCGGCGTCGGCAAGGCCCGACGCGCGGGAACGGCAGGCCTTGAGTAGGGCCGGGAGGTAGACCGACTCGGCGACGTCGGCGTCCATGATCTTAAGCGACTCGGCAGCGAGGAACGAGGCCTGGATGGTGGCCGACGCGCCGGGCACGCCGGCGGCGAGGAAGCCGCCGACCAGGCCGAGGTTCGGGTTCGGGTTCTGCAGCGAGGCAATGACGTCGACAAGGCCCGACTTGTAGGCCTCAAACGGAAAGTCGACAAACGAGCCGAGCAGGATGCCGGCATGGATGTCCTCCATCGACACGGTGTCCGACGCGCCAAAGTTAAAGTACACGCCCTTGGCCGAGGTCGCGAGCGACTCCTCAAGGTACGACTTGAGCGAGTCCTTCATCGGCTCGACAATGTCGAGGCGCGAGAGAATGTCAAGCGAGGCAAAGACGTACGCCGTCGAGACAACGTCACCCTTGGCGCCGGCGGTGGCGGCAAAGAGCCCGGTCTCCTGGTCGAGAAGCGAGGCGAGGAAGTCGGCGACAGCGTCGGGCTGCGGAACCGAGGCGCCCATGTGCTGGTAGGCACGGAGGGCATGGAAGGTCGAGACAACGTCGGCGACGTTGGTCACCTCGTTGGCAGCGTAGCCGCCGTTGACAGACGCAGCCTCGAGGTACGAGGCAGCAAGCGGTGAGTCGATCGTCGAGAGCGTTCCGTAGAGCGAGGCGAGGAAGAGCGCGGCCGACGTCGTCTTGACCGACGACGCCTCCGAGTCGTTGTTCCAGAAGCCACCGTCCTCAGACTGGAAGGTAGCGAGGCCAGAGACAGCCTGCGAAAAGGTGACAGCCTACTCTCACCACCAATCCCCACCATGATCTCCCGAGTGAGTCCTGAGCAAGTCCACCGGCCTGCAACAAGCCCGCAAGGCCACCATTCAGACAAAGTGCCAAAACTGCCGTTTCTTTGCCTCCTTTGGCCAACGAGCCAGCCAAGGCCACGCGCGGGCCGAGCAGACGAGGCGGGACGACGCAAGCAATGCGTTGAGCACGTTTCCAGAGCATGGCCAATACCATGACCATCATGCAAAACCCTTCAAAAGTGCTCTCAGCACGTCATGGCTTGTCCCTCGTCCACGTCTCGCCAAGCAGAGCATGGCTGGTGGCGGAGGTCGCGGCCAGCTGTGGGCGGCCAAAGCAAAAAATGAAGGGATCGAGGGCAGCAGTAGGGTGGGGAGGGAGGGGGGGAAGGAGGGCGTTGGTATGGATGATGAGGACTGCGCTTGACATGCTTAAAAGGGGGAAGGACGTACCTGGATGACAGGCGTGCACACGGCGCAGAGCACAACAAGTGCCGCAACAAGCTGGGCACCCACAACCTTCATTGTTGGGTTGAGATGTGTGTGGTGGCCTGAACGGTGAATGGTGTCCCGACGAGCAGTGGCGCCGTTTGACTGATGTGATTTGGGAGGATTGGGTGTGGGGGGTGTGGGGGGTGGAAGACAAAAAATTGTTGTCCCTCCAGCAGCATGTGCAACCTGTGCTCTTTTCTTGAGGTCGCTTTGCTTTTTCGCGTTGGGGCAAGTGCAACGATGTCAATAGAAGGTGGAGGCGGCGGTGGGCGTGGGCGTGGGCGTGGGCGTGGGCGTGGGCGTGAGCATGAACATCACTCTCGCAGCATCCACATAGACTACAATGGCTGATACTAAGACTCCGACCCTCGCTGTGGTCACCGGCGCCTCGTCAGGCATCGGACGGGCGACTGCGCTGGCGCTGGCCAAGCAGGGCCGGCCGCTGCTGCTCGCACGTCGTGCCGACCGGCTGGCCGAGGTTCAGGCGGAGATCGGTGCCGAGGTGTGCGAGGTGGCGTCTGTGGATGTGACGGACAGGGAGGCTGTTGCGACGGCGGTAGAGGCGGCAGTTGCCAAGCACGGGCCGGTGGATGTGCTTGTCAACAATGCTGGGGTGATGAAGCTGGGCAAGGTTGCGAGCCAGGATCCGGCCGAGTGGAAGCTTATGCTCGACGTCAACCTCATGGGCCTGTTCAACGTCACGCACACGGTCCTTCCGTCGATGGTGGAGCGGAACGGCGGTACGATTGTCAACATCTCGTCGATTGCTGGCTTCAAGACCTTTGCCAACCACGCCGCGTACTGCGCCACCAAGTTTGGCGTCCACGGCTTTACCGAGACGCTCCGCGAGGAGGTGAGCGGCAAGAACGTCCGCATCTCGCTTGTCTCGCCGGGCGCGGTCTCGACCGAGCTCCTCTCGCACACCACCGACGAAGAGATCAAGGCCGGATACGAGGCGTGGAAGGAGGACATCGGCGGCGCCATCGAGGCCGTCAACGTGGCCGACTGCATCGCCATGATTGTCTCGCAGCCGCAGAACGTGTGCATCCGCGAGATCTCACTCGCCGCCACCAAGCAGGCCCCGTAAGGTGGCAGTCACGGCTGCAGCACACTTTGTTTGTTAAAGCGCTGGTCGGCAAGGGGTGCGCGGGCAAACGAGAGGAGGTGCGTGTTACAGGTATCGACTTGCATGGGCAAAGACATTAGTTGTGGAACTTCTTGCCCGACTTGGCCATGTCGAGGAGCACCGGCGAAGGGTCCCAGTGCTCGGCACCGCCGTCCTCGTCCTTGAAACGAGCCATGAGCTCGACAAGGTTGTCGGCGCCAAAGACGTCGACAAAACGGAACGGGCCGCCGTAGAAGGGCGGGAAGCCGAGGCCAAAGACGGCACCGACGTCGCCATCGGTGGCCGAGTGGAGGATGCCCTCGTCGAGGCAGTGAACGGCCTCATTGACAAAGCGGGCAACAAGGCGGAGACCAAGGTCCTCGTCGGAGACGTCCTTGGACATGGTGGAGAGACCGGCGGGCTTGGCCGAGGTGAAGATCTTGACGGCGGCGTCGTTGACGGCGCGCGACTTGGACTTGCCGCCCTCGTAGATGAAGCAGCCCTTGCCGGCCTTGCGGCCGAGGTACTTGGCGTCGACCATGGCCTTGAGGGCGGCAACGCCGGCGTCGGCGTGCGGGCCGCCGACCCGCGTGGGGAAAGCCTTGGAGAGCGAGTCCGAGACGTGCATGCCGACGTCGAGGCCGACCTCGTCGGCAAGGGTGACAGCGCCGACGGGGAAGCCCATCTTCTTGGACGCGGTGTCGAGCTTCTTGAACTCAACGCCGCGCATGAGGAGGGCGATGGCCTCGGCGAGCATGGGCGCGAGGATGCGGGTGGTGTAGAAGCCTGGGCCGTCGCCGACGGCGATGACGGTCTTGCCCTGGCGGAGGCCGACGTCGACGGCGGCGGCGGCGGTGGCGTCCGAAGTCTTGTCGGTGGTGATGATCTCGAGGAGCTGCATCTTGTCGACGGGCGAGAAGTAGTGCATGCCGATGACCTTGGACGGGTCGCGCGAGGCGGTGGCAATGTCCTTGATGGGCAGCGCCGAGGTGTTCGAGGCAAAGATGGCACCCTTCTTGAGCGAAGCCTCGGTCTCCTTGACGATCTTCTTCTTGAGATCGAGGTCCTCAAAGACGGCCTCGATGACGAGGTCGGTGTTGTCAAAGCCCGCGTAGTCGAGCTGCGGCGTGACGCGGGCCACAGCCCGGTTGGCCTCAAGCGATGTGGTCGCCTTTTTCTTGACCCGCTTGTCGAGGTTGCCCTGGATCTGGGCCATGCCGTTGGCAAGGCCCTGCTCGGACGCGTCCTTGAGGATGACGTTCATGCCCTTGACGGCCGAGACCTGAGCCACACCGGCGCCCATGAGGCCGGCGCCGAGGACGGCGACGTTGTTGATGGGCGCGTCGGGCGTGCCGAACCGGTTCTTCTTGCAGTGCTGCTGGGCAAAGAAGAGCGAGACAAGGCCCTTGGACTGGAAGGTCTGCGAGAGGCGGCCAAACTCGGAGGCCTCCTTGGCGAGGCCACGGACCATGCCCTCCTCGAGCCCGGCCTTGACCGTCTCGAGAATGGCAAGCGGCGCCGGATAGTTGCCCTGCGTCAGCTTCATGATCTTCTCGCGCGCCTTGTCGAGCACAAAGTTGCGGCCGGGCGCAAACTTCTCGGTGAGCAGCTGGGTGATGCCGCGGGTCGAGAGGAGCTTCGGCTCGCGCGAGGGATGCGGGCCGAGCCGTCGGCAAGTGCCGCGGCGCGGTCGACGGCGACCTTGCGCAGGTAGTTGAGCGTGTTGGTCTCGGCGTCGGCAACACCGTCGCCGAGCGCCTTGACCACGGCGTCGGCGAGACCGATGCGCTTGGCCTTGGACGGGCGGACGTTGGCCCCCGTCGTCATCATGGTCACAGCCTCGATGAGGCCGACCAGACGCGGCAGACGCTGCGTTCCGCCGGCGCCCGGCAGTAGGCCGAGCATGACCTCGGGCAGGCCGAGAACCGTCCGCGGCGAGTCGGTGATCATGCGGTAGTCGCAGGCGAGGGCGACCTCGAGGCCGCCGCCGAGCGCCTCACCGTGGATGGCGGCCACGGTCGGCTTGCCGAGCGTCGCCAGCATGTCCAGCGCCTCCTGCCCGCCCTTGGCCTTGGCCTCCACTTCGGCCGCCGTCTCGGCCGCCGCAAGCATGTTGATGTCGGCGCCGGCGATAAAGGTCCCGGGCTTGCCCGAAATGACCACCGCAGCCTTGACAGCAGGGTCCGACTTAATTTTGCGGAGGGCCGAGGTGAACTCGCCCATGAGCGCATCGTTGAGCACGTTCTTCTTCGAGCCAGGCATGTCGAGGGTGAGAACAGCCACGCCGTTCTCCACGCTCACCTCGAGTGTCTGCTTCTTCGCCACCGCGCCAGCCTTATCAGCCGCAAAGACAGACGATGAGAGGCCACGCCAGCCGGCCACCACACCACCACCAGCTGCGGCAAGCTGAGCCACGCCAGGCATGGCACGGGCGGTCGGCACTAGCATAGAGGATGTCGCACGAAGCATAGTTGCTAACGTGTCGTAGTTTGCGACGAGTGTGTCTTCCTCGTCCTCGTCTTGCTCTCGCTCTCCTCCTTGCCCTCCCTCGGCCAGCCGAGAGCGACTCCTCACTCCATCATTGGCTGCGGCTGACCGCTGGCTGCCGCCAGTACGCGACATTCGGCGAGCCGCTCGCTCGCTGCCACCAACTGTGACCACCCACGACCCACGATGGCCGATTAAAGACGGCGGCTGCCACCAGTAATTGCATCACTTGCATGAGGCTACGGTCCATCTCGGCAGTTGATGCGGCGCGGATAGCATTAATGGGGGGGGGGGGGAGGGGGGGGGGAAGGACGGTACGCTGCTTTTTGGGCACAGTGTCCAATCGCAACGTGGGGAGAGCGGAGCTTAGCAAAGCGACGAGCCAGATCCCCACTCGCAGGACGAGGCCGAGAGCGAGGCGTTGTTGTCGGCACGGAGCGATGGCGCGAGCGCAGCCTCGGTCGGGTGCGCGCCCATTGGCGACGCAGGCACCACCGACGCCTTTTGATTGTCGGCGTGATGCCCATCGACTCAAAGTAGTTGGATGGCTGGACCTTGCGCGGGCGCCGCGAGACAGGCGCTGGCGGCAGTTCGGGCATCGGTGGAACAGCCGGCTCGGGCATCGGCTCGGGCTCGGCCAGTATCGGCGCTGAATGACCTGCGGCGACAATCGGTTCGCTGACGCCGACGGCCGCCGGGGAAAGGCTAGAGGAGTGTTCTCGGCGTCGACCTCGGCATCGACCTCGATCTCGCCGGTCCACTCGGACCACTCCTCAGCCGAGTGGGCAAGCTCGGCGTGGCCGGCAGGTGGCACCGCCAGCGCATCGGTGGGTTGGAGGATGACGGCAGCAGCAGAAGCAGCAGGCGCAACAGGAGCAACAGGAGCAGCAGGGGTAGGAGCAGCAGAAGCTGCTGCGGCAACGGTAGGACGCATTGTACCTGCCGCAGGACTCGCACGCTCCACCATTGCTGTCCGCATAGTCCCGGCCTCCAGCGCCGAGTGGCTCATCGGCCCTACGCCCGCAGCCGAGCCCGACACAGCCGGCGAGGCTAGCGGCGACGCCGAGTGCGGAGACGTCGGTAGCGCCGAGCTCCCCGACTGTGCCACCCCCACAGCGCCCGGCAAGAGCGACTGCAGCTTGAGAAGAAGCAACTCCAGGCACCGCATCTGTCGTTGCTCCTGGAGAGGTAGAGTGTAGAGTGGTAGGGTTGACTCCAGTCTCCACACCAGGGTGTTGCTCCCCCCCGTCCTCCCCCCTCCCCCCCCCCCTCCCCCCCCTTTCCTCCCCTCCACCTCCGCACGACTCGCGTCGATCCGCCCATCTTCCCATCTCCGCCTCGATCATCCACACACACTCTCACACGCTCACTTTCTCTCTCTCACACACACATCCCCCCCTCCCCCCCTCTCCCTCCCCACATCCCGCGTCCCATCCCCTATCCTCGTCGTGTTCGATCACACCGAGGGATCGACCACGCCGACAGATCGAACACACCGACGGATCGCTCGCTCGCCCGCTGACGTGACCAAGCCTCCTCCCCATTCCCCCTCCCCCTCCCTCCCTCCCCCCCCTCCTACTCTTCGCCTCTTTGCTATCACTCCACTCTCGCACCTCACCCTTTGTGAGTGTGGTCAGATATGCAGAGCCTAGAGGTGGAACCACATGGCGCCGAGGACAAGGTCGGCAGGGCGGCGTTTGGGTCGTGGCGTGCCCAGAGCAGGTTCCTGGTCGGACATACCTGCGCCACGGTCTGCTCGTCCAAGCTCAACTACTGCTTGGGATTTTCGGCATGTATGTTGGTGGTCTTTGTCTCGGCGGTTGTCATGTCGGTCCTCTCTAATGCACCTGTCGTCTTTCTCCGCCTCTCTGAGGCAGAGGTGGGAGAGATTGATCTGCAGCTGGTCTCGGCGGGCTGGACTGGCGCATCGCTGCTCAACTACACCACAGTCAAGGAAGACTCGCTGAGCTCTGCCATCGGCGAAGCGTACACCTTTCACTCGCCACGAGTCAAGTTCCAGGCCGACATCATGGCCCTCTCCGACTGCCACCCACGTGCTGCTGCTGCCGCAGCTGCCAGCGCCCGCCATCCGTTTCCCTCGCAGTGGAGCTACGAGCCGAGCTCGCTCACCGCCCCAGTCTGCAACGACGAAGCCATCGAAGCCATCGATCCCGGGCGCAAGCCCGGGCCCGACGGCGTTGTCCGGCGCGATCCGGCCAAGACCTGTCTCCAGGTCCTCTGCTCGTCCGAGTACACCCCGCTCACCCAGGCCTCTGTCTACGCCATTGACTCGGCGGCCGAGGTGCGGATGGGGCTTGGACGTGCGTACACCTTTGGCGTCATTCCGCCGTCGTCGGTCCTCCTCCACAAGAACCTCGCCACCATCCTCGGCGTGAGTGTTGGCGACACCACGTACGTCTCGCTCTCGGTCCGGACCCAGGCGCAGCCCAACTCGGTCTTCCGCCACTTTTTTCAGACTCTTGTCGACGACGACACCGCCGCCCGAGACGCCTTTCTCAACTCGACGGCGTACACCAACGCTTCGGAGCCGTGGACCTCGTCCGATCTCGCGAACGCCTTTCCCTACGCCGAGGGCAAGTACCGCCTCCCGTGGGCCTTCCGCATCAACCTCCCGCTCACCGTCGCCGGCATTCTCCCGTCGTCGCTCGGCAAGTTTGCGGCGTCAGACACACAAGCTGCGCTTGTCGAACTCGGCACACTTGCCACAGCGCTCGCTGACGCGCTCAACGCCAACACCACCGAGCTTCAGGATGTGCGCTCCATGCTGGGCGCCTCCAGCATGGCCGAGTTTGCGTCGGAGATCAACGTCAACCTCCCGCCGCCGCGCATCGACCCGTACCTCTCGTCCGACTTTGACACCATCCAGAAGAACGTGCTTCGCTTCACGTCCAAGGTTGTCTACGCGCTCGGCTTCAACCAACTCGACGCCGACGAGCCAATTGTTGAGAATCTGCGGGCAACTCGTTTCTTCTCGCTCTTCCTCGGCCTCATCCTCAACATTGTCATCTTTATTCTCTCGGGCCTTTCAGTTCTCCTCATTTACTCGCTGCTCATGGTCAATGTGGAGACGCGGACGTTCGAGATGGGCACCATGCGCATGCTCGGCATGACCAAGGCCGGTGTCGTCCAGCTCTTTCTCCTGCAGGCCTTTGCCTACGCCCTTCCCGCCTATGTCGTCGGCATGGGCGTCTCGCAGCTCGCCTTTTACCTCCTTGCCAACCTCTTCGAGTCGTCGACCGACGTCTCCATCTCGCCGTGGCTCTCGCCGGCAGGCATCATCCTCGCCACCGTCCTCGGTCTCACCATTCCGGTCATTTCGGCACTGGCGCCCATCCGCACCGCCCTCGGCGTCTCGCTCGTCGCTGCTCTCCAGGTCTCCCGCTCCAAGCAGTCTGCGGTCAAGATCTCGCTCGAGCGCAACGAGGACGGCAAGGTCTCGTGGGCACTGGTTGTCACAGGCTCCACCCTTGCTGTCTTTGGCTTCCTCGTCTACTACCTCCTCCCGCTCGCGCTGCTCTCGTTCAACCTCACCCTCCTCCTCAACATCTTCTTTGGTCTCCTCATCGGCATGCTCCTCGGCCTCGCCCTCCTCGCGCTCAACTTTCAGCACATGATCGAGCGCCTCCTGGTCTTTTCCTCCTCTCGTGGTGGGAGTCGTCGGCCGTCACCGTTGTCGTCGTCAAGAACCTCATCGCCCACAAGCTGCGCAACCGCAAGACGACCCTCATGTACTCGGTCTCGCTCGCCGTCATCATCTTTATCTCGGTCTCGTTCTCGCTTCAAATCCAGACCTTTGTCTACTCGGTCCGCCAGGCCCGCGGCGCCCGCATGACGGTCGATGCGCCGCAGGTTGACCGCCTCGGTGAGCTCGAGATCATCCTCGAGGCCTCGCCTATTGTCCGTGACTGGGCCTACTCCTCGGTAGCCCTTCACGACGCGAAGGTCTACCTCGACCAGACCAAAGTCACCAATCTAGGCCGGGTATTCGAGGCAGAGACTGATGTCTACGCAGTCTCGCCCAACTTTTACGACGTTGTCTTTGACGGTTTCCTCAACGTCGGCACCGTCCGCAATGGCTACAAGCGCCAGTCGCTCTCGGAGCTGCTACACACGCCCGCCGGCTCCGGCATGGCCCTCGCTCCGACCACTTACCGCCAGTCGCTTGCCTTTTCCTCCATCGGCGACGCCTGGTCGCTCCTCTGCCAGTTCATCACGCCTGTCGGCGACGCCGAGTACCGGCTCCAGCTCCGGACGCTCGCATTTGTCGACTCGTCGCCAGTCTTCCGCTTCTCCAAGTTCCCCAGCGTTGCCGGCCTCGACATCATCGTCTCGTTTCCGACCTTCCGCCGTCTGCTCGAGCAGATCGGCGGTGACGAGGCCAACTCGGTCTCACTTGACGACGTGCCCATCGAAACGGTGTACCTCTCCATCTCAGAGAACGTCGGCGACGACGAGCTCGACCAGTTGCTCTTTGACCTGCGCAATTTTGACGTTTCAGACCTGCGCTCTGAAGTCGACGCCCTCGACGCTGCCGAGCTGGTCCTCAACTACTTTTTCATCTTTACCACCGTCATGGCCATGTGGATCTCGTACTTTTCGCTGGTCTCGTCCATGGCCTCCAACATCTACGAGTCGTCCAAGGAAATTGCCGTCCTTCGTGCCCTCGGCGCCACCCGCGGCCAGGTCCGGCGCATTTACGTTTACGAAGCCTTTGTCCTCGTGCTCTCCGCCGCGCTGACCGGCGTCTTCATTGGCACCTTTGTCGGGTGGACCATGCTCCTCCAGCGCACACTCTTTGTCCAGCTCCCGGTCCCGTTTGTCTTTCCTACCACCATCCTCATCGTTGTCTTTGTTGTCGCCATCCTCTCCGCGCTTTCAGCCGCGGCACTCCCGGCCACCCGCCTTCTCCGCAAGTCGATTGTTGAGATCATGCGCATGCAGTGAGCAGGAGCCATCTACAGCTCGGCTACAACAATCCGGGATCGTTCCGCCTGCGGCAGTGCCTGCTGCGTGGCAGTCACGAGTTCACAGCCTGCGTCGACCACAATCGTCTGTGGATACGCCTTGCTGCTCAGCACCATGCCCAACATTGTCCTGTGCACCACCTCGTCGGATCCAGCGACGAGCGGATTGTCGCGGACGTCGAGCCGGATGAGGTTGGGCGGGAGGCGGGCGAGGAGGTCCGGAAGCGAGCACAGCTCGTTGCCCGAGATGTCAAGCGCTGTCACGCTCTCGGCACGCTGCAGCAGCGGCGCAAGCGCGGCTAGCCCGCGCCCGTCGAGTCGATTGCTGGCAAGGTCGAGCGTGTGGAGTGTGTGCGGGAGCTCGAGCCCTGACCCGAGCTCCTCAAAGGCACGCTCGTCGGCGTCGGTGGCACTCCTGCCAAACGGTGGGGTGAAGCTCGGGGCCAACCCTGGAAGCCGCAGCGTGTTGAGTGCGGCCAGGCCCGAATCGGTGCCCGCTGCAGCAGCGAGAAGAGTCTGGAGCGCGTTGCCCAGACCCAAGACGTTAAAGCCAGCGGCGAGACTGACGAGAGCTGGTAGCCGGGCTAGCGGCTCTGCGAGCTCTGACCAAAAGTCAGGAGTAAGCGAGAGGTTGGAAAGGTCGAGCGACGTGAGCGAGGCCGACAACTGGCCCGACGCGCCGAGCGCAAAGCCGAGCGACCGTACCATCTGCGACATCACTGTCGGCCTATCGCGCACAGCTGCAGCGTTGTGGCTGACGTCAAGCGCCGCCAGCGGCGGCCCATCTGCGGCCATGAGCGCCTTGCACAGGACCGAAAGGCCCTTTGCACCGAGAACGTTCGAGGAGATGCTGAGCGCGCTCAGCCGAGGCAACGTTGTCACCACTGGCGCCAACCGTGTCATCGTCACGTCGCCGAGGATGTTGCCGGAGAGATCGAGTGCTGTGAGCGAGTCACGACGAGCGAGAAGAGGCAGCATGCTGCTTACTTGTGCATCGGCCAGGTTGAGATTGCTCAGATCCAGACGCGCGCCGCCGGCGTTGTCGCACTCGTGCAGTCGGGCCCTTACCTCACTCGAGCCCCCCATATACACTTCGGTGAGAGGGACGTCGGTGTAAGAGGCCACGCGGGCGGAGAGAAGCGGCGGTGGTTCGATTTGCACTACGTGTCGCAGCTCGTCGTCTGGCCACAGCTGCGCAGTCTCGAAGAAAAGCGCGCTTATGATCGGCAGCCGGCCGTGGATGGCGCGGTACCGAGTGGCGGCGAGCTCCATGGCCTCGCGGATCGAGACTGGTGATTGCGAGTCAAAGGCAAGGAGGAGCGTGTGGTTCGGGCCGGGAAACTGGATCTTGACGCGCAGCGGCGGCGGCGGGCGAGGTCCCGCAGGAGACGACTGACCGCCAACGGTGGGCTCGACTCGGTGCTCATCATCGCCGCCGTTCCCCACGTCTGAGTTTGCAACGTCGCCGTCGTCATCGCTGTAAGCATGATGGATGGGGTAGTCGTAGCTCGGCGAGAACGTTGAGATACGGATGCGAGTCTTTGGCGACTGGCGGCCGCGTGGCAGGTGGCCAGCTGGCGGTGCGATATGTTGCGGCGTGCGAGCCCGCTTGGCTGGTCGTTCCTCGCCAGACGACGACTCCGAGTCGGCCAGCTCGGCGATGACACCGTTGACATTGGTGTGACCGCCGGTGGTGATCTGTCCGCGGCGCGGCGGGCGGCGACGCTTTGGTCGCGGTGCCTCCACTTGCGGCGGCGGCGGTGGCGTGAGATCGCGCGGAGGGCAGAGCTCATCGAGGGCGGGCACTGGCTGCGAGAGGACGCCGAGGCCGAGAGCCTGCTTGTGGCGTGCCAGCAGCGAGTCGAGCCGCGGGTGATTTGGGTTTGCAGCAAAGTAGAACTCTTCCAGATTGTTGAACACCATGTCAGCGAGCTCGAGATCACCGGCTTGGAGCGCAAGATTGAGTGCCTGGACGTGGGTGTCCTCGGTCAACTCGACACTGGCTCCGGCGTCGTCGTAGGCTACGCCGAGGTTACAGAGGGCGAGCGCGACGGCTCTGTCGCTCGAGTCAAGCGCGCGCGCAGCAGTGAGCTCAGCCTTGCGCACACGGACAACCTCGTTGTGCAAGCCGAGCTTGGAGAGTGCGGCAGCGTAGAGGTCCAGGAGCTCGGCTCCGGATGCGTGGCTGACGTGGGCAAGCGGGCCCGGCAGCGCCGCCATGTACTGCTCGGCGAGCGGGGCAGCGGCGTCACGAGCGTCGGCGTGCATGCCCAAAAACAGCAGATGGCTGAGGTAGACGAGGATGTCGGCGATGGCACCCGAGGCTGCGGCCCGCTCCTTGAGATTCGGCAGGGCTTCAGTGTAGTCACGGGCGGTCTGGACGGCGGCGTAGTTGTCGCGAGCGACGGTGACCCGCGGATGGCCGAGGTCCTTGCGGTAAACGCGCTCGGCAGCATTGCGCTCCTCGTTAAAGGCGCGGCCAGCCGAGGCGTAGTCTCGGAGCACCATGTAGCACTGGCCCATCGAGGCGTGGATGTCGGCGATGGCCAAGGCGCCCTCGGCCTTCTTCCGCTTGCCCTGTGGAGTGAAAACGACCGTGCTCGCGAGATCACGGGCCTTTTGGTACGCGACGATGGCTTGCTCCGGCCGCAGTTCGCGGTTGACGTAGCCAAACGCCGAGTAGGTGATGGAGCCGAGCGAGCAGTACTCGCCGCCGTCGTCGACTCGCCGCGGAAGCGAGGTAAAGAGCTCGACAGCTTCGGCAGCAGCAGCGATGCCAGCGTCATATCTTCCGGCCTCTGCATACGCGTTGGCCAGATCGACGAGGACCCGGATCATGTGCTTGGCCTTTTCAGCCGCCGGGATCGTCGCCGGCGCCGGTAGAGAGCGAGCAAGTGTGAGCGCGGCCTCAAACGCAGCGAGAGCACGGGCCGACGCGGCCCTAGTTTCAGCGGCGGTCTCGGCTGCGTCGTACTGCGCTTGTGCCGACTTGCCCATGGCAACCGCGGCACGGAACTCTTCCAGCTCGCGACACGACGGCTCGCCGGTGCCCGGGTCGTCAAAGACGGGCTCGAGGCCCGCGGCCGCAGCCGCGTCCGACTCGTGGCTCGCGTACGCCTTGTCAAAGTCACCCAGGGCAGCGTAAGTCGAGCCAATGGCGCGGTGAGCCCAGGCTGTGTCTAGCGGACTCGCCGCCAGCCTCAGCTGTTCTACAAAGTATGGTAGCGCTTCGCGCGGCTTGTTTCTACGGAGGTGGTGCCGGCCTGCAAAGCCGCAGTTGGCCACCTGGTCGGCCACGTTGCCCTCACGCCGCGCATTGCGCAAGTGTTGCAGAATGTTCGACAAGTTGGCCTTGTTCTGGTCCTCCAGACTGAGGTTGGCTCCGTTGTCCGGTGCCGCCATGCCGGGCTTGTGCGCGGTGACCAGTAGCTGGCTTTGACCGTGGCCCTCTACGCGCGGGTGGAAAGTGGTGGGGAGTGGTGGTGGGAGGATTGGTGACCAAAAAGGTCGTAGTTTGGCCAACTTTGGGTTGCAAATGTGCGACTGGCAGGTACGGAACAATGTGTCTCGAGAGGATAACGACAACGTCACCATACCCAATCTCATGATAGCTGCAGCGAGGCTTTGACGTGCGGGTACTCTCCCGAGCTCGTGGGCAAACAGTTGGCTCGCCCCACACACTCTCCCGCATATACTCACACATCGACACTCTTCCTCTGCGCATATGTGGAGGTTGGCATGTACCATTCTCATGCTGGCGTTGGTGTCGTCGGAAGTTGCGGACGGAATGCCTGGTGTGCCATGTTGCGGTAAGCAGACTCGGCCGCGGCTCCGGATGCATTCCTTTTACTTGGATTCATCGATCGACAACGCTTTTGCATCGATAGCGCAAGGCTTCATGGCGAGCCACAACGCCAGCTTTGACATTGACTTTGCCTCGCTGGACATGCCGCCGTCTCTTGAATCGTACCTGCATTGGGTGCTTGCGCCCGGTGCCGGAGACATTATTCCATGGTTTCCGCGTGGCGGCGGCTTCACCATCTTTGATCGCGACCACTATGTGCCGCTCGACGATGTTTGGGACGAGGCCGAGCTGGCGGCAGACGTACCGGATACTGTCCTACAAGGCTGTCGCGGGGATGACGGCTCGATGTACGCTGTCCCGGTTGTGGCCGAGAACCAGATCTGCACGATGCGGCGGTCGACCATGACCGGGGCTGGCCTCGCGGCCACGCCTCCAGCAACGTGGGCAGAGCTGCTCTCTTTGTGTCACTCTCTGCTCGACCGCGGCATGGCGTGCCTGGCGACAGATATGGAAGTATTCCCGGCATCGATCATGCTCGACTACCTCCTGGTCCGCATGCACGGCCTCGAGTTTTACAACCAGTTTTCAAATGGCCATGTCTCGTTCATCGACTCGCGCATCCTCGCATCCCTTGACGAGTACTCTGTCCTTCTCGAGCGCGGCTACTTTATGCCAAAGCCGGGCTCAAATCGCACGCTCATGGCCAGTTATCTGGACTTTGTCTCGGGCGACGTGGCCATCATGTGTGGCATCGAAACTGCGGTGAGCTTTGTCATCGAGTCCGGCGTGCGCGAGGACGACCTGGTAGTGTTTGCCTTTCCTGCCTACGACGGTGTGCTGGCCAGCCTCGCGGAGTCGGACATGAGCCTTCTTGCCTTTCTGGGCACCCTTGCCATCCCCAAAGGATCGCTCTACGTCGAAGAGGCGAAGGAGCTGATGCGTTACGCGGCGTCGCCGGCCGCAACCAACGCCTCACTACCGGCCATGACGTCTGGCTTTCCTGTCCGGTACTCGACGGCGGCGCTAATCCCGCACGAGCGCGGCCGGATCGGCTTTGAGCTCCTTGCCGCCGGCCAGGGCCGGGCGCCTCAGCCGTCGCGATCAGTTTTTCAGGAGGTCGAGCTCACACGGGCGTGGAATGCCTTTCTTCATCACTTTAATAGGGCAACATCGGATGAAGAGCGGGCGAGCTATCGGACCGAACTCCTTGCGCTAGCCGAGGCCTCCCGTGTCGCGCTTGTGCTCGGCAAGACGGCCGTGCCGATTGCCAACCCGCCCGCTGGTGTCTACACCACGGCGATAGTACTCGAGCTCAAGTCGCTAACGCCCGACGCGTCCATCTTCTACACACTCGATGGTACTGCTCCACATCTCGGCTCAATCACCTATGACGCACCTATTGCTCTCGAGAGCGACGGCCGGACGGAAGTCCGTGCCTTTGCGGTTGCCTTTGGTCTCCATGCCTCGGATGAGCTGCGCACTGTCATTGTCATCGAGCACGCCCGGTCGGCACAGACCAATTCCTCACCTTCGACCGGAGTCTCTTCTGCCCTCATCGCCACCATCTGCGTAGCTACCGCCTTTGTTCTTGCAGTGGCGATCATCGTGACCGGTGTCTATGTCCGCAAGCGCAAGATTCATGTCTACGCTGTCGGCTCGTCGTCGCAGCTGATCATCCCAGCTGGCGCCGTGACGATGGGCGAGGAGATTGGCGCCGGAGCCTTTGGCACCGTGTACGAGGCCGAATGGCGAGCCATGAATGTTGCAGTCAAGCGGCCGAGCTCGGTCATCACATCCAACGATGTACAGGCCTTTGCCGAAGAGGCTGACATTCTCCTCCGCTTGCGGCACCCGAACATTGTCATCTTTATGGGTATTGTGCTCAAGCCGCCCGGCATTGTCACTGAGTTTATGAGCCGCGGCTCGATGTATGCCGTCCTGCACACCTCTGCGCTCTCGCTCGACCCGTCGATCATCCTCAAGTGGTCGCACAATGTGGCGCAGGGACTGGCGTATCTGGCCGAAGCTGATGTGGTCCATGGTGATTTCAAGTCGCTCAACGTCCTATTTGATGTCAACTGGGTGCCCAAGATCTGCGACTTTGGCATGTCTGCGCTGCGACCCAAGCTTGTTGCCATTGCTGGTGTCAGTGGTGCGGACTCCCCAACGCACTCTCAAGACATCTCATCATCTCTCGGCTCGCTTGTCCGCGGTATGCACAAGTCGGAAATGACGGCCGCCTCGCGAGCACCGTCGAGCGGCACTCGCGGTGGAGAGTCTGACCCGTTCGTGGCAGTCTCGATGGCCAAGATCGGTACGCTCTACTGGGCGGCGCCAGAGATTCTGAAAAGTGGCGCGTGTGCCCTCGGACCGCCCTGCGACGCATACTCGCTCGGAATCACTCTCTGGGAGTTGGCTACCCGCAAGGATCTGTATGCGAGCGAGAATCCCCTCGCAGTTGCGCTTGACGTCATCGATGGACGGCGACCCGACTTGTCCCACGTTCCGCCGGGCCTCATCGGCATGTCTGCCGTCATGCAATCGCTGTGGCGATCTGCGCCGGACCAGCGGATCCGGCCGCGTGATGCCGCATCCATGATCGGCAAGCTCTACTCGCCCGAACACATTGTGTATCCGCGGAGCGACAGCTCGGGCGAACACACCATCTTTGTTCACTGCGAGCTGCGTGACGCCATGGCTCGCTTCTGCCACGGCGAGAACAACGCGTTTAGAAGGTCCAAACCTTCCACAGCCGCATCGGCTCGCTCGCTGGCAAAGTTGACGGCGAGGTTCGAGAGTGGGGCTTTGGCTGGGTCAACATTGGTGTAGCGGGCCCGGCCAACTTTGTCGAGCTCACCTCGCACATCACCGTGCTCGAGGGCGGGACCGGTCCTATCACCGTTCTCGCCGTCTACTGTTCGCCGCCAGCTACCGCTGCGAGAGGGACGTCCTCGGGTCACGGATCGGGCACGGGCTCTAGCGCTGAGGCAGGGAGTAGTCCTGTGAGGATGACCATGGCGGCCAATGCCTCGTCAGACGCAATGTCTAACGTGTCATCCACGTTGACAAATGGCGCGCGTATCGAGACAGCCATTTTTGAGCTGCACACGCTGTGGGAGCATGTCTTTGGCCTCATCGGCGCATCGTCTATCAGCCGCAACCGTGCCGAGATGGAGCGCAGTTTCCAGAGCCGGCTTTCCCGAACCTGGGATGCTGCCACTCCAGGCGGCGTTTTCGTTGCACCAGGCCTCGCCGTTGAGCTCGAGGCGTCCACTACAGCACACATCGAAGCTGTTCCCGGCTTGGACGGCGAGTCGAAAGCGCCACCGCGCGTTTTCCAATTCATTCGCCCGCACGACGTCGCCTTGCGCCACGAGCCAGCCACGGCTCACTTGCGCAAGCCAGCCGAGCTGGCGGAGGCCGCTCTTCTCAATGCTGTCGAGAACAATAGCCCACGATCCAGCCGCGCAGAGCCGGCGCCCGCCGGATCAGGCATTGAGCTCCTCACCGCCGACGATATGAGCAACCTGATGGCGCAGCTCGGACCGACCCACGTTGGGAGTGTGGCCAAGTCACACATCGCCGACTGTGCAGTCGACTCTGTCCACGGCGTCGCGGCGATGGGCAACGCACGGCGGGTCCGAGTCAAGGTTCTCCTTCGGCAGGACATGGCGTTGGCGTCTCAACTCGTCAACTTTGGTCTCGCTTGCGTTTCCAGCTGGAAATGCTCTCGCGAGACACCGCATCTGGTCGGGCCTCTCGCCATCTGCCTCCAGACGCCGCACGTCGGCTTTGTCCTCCCGCAGTTCAGCGACGGCAGCGTCCGTGACGTCATGTCGCCGCAGCTGTCGACAATCGAAGTCCGATCGCTAGCGGAGGGAATGGCGCTGGCAGCAGCTGAGCTGCACGCCATCGTCGAACACGGCCATGGCGCGCTGCGTCCGTCCAACTTTCTGGTCACCAAGCGGCCTGACAGCTCGGAGTCGCCTTTGGTCGCCACCGGATGGGATGTTGCGCTTGTCGACTACGGCTTTGAATCGCTGCAATCCGCCGTCGGCACCCTGACCGCCGTACCGGATGCCTACTACATGTCGCCCGAGGACATGGCCGGTGTCATACTCTCCCGTGCAGGCGATGTCTTTGTCCTTGGCTCGATCCTCTTTGAGCTTTTCGCCGCTCGGCCAGCCTTTATCGGCCCATCCCCTCTCAAGGTCTCTTACGACATCCGCACCGGCTTTCGGCCAGACGTCTCGGCCTTTGATGTCCCCTCCACCGCCGTCCGTCATATCATTGAGCAATGCTGGTCAACCAACGCTGTCGCCAGACCCACTGCAGCCGAGGTCTACTCGCTCTTATCGACACTCTCGCTCTCAGACTTTGCCATCTCGGCTGGTACCACCTCGCTGCGCTACGGCTCGAACGGCAACGGCAGATAACCCAAAAAGGTACGGTCGTTCGGACGAGTTGTCGCGCGTCTCAAAGTGAACAACTCGATGATGCTCGACTTCCAGATCACCGGCCGACGCTGCGCAACGCCTGCTTGGCCTGTGGCTGGAGGTGGGAGGCGCGCCCGCACGTGATGGCGGCCGACACGTAGACACCCGCCTGAAGGATGCCCGAGTTGCTGTCGCGGTGACGACCCCGACGACCGGGAAGGAGAGCATCACAGAGTTGAACACAGCGGCCAGACGGGAGAGCGGGAGAACGTTGTGGATCTTCTTGCGACGGACGAGCTTGCCGGTCGGCGTGGCTGAAGCCGACATGAGGAGCGAGGAGGTGAGGCGGAGGCGCGTGAGGCCTTTTCGAGGACGAGCATGTCGCGCGACGCGAACGCGCCGGCGAGCGCCGAGTTCATTTCGTGGACGCTCGAGCAGACGCCCGCGGCGGAACTCGGCAAAGGCGTCGGGGTGCGTGCCGTCAGCGGCAAAGACCGAGTCGGCGAGCGAGGAGACGTCGTCCAGCGTCGGCGCCGCGCACGGAAGCATACCATCACGTAGTGCATGAACAAGAAGAACAAGTCAGGCTCGCCGCCAGCGCGCTTTGATGACCGCCGCGCGCCGCTGGTGTCTGCGCGCGCCCGTTTCACGCTCGTGGCCAGTCCGCCCGTCGTCGCCGTCGTCTTCTCGCGCGCAGAGTGGTGGAACGAGCGCGCGCCTTCCACTCGCCCGCGATGAGCGCGACGTGCGACGACGCCACGCCGTCTACGACCACCTACGCACGTCGATACACAGAGACGTCGCCAAGCATACCATCACGTAGTGCATGAACAAGAAGAACAAGTCAGGCTCGCCGCCAGCGCGCTTTGATGACCGCCGCGCGCCGCTGGTGTCTGCGCGCGCCCGTTTCACGCTCGTGGCCAGTCCGCCCGTCGTCGCCGTCGTCTTCTCGCGCGCAGAGTGGTGGAACGAGCGCGCGCCTTCCACTCGCCCGCGATGAGCGCGACGTGCGACGACGCCACGCCGTCTACGACCACCTACGCACGTCGATACACAGAGACGTCGCCCTGCGGCATGTCCGAGTGTATGTTTGTGGGTGTATGTGTGTGGGTGTGTGTGGGGGGTCGAGTGTGCGCGAGTCCGCGAGTCAGAGACCAGCGACTCAACATTGGCCTCGCACGTCTAGAGCTCCGGGTTCTCCTGCCTGATCTCCAACTACGGCGTCTACTCATACATCTACATAAACAATTCCTGGGACCGCGTGGCAAGCCGCGGCGACCGGTGTTGGGCCGGTGGCTGTCGGAGGTCGGGAAGGGACGACGCACCACACTCGTCTCGAACCTGGCCTCCAACGTCCCAGTCCAACACCAAAGGCCATGCAGGCCGTAGAGGTCAAGCCGGCACTAAGCTATGTGTGCAGACTGCTGCATGCACAGGGCGTGAGTCATGCCCTCGTTCCCGAAGTCCTCCGCGCCGCAAAGCACAACTCGAACCGCTCGTTCTCGGCGGCGGCCGATACGGTGACTTCGCGGCTGTGGCACGCACTGGCCGATGTCCTGGTCGTTGCTGCTGCCGGTCCGCTGGCAGAGGTCTCTGATGAGACTACTAGGATTGCTGCTTCCCATCTCAAGGCCGCCCGTAGAGCGTCTATCGCCCATGGCGCCAGCGAACACGCCCTCCCGCTGCGTGACGCCCTCCCCCGGCCGTCGCCGCCTCGCTCTCCGCTCACTACGATCATGTTTTGAGTGAGGTCGACAAGGCCGAGCTGAGACATCCGCTTAGCATGCAGCCGCGATCGCTGCTCCTAATTTTGGGTCGGGTCCTTGCCGCCGGTCAGCTGCTCTCGAGCCTGCTCGCGGCATCGGTTCCGGTCCCTCCCAGTGTTGCCCACCCGGCGGTCCTGGGTCTTGATGGAGTTGTGCATGATGAACCGCCGCCTGCGGCACAAGGGCAGCTAGAACTCGGCAGTGTGCCGAGCGCGAGTGGCGGAAGCTCGGATAGCGTGCTGAGCGCCAACGGGCTGATGGCTCAGCTGGGGCGGGTCCGCGTCGCCGTGGGTGCGGTGGCCACGCTGCGTGCGCAGGCAAGTGCCTCGGCAGCATGGCTGCGCAACGAGGGTGTTGCTCCGTCGCTAATGACGGGCTGGCTGGCGGCACGACCGGACGCCTGCGCCGCAATCACCACCATGCTCGATGATGCCCATAGGTGGCTGCTGGCCCGCGCCGAGGGCGCAGCCAAGCTCGAGGTCTTCTGGCGATGGATGGTGTCAGTAGCTGCTGTGCGCACGACGCAAGGCGGAGCGCCCAGCGGGCCAACGGTTGACAATCTTGACCAAAAACTGCCCTTGGATGCTGTGGCAGCAGCGAGAGTCGACGATCTCGTTGCGCGCGCACCGAAGGCTCTAGCGCGATCAACCTTTGCGTCGCTCCGCAAGGCCATGGGCGAACTTCTGCCGCTGTTTGAGGCTATCCAGGGGGCGTGGGAGGAGTCGCCGAGCAGTAGCACCGGGGAGAGCGACTACGGGACAGAGCCCACATTTGTTGCCCCGCCCCTTGCCTTGCTGAACGCAGCGTCGCTGTTACGGCGTACCTTCGGCATCGCCACTCGGGCGCCGGGCGTGGCAGCGGTGCCTCCATCTCAGGGCCCAACAACAGCGCTGTGCCAGAAGCGCGCCATACAGCAGCGCAGCGTCAACTTGCGACGACTGCTGTAGAAGCTGCGCTGCTGGCACCGCTGGCCGAGGCACACGCAGCGAGTGGTGGGAGCTTGTACACGTTACGCCAGCGTGGTGCAGGCGCCCGTGGCGGCACCTTGGTCTCTGACGAGCTTGTGCGGCTGCGCAAGCTCATCACCGACGCGGACGCCCAGCTAGCAGACGCACAGGCCCATGCAAGCGCGGCGCTGAATGTCCAGCTTGATCGTGCAAAGAGTCAGTTTAAGCTCCTTCGCCGCTAGGCCCGGGCCGTCCAGACAAAGGCGCCGCCGCGAGCGTACTCGTATTGGCCGAGGGCCACGTAGTTGCCGGCACCGTCCGAGGCGAGCTGGGTGAACTGGAGAACATTGCGCGATACGGCCGGCGGAGGAACGTCCTTGAACGACGTGCCATCTGTAGAGTAGAGCATCTTCTCGCCGGCAGAGACGACATAGCCATCGCTGCCTCCGGCAAGGGCCGAGATGTGGGCAATGATTTCCTCGCCGTCGATGGTGCCGTTGAACGTGGCAACGCGAGTCCACTTTTCCCCGCCGCCCCACACAAAGACCTCCGACTCGTGCGAGCACTGCAGGAAGATCTTGTCCCCGGCAGCGTAAACAGTGCCGTAGAAGGAGCAGCCCTGGAGCGGGCGGAGGACGTCGTGCCAATGTTCGCCGTCGGTCGACCGCACAAGCTTGGGATGCGTCTCGCCCTGAGCAAAGGCCCAGAACGCGCCGTCGCCAAATAAGAGCTGGGTGAAGGCAGGAAGCGGGTCGATGACCGAGCCGCGAGCCTCGTACGTCTTCTTGAACTCACCGGTCAGCGAGGAGGCCATCCACAGGTGGGCATGGTAGCCGAGCGCGTCGGCATAGACCCAAACACCGTTGCCGTAAGCAAACCCGGCAACGCCGTACGTCGGCGTCACTGACGTCCAGCTGGTACCGGCCACCGGATCGGCAGCGCAGTTGAGCGAGCCAGAGGTGTAGCCGCAGATAGAGCCATCATCGGTGACAAACATGTTGCTGAGGTTGATCGGCGGCAGCGGCGACGGCTTCCAGCTTGTGCCGTTGTCGGTCGAGACAAGGAGCGACGACTCACCGAGCGCTAGGAACACTTTTCCGTGGTGGTAGTAGGTGAGCGCGGTCCACTCGTTGGGCACAGGCCCGTTGGCATGGACCTCAAACTGGGCAAGCGTGGAAGCCGAGTCGACGGTGGCAGTCGCCACAAAGCCATAGTCGCCAAGCGCGACCATGAGCTGAGTGGTTGAGCCTGGCGAGGTGATAACACTCAGATGACGCTGTGCAGGCATGGACTTGGTCGCAACAGGCGTGGCAAAGCCAGCATCCAATACAACCCGCGTCACATTGCTCGGCGTCGCCTCGGCCCACCACCGCACAATGCCGCTGCCGGCCGATGAGACCGCGACCCGCAGCAGTGACGGCGTGTCGGCAACGCCGTCGAGCACAATCTCGGTCGGAAGCAAAGACCAGCTCATCGTGTGCAGACCGGTGTCAGCGGTCTTTGGCTCGCCGCGCAGCGCGCGCAGCTTGGCCACACCGCCGACGACGTCAACAACGACAACAAGGATTGCGCCGCCGTCAAGAGAGGCTACCGAGTGGACGCGAGCGATCGACAGCTTGCTTGTCCGCGCCAGCGGCAGAGTGACGTTGACAAACTGCGCAGACGACGCCACATCCAGCGGCGCGAGAGTGATCTCGTAGGCGTCGGCCGCGCCGAGCTCGTAGCCATAAATGGCCCAGCCATCAGCAAGGCCGACGGCGCGAGGCACAGCCGCCGAGGGTGCCCACGGCGAGTCGATCTTCTTCCAGCTCTGGCACCCACCGGGAGAGAGGTAGAACGCGTTGGTCGTCGGAGGAGGGGCGTTTGGCGGGTATGTCGGGTCGGTCGGCGTCATGAGCACGACATCCGACGACGGCGACGCGGCCAGCGCGCCGGGCCACGAGTCGGGCACGCTCGCGGTCGGCTTGGCCAACCCGGCCGAGCTCGGCCCGTCAAAGACAAAGAAGCTTGTGCCCTCCATCGGGAAGCGGGAGACGGCAGCGCAAAACGAGGCCGCGCTCTCGAGGACCACCAGCGACGACGACAGGACGTTGGTGGAGAGCGAGTACTCGAGAGAAGCGAGCGTGGAGACCGCCGACGGTGGAGCTTGTGCCACCGATGCACCGGCAGGCAGCCAAAGAAGGGTGGGGTACACGGCATCCGTTTCGTCCGTCCCTGCACGGAGCACACAGCGAGAAGAGGAGCAGGCAACGGCGATGAGGTCCAGGGCGGTGTAGGCAGGCGACGACTGCTTCCAGGCAGTGGGGAACGTTGCTGCAGATGCAACTGTGAGTGCCACCATGGTCATAGCCACTGCTACTGCCACAGCATAGTACATGGCGCGGTACAGGGTGTGTGGTAGGTGGGGAGTGGGGTGGAGGGCTACGAGGGTGATCAGGTTGCCAGCCAAGCTGGTGATCAGCCACGTCGGGGGAAAAGGTCGTGAACTTCGCTCTGTGACCGCACACCCACCGACCTACAGCAGCAGACACCCGCGCCAAAGCAATTGCACTCGACTTGACGAGGCCACCGCGGTTGCTTGGGCAAGCGCTTCCCGCTGAGTTGGTCAAATGGCAAGGGTGGGTGACATAGCCATGCCGCAGCCACAACGGGCGGATGGGTCAGCTCGAGGCGGCGCCACCGCGGCGGGCGCGGTGGGAAGCTCAGAGCGGCACGGCGGGCGCGGGTCAGAAGATGTCCAGTCGGAGCAACATGCGCTCGTTGAGCGCTCGCAGAGGCTGCAGGCTGCTGCTGCTGCTTTGTCGACGAGAAGGCCACCGCCAAGAAGAACAGCAACGGCAAGGTCGCTCAAGCCGGGCTTCTCGACCATGACCCTCAAACGGCACGACAACAACATCGACCAGATCCGGGCGATCATTGCGTCGCTCGAGGATGCAGTAGCAGAAGGTGGCTCGCCACGAGCGTCGCCGGTCCCGTCAGCCGGTGTGGGTGAGAAGCGGGTGGCCACGGCCGAGCCGCACCGGCCGCGACCGCGAGCCAACCCATACGCCACCATCCGGGCCGCGCCCGCAGCTCAGACTGAAGTGTCACGGCCAGTCGTGGGCGGTGAGCCGCCAGTCATCTCGACGCAGCTCTCGATGCTCTCGAAGCGATTCGAGTCGCTCACCAGGCTAGTGGGAACGTCGAACCAGATCCGCAACTTGCAGCGGACGCTGTCGCGGCTTCGCAACGCAGGCCCTGACGAGATCGCCACCGCAGCGGCAAGCTTTGACGGCGGAAGCGATGGTGAAGAAGCCGGGCGTGCTGACCTCGCTGCGCTTCAAGCTTCAATTTCCGAGCTGGAGGAGACCAAGACAAGACTCGCTGCCGAGCTGAGCGAGGAAGAGAGCAAGCTAGTGGCGGTCAAAGATCTGCAGGTGCTGTCAACGAGTGGCCATGCCGCGCCAGGCGTCGACATGGCGCAACTCGTCGAGGTATTTGCCACTTTTGAAAACTTGCAGGAGGTGATGGCTGAGCGCGAAGCCGCCGAGGCCGAGGCTCGCAACGAAATGGACGAGCTCCGCGCCAAGATTGCCCGCCTGGAGGACAAGTACATGGAGGAGTCGTCGGCCATCCGCGCCCGGCACAGGGCCCAGATCAGTGATCTCCGGCAGAAGAACGACGGATTGACCGAGGCGCTCTCGGCCAAGACGAGCGAGCTTGACGCGATGTCAACCCAGCTGGCACAGGCGAAGGAGGTTATTAGCTCGCTGACCGAGACTCGCCGCATGTTGGAGCGCGACTGCCGAGCCTACCAAAACAAGGTATCTGTCCTCTCGCAGTACTACCAGGCCCAACTCAATGGCGCCGCGCTCGACGGCCTCGACGACGTCAGCTCCAAGCTCGAGGCTGCTGAGGCCGGCGTAGCTCTCGAGCACGAGAAGGAGACGCTTCAGCTCAACCTGAAGATTTTCCGGCTCTCCGAGGAGAACGCCAAGCTCAAGGCTATCCAAACTCGGCACGAGACGAAGCTGGGTGTCTACGTTGGTCTCAACCAGGCGCTTGACAACACCATTCTCTCGTACGAGCATGAGATCGACGTGCTGCAGGACGCCAAGTCGCAGCTCGAGCACACCGTCGCCTCACTCCGAGACAAAATCGCCGCCCTCAAGCGAACAAGCGGACCGCGGGCGGAGGTGGCCAAACTGTCGTCAGCGGGCGGCGGTAGCGCTTCGCTTGCACCCGTCAGCGAGGTCGACGTTTCCGAGCTGGCAGGCAAGGCGCGCTCTCTCCGGCGCGCCGCCGCCAAGGCCGAGCTGGCCGTCACGACAGCTGAAAACAAGCTCGCGGCGCTTCTTGCTATGCAGACCTCGATAGCCGAGGCGGTGGCTGAGTCGGCGAATGCCCCCATCGACGTCGTCACCCACGCCACAGCTGTCCTCGATGCCCGCGAGGCAGAGCACGCCCAGACTGTGGCGCAGCTCGAGGCACGCATCCTTAAGCTTGAACAGCGGAGCTGACTCTCCATCCCCCCCTCCTTCCAGCTGCGGCCACATTCAGTCATGGCCAATTTCATTGGCAAGGTAAAGAGGCAGCTGCAGCTGGGTAGGAGGAAGCAGCAGTGCCGGGGCAAGAGGCCACTCGTCGCCACGCACGTACACTCGCTGTCGCAGGGCATGGACGACCTGGCCGAGGTGCAACGGCAAAGATCGATCTTTGAGCGCTATGTTGAGATTCAAGTCGAAGACGAAGGCGGGTTTTCTAAAGAGTATTCGGTATGCTAGCAGAGTGACGGGGTGGGGGTGGGGGGGGGGAGGAGGGGAAGAGGGGGAGGGCGGGCGCCAATGTGGTGCGGCTGGCAGTGTGGGCGCAGGGCTGGGGACTTGGATTGCTTACAGAGGTGAGGAGCGTGCCGGGGCTGTTACGGCTGTCATGTACGTATTGTACGGGCTGCGGGGGTGGCAATGTATGGGGCTGTGGGCTACTGTGGTCTGTGTGTGGACGGTGATGTGTGGGCGATGATTTGCGGGTGTGGTGACTGTTGCTGGCGCGGAGCAGAGGATGTGCCGGAAGGATGTGGATGTGCCGCCGCGAGTGGTGACAGCCAAGGCGACGATGCCGTTCAACCGCTATGATGATGTCCTGCCTGTGGCGTCGACGATTGTGAGAATCTATGACGCGCCACCGGAGGCCAGCGGCGACCTGTCCGAGGTCGGCAAGCTGCTGTACATCAATGCGAACAGCATCACGCTGGATGGGACGCGGTACATTGCGGCACAGGGCCCGCTGGCGCGGACGGTGCCCCACTTTTGGCGGATGGTGTGGCAGCACCAAGTCGAGGCTGTGGTCATGCTCGGCATGTGCAAAGAGGGCTCGGTCGACAAGGTCCACAAGTACTGGCCTGCGCTCGGCTTTACGCTCGATCTGCCTGCGGCCGGGCTAGCGGTCGACTGCGTGGGCGAAGAGTTTCACCGATCGGAAAACTGGGTGGTGCGGACGTTTGAGGTGTACGCGCCTGGCTCGCGTGCGCTCCCGCGGGTGGTCAAGCACTTTCAGCTCACGGCGTGGCGCGACCACGGAACGCCCAAGCACAAGAAGCTCGCCGCATTTATGCGAGCGGTCAACAGTCACTGTCCGCGGCCGCTCGACGCGTCGCCGGGCCATCCGCCCATTCTCGTCCACTGCTCGGCCGGGGTGGGCCGGACCGGGGTCTTTCTGGTGGCGCGGACGCTGCTGCGGCGGCTTCAGGTGGCGACCGCCGTCGGCGGTGGCATCTCCGCTGTGCCGGACAGCGATGCCGAGCACCGGGCCGAGCTCGCAGTCCGGGCTGGTGTCTTTGAACTCCCTCCGCTGTTTGACGTCCGCACGCTGATGTGGAGTCTGCGGAAGCAGCGGACCAAGATGGTGCAAACGCCCGAGCAGTACGGCTTTCTGCACGAGTTCCTGCTTCGGGCCTCGATTCCGTACATCGGGTTTGACTTTTCGACCTTTGCCGAGCCTGATGCCGGCGAGTCGGGCTAGGACGGCGACCAGCGCTGAGGCTCCGGGAACGGGGCATCGGCGGCAAAGAGCGCATCCAGGCTCGCGGTCAGCCGCAGCTCGCTGCCCGGCGGCGTGGCGGTGAGGACTCGCTGCATGTCGGCGATGGCGCGAGCGGCCGGCTCCACCCACTCGGTGCTCGCGGCACCGAGCTTGGCATGCCAGCCAACAAGCAGACCCGAGAAGAGGTCGCCGGTTCCGACAAAGTTGGCGTCGATGCGTGGGACGTGGATGAGCGTCCGTATCCCGGTGGCGGCGTCCGAAACCAGCGCCGAGACCCGCGCAGGATCAAAGACTGAGCCGGGCGCGCCGTCTGCCGCCGGATCGACCGAAGTCAGAACAATAGTGCGAACACCAAGGCCGTGGACGGTGTCGAGGGCGGCGACCAGGTCGGCCGCATTGGTAAAGGCACCATCGTCGAGCGAGCGGCCGGCGAGAAGCAGAAGCTCGGTGGTGTTGGGCGTAATGACCGATGCGCGCGGGACGACGGTGCGGATCAACAGATCGACCATTTCAGACGGAAGATACAGCCGCATGCCATCACCGAGCACGGGATCGACGACGACGATGGCGTCCGGCGCGGCGGCTGACGCGTCGTCGAGCAAGTCCATGAGCGCGCTGGCAAAGTCAACCTTTCCCAGAAAGCCCGTGATGACGTATCGGAGGCGCGCAAAGAGTCGGTTGTCGGCGAGGCCCTTGCGCACACCTGCTACCATCTCCGGAGTGAAAAACTGGCCGCCAGCACCGCCTGGGTAGCCCAGATGGTTCGAGAGCTGGCAGGTGGCCAGCGGCATGGCGTCGACACCGGCCGTCTCCAGCGGCGGCACAGACGCCCTCAGGCCGACTCTTCCCACCACCACCGATGATGAGACTACGAGTGCCCGAACAACCTCTTCGCCTGTATATTCTGCCATTAGATACAACACACACGCACACACCGGTCAGAGAGGTATGGTTGTCCACGAGGGCAAGACACGTGACCGTCCGACTACCTCCCCCCCCCCCC